CCCCCCCCCCCCCTCGGCGCATCTTGACCTGTGACTTCAACTCGAGCTGAGCTGAATGGGAGGCTGTTTGATAACCACTGACAGTTGGTTGCGGCCGATACATCACACAGTCGGTCGACCCTTCGTAATTTCCTCCCCTGGTGATGATGCCTCTCTTCCTCCTGAGTCCTAAACCCCGACCGGGTCCATGTTACGAGCGTGCTGTTGGTAGGGACTCGTGTTGAAGAGCGCTCCAGTGAAATGTGACGAGACCCGGGACCGTTGCCGTCGGAGTTGGACCCGGCCGCTGTTGGCCGTTGGTCCTGGTCAAACTTGCGACCCCGTGTACGGAGTATGTTGTATTGTCTATTCTGGGGCAGCAGCTTCGTTCGGGGCCACGGCGTGACACCCGACTGACCGACCGACGACGGGGAAGGGAATTCCGCAACTCTTTCGAACGCTTGTCGGGTTAGATCCATACTGGTGGTATTACAAGATACGTATCCACGTAATATCGCGTCGTGGACACAGCGAGTGCCCTGTACCCCTCGCATCGTATTGCCTGTATGATGATGGTGATGATGATGATGATGATGATGTGGGTGACTGGTATTGAGACCTTTGATGAGGGTCGGTGATGACCCCCTCCGCCACGGGAATCGAAATTGTCAGTGCGCCGGGTGGCCGGACGGAGTGCAATCGAGCCGCGCGCGTTGGCCGGCGCGCCCCTGTTGAATTTGTAGTTATCCGCGTCGTCTCGACTCTCGATGAATGATGTGACATGTCGCGGCCACGCTGCAGGGTAGGCATGTGGAACGGACCAAGCGCGCGGTGAGGAAAGACGCTGCTGGAGCTGTCTGCGCAGCGTGCTGTCCTCGACTCCTCGTGGGGCGGGATACAGAGGCCCAGGAGCCACGGGGCATGCTCGTCATCCCCACGAGATAGATGGACAAGTGTCTGGAATCCGGAGTCGTCTTGTCGAGAGGTTCTACATTGGCCGAGACGCCCGGCGCGGTGAGCCACGTCAACCAGCCCCTGCCCCTGCAGCACGAGGCCAAAGGGACGCGAACAGACAAAAGGGCCATGTGGATTCCGGGCAATGGAATTCCCGAGCAAAGAGCTGCTATGCTTACAACGAAAACCGCACGTGTATCCTGCGCCGACAACGCCCTTGCCAATGTAACCGCCCATGAATCCCAAAACGCTTCCCGCCCTCACTCCTAGCTCCTCAACGCATCCAGCCGATTCCGCATCTGATCCATCATGGCCTCTGCATCCTCCTCCTCCTCCTCCTCCTCCTCGTCGTCGTGGACTTGCTGCGTTTGCAGCTGCGGCGCGGGCGCGACAGGCAAACTGGGTTCCTTTCTATCCTTCAAAATCTCACCCAGCACCCTGTCCACCTCGCCCTCGTCCTCTACAAGCATGTCTCCGTCCTCGGGCAATATATCCTCGACCATCTCCTCGATGATGCCGGCTTTCATCAGCTCCGCGCTCAGCTGCTGCATGGTTTGTGCCATCTCGGGGAGGCGTATCAGCCGGTTGAGGTCCTTCATGATTCCGACGCTGGAGCGGATGGAGCCCTCAATCTTGCGCACGGCAAAGGCCTCGCTCACTTGCATCTGGACCGAGTTAAGCTGGGCCTTGGAGGTGATTGTGCGGGCCGAGGCGCGGCGTTGACGGACGAGCTCGTGGGCAAAGTCGCGGACTTCCTTTTGGGCCTGCTTGGCGCGGGCAGGGTCTTTCTGGGCGCGCTTGTCGGCCTGTACGATGAGGTTCTTTATCTTGACTTCATTTTGTTTGTTGGCGGCGATGTCCCGGTCTAGTTTGCGGATGTTGGAGCGGATGAGGGCATTGCATTTGCGGAACTGCCGTGCGGGGGGTCAGCACCACGAACGAAGGCCTGTATTGTACATGTGCGTGCGTGCGTTTTTTTTTGATTGAACTGCGTCGGGCGGTGTGAAACTCAGACACTGACCTGTGCTTGGGGATCGGGTTTTGCAAAGAGGCTTCTGAATGCCTCCATGGTGGATGGCTCAGGTCCAGGACGGGGGAGAGGAGCGAGGAGCCTGACGGATTTGATGGCGGTCGTGGATCGGCGATGGAGGCATGGGATGACGACAACGAGATGCGGTGTCGTCTCGTCTGAGGGGGAGTGACTGGCGATGGCGGCGACGTCGAGATGGAGGGGCGCGGCGGTGACGTTGAGTGGTGATGCGGTTGCGACACGAGGCTGGAGAGATGGAGTGGTGTTTCGGTGCTGGGCCGTCCGCGGTCGACGGGTCGTCAATGTTCGTTTCAATGGTCGGTGTTGGGAGCGGGGCCAACAGCTGCGGGTAGAACATGAAGTCTTGGTCGCAGCAGTTGGAAAGACCAATTCAAGCATGACAGGAGGACTATCGCAACGAGCACGTCGGCAGTCTGCAGTGCCAGAACCGAGTCGCTGACGTATTGCATAAGCACCTGAGTAGGTTATGAAAGACCGCCGACGCCGGCCAATGCGGCTCGGTCAGGTTCGACCGTTGGTCCTTCCCTTCCACCTGGGGCGTTGTGTGTTTTGCAGGAGGACGGTGCAGGTACATTGCAGTGGGCGGCAGAGAGAAGCTGGCTACGGACTTGAGTAAGCAGAGCAGGTACCTGGCCATCGCGTCTTGTACTAGCGCATACTTGCTTGGCAGTACGGAGCAGGCCCTCTCTGTATCTGCCCAGGATGGTGCTCGTCAACTTCCAAGGCCATCAACATCTAAATACTCCGGAGCCCTTGAGCCTGCCGCCGACCCACTTTGCGCTTCCTGCCCACCGCACCGCACCGCAGACCTGGGCGCCTGGCAGCTCCTGACAGTCCTGGACATGTTTCCTCGCCGTTCTGACGCCTTCCACAGCTCCAGCTGCGACGGGCCCAACAGCCAACGAGCCGCAGCCGCCCGCCACTCACCTGCTCCGCTCAGCCTGTCGGCATCCACCCAAGGATCCCCAAGGGGCCCTCCAAGGCCAAGGCCACCGCGCAATAACAACTTTGCAGGGCAGCCTCGTTTGTGAGCTTTCATCTTCTTTCCTGCCTCTGCCCGCTCTTCTGTGTTGGCACCAAACCACTATCCAGCCTCGTCTTCTCAACGGCTGCCGTTTCGTTGCACTTTTCCCATCTGCAATTGTTCATCGAGTAGCTTCATCGAGACGGCCACCCTTTTCTCACGCACACCTCGCTTTGCTTGCCATCACAGCTCCCTCGTCCCGTCATCCTTCATCATGGCCGAGACTGCTACTCCTGAAGGTTTGTGACAGCTCATCAATGCCACTCCACGCGACTGCCATCTTGCCCGGATAATTTTCCTTCTCTGCAAAAGGAAACGGGGAGAGGTAGGGGGCTGATGGAGGCCACAAAAAAAAAAACACACACACACACACAAGGATTCGCTGGTCACAGTGCCCCCGCTGACAGTCCTCGCGTAAACAGTTCTTTGGGCCCAGCGCTCTCCTCAATCTGTCGAAGACGAGAACAACTTCGTCTTCTTGACCATCAACGTCCCTGATGTCTCCAAGGACGATATGCAGCTCGACCTCAAGCCCGATTGCCTTACCTTCACCGGCACCTCTGGTACCTTGAAGCGCAAATACCATGTTGAGCTGCCTTTCTACGCCGAGATTGACCCCAAAGAGAGCAAAATCCATCACACCGACAAGAATATTGAGATAAAGATTCAGAAGAAGGAGAGCAAGAAGGAGTACTGGCCGCGACTTCTCAAGGACTCCAAGAAACCCCACTTCGTCAAGACCGACTTTGACAAGTGGGTTGACGAGGACGAACAGAACGAAGCAGCCGAGGATGACTTCTCGCAGTTTGGCGGCATGGGTATGTCAAGGACTCAAGGGTTCACGCCTTGAGCTTCCCCCCCCTTTTTTTCTTTCCGCCAAAGCACGGCTTGTGCAAGTACGCGCGTCAGAACTGAAGCTAACAAACATGCAGGTGGCATGCCAGGAATGGGCGGTACGTCGACATCAAATCTTTTATTCTGAAACCCCGAGACCCGCTTGGCGATTTTTCATGACAAGAATTACATGTATTTATAAATGTCAAGGGAAAAGAGGCGAATTTGCTGACGTCTTGGTGTTTAGGTGACTTTGGCGGTATCGACTTCTCCAAGCTCGGTGGTGCTGGAGGCATGCCCGACCTTGGCGCCATGGGAGGAGAGGAGGGCGAGGAAGGCGAGGACAGCGGTGACGATGACGATGACGACATGCCTGCGCTGGAGGGCGAGGGCGAGGGCGAGGGCGCTGCCAAGAAGGAGTAAAGATGATGACTGCTTAGACGGATGTTCAAGCTGCACCAGGCAAGTTGCAGCAGCAGACGGAGTTTAGCAATGAGTGACACGAGAAATATTGATCAAGGGATGAATTATGGAGAGTCTTTAGGACGCCGGCCTCTGTGCGCCTTTTCCCCTTTGCATGTGTGTCAGTTTCCTCCCGTCTCACTTTTTTTTTTTGGGTGGTTTGTCTGTTTGCGGCTGATGATCTGTGTCGGTCATGGTGAAGAAGAGGCATGTCATGACCGACAGCCATGATACATGTCATGTCATAGCAGAGGCAAGGCACGAGCGGCAAACCGGAATCCCAACAACAGCCCTCAACCCCCATGACGGCGTCGTCAGCCGCCGTCGTCCTCAAGTCTGACAAACCGCACATGTCTTTGCCTCGAGCAATTGCCTGGCCAGCCCGGTGATGTGCCCCCACCCCGCCATCCCATTTGGCATCCGCCCATCCGACCGACTCTCTCTCCGTCTTCGTACTGCCTCCCGAGTCCCGTCGCACCGAATTCCCAAAGGTGGCTTGCCCGCCCAGACGCCCGGGGACGTACTACCGTCCCAACACCATGTGCGTTCGGGAAGAGAAAGGAAAAAAAGAAAAAAAGGACGCCGCCGATTACAAACCACCAAACTACAAGCTATTTCCCAGAATCCAAGACAATCTTCGTAAGTCATGTAGCCAGCAGGATGTAACAACCGATCCGGCGGCGTCCAAGCCCCCCCCCTCTTCTTGTTCTCCTTCGCCGCTTTTGGCCGCCCCAGCCAGCAGACCCTCGATATATATAGCTCGTCGGCGTCGGCGGCGGCGGCGTCGGCGGCGGGGAGACAAGCGCGAGAAAAAGTCGGCAGACATGGGCACAAAGGACCGTTCCCGTTCCCATTTCCATTGTCGAGTTTTCCGTCTACCCTCCCGCCGCGCCCGCCAGACTGCTCGATCCAGGTCCAGGTCCAGGGAGACAAGGACGACAAGGGGGCGGGGGACGAGAAGGATGCAAAAAAAACAAGAAAGAGGGCGCGCAGAGCAACAGCACCAGCAGCAGCAGCAGCAGCACATGAACGACTCCAACGACGGCCCCTGGCTTCGCACACGTCACGTCACGCGCGCACGCCGTCCCCTCTCGACGGGCACAATCGACAGACATGCCCTCGGCGCCCTCCACCATCTACACCTCTCTGGACGCGGCGAGGGCAGCGTGCAGCGGCGCCTGCATCACGGCCTGGCCCGCTGACGAGCCGTACCTCGTGCCGCCTCCCGCCGACCAGCTCTCGAGGGAGATGGCGTACAGGGACGGCTCGGTGCGAGGCGCCTCTGAGAAGTCGTCTCCGCGCAGCTTGACCGAGTCTGCGACGTCTTGACTGCCGTGACAGCAGGACTTGGGCCGTCCATCGTGTCCCGCGTCACTTTGTCTTTTTTCAACAATCTCTTCGCCGAGTGAATCATCATCGTCACCATCACGGGCACTCCTTCCACCATCCTCGAGACAAGCAAGTCTCCCCTCGTCGTCGGCGCGCCACGGGTACAGGGCAACCAAGACATGTTCATCCTGCCATCGTCACCTCCTGTATTTGTACTCGGCATCTATCTGCTTTGCTCCCACCGTCCTCCGCTAGGCGCCAGGCCTTCAGAATAACAAATATAGCAACACGGACAAGGTCGACTCTGACCCCTCGAGTCTGCAGCGTCACGCTCAAGTGAACCATCCACAGCGCACATCTTCACCTCTGTACCCTCTTGCAAGCACACTTTTTTCATATTCATTGGGTATTATAGTTAAAATCAAGTTTAATCAGCCTTCCCACCTTGACTGCAACGTATACAATTACTACGTACGCCCAAGTTAGTCATGTGTGCAACAAGAAGCCATGTACTTCAACATACCATAATCTCATCCTCCATCGGCGCGTCAGCAGTAGCACCGGCAGCCCCTGTAGCAGCACCAGCGCCAGCATTTGCACCTTCGGCATTGCTCTTGAAATAGTCCGTCATCTCCGAATCCAGTTCTTCAGCCGTCTTTTTGGCAGGGCGAGCGCTGCGGCCACGGCGCTTCTTGTTTGCCGTCTTGCCGTCGCCAGCCTTGCCAACGCCACCGGTAGCGCCTTTACCAGAAGCAGCCGACTTGGGCTGAGCCTTGGGCTGGCTAAATGATTCGTCAGCTCTAGGCTCACACATCCAAGGTAAACGTTCAACTCACGTAGCTCGCTCGGCCAGGGACTTGACTGGCGGCATGACTTTGTCGGCCTGAGCTGCACCGACAACAATCTCGATCTGTCTTCGTCAGAGTCCTGCATCGACTTGCTTACATTGCGTCTGATACGAACCTTGATGGGTCGGTTGTCAACAAGGAGGCCATTCAGCTTCTGGAAAGCCTTGCCAGCGCCGTCCGGCTTGTGGAAAGTGACATTGGCAATGCCACGGCTGACGGAGTTGGGGCCATAAACGAGATCAACTCTCTTGATCGGTCCAACGGCTTGGACAAAATATTCCTATTGAGGACGCGTGTCAGGTTAGCGGTGGTCGGGGATCCAGGATTAACCATCGCCGAGAGTCCGAGGTCCGATCCTGTCCAAGAAAAATTCGTCGCAAATCATAAGTCCTGTTGCAGGATGACCGAAAAGAGCTATGGCAGTTGACGAACGAGTAGAGCAGTGAGCCACGAATGCCAACACCGACGTCCATTCTTTTTTTCCCTTCACACGTCCAGATGTTATGATGTTTCGAAAGGCGACAGCAAAACTTGAGACATCGGCCATCGCAGCAAACGTGCAATTTGAGCAGCCTGGGAGTTGAAGTACACATAACTGAACCGTAGCCGTATCAAAAACGAAGCCGATCTAGTTGTTGTATGTTGCTCCCAGGCCCAAAAGAATCGCAAAACGTACACAAGGCTGACCAGGTCGGAGCCTCCCTCTTCTCATACAGCGACAGCTCGTCACCTTTTCAGGGAGAAGACGCTCGTGGCCATGGCAGAGCTCACTGCTATACTCGATTGCGTCCAACCGTGATGTGATGATCTCATCGCGTGGGTCGATGGAGTAAACCACCGAAGCCAGTGCCTCTTGAACAGATTGCCGCAGTTTCTTCCAAGTCATCGTTTAGCTCTATGCTGACCAGGCATATAATGAGTACGATGCGAGGCGATACTGCTCTCAACTTCCAACGCGACGCAATATGTTTCAGATATTTCAAGCGACTCGGAAGGAGACTCGGGCGGGCGTTCGGAGCGTCATATCACAGACACAAGAGGCAAGCCGCTCGTGAAGAACGTTTGGACGTCGAAAATTACAAGGAGGAGTGCGGCGAAGAAGGAAACGTCGAACAAAGTCCGGAAGGTGCGAGACCTTCAACGGAAACATACCTTGATCTGCTGCTCCGAGACGTCCTTGGGCTGAGAATTGTTAGTGAGATGCTACGAAGATTCATTGCTAGAAAAAGCGTGCGTACCAGATTGCTGACAATGACCTTGCTTTCTCCATGAGCAGCCGCAGCTTTGGCAGGAGCGGGCTTGGCCGCGCTGCCACGAGCAGGCTTGGAAGCCTTCTGAATACCACCAACGGGGGCAGCAGTCTTGGGGCCAGTTGAGCGTCGCTGAGACGGGCGGCGGTTACGGGCAGATTGGCGCTTAGCCGAGACGATATCGTCAAGAGGCTTATCGAGTTTGCTCGACATTTTGTATGGTGGCGAAAAGAAGAAGCCTGGATTTGTCGGAAGTTGATCTTGCAAGAGGGAAGAAATGGTCAAAAAATGATTGCTTTCGCGATAAGCCGGTCAGAGAAATGAAGTACAGATCACTGAGCGAGGTGCTTTGACGCGCGAGGCCAAGGATGCGATGTTGTGAGGCCAAAACGACAACAGGTCGCGTCGCCAGAGTGGTCCGAATGAAAAGTGTGTGGTCGAAGTGAAAAGACTGAAATGGCTTGTGCCAAGTCCAAGAACGGGTCACTGGAAGGGCGACGCGCGATCTCGAAGAAGAAGAAGAAGAGGAAGAAGGAAGAGAAGAAGGGAGGCGATAGTTTGCAGTAGCGACAAAAGTGTTGCTGTTGAAAAGCCTAGAGATGTCGATGAGGGGAGGAAGAGAGGAAGAACAACGATCCAACAAGCCAAGGACCAGGGGGGAGAAAAGGGCAGATAAACAGGTCCCAGCCAAGAGGGAAGGCGCAGCTGACTACGACTGCCGCAAGCCTGTAGAGTTGGCCTAGCTCAAAACGCCGACGCTTGGCTGATTCAAGGACTGGTACGTACTCCGAACGGAGCGCTAGATAACGTAAGCACAAGCGAGGCGTGGGCCGAGTTGGGCATTGGTTGGCTACAAGCCAATTAGAGCTTGTGCAGCGCGGCTCGTCATCCCGACTTGCCAGGTTGCTTGCTGCCTTGCATCAACAATAATGCCCAACGAACGGAAAAGAATAAGACCACCATTGTCGCGTCACTTTCCATTATATTTATACGTCCGCCTCCGTTGAATTATTCGCATCCGTTGTTGTCTTTGCCAGAACGCACCAATTGCACTCCATGAAGCCTCGTCCAGCTACACGAACCGGCTATGTCTGCCTTGCGCAGAATGACATCAATTGATGTCTGCCACGACTCATTCATTGTAGACGATGATGGGAGTGTGTACATGGGGAGGGATTGAATGATCAGCGTAGCAACATGGCACCAACATCCCAGTGCCAGAACTTGATTCAACTCCGCAGGTACTAATACGCTTTACTGAGCATCGGATGGGAAATTAAAAAAATAGAAATGCCAAGTCGACCGTTGTCCACGCCTGGGCATGGAAGACACGCTTTCAAGCTGTGCTGACCGAGTGAGCTATTTGCTGCGCCAAAACCATATGCTGCCGCTGGAGGCTGTCCCAGTTGTGACAACTTGTGCTGGGTTGTGCGTTTGTCGCGATGCAGCTGCCCCTGCATTCACATCGGCTATGCACGAGTACCATCGTCCATCAAGTAGACTCTTTTTTGTTTCTATATTTGGTAGCTTCGTCAAGGATAAATTCTTTGCCTGCCCACCGTTAAGCCGCGACAAATTTACGCCCAAGAGCCGAAGCCTCGCGATCCGTGGAAGCCCCTCTTGTTCCGTGCCCAAACATGTTTCGAACGCCAGGTTCAAAGAACTAGATCCTCCTCAAATGTGACGTATGTATGTTGAGTCACTGAAAAGGCTGTTGAATGCACTGCTCTTTTATAATCGCCCACATGGTGTGGTGTAATCTTCTTTGATGCTCGCTGTCCCTTCACCCCCATGTTTGTTAATCATGACGACTTCGCGTGCTCGGCTCTGTTTGTCGCTGCGTTCGTTTCGAGAAAATGGTATGCAACGATTAGAAGCACGGATGCTGCTCCAAAAAAGACGGCAAGAGAGAAGAGATCGCGATCAGAGATCATGCTGAGCGGTGGGCAATGCGACGGACGGTATCGACGGACGGTGTATGCTGGGGAGGGCTACGTTAGATCTAGAAAACGGCGTAGGGTAATAGCACTGAAGAAACTCACAAAAATGCTGATGGCAAGACTGGAAAAATCATCCAATAAGGGTATGCGGTTGTGATGGCCAGAGAGAACAGCTGGAGCTTTCGTGGGCATTGGGGACTCCTAATGCTAAGGTGTCATTATGTAAGTTGATACCAGCATCCACCCAAATTCGGTGATGACCATTAGTAAAAGAGGGTCAGTCACGTGACCACGCTGATATCATCCACCAACTTGTGGCAGCCCGATAAAAAGTGACGGAACGACAGCAGGACCCGACTTCTTCCCCCACGTCGTCAAAGGCCGCCTTTTCATCAACGCCGAACCCGCGTGCGATCGACGTCTTCTTTTTGGTCGAATCTTGGAAGGCAGTGGCCAACTCGTTTTGAAAACAGACACTTGATTCAGCTTTCGACATTCCTACCGTCCCAATTCACTTCGCTTAAAGACGGTCTACATTTGAACGACCCCGCCACCGCCCAACATGCCACCTAAGAAGGCCGATAAGGGCGGTGGTGCCGCCAAGAAGGCTTCGGCCACCAAGCAGGTGGAAGACAAGACGTTTGGCATGAAGAACAAGAAGGGTGCTGTCGCCAAAAAGCAGATTGCTCAGATGACAAGCAATTTGAAGAATGGTGTAAGCCCTGAAGAGAAGAAAAAGCAGGCCGAGAAGGCCCAGCGAGAGAAGGAGAAGGCGGCGGCCGAGGAAGCCAAAAGGGAAACGGCATTGCTTCTCAACAAACCTGCTCAAATACAAAAAGTACCTTTCGGTGTAGATCCCAAGACGGTTCTTTGCATTTTTTTTAAAAAGGGAGATTGCGAGAAGGGCAAGAAATGTAAATTCTCCCATGATCCGAACGTCGAGCGAAAGACGGAGAAGAAGAACCTGTATGCAGACATTAGAGGGCAAGAAGAGGAGGAAAAGAAGAAGCAGGAGACCTCTGCTGAATGGGACGAAGAACAGCTGCGCAAAGTGGTCTTGTCCAAGAAGGGCAACCAAAAAACAACGACGGACAAGGTGTGCAAGTTTTTCATCTCGGCTATTGAGGATGGTAAATACGGCTGGTTCTGGGTTTGTCCAAACGGTGGAGATAAGTGCATGTACAGGCACGCTCTGCCGCCTGGGTACGTCATATCTTGCCTCGTGAAGTCTGTGACCATGTTTGTCAAACTCACACTCTCTCTATAGTTTCGTCTTGAAAACAAAGGAGCAAAGGGCAGCCGAGAAGGCACTCATGGACAAGTCTCCGCTCAAGACCCTTACCTTGGAAGACTTTCTGGAATCTGAGCGACACAAACTCACTGGCACTCTGACGCCCGTCACTCCAGAGACCTTTGCCAAATGGAAGAAGGAACGCCTTGACAAAAAGGCGGCCGAGGAACAGCTCCGCAACGCCAAGGAGAACACTGGCCGTGCACTATTCGAGAGCGGCAAGTGGCGTGATGAGGACGACTCTGAAGATGATGATGATGACGCATGGAACATTGAGAATTTGCGGAAAGAGACGGAAGCATTACGTGAGAAGAGAGAAGAGCAAAGACTGACCGCCACCGGCGGCGAAGTATCTCTGACAGCAGAGCCTGCCGAGCCAGAGGATGTCAACGAACAAGCCGATCAGGTGACAGAGGCAGCGTCTGCCGGTGCGTGAACGAAACTATGGATCATGGTTCGAGACAAAGACTATTCCGGCCTCACCTGGCTTTCTTGACAGAAACGGACTGGGGCAATTCCGAGCACTGCCAGTGCCGGCTACGAAATGACGGCACCTGCTGGACAACTTCCACGCGTGGGGAACCGTCGCTCTGAATCAGCGAGATATATCTCGCTGCATTTCACTAGTATTAGAGAGTACATCAGACTGGTCAGGGGGAGGAAGAGTGCGAGATGATTTACAGCGCAAAACGCACTGTCAAGGAGAATACAATTATTCTCCTTCGTTGATCTTCTGTCAAACCATGATGAACGTGTCATGCTACACTAGGCGTCGAGTGATTTTCACTGGAAAACTATGCCGCCGACATCTCCAGGCTTGGTCATGGCAGCCCAGGCTGATCATGTTGTTGCTCGCTTATCTATACACGGCTTTGCCTCCAAGACATGAAATGAAAGACATGGACTGACCTTTTTGCTCCAAGGCCGTCCAGCAGGACCCTACTCTATGTCGTTGAGCGGTGTCCCGGTGGACTCACTTGCCTCAACTCAGCCCCCGGGAGGTGATTGATATGATACATCCCCCTGTCCGCAATATCGCAGTGACCAGAGTTGATTGCTGCAACGTGGAGTCGGTACGGAGTACTCGGTACTGTGGACGACATTGCCTAGTGACTGCGCCATCAAAAGCCACGGCATGCTCATGCACGCCATGATGGGGACAACAGACGTCTGATTGTTGGCATGTGTGCTGTAATAAGAGGCGAGAGGAGGGGTTCATGTAACGGCTGGAAAGTACTTGACTCGGGCAGGTGATCTCGAGACGAGTCGATCGAAGCATTCGAAGCCAAGCCAAGCCAAGGGCTGGGTAGCACTCTGCACGGCTGCTTACCTAAGGCCGGATGGCCAAGCGCCCAGGTACCCACCGGAGTACTTGACCTGAAGTAGTACTACTGCTCGAGTACGGAGTACTCCGTGCCTACTCCGTACTGGAGTAGGTATTTTGGAGGCGTGCAACCAGCGAATGGCAGGCAAAATGACGGCCGGGAGTTGGGTGTGTGCGATGATGATGATGATGATGGAGACGCTCAAGAAGGGCATGGTCGATGCAGCATGCAGCCACCGACAAGTCGGCCAATGCCGACTGGGCTACTCCGTACTGTTGAAACCTTCAACAAATGCAAATGTCCAAGTGGCCCTCGCCTTCTGCTGCGTCCCTGCAGAGGCTGTTTTTGTCTGGCGCGTTTTGCGCGTGAGGAGCTGCCCAACCCGGGTCAAGTCCGCTTTCTTCCTTTGATGGACGGGCCAGCTTTGCCTCGTCAAGTCGAGCCTTTGCCTTTGTCCCCCCATCAGCATCAGATCCTCTGCGAGCTCGACTCCGGCAACTCGCAATCGTTGAAAGCCCGCCCGCACGTGCGGTGTGCCGTTGCCGTCGGTGCTGCCGTCAGTGCTGCTCCACCCAAGCACAGTGCCGCAGCCCGCCCGCACAGGCCCCCAAGGAACCCGAGAGCTTCCCCAAGCTCCCCACGCCGCGCCAGAGCGTCATCCATGCCACTGCCACTGCCACTGCCACTGCCACCACCGCAGGTTACAACCAAGCGTCGAGAATCCCGAACCCCTCCCTCGTCCGAGCAAGCTGTGCCGTGATTGTCAACAGCAAGCACCGCTTCGCCGCCCGAATCGTCATCACCTCCTACCGTCTCTCTATTCCCCCCGTGGTCTCGACAACTTCCAAGGGCCGCCTTGCTCCGTACTCCGTACCTGCCCGGGCATTAGGAGCTCCCAGCCTTCCGGAGACCGCTGCCGCTCTTCGGTGTCGACATCCGCCCTCGTCTTTGCATCAGTACTCGATACTGAACCGGCCACTCCATTGACCTCCGCCCATTGATGGCAGCTGCGCTTCTGGATAACTAGGTCGTGCTGCCGCCCGCGCACACCCCAGACTCGCTGCTGGTCTCGTCGCTCTCGTCGAGATCACCGGGTCTGAACCGCGCGCGCGTGTGTGCCGTGGCCGCCTGTCCCATCCCGCTCGCCTCGTCTTCTTTTGCCTCCCAGCGCTCCGGGCAATCTGTCTGCCCAGGGTCCCGCGACGAGAGACGGCCGTCCGGAACTTGTCCAGAAGCATGACCGTGGAGGCAAATCGTCATCAGCAGCAAGATGTCCCAGGCCGCCTCGCCGCGACAGCAGTCATGCCTTCCACCACCCGCCCACGAGACCACGCAAACTCCTTCCTCAAGCGTTATCAGACCGAAATAGCTGCCAGCTCGTCGAGTGTGTTTTCCACGCTGGCCGCCTTCCCCCTTGACAGTGTCAAAACTCGCATGCAGACCTATCAGTACCGCGGCTTCATTGACTGTGTCAAACATACCTATCGCACCGAACATCTGGGTGGGTTTTTCCGAGGTAAGCATTGGCTTTGTCCCTTCAACGGCGCTGGGGTCGACGTGGTTGAGTCGCAGTCGGCGTGCTGCAGTTGTAGCTGTAAATCGAAACCAGAACCTCCCCCCCGCCGGTGCTTCTTTTACCCGCATATCGAAAAGCCGACTCCAAGCAATTGCAAGACTAACTCGTGTGCTTCTTTTCTGTAGGCGTCATGGCCCCCATGGCCAGCATTACCCTCGTCCGGACTGTGTCCTTCTCCATTTACCAACGAGCGAAATATTCATACGCGGCTTGGGTGAAACGAAATACGGGATATGACATCCTCGGCCACGTGAACAAGCCGGGTACATACCCAAATCTATACTCGGTGGCCTGCTTCGGTGCTGCAGGCGCCACGGCCGGCTCTGTCATCACATTCATCGCCTGTCCGTTTGAACTCACAAAGCTCAGCGCACAGGTGTCTGTGCTCCTGGCAGAAAGAGCAGGCAACTGCCAGAAGAGCAAGGCGGTGGCGTCGAGCTATCAGAACAAAGGAACGTTGAGGACCATGGCCAACATCATCAAGCACCGTGGCGTATTGGGGCTTTACACAGGCCTCAGGTTACACTTGTGTAAGCTTGTCAACTTTCCCGGCCGAGCTTCCCGGCACTCCAAGACTAACGGCACAATCAACCAGTGCGTGACACGCTGGGGACGTCAATCTACTTCATGGTGTACGAGAGCGGAAAGCAGCTCGGGACAACCCTGGCGGGCGACAATCCGAACAGCAACAAGTTGGCGGTGGTGACAGCCGGCGGCATGTGCGGTCTCGTGTCCTGGGCGTTGATCTGTAAGCAGGCCTTCTTGATAATAAGCCTCTGGCCACCTCGGCCTCGTCGCCGCACTAACACCGTCCGTGCGTGCAGACCCCGTCGATTCCGCGAAGAGCATATACCAACGAAACTCGCTCCTGCACTCTCGTGGCGAAAAGGTCGATCCCGCCCCCAAGATCGAATTCTTCAAGCGCCACATGTACCGCGGGCTGGGCGTCTCCATGAGCCGCTCGTGCCTCGTCAACGCCATCTTCTTCTCGTCGTTTGAATTCGTCAAGAAGCGCATCAAGACGCTAGACGACGACGACGACAACATCAACAGCAATATCAGCAAGTCAAGGACGTAGTCTAGCGCCAAAATGGAAATGTCTTCTCTTTCTCTTGCCTCGTAGAAGAGGAAAACCAGGTCCGTCGGGGAATCAGATCCCTTGACAGCCAAATGGCTTTATGCTCTCCCTTTACCATCTGGCAGGAGGCTTCCCTGCGCGTGCACATGATGAAATGGGCGTTCTTGCGGTCCTTTGTCAGTATTGCTAGTCTTCCAGTGGACATCATCAGGCCGGTCCCGGCTCGTGGAAGTGCGTGTTTTTTTCCCATGAAGATCTGCCATGCCCACGGAGCAGGGCTGAGGACTGTCTCCCATCGGGACATGGCGTCTGGATTCGATTCTGGGCAAGGAAAAAAGGAAGCGATACTGTCATGGCTTTGAATGGCGCTCCATCCAGGGAATTGACGACAGTGGGCAATGTAGCATAGCAGCCCACATGCATGCATGTTCGACTTGCCGCCTACTTAGAGGTTGGTAAATGTTTTCCGAGTCACGACGTCACTCGGGGAGCCCGGGTGGCTGCCGGTGCTGGAGCAGTATGCATGTACGTACTCTAAAGTTTGTTACATGAAGCACGGTTTGTTGAGACCCTGCCCGTGGCCCGCCCCTTGCAACAATGTCATCCCCCTTCCAGGGTCCCGGGTAGTTACTCGGTCGAGGTTTGCATCTAGACTTCATGACGGGCGGGAAAAGAGGGGCTAAATGACTGATGCTGTAATTTCTTTTGGTAGAACTAGTTTTTTCTTTCCCCTTTCCCTTTCCAATTCCCGTCACGACCCCCAGATAGACGGGGGAAAGCAAAATACGGGGAGCTAGAGCATGTTCCCGTCCATGTCTAAACCCTCGTGAATGATGACGTCCCGCTATTCTTCGTCCAACATGAAACTGCCCGCATCAATGACTTTCCCTCACCAGGACTGGGAAAGTTCCTGCTCTACCTGGGCCTTGACGAGCTCCCGGACCTTACTAACACTTCCTTCTACCTCAGTAACCCGCTTCTCCTTCTCAGCCAGCCCGACAAACTCTTTGGGTAGGACCTTGTTCTCAAAGTCGAAGCCCTCTTGTCCGTTCAATGCCTTCTCCACTGCGCCGGAAAACTTGGCGGGGTGGGCAGTCGACAATGAGATGTGGTGAACATCCGGGCTGGCGTTGGCGGCGGATCGGATGGCGGCGGCGACACCGACGGCGGAATGCGGATCAAGAACGTATCCAACCTTCTTGTACAAAGCCTGTATGGTTTCCAGGGTTTGCCGGTCGTCAACCCGCTCGCTGTCAAAGTCGCGCTTGGCGCATTTTAGCACGTCCTGGTAGACAGGGCCGAATGATCCCGTCGTCTTCAACTCCTTAAGCCACTTTGAAACCTCCTGCCCCGCCTGCTTCTTGTTCCACTGGTCGTCCATGCCTGCGCTCGAGGCAAATTCATATGCCAGGAACCAAAGCAGGCGCTCAAAGTTGCTAGACACCAGAATGTCCATGGCGGGACTGAGAGTCTCCTTGACGCCCTCGGGGGCGATATCCTTGCCGTCTTCAGGTGCGGGCTGCTTCTCGTACTTTCCAGTCTTCCAGAAGCGGTCCAAAATATCGTTCTCGTTGGTTGCGATGACTAGTTTGTCGACAGGCAGACCCATGCGCATGGCAAAGTACCCGGCCAGGATGTCTCCAAAATTGCCAGTGGGCACGACGAATCGGACCTTGTCGCCGAGCTTGAAGCTGGAGGATTGCTTGACCAGAGAGAAGTACGAGTGGAAGTAATACGTAATTTGTGCCAAAATACGAGCCCAGTTGATGGAGTTGACGGCCCCAACGTTGATCGGCTTATTGGCCTCTGGTTCGGCGAGCAAGGATTTTAGGATATCCTGAGGACGAAAGCATGTCAGCGAGTCTCTGGGAGGAATGACGTTGAGTTGCAGCATCAAAAGTGTATCTCACCTGGCAATCGTCAAAGGTCCCTTCAATGGAGAGGTTATGCACATTCTTGTCCAAGACGGTCGTCATTTGCAGCTCCTGAATGGGACTCACGCGACCCTTGGGGAACATGATGAACACCGAAACGTCTTTCTTGCCGCGCAGGCCGTAAATGGCAGCGGAGCCAGTGTCGCCACTGGTGGCACCGACGACTGCGAGATGATGACGGTCTATATCAATGGTCAGCCTACACTTGGTCGTCGAGTAAGGGTTGCTGCAGGGCGGCAAGTGTAAAGCGCATTGAAGGTGCCTGCCCCAGCCACGTCAATGACGTGGAATTGGAATCATACCTCTTCCAACCTTGCCCTCGTTTTTCCTCGCTAGAAAGTATTCGAACAGGTTGCCAACAAATTGAAGGGCAACGTCCTTGAAGGCAAACGTGGGACCGTGGAAGAGTTCGAGAAGATAATGGTTGCCATCGAGGTGGACGAGGGGGGTGACCTGGTCGCTGCGAAAGGTCGAGTAACTTCGGCGGACAAGGTCCTTGAGCTCCGGTGAGGGCATCTCGGACGGTGAGATGTACAGAGACATGATCTCGTACGCCAGGTCAGGGAAGGCCAGGTCTTTCCAGCTCGCCCAAGCCGCAGCCCCGGGGATCTGCTCGGGAATGTACAGGCCGCCATCGGTGGCCAAGCCACGCAAAACGACCTCTTCAAACGAGCACTGGTCATCGGGGAGACAAGACAACGACGTTAGCAGCAGAACCGACACTAGGCGTGCGATGAGGAGGGCGAAGAGGACGAGGCTCGGGAGATGCAGTCAGACTTCAGACGCGAGTCCGAGGCCACAGTACAGGAGACGGGTTGCACGCGACAACGCTCAGCGCTAACTTACGTCACTGTCCTCGCCGCGAGTGCTCAGGTAACGCTGCGAGGGGCTATGAGAGTCGCCCGACCCGTTAGGAACCCCGTCTTGCGCCATTGCCCGACTATCGACGACTTCCGGACCGGGCTCAGGCGAAGCAGAGTGTGGTGCTGGGACCAAAGGTTGGCCAGATGCGGCCGAGACCCTGTGTCGAGGCGAGGATGAGGGGCGAGCGAATGCAGAAAAGAAAAGCTTCTGCGGCTCGCAAGTCTGTACGTCTGTCTGTATGCACGTAGGGCGTGCAGGAGAATGCTCGAGAGGGCACAAGGCAAAACCGCAGAAAAGAAATCAAGACACAAAGGGGAAAAAGGGCAAGAAAATACAAGACGAGAAATGCCCGGCGGGAGCAAGCTGGGTAGTCAGACTGCCAACAGCACAGAGCGGCAGACAAAGGGCAGCGGCCGGCTTTGGGAAATGGGAATGGCAATGGCAATGGCAATGGGAATGGTACGGAGTAATAGCCCATGGGAATGGGATTATCAAAAATGGTCCCCAACAGGTTGCCGTCGGCACTTCAATACTCGAGCACCGGACTCAAAGCCCAGTGGCGGCCCCCAGCACCGAAAAATTGAGCACTGTCGCTCGTGTTCGGGGCCCCTCCTCCCAAAAAGGCCTAGTGCGGGGTGTCTCGCTGCCGGGTCCCCTGCTGGCGGTGGCAGTGGCACGATGAGTGCTGCTTAATTTCAATGTCAACGGTCAAGGCAAGTTGGTTGGTTTTATTGACGCGACTTATGGAAAGCGCCAACCAGTGAGTGACGGCTTCACCGCTCCTTGCCGCTTCAAGTGGTTTCCTGGTTTCATTCATCCGTCGCCGGAATGCCTCGCCTCTGGGCTTTTGAGCAAACTTCCCAAGGTTCAGTCAAGCGAAAGCGTGTAACGGCCGTTGGAATGTCTGTCCAATGACTGGCCTTGGTTTTGGCTTGTATTCTCGTGCATGCGGCTGATACTTCAGACGAGCAGATCGCACCGCTTACTACAACTCTGCGACGTGACGGTTCTCGCGTCTAATACTCAGTTGCCCATGGCCTTGTCCGTTCATGACCGTCTTGGTGCGAATGCAACGTCTCGCTTCACCTGATTGCCTCGTGTAGAGTCGCTTGCATCGTCACGAGCCACGACCCCGATGACTTGGGGCCCTCGCCTGAGTACCTGAGTACTTAAGGTAGGTAAGTTACTAACTAGGTAGGTACTTGGGCACATAGTATCTAGTAGATGGGCACTTACCTCCCTACCTACCTCTAAGTACCTACTTAGTAGGTAGGTACCTACCTAGGCACCTAGGTCTGTGGTTGTCAGTTCGAGGGACAGAATTGGTTTCAAAAGACGAGGCTTCCGCATCGCACGACATATAACATTTTCGAGCCCCTGTTCAAGACCAGCCATAGACATTCTTGTCGGCCAACGTCGAGTTGGAAATTGTTCAGCATTCCCGAAAGCTATTCCGGCCCCTTTCGAATAACCTTGCAAGACTCGTAGAGCTACTTGGCACAAGAGTACCTGGTAAAATGGTAACAAGACCATCATACCACCACCCACTACTCGGGGAAGGAGCTGCGTGGCTATCGTGGCTCGGAGACGACCATGAGGAAGGAGCTGCAGCATTGAAGTTGCATCTATCCACATCGCTCTCCCTCCTGCCATCACGCTGTCCTTTCTGTTCTTTGCTTGTCAAGTCATGGGCATCTCGAGAGCTATCTCTCCTTTTCTGAATCCTGCTCCCTGCCACTTGGGATTGCTGGAATCGACGTCTTGCAGCTTTGATGACCAAATCTACCAGCATCATCAACCCTTTTCACCTTTGGCATGCCACACAGCAAGTCATTTCCATCTCCTCGATTCAGAATCCGTCCCAGTGCCCCAGCTCGACCATCGCCTTGAATGGCAGACGACACCGGAATGACAGCTGCCTTGGCCCTTATAATCTAGGATCCAATCATGCATGCCCTATGGTGTTGCGGCCCCCGGAGACGCCGCGGCTCAGCTACCAACAAGATCAGCTTTACTTCCATATTCAGATCCTCAAATGCTTCAGCTGTGGACACGAGAAATTCTACTGGATCGAATAGGAAGTGCAAAGACGGGCATCCAAGCGACCAGATTTCTCCGTTTGAGGGCCCTGTAGAACTGTGCCGACTTGCTGGCACCAGCCCGAACCATGGCGGTCTCACTCCCAGTACGCGAACAAGCACATTTGAAGGGGTCAAGGCTAGAATAATAAAGCATTTGTCGCAGGATAGCGGGCCCAGACGACATTCTCGAGTCTCCATCGGACATAGCGACGAGGAGTTAGCAAGACGAGCCGAGGTGAGGCGGCTGCGACAAAAGCGAATTCAGGATGAGCTCAACAAGGATGATGACAATGATGGCCAGAGTAATGGGTCACATCAGAGCGCCCTATATCTCTCCACGCTGATTGATATGGGCAGTCCATGTAGTGGCCCGAGGGACACACTTGAGTTCTCATTTGATGACTGCGCGCTGCCCTCTCATCCTACTTCATCGGAACTTTCCTGCAACCAGTGTGCTTCGCCTAATCAAGAAAATCGCCAACAAGACGCAGCTAATGATGCACCATCTACCGGTCGCGAATGTGACACCCCGCTTGATACACAGTCCAATGCGGGCGAAATGTTTTGTCATTCTCGCCCTATTCGCGGTCCGCTGCCAGAGAGGAGATGCGTCTCTATGGTTTCAATATCCCCTCGGCCATCTAGTTGCCAGCCTGGCTCTCCTCGTCTTGACAGAATCATTGGTCCGGACAATGAATTCAATATTCGGCATGGATCCCATGCCTGGGATGACCAATCTGCACTGGGTATATGGCTAATTGCCCAAGGCATGAAACCAGCCGGCAACCACGTACCTCAATCCGAGAATACACCCAGAGATACAAAGTCCGCCCAATACAACGTCTGCTTGCCAACTGAAGGGCCGAGTGGCGTCGATACCATACTGGAGTCATCATTTTCTATCCTTGACAGAGTGAACACTGCTGGGTCTCCCCTTCCAATCCACATCGAAGAGACGCACGAGGGTCCAGTCCATCCCGCATCTGTGAATTCGGAAGAATCAGACACAGATGAACTGCCAGGTTCGGAAACTGGTACCAAGTTAAGCGCCAAATCCCTGGATTCAAATCCGGCAGTCAACAATGGGTCCTCGAATTACCAATCTAAATTGCCTAGTTTTGATCCTAGTCCGTCGGGATCGGGATCAGAATCACACGGATACGTGCTCAGCCAGAGAGATTTGGATAACCTTGAGCTTTCACCTGTTCATTGTATGTTGAAGATTAAACACTGGCAGGATTCTGACTGACCTTGGGCGCAAGGGTGTGGAAATCTGTCGACTTGGAAAGGCCTGGGGCACTCTGAAGGCCAAAGTTCCTATACAACCGCAGAAGAGGAGCCACCGCAACAACTACCAGAGGATATCAATGTTTCCGAACTACGAAGGAGCCATACACATCATTCGAGCCAGGCCGTGGATGACGTGGCATATCCTCGCAAAGCCAATTCACAGGAACCGCTGCCAGGGCTGTGTCCCAGTATACGCACCAGAAACCGACCTCACGAGGATTTTGAAAATGAACCGATTCAAACGCCCGTTCGAAAATCATTCAGAGAAAGGCTACAACAATCTTTATCACACATCTCGAAGCTGAGCTCTAGTAGCTGTAATAGTTCTGTTAAAATTTCTGGCCTCAAACCTGATGAAGTTGGTCGCGTCAGCTCAGTCAACCGCAATAGCTGGCATAGTTTCACCAATCGCTCTCCGCACGACAAAACAGCATCTACGATACAGGCTCAGCACCGGTTCGCACAACCAAAAAAACGACATCATGGGTAACAGACCGATTGATTGAGAGCTGTGGCGCCACCAACTACAAGTCGTCGCCTATGGTAGCCAGGCAATAATGCCGAAAGACTCGTCCTTATGAGACATAGGTCGCCCAAAAAAACGAAAAAAAAAAACGATAAAAAAACCCCCCACCATTCATTCCACAATCGCTGAAGATCGCCCCGAGCGGTCATCTCATCTTAAAACGTCTATGGACGAGGCTGCTGCGCGGTTTAAATATGCAGAACCACTTCCCAGGCAGAAATTGTATCACATATAGCAAACTCCGTTATCATCCATGTACTCGAGTGATAGTTGTAAGGTCATCTTAGTTCCCTTGCTGCATCGACTAGCTAGAGTAATTAATCACCCATTAAGCCCGTTTTCTGTGTTGATTCTGTAGTCTCCAACGCCAGCGTTGGCAAATATCGTAGCCACCCAACAAAACCTCGAACAAGCTGTATTCCTACTTTTTCTTCATCAACAACATGTCGTCGTCATCCCGTAGACACATGAGACGATTCAGATACATGGTCTCATCAAACGTCGTCAGTCCCGTTGGCCACTTTACCACTGTCCAAGCGCCTCTGTTCCTCCTTGCGCAACAGGTCCTCCTTTTCCCGTCGCAGGGCAATACAGAACGGCGACTTGTTCCTGATAGCCTGTCCCTTGCACAAGAATACGAACGGAATCACGCTCATGGCAGCACTGAGCCCCCCCAAGACGGCACACGCACCAGACACACCGAGCTGATTGAACATGGCTTTTGTGGCCAAGGGCAAGACGACCGCCAGGCAGGAGCGCGTCGCGGAGGCGGCAGCATTTGCCGAGGCAGCGTAGACCTCGTACGCGTCGGTAAGGTAGTTCAACAAGGTCATGAAGATGAGCTGGAAGCCCATGCCGAAGGGGAGGCCCGCGAGCATGGGCACCACAAAGGATATGCCCGGCCTTGTGGTGAAGCCCAGCCAGAAGAGGGATATGACGAACAGCGGGCCGCCGACGGTGGCGAGCGGCACACGGCGGTATTCCTCGCTGGCGGGCCACGCCGCGCCGCGGGAAGAGGCGCGAGCGACGTAGGCATCCCAGCACCAGAAGCAGACCATGCTCAGGAAGGCGCCTGCCCCGATCGGCAGGTAGCAGAGTCCCGTGATGCCGGGGGGCAGGGCGTAGTGGTAGCTGAAGATGATGGGGAAGGCCTGGAAGGACATGTAGAAGATGGCGTAGGCGAGGGCGAGGTAGGAGCATGTCGTGGCGACGATGGGCTCGAAGAAGAGCATGCGGAGGGGCCTGGTGAGCACCTTGCTGACAAGCTGGGGGAGGTCGATGGTTTCGAGGTCGCGGGGGGCGACGATGGTGACGGACTGGCTTTGCTGGCGGAGCCTCTTGGCGCGGCGGGCGAGCAGGACCTGGTGATGGGTCTCTGGGAGGAAGAGGAGCATTATGAAGGTGAGGGCGGCGTAGAGAAGGGCAATCCAGAAGGCCCAGCGCCAGCCGATGGTCGGGGCCACGAATCCTGATACTATTGGGCCGAAGATGGGACCGAAGACGGTTGTCTGGCACGGGGTCAGCTTCTGATGTGAGCCGTAGGACGGCGCACTTTGATTTCCTTTCTGAGGGGAAGGGGGCGGGCAAGGACGCACGACTAAGAAGGCGGAATATGCTTTGCCTCGCACGCGAGCGTCGCCGTATATATCTGCCAGTATACCGGCTACCACGGCTATGGGCGCGCTGGCAAAGATGCCGCTGCAGAGCCGAAACGCCAGCAACGACGACCATGACGGTGACAGGGCGGAAGCCATGGTGAAGATGGAAAAGGCGAGGAACGTCACGGTGGTGAGGTGCTTTCTGCCAAACTGTTCGCTAAGCGGCGCCCAGACGACGGGACCAAAGACATAGCCGAGGAGGAAGACGGAGATGGGGAGGACTTGCTGCTCCTGCGAGACGCTGCCGAATTCGCCGATGATCTGGGGGATGATCATGGAGGGGAGGGCCGAGCTCATGGTTGAATTAGTGACGAGCATACATGTCAGGGTGAGGATGTAGGTCTTTTTGAACTATGGACATGTTAGATTAGCATTGTTGATCCGGATGGATACGGGGGTCATTTACAAACGACCAGTGATGCGGATTCTCGGCGTCGTTGACGTCCCAACTGATGACAGTATAGTTCCGGTCGCCTCTGCCTGCCGGTCCAGGAGCGTCAAGGGGGTTCGGATCTTGGATTCCGCCATTGTGGACGCTTTGTCGTCGAAGCTCAACCTCTTCGGGCCCGCCTGTGCTGCCGGTTCCGGGGCTTCCCAGTTTGTTTCCTGCTGCGGTCAAGTAAGCATCCCATGATACTGTAGCCTCATACTTGTAACGGTACGGTGCCTGAGAGAGGAACAAGACATACCACTCGCCAGAATGGGGGTACTAGTCGGCATCTGATTAGAATTGCTTGCAGACATAATGCCCAAGGCAGGACGACTTGCAAGAGACGCTGTTATTGCCTCACAAGAGTACATAATAGAAATGTCTTCCTCACAGTCGGGGAGACGGATTGGGCTTCAACGACTGGGGTAATACAGGTTCATCGCTACGCATGTAGCCTGGAGCACCGGGACATTATACATAATTGTACCTGAGTTTCGTGCAATGAAACGTTTGCACCGTACCTACTTGGGATGTGAGATGTCTTGGGGGCAGGATCATCTCTCTGCTCGCATTTCTCGTCTCCATACGTGGTATCAAGTTCGCAACACACCTAGTGTTGGCATGATCTCCCTTACCGGGTGGCCGAGGTCGCATTTCGGCCATTTTGCTCCAGACAGAGTCCGCGGCCACTGCATCTTGGTCAAGTTCCGGTGCTGTGAATGGCTGGCTCGGCTCTTTGAAAGCTCTTTGGGCCTTCGCTGGCCTGCATGGTTCTCACAGGGTTAACTGAGGTTACCCAAATTTGTAAGACATGGGGCAGTGACAAAAATGCAGCCACCACATCTTGGTACCCCTTCACGGTTGGGGGTCTGTTCGACCTGTCTTTAATATTTCTCCGACGGTGCAGTTGGAACCAAACATTCCTAGCCTAGTGACATTTGGTTAGCCGAACTCGGATGTCCTCGTCATGACGCTCCCCAACGCTCGTGGACACACGAGTCTCACACGAGTCCCAAATCTCGATGTCAGAGTCAAGTTTTGGAAGCATCTTCGTTTGCGGAGGGGCTGACCGGAGCGCGAGTGGTTACACATGTGCATGTTTGGAAAAAACAGGGCGTGCCATTGTAATTTGGTTTTTTTTTCTTCTTCTTTCTGAAAATCTTCGCTTATACTTCGAGGTTGATTTGCTTCCCGAATCTGGCGTACAATTCGACTTTGAGTTGTTGCATATCCTCGCGCAACGAGCCGACCTTGTCTTCCAGCTCACTCGCCTCCTCCTCAATTTTCGTCGTAGCTGTCTCCAACATGTCCCGGGCTTGTTCTAGTGGGATATGAAAAAAAGCATCGCCGATTTTGTATCTGTGAAATCATTTCATCTATGAGCGCGTGAACGGGGGTGGTAAGGACGGACACGATGTAACGGTTGGCGTACTGAATTTTTTCATCTTCATCTGCTAGCTCCAATTCTGTCGCCAGGTCATCGAGTTCCTCTTTCTCTTTCTACACGAGGCCCAGTAGGTCAGTGTCTCGCCGCTGTCCACATGGGCACAAGGGTCGGGGTCGGGTCTCTCCGATGGTCCTCACATTCTTCAACTTGAGTTCTTCCTCCATGGCCACCTCTCTCTGATGCAGCCGGCTAAACTTGTTGATTTTATCCTGGTCCTCCCTGCGAACCTCGACTTCGTCGGCGGCCTGCTCGTCCTCCTTGGAGAGCTACGGATGTCGGTCAGTGGCACGTCAGTCTTATGAGAGCGGAGCCACAGTGGCGAGACTGGAACTGGGCCTTACCATTCGCCTCTGCATTATGGAAGCCATTGAAGACGGCACGAGCTGGCCGCGTAGAGCTTCTCGATTTCAACCAGATACCAGGCCGACAATGTTGACGCCTCTTGACGCTGTGTCGGAACAGGAGCTGTCATTTATCGAGAGCAACCTCGCCGGATCGCGTGGTGGAGCACTGTGTGTCTACGCGACCATGTTTGTAGCTCGCACTGTCCCGTCATCCCTGCCGATTGGCCGCCCCACGCTCTCGGAAGATCGCAGCCACGGGCCACCATCGCGCAGTCAGCAGTTGAGAAGCCGCTTTCTCGCAACACGCAACGCATTGGCGGCGACATCACTCAAGCCAAAAGTCCACGGCCATGGCTCTGGGTAAAAAGGCATATCCGAGGGCGACCGTCAAGAAGATCATCAAGGCACACTCGAACATGAATGTCAAGAAGAATGCAGATGTCACGGTGAGCAACGCGCGTCGAGACTGTTCGCCTGCGTTAGTTACTAAGAGAGTGTAGATATTCTTGAACTACGTCCTTTTCATGGAAACGTGCGCACAGCCCGACTGTTCCAACGTTGCATAAACTAACAGCGTTGCTAGACTTGTCAAAGAAGCAGCCATCTACGCCAAGCAGTCTGGCGAGCGCGGCTTGACTGCAAGAAGTGTAAACAAGGTGACGCGGGTACGTTGGCAGCTTGTTCAGTCCGAAATCATCGTCAACCCCTGCATGACTAACTGTGTTGCAGGACACGCTGGCCAAGTTTAAGGGCTGAGATGTTTGCAGCCGAGTTTTCTCTGATGACTTGCTTCGCTACTTGGACCTGCCGGGGCGTAGCAAAGCTGCAGAGAGCCATGCAAGCAAGCGAACGGGAGAAAAAGTAAATCGGCGCCAATGAAGTAGAAGCAGGGCACGCCTGGTCGCCGCAACTGACGCTGACATGCGACAAATGACGGACAGACAAGTATTGCGTGATTGGAGCGGTCTACGAGTCGTCTGCAAAGGTGGCCTGCGGCGTGGGCAGGCGGGCCGATTCATCAGCGCTGAGTGAATGGAGATGGGTTTGGAAGCGGACTCGACGGAGGCCAAGGATGAACAAGGGCACGAGACCAAAGTGTCATGGCAAACAAACGGCCCTTCCCGACTGTAGAACACGGAGCAGCCGTCAAGTTGTGAACACGAACGGATAACGGTGGAGAGGCCAATTGAATTGCGCCTGCACAACGTCGGCCTCTCAACAGATGCAGCTGAGAACTGGGCCGGGCGTTGGCCAGTGGTGCACAGTTCAACGCGTGATTCTTTCTCTCTGGTTCTAGAACCGAACATGTCACGGCTCACGACCCGGAGGAGCCAAGCAGCCTCGCACTGCTCAGGCCCAGGGGTTGGCGGTTGGCGGTTGGCGGTTGGCGTTTGTGGTCCCGCAGACTCGAGCTCAGGCTCCAAACGGCCCGCCAACCCTGACAGACCAACCAACCTCCACATGACACTCGTCCGTCGTCGTCGTCGTCGTCGTCGTCGTCTTTTCTTTGCCTGACCGTCATCCGCCATCCAAACACTTCTTGTTATCTATCCCCTGTAGCCTCTCAATCTCGCGCCTCCCCTGTTACTTGGCATCTCGTCCACGTTCAGACGTCCAGCTAAACGCTCCGCATCAACCGCAGTAAGATATCGACAGCTCAAGCATCGTCCTTGTCCACCACGCCCACGTGAGCTCCTTGCGACAACTCGCCGATCCCGAACCCATCTTCGCAGCGCGCCAAACCTTTCAGAAATGCCTGCACCCGCAACTCAATCAGCCCCCAAGGGATCCAAGAAGAAGACCACTGGTGCAGTTCGGCGTGCTGAATCGCCTGCTCCCAGCTTTGGGTCCGGTGCCGCGGCCGATTCGCAGGACGAGGTTTTCGAGAGTCCTTATATCAAGGAGCTGCACAAGTATGCGTCTCTCCGAAAGGGGGTGGTTTGCACACTGCAGTACTAACAAATTTTTTTATTCAGGAACATTCGCAACCTCAACAAAAAAATTGTGAGTGGCTTGTCCTCGGAACTATTCATCTTCATTCTGCTTAGCGTCCTGCCCTTCGTTGGGCTAAGCCTAAGCCATCTGCTTCAAAACTGACCCGCCGTCTCCCAGACCAATGCCTCAAAGACGGACTCTCTTCTGAGCCAGAGCCAGTACGCCGGCAAAACCCTTGACGAATTGGTCCACTCAAAGGTCATCAACCCGGATCAAAGGGCCCAGATTCTCAAAAAGCCTGATCTCCAGGCCCAGGTTGCCCGGGCCGAGGAGCAGCTCGCGCAGTACCAAAAGGTCCACGAACAATACCGCTCACGAGCCGCAAACGAAAAGGCCGAGTGGGAAAAGTCGCTGGAGAAGGCCAAGGCAGACGCTGTCAGCGAAGCCGAGGCGAGCTTCCAGAAATCCGTCAAGAGTAACCTTCTTGTCCTGTCTCAGTTCCTGCGCCTCGCCGCCTACCGTCGTGAGGAAGCTGCCGATGCCGATTCAGACGAAAGCCAGGCCATCGAGGGTGTTCTTTTGGCAGTATATGCCGGAGACGACTCTGCTGTTGCATCAATGTTAAAGCTCCTGGACGGCACCGAAGACAAGATTTTCAGTGTGCCAGGAGAGCAGTTGCAGACTACTTGTAATTATTCCCCTCAATAGCCGCCCCCTCCCTTGATTTTAAATCATGTTAATCTCTGACTTGACATAGACTCTGTCGTCAAGGCCCTTGCTCAAGAATACAAGGCTCCTGTATACAATGAGGGGCCAACCGAAGGAGAGGCTACCGCCGAGGTGGTCACTGACGACCCGACCGTGGCACGCGTTGCGGCCACTGAGATTGCAAGCACCGACATCCCTGCTTCACCTGAAGAGAAGAAGATGGAGGCGAGCAATGGGTATGCTGATGCCAGTATATCCGCTGATAGCGCCGATGCCGTGGCGGAGAGTCACTGGGACACCGAGGCCGGTCTTTCTGCCTCACAGGAGTGGATTGACGTGAAGATACCGCGAGACCCGTCCGAGACTGACACTGGTCTCACTGCTACGCCAGCTGCGTCTGCCAATACGCAGTCATGGGCAGACGAGCAACCTGAGCCTGCTAAGCTTGTGAGTAATGGCAAAATTTCGAAGCCAGACATTTGGTACGATAAAAGCAATAAAACATCTAACACGAGCTTATAGTCTGACAGCAATGATGGATTCCATCAGGTCCAACGTAACAAGGGTCGCCAGGAGCGCGAAGGAAATGGCAATTGGCGTGGTCGGGGTGGCCACCGTGGTGAACATCGCGGGCGTGCCGGTCACCGTGGTGAAGGCCGTGGGCGTGGTCGAGGACGTGGTGGGATGCAGTCTCGATCGCGTCGAAACGAAGAGTCCTAGGGTACATTCCTGGGATGCTTGATTCAAACCATGATGAGTATGCTTTCACGGCAGCTCTCACGGGGAACGAAATGTACATTATGTCATGGTGGCGTTCAGCAGGTTTTGGGCTGGTCTCAGGGGAACAGCACGGCGGACTTTGGGAACTGCATTGCATCGCATGGCACTGATCTTTCTGAGTGATTTGGCCTCTACAAGTTGTATTCTGGTGGAATGGTAGATCTGGCGTGGTGGGCGTTGAGCCTCGAATTGGTGACTTTGAGATGCGGAGGCAGGAAGGGAGGAGTTGGTTGGAAGGAAGGACGTGTATTGACAGGAGACATCAAATGCACACATGCGAGGGTGAAGGACGCGAACCAGTTTCATATTACTCCGTAACTTACATTACTATTTTGTTATGTGACCGCTGGGTGCGAAGTCGCCGCCAGGCGATGGATGGATTCCAAGTTTGAAGTTACGGGCCCAGTCTTTGTTGCATGTGGCCCGAGCGCTGATTGGTCTGGGCAGGGGTAGCCTCTGAGATGGCGACCAATGGCTGGCTGCAACGGTGTCCTCTTTTCTCTTTGACCCACCAGAGCTGCCAACTTGAGGTCGTCTCTAGATTTATTATTATTCATGATACAGAGGACACATCAACCTTCATCCGAGCCAAATCTCGACAGGCTTCGCAGAGTTGGCCAGCCCACTCCCTTTCGCTTCTTCTTTCTTGACCGAGACCCGGCCTTGCTCATCGTATCTGAAGAGTCGCCTTTTCTGTTCTTTATTCGCACGGGGCCTTTTTTCGTGTCTCTTCCAGCCCTCGACCACACCGCGCTGGTGCTCGTCTCAGTCACATCACCGCACACGTCTTAATGCTCCATTGAACGACTGCACTTCCCACAATCAACCGCCATGGCAAATGCGCGGCCATCACCTCTAGTGGTGCTTCTTGGAGCCGTCTTGTTTTTCTCGGCCAATGTCTTTGCTGTGGCCGCCGTCCTCGGTGTTGATCTTGGAACCCAGAACATCAAAGCCACCCTTGTGAGGCCGGGCAGACCCCTCGAGATTGTCCTGACCAAAGATGCCCGCCGGAAGGAGACCTCTGCCGTCGCATTTACGCCATCCAGTAGCGGCCCCAAGGCTGACCGGTCCCCTAAACGACTCTACGGTGCGGATGCGATGGCTGTCGCCGCTCGCTTCCCCGACGAAGTCTACCCGAACCTGAAGACGCTCCTCGGCCTTCCCATCGACGATGCCTCCGTGAAGGAATATGCAGCGCGTCACCCGGCCTTGCAGCTGCAGGCTCATAGCAGCCGAGGCACGGTTGCTTTCAAAAACAAGATGTACGGAGATGACTGGTTGGTCGAAGAAATATTGTCCATGGAACTCTCCAACGTCCAAAAAAACGCCGAGGCGGCAGCCGGTAATGGGCTCTCTGTGCAATCCGTCGTCATCACTGTTCCTCCTTTTTACACTGTCGAGGAGAAGCGTGCTGTTCAGCTAGCCGCCGAACTCGCCGGCCTCAAGGTCTTGAGCTTAATCAGCGACGGTTTGGCTGTTGGTTTGCACTACGCTACTAGCCGCCAGTTCCCCAACGTCAACGCTGGCGAGAAACCCGAATACCACATGGTCTTTGACATGGGTGCAGGCTCTACCAGCGCTTCCGTTCTGCGCTTCCAAAGCCGCACCGTCAAAGACGTCGGAAAATCCAACAAGACTGTCCAGGAGGTCCAGGTTCTTGGCGGCGGCTGGGACAAGGCTCTTGGTGGTGACTCACTCAACCACCTGATAGTGGATGACATGATCTCACAGTTTGTCGAGACCAAGGGAGCAAAGAGCATTCCTGTCACGGCTCAGGCTGTCCGATCTCACGGACGAACAATGGCCAAGCTGGCCAAAGAAGCTGAGCGGCAGCGACTCCTTCTCAGCGCCAATCAAGACGCTGCGACCAGCTTTGAGCAGCTCTTTGAAGGTGTCGACTTCAAGTACAAGACTACGCGCGCCGCTTTTGAGACCATGGCTGAGACTCACGCTGAGAGAATTGAAGCCGTCGTCAACGACGCCGTAAAGATGTCTGGTATTGAACCGAGCGACCTGACTTCCATCCTCTTACATGGAGGTGCTACTCACACTCCGTTTGTTCAGAAGGCTCTCGGAAAAATAGTCGGCTCCGCTGACAAGGTTCGTTCCAGTGTCAATTCTGATGAAGCTGCGGTGTTTGGTGCAGGATTCCGCGCCGCCGAGCTGAGTCCTAGCTTTCGAGTAAAGGAGATCAGAATCTCCGAGGGCTCCATGTACGCTGCCGGTCTGAAGCGTGCTAGCGGTGAGAAGCGACAGCGTGTGTGGACCGCGACCTCACCTTTGGGTGACACAAAGGAAATCACCTTTACCAACCACAATGACCTCGCACTTTCTTTCTACCAACAAGTTGGTGACGACGACAGAGACATTGCCTCCTTGTCGACCAAGAATCTGACTGCTACTGTGGCCGCCATCAAGGAGAAATACCCCTCGTGCGCGGAGTCGGAAATTGTGTTCAAGCTTGGCGTCAAGTTACGTGCCGAAAATGGGGAGATTGAAGTTGCCAGGGCAGCTGTGGAATGCGAAGCTGAAGTCACCGTCAAGGAACGTATTGTCGATGGCGTCAAAAATCTGTTTGGTCTCGGAAAGAAGGATCAGAAGCCTCTCAAGGACGATGACAAGACTGCCGATTCTAAAGGGTCTGAGAGCTCTGAGGAGGCCAAGTCGTCCAGCTCATCTTCCACGGTTTCCGGAGCTACCGAATCAGCTGCTCCAACCGAGGAAGTCAAGGAGGTCAAGAAGAAACAAATGGTTTCCATTCCTGTTGAAGTTGTTTTAGAGAAGGCGGGCGTTCCCGCACTGACCAAGTCGGAGCGGATCAAGATCAGGGATAGACTCAAAGCATTTGCAGCTTCTGACAAGGCTAGGCTCGAGCGCGAGGAGACGCGCAACCAGCTTGAAACCTACGCTTACGAGGCCCGGCAACTCCTGGAGGAAGAAGCCTTTATCGGGGCCTCGACAGAGAAGGAGCGCGCTGACTTGGCCAAGCAATCCAGCGTAATCGGCGAGTGGTTGTATGAAGATGGAGTCGACGCTACCACTGAAGTGTTCAAAGCCAAGCTGAAGACTCTTGAAGATATTGTCTTGCCTGTACAGTCCAGAATCGACGAGGCCGCACAGCGACCCAAGAGGATCGTTGCCCTAAAGGAGTCCATCAAGCGCATTAGTGAGTACTTGGACTCGGTGCACAAGCAAATCGCAGAGTATGAGGCGTGGGAGGCGACGGCTGATTCCGCCAGCACCAGCGAACCATCAACATCAACGACCTCGGCCCCGGCAGAGAGCCCGACGGGCGAGTTTGATGGCCTAGAGGACGACGACGCCAAGGACGCCGGCAAGGAAGCCAACAAGGACGGCAAGCGCGAGGAGCAGCCTGGCCCCAATCCACCTCTTTTTGAGAGAGAAGATCTCAAGGACTTGGAGACACTTGTCAAAACCACGAAAGATTGGCTCAGTGAAATGCAGCCTAAGCAAGAGAAACTGCCCCCTACTGCAAATCCTGTACTCCTTGTCAAGGACATCTCCGAGAAAATCCAGAAACTTGACAAAGTCAGCATGGATCTGGCTATGAAGGGAACCAAACGCTTTGGACCCAAGGCCAAGAAGGCGGCACATAAGCTTAAGAAGATGAAGTCAAAGAAGGGCGAAGGCGCAGAAGACTCCAAGGACCAGCGTATGACGGAAGAGCAACTCGAGGAATTGATGGAGAAAATCAAGGCCATGGAGAAGGAGAAACAAGCCGAGAAAACGGAGAAGGGCAAGGAGACGGACGAGAAGGCCGGGCATGACGAACTGTAGACGATGGACGGTATCTTGAGTCGCTACGGTTGAGATGTACATTTGTTTCCAAGACAAGAAAAAAAAGCTGAGAATCATTCGAATAGACCATGCAGGAATATATATGCTTTACTCCTATTAGGCTGCTGAACAGCAGGAGAAGCATGCGAACACAATCGTCTCGTTGCCGTTGGAAGCCCAGCCGATGGCATGACCAAGTGACACACATGGGAGAATACTCGTATTCTCGTCATACAAGGAGGGCAATGCAATGCCAATCTTGCGGACCGAGTCCAAGACGTCTCGAACACTCCAGTTGACTCTGTTTGGAAGGGCACTAACACGGCTCAACTGCGTGCGAATGGATGTTTCCTCGTCTGCTTGACACCAGTAACAAGTGCTCGCTGACTACGAAGCGAATCGAAAAGCAATCGATGGGTCCTCCCCGTTGCAGGCCGACAGAGACAGCAGGAGCACCCGGGCCATGCATGGTTGAACGTAAACAAGAGAGAGCAAGCGATAATTGTTTCCAAGGAGACGGCGGGACGGTCGGCGCAAACGGCAGGAGCAAAAGGATCACGCACAGCTGGTGGCAGGTGCCAAGTGAGCGTATAAATAAGTCGGCAGACATTTCCGCCCACCCTCGTCAGTCCTTCACTTTTCCCATTCTTTCTACTTCTTTTTCTTGCTCGCCCGGCATAGTTACACGCTGTCTTTTGGTACATTTTGGGGCCCGTTAAACCGGAAAATGCGGACGCATCTTGTTCTCTCGGCTGCATTTGTCGCCGCGTCTCTTGGTGCCGCGGTGCCTTTGAAGAACAACGGGTCAGGCCACTTCTCGTTGATTGCCAAGGCTAGGCCTCGGGGGAGCCGAGACTTTCTGAGGGACTGGAAAGCCGCCCACCGTCGTTGGGGGAAGAAGCACCTTTTGCCGGCGTCCAAGGCGACTTTGGACGGAGGTTGGTTCAGCCCAGCCCTGCAGCATCGTTGGTGTGTGAGCATGGCTAAACTCGTGGTAGAGGCAAGTGTCACGGCCGAGCCTTTGCTTCGTGACCAAGCCTATGTCATGGACGTTGAGTTTGGAACCCCGGCTCAGAAGCTGAAGATGATGTTCGACACTGGATCCTCAGACCTGTAAGATGCGTCTCGACTCGAACAGGGCAGACCGTCCCGCCTCGTTTTATGGCTAACCGTCACAGCTGGGTCAAGTCTACAGATACAATATACTCGACCCACAAGGAAGGACCCCGGCCGCCTCAATACGCGCCAGGCAATTCCAGCACGTCCACCCTCGTTGACAAGGCCAAGTGGAGTATTCAATACTGTGAGTGATTGCATTGATGTGCAGGCCACGGCGTAGCTGACACTGGGCGTACAGTGGACAATTCTGCGGCGAGTGGCATCGTATATCGTGACACGCTCAGGCTGGGCGACTTCGAAATACGGAATGTCCCCGTTGAATCAGCCCTGACGATGAGCCCCGAGCTCGAAGAGGAAACCAGCGTCAGCGGCATCATGGGACTGGCAAAGCAGCTACCCAACAACATTTCGCCTCCCACTGCGTCATTTCTCTCCCTGCTCCGGTCTCAGCTCAAGGCTCCCGTGTTTACAGTCGACCTGCGCCGAAACGCAACCAGCCGCTTTGACTTTGGGTATATCAACGAGTCCATGGCCACAGAAAACATCACATGGCTAGATTCCAATCCACTCAGCGACCACTGGGAGGTTGAACTAGATCGCACTGCCTGGCTGGGCAAAAGCTTCACGTGGGTGTACCACAAGTTTCAGGCCACCGTCGACACCGGCACGTCCCTCTTGTTCTTGCCGGAGCCCCTGGCCAGAAGATACTGGGCAGCTGTCCCCAGTGCTAAGAAAGACGAGTTATTTGACGCATACGCGTTCTCCTGCAAGTATTCGGAAAAGCTCCCGGATCTCCTATTCAAACTTCCAAAAAGTGAGCATCTTATTCGTATACCAGGCAGATATCTCAACTATGGCCCGCTCGAATCAGAGCCCTCTATTTGCTGGGGCGGCATGCAAAGCGACCTTGACCTGAGTGCGACGATTCTGGGTGATGTGATGCTCAAGGCATTATTTGTCGCCTTTGACGTTGACAAGAACAGGGTCGGCTTTGCCAATAAGGTCCTTCACGATGTGTTGTAGCTAAGGCATACACACGTGCACGAGCACGTTGTGCGCTGTTGCAAACAGCTTTGCCTGCGCAGCTTTTGTCCTGTCTTTTTTTTTTCGTCTTGTCCGTCTTGCTGTCTCTTTTCTTTTTTTTCTCTGCCCTTTCTTGGAATTGGCGGGCTATATCGGATAGGTCCTAGAACTGGAAGCAGTCAATAGCATAATATACCTATTCCTGTTATTATCAAGCAAATGTTATCAATGTCTCGCATCGCGATGTATTTATTGTGGGCCGCCGTACCATGGCCAGACACGTGGCGTAGAAAAGTTAGTCCTTTACCTGCCAATACAAGCAGTGACTTCCCAAGACTACTCAAGTATGAATCTTGTACTAGGTAGGACATGGACACGGCAGGCATGCGAAACGAGCTCATGGTGACACTTGTCGTCACGGCATGCCACACAGGTGGGCGATACGGGGGGCGCGCATGGCTCGTCCAAATCACGAAAAGCACATGATGGGTAGCGACGAGGGAAACGGACATTGAAGCATAGCCTTTATGCTCTTGGTAATATTACAAGGTCGCACTTCTCTGGCTCAGCCCCTCGTTGACCAGGCTGAGAAGCATCTAGAATTACCGCCCCTTTCGCGCCGCTCTGGCAGGGCCCTCGCCATGTTTCCCATTCTCTTCCCGTCACCTCACTGGGCCTTTCCCAATGGTCCGTCCCAACGTCTCCGCGTCACACCAAGAACACGAAGGAATTTTTTTTTAACAAAAAAAAAAAACAAGCATCCCCAGCTACATATTAAAAAAAGACTTGCAATGGCCATGGTTGTGCACTTGATCAGGCCTGCCAACTGGGGTGGGCATACTGGTAAAAGTAACGGATATCTCGAGAGGAAGTTGATTTTATAAAAAGGGGAAAAAAACAAAGACAACAAGCACAATGAATCAGTCATCTGTACTTGCCAGATAGTTCAAGTTGCACGGGAACAGTCCGTTTCCGTCAAAGCCGTTTAAACGCCAGCGATAATTTCGTCCAGAAACAAGTGACGAAATCAAGAAAAAAAAATCATCATGGAGCAGCAGTATAATGATTGGGCACCCGTGGTGTCCGTACCCATGCATAAAAAGAAGCATTCGAAGTGTGTGGTCCTCTGCATGATGCCCGCCAAGATGAGGCCGGGCCTGCATGCGGCTTGTTGAAGATGAGCCCCATGACTTAGTCACACAGCAGAATCATGAGACTGGATTCGTCTGTGGCTGGCCGCTTCTTCTTGGGTGTACCGTGCCTGGAAACCAAGCAGCCGATCCGCGCCCCCTGACCAACAGCTAAATAGCCGGGCAAGAACGAGTCCCAGAGAACAGAGACCGAGGCTGTGTTGTCTTACTGCTCGGCATCACCGTCTGTCGTCGGGGCCAAAAGAAAAAGGGAGCAAGTCAGCGAAGGGGGTCATGCAGATGGGCCCGAGCCACGAGACGATAATCACCTTCACTGGCCCCCGGGGTTGGAGGCATGTTGCCAGAACTGGGTGCTTGCTTGGGAGCCCGAGCTGTGCCCGGCCGCGATTTGTTTTCATCCCGCGAGGGTGCAGATGTGGGAGCGATGTTTGAAGATTGTTGAGATGGCCGCGCGGGCTTGGCCCCCTGATTGCGATTGAGACGGTCCTCCATTTCGCGGATACGGGCTTCGAGGTCGGCAAGCTCCTGGTTATTCTTGCCCACGGTTTCGCGTCTGAGGACCAAAGGGTGTCAGGGGGGGACGCGTCTGGACAAGGGAGCCAAGTAGCGGACGTGAGGATGACAAACCTTTGAGAAACTTGCTGATCGAGGTCAGAAACGGAATTGTCGATGCGAAAGATGTCCATGAGCTCCTGGGAGAAAGAACGTGCCACAGTCCTAAAGCCCCGGATGGAGAGTTAGCTTCCGTGCATGTGAGCCCGGGAGGGAGGGAATAGATAGGAGAGCTCGCGTCGTTGCACGTCCCCCCCGTCAGGGTGCAATCATGCCAATTAGGAGTGTAGAGATAGACGTACGATAGGGGTCGGCGACCGTTGGGGACCCAGTCGCGATCGAGCTCAGCGTCAGTCATTGTGAAGATGGAGTGGTGCCACAGCTGGTGCTGATAATACTGGAGAGAAGGTCGAGTCGAGGCGGGCCGGTGCGAGTCCGAGGCGGTTGAAACGATGAGCGGTCAACGGTCTTGGTAGCGGTGGCGGTAGTGATAAAGAAGCAGGAAAAAAAAAAAAAAGAGGCGGCAACGCTGCGGTATAACGGTGTACAGCGGAAAATGGGGGAATTGGAAATGGGAAATTGGAGACAAACAGGCGAGCGAGCAAGAGGCGAAGGTGTTGTAAGATTTGGCGAGACGGAAGCCGGAAAGAAGAAGGAGTGAAGAAAGGGAACACGAGGCAGGAGATATAGGAAGACAGGGGACTGGCACTGGGACTCGGGGACCTCTGAGTCCAAGTAGGCACTCCGTAAGTACTTCGATATAAGTACCTACCTACCTCTTAAACTTGTCTAGGTACTTATACTTGAGTACCTAGGTACTTGGTCTAAGTACCTAACTTAAGCAGGTATTCCATCCACCACCTGCTGCAGCCCCGTCATGCCACGGCTTGGAAGCGGCTGACATTGACACTTACTGATTGACAAACCCTATAATGTCAGGGCAAACGCCTTCAGGGGCCTCCCTTTCCAGGGCAAGCAGCGAAGCGCAGCGCAGGCGCGCGCGCGTAGACTCAAGGTTGTCACGGAGTGCTCCGCATGTGCTCCGTAATAACTCAAGAGCACAGGAACGCTGAGCGGTGCACCTCCCCTCGCACTGTGCGCGCGCGTCGGACCGTGTGCGCGCGCGTAAAATAGGGGCAGCAACCTGCACTGTACGGGGTCCTCCGTACAAGCAGCACAATGCCTGCGCCCCCTGCCCCCCTGCCCCCATGCCCTATGCCGTGGGCCACGGCCCCTATCGCCAAGCCCACCCAGCCGGGGAATAAACTTCAGCACGCCGGCTACAAGCAGCCAATTATCATGAGCTGCCCACCACTTCCCTCTGTCGTCATTCGCGCACCACCGCTCTTCGCCTCAGGAACCGCCTGACCGCCGCCCGACCGCCCGCCAACCGCCCGATCCCCCTCCCCTCCCGCTTCACATTGAACGCTGCAGGAACATCAACCATCAGCCATCAGCCATCAACCGTCAACCGTCAACCGTCAACCGTCAACCCCGCGCCAGTGCTACCCTGCCTGTTACATAATACCCGACCGCGCCCGCTCTCTCCCCCCAAACTCCCAGACGACATTTGAACACCCAATAAATAGCTACTTAATACCTTTCAATGTTCCAACCAGACTCTTCCTCACGCTGCACTGAATTGCTATTTGCCCACCAAGTCCCAACAGGGGCCAACACTCGACAAATCCGGCAAGACAGCCTCGAAAACCTCCCCTCCCCCTTTTCCCCTCTTCTCCCCCCGTATATCACACAATACAGAACTAACAAGTAACGAGCCTTGTCCTTGCTTGTCGCCTTGTCACCGGGTCACCACGGTCTACACACGCAAGAGCTTTGCATAAACATACCGCTCGATAAACTATGTTCGCCTTGCTCTGCTCGCACAATAGGGGAAAAGAGGCCAGCGTCACTGGCACACACCCAAGTATACAAGTAAATAAATGAGTGGGCATACTTCAACTTCATAATGCCTTCCCAACCATTTTGGGGGGCGGATATATCGCAGTGTTTTCCAGGAAAATGCCCCCATGGGCTGGGGGGGGGCTGTACCCTTGATCCAAACTATGCAAGCCGAAAAGCCACGCAATGATGCCCATCAGTCACCATCCTTTGCTTGCCGACCCGAGTGGTTACCGTTAATATCCCAAGTTCCAACCATCGTCTGATGCCCTGCCAACCTGGCCAGCCAGACCCATGTATTCCAGAATCTTTTTCGCCAGAAATCTTTGTAAACCCATTGATGCGCCTCTATCCATGAATAAGGTGAAAGACCCAAGGTGACGGAACGATATACAACCTTTTCGCTTTTTGCCTTTCCAAAAAAAAAAGGCTTTCATTCATAAGCCACCGGGGAAAAAAAGGAGGAAAAAATGCACAAGGACCCGATCGACACGTATGGTTGTGGTTGGTTTCCGGCTCGAGTGGCCAATGGGCAGACCTGAGACACCACAGCACTCAAAAGCCATCCGCAGACTTGGTCAATGGGCCCCGTTCGTCGTCGTTCGTGGCGTCAATGCACTAGGCTGCCAATGTCCGCTTCGCAAGCCCCCGGGTCGTCAGACTGTCGTTGAGTGCCTATCGCGGACTGGCCACTTGAAATTTTGTCCGTCGCAATCACCCTGCGCCTCGGTCCAATTCTTGATTCTCTCCACGTTCCACCAACTCATATATCGCTTGGAGTCGTCGTCGCCCTTCTTGACAGGTTTGCCGTGCTTGATTTTGAAGGAAATTCCGCAAATGCTGTTTTGGTAGCGGAACTGGAAGCACCTGGCCATGCTCAAGCATGCCTTCTGGCAGTCGTCAAAACTCTTGTGGGCTTCAGCCTCCAACTCGGATAGATTTTTAGTCTTGGCCAGGTCCAGTTCCCAGTCTTCGTACTTGGCCTGCGTCTTGTTCAAGTAGAAGACATCCTCGCTCAGATTGTCCCAGTCTGCTCGTGCCTCCACCAGCTCCGGGCTGACAAACTCGTGATACAGGTCCTTGATTCGCAGCATCTTGCTGAACTTGCGCCCTTTCTCGAATGCGTACAAGTCGGAGATCTCCTCCGCAACGACGTGGTGCATGGTGACAATGGGCTGGCACCACTCGTCTTCGGCGTACGGGACGGTGTGTGGCTTTTCCCCGTTGATGACTGGCCACTGCTACGCGTTAGCATTGATTGTACGATTCAAGCAAGCCAGAAAAGTCGTCAGACTCGGCCTTGGGCGCTCACGGCATTGACGACCGGAATACCAGTCTCCGTCTTCAAGGCTTTGGCCCACATGTAGTCGCCACAGCAGGTTTCCTGGGCCGCCTCGTCGTATTTATTCGCAACGCCGGTCCTGCCGGCAAACATTGATCGCATGGCCCTCCTGGAGACCAGATAGCCGCTTCCGCCATGTCCAAATGGGAAGCCCCCTAGATAGGCGACGCTGCCGATGTAATGCGCCTTGTTAGGATCCATCTGGTCTAGCCACTCCATCAGCGTGGGGAAGACGACGTAGGTGTCGGCGTCAACAAAGAGATACCAGTCATAGTCGGGCCGCATTTCGTATGCCTTTTCCGCCATGTGAATGTTCTTATACTTGTCCAGGTCCCATCCCTGCTGAGCGACATCGTGGTTCTTGTTGCACTGCTCCTGGTCGACGGGGCATTTCTTCTGTCGGCGGTAGAGGTCGAAGTCTCGGTTCTTTTCCTTGACTTGGTCAAGCACGCTGTCGAGACTGTCATGGATGGTGTAGCCCGCAATCTTTTGGGTCATGTCGCTGAAGAAAAGAAAGTCGGATACGCATTTTAGGTTGGTCATCAGCTGGGTGGGAATTTTGGAATAGGATTCAGACGCGCCAGTCTTCATGACGAGCAAAACACTGGAAGTATTGGGGAACAGCGCACATTCGTCACCAAGCCCAGAAGGTTGGGAGACCTGCCCGATGTGTGTATCTCCAGCGTCAGCCCTGTCGTCCGTGGTCTCGCCATCAGATCCGCCGTCGTTGCCGAACTTGGGCAGCTTTCCTCGCAGGCCGTACATGTCGCAATGGCCATCGTCGCAGAACTGGTCCAGCTGTTTCGAGAGCATCGTTACTGACAACAAGGCAAACAAGACCATCACTAAGATGACGGCCCTTCTCGAGCAGAGTCTTGTGGATGTCATTCTGCCGAGGATTGGTGACGAAGGCCAAGATTGCTTACCCCAAAGACCCAACATGATATAAAGAACCGAGAGAGAAAGATTACTCAGGACAGTCCGAGTTCAAGGTAAAAGAGACATTAAGCAGACAAGAGGAGAGGGGAGAAGGTGAGCTTTACCCCGACTTGGATAGCCTCAACTTCTTCTACGCGGCAAAGCATAGACGAGAGGGACGAGCGGGCAGGGCTATCACTCCCTGGCCACGGGAGGAAAGCTTGGAGAGGGGAGAAACGAAGGATGCATGTGAGGCATAGAAAAAGAGGCAAACGGGCTGGGCCGCAGCACGGACACATGACAACTTTAAGAAACGCTACTCGAGGGCGCAGTGAAAACCAGTCGACGCCATTTGAAGCAAGAAGGACTTGTGCCAGCCGACGGACGAGGCGGTGCCGTGTCCAAGGTAAGTAAAGAACAGGTACTAGGTAGTTTAAGTAGTAGTACGAAGCAGCAGAGACGAGATTTTGTACTTCTGTGCTCGACATTCGGTACTCTGTACGCTGTACGCTGTACTCTGTACTCCATCTGCACTCGGAATTGTACGACACCACACCACCGAGATGGTGCGAGAGATACAAAACATGCAATGCGCAAGGTGTAGCGTCGGGCACTTTGGTATGACACACGTACCTGCCTACTTGGGGCAGGTACTTGGTCACTGCTACTAGGTTCCCGGGAAGAAGGTGTTTGTAGTACGGAGTACTAGTATGTAGTACTTGGTACGTACGCACCACAGACCCGCTTCACGAAACATGTTGAACTCTCTTTTTTTCTTCTGTCTCTCTCTTTGGAAGCTTTTTTTGGCCGGGCCTCAGGAGCCCAGTAAGCAGAAGAGGACGGGGGACGGGGGACGGGGGAGATGGTATGACGATCAGGTTTACGGAGAACCAGGCCGGGGTTTCTCTCGCTGGTCGCTGGTGCGTGGCTTGCGAATGAGGTTGTCAGCGTGGGTCTCTTTGGTCCGTCCCATTGTCTCGGTGGTGGATTAGCACGAGGCTTTTGCCTCTTGTCCTAGCTCCGAATGGAATGGGCTGGCGAACGCAGTGAGTCGTTCTGGAGATGTAGTGGAATAAGCATGATGTCGAGACTTTGCAACCGGCCGATTTTTTCAGACTGTTTTTTCGAAGCAAGCGGAACGCTCAGGAAAAGTAAAAAATAATAATAATTAAATAATTAAATAAACCCCTTCATGGGCATCAGGACGACCCAGGGCTTCCTTGTTCAGTGTCGCAAACGACGGAGTCCAAATACAAATCCAAAATTTATTACGAATATAACCAGGACGAGGGCTACACCCTGCACCGGACATACATTCGGAGTACGGATATACGGCAATGTGTGACGGGGATTGCAGGAACGACGTCGTCATCCATGATTCCATGGTCTGGTCGCTCGGTCTGGGGGCTGGAACCGGGGGGGCCTGTACTCCGTAGGCCTCACAAACAAGAATAGATACCTGGTACGGAGTACCTTGGTAGTACCTTCCTTGTTTGGGACGTAGCTGGACAAGCTGGCCCATGTCCAGCACAAGCATGCGCGTCAGTTTGCAATCGGTAGTTACCCAAGTACGGAAGTACCTAGCTACTTACTTAAGTACCTTAAGTACGTACTTACCTGGGCTGTGATGCACAAAACCAGGGTCAACCTTTACTCTTCGGATGCATGTCAGAGGTAGAATGTACATAGTTGTACGGAAAGAGGGAATAGAGAAATCTCCCCTCTTCACCTTTTCTCCTTAGGTTTATACTGGATACTAGTACCGCTTACACGCAGTTGCCTGTAAGACCAGTCCTTAACAATTAGAGATTTAAGAGGGAAAGATGGAGGTTTTATGTGAATTACTCCGTATAGTGGCTCTACTTTCAATATGCCTGTGGCGCACACTTCATGTAAGCCTGGCGCCTACTCCGTATTTTGTGCTGAATAGTGCGTCAAATCTGCGCCAAAAGATTGACCCCGATTTTCTGAATCACACAGCCTTGGGTACTCCGTACGTGTTGTGCTTGCTGTCCTGCGCCTCCCCTTGCTCCCCAGGTACGGAGTGGCCAGTCGAGTGGTAGTGGGGCGTTGGTACTCATATGATGTGGCACATCACGTGATACCGTCAGTCAATGTGTCTCCAGCCGACAGCTTAGTGCGGCTGCTTCTTGCGCCAACCGGGTCTTGGCGGGGAAGGAAGGGAAAAAAAAAAGGGCCCCTAGACAACGACGTCGAGTCTCGTTCACGAGACCATCAAACATCTTTTGGTCAACAAACTGCCACTGCATCCCTTGGCCTTGGCCCAGTTCGGCCTGCTTCCTCCTCCTTCCCGCCTGATCGATGCTTGACGCCCCCCTTCGCCAGCTTCCAACGATACGGCCATGGTCCGCAACATTGTTCTGCTAGGCGGCAATTCGCATCCCCATCTGACGGAGAATGTCTGCAACATCCTCGGCATTCCTTCGTGCGATCGTATTCTGAGCAAGTTCTCTGGCGGTGAAAGTCGCTGCGAAATCAAAGACTCAGTCCGTGGCAAGGATGTCTACATCATCCAGTCAGGCTCGGGTCATGTCAACGACAACCTCATCGACCTCTGCATCATGATCTCTGCCTGCAAGACCGGATCCGCAAAACGCGTTACCGCAGTTGTCCCTCTCTTTCCCTACTCGAGACAGCCCGATTGGCCCTACAACAAAGCTGGGGCGCCATTGTCCAAGTCCTCCGAGACATCCAGAAAAGACTACACCTTTGAGAGTGTGCCGGCCACACCTCGCCCGGGTGGCCCTCGCAGCCATGGCTTGAACGGTGCCTTCAGCCTGTCCGAAAAACTTCAAAAGTCTACCATTGCAGAGGCCAATGGCACGGATTACCTCCCTAAGAGGTCGGATACCGTTTCCAGTATTGGCTCCAACGGTCGCGGACATGCAGCCGAGAATTCCGTCGCATCTCACCGAAGCTTCACCACCCACGACTACGAAAACCCAAACAGTGTCGCTGCCACATTCCGGGCCAAGCCCGGCTACAAGCAGTGGGTGGCACAGGCCGGCACCCTAGTTGCCGACCTGCTCACCTGCGCAGGCGCTGACCACATCATCACCATGGACCTGCACGATCCCCAATATCAGGGCTTCTTCGACATTCCTGTCGACAACCTCTACGGCAAGCCGCTCATTCAGAATTACATCCAGAAGCACATCCCCGGCTATAGGGAAGCCGTGATTGTCTCTCCGGACGCTGGTGGAGCAAAGCGAGCTACCGCCATCGCTGACAGTCTCAAGATGGACTTTGCGCTTATTCACAAGGTAATATGATTTCTGAGCTAATTCTCCTTCGTTCACTACTCACCCTTGTCAGGAACGCCGCCCCATCAACTTTACTGAACAGCGAAACGCCACCATGATGCTTGTTGGCGATATTGCGAACCGCGTCTGCATCTTGGTGGACGACTTGGGCGACACCGCCAACACCATCACGCGAGCTGCAAAGCTATTAAAAAAGGAAGGGGCCACCAAGGTTTATGCTTTGCTCACTCACGGTGTCTTCAGTGGTGACGCAATTCCTCGCCTCAATGCATCTGCCATTGACAAGATCATTGTGACCAATTCGGTCCCCCAGGACGAGCATCGTCGCCTATGTCCGAAGCTGGAGGTGTTGGACGTTTCACCCATCTTTGCTGAAGCCATTCGCCGAGTTCATCATGGTGAATCCATAAGTAGGCTCTTTCAGTACGACTGATGGTCGTCATTGGGAATTGCGCATTGCCGTCGATGCTGTCATGGTTCGTTCCGATTTTGAGAAGAACCTCTCTTATTGACAGGCGCACGCAAGGATCTCCAATTCCTTGGTTTTCTTTGACTGTCCTTCCTGCAGCTTTACGGAATCTGACCAAAGCTGTGCGCAATACCCGCGAGTGCGCTTCCATGCCACAGCCGCTCGGAAACGAAAGATTCGTCGGAACCCCAGAGTTCACGGCGGTTTACATTCATATTCTTGGTGCCTTCCACTTTATTCTGAACTCATTTTGAGCACTCGTTCGAGGCTCCGACTGGCATGCTCCGCCGCCCGGACGGAGAGAGGAGGTTAGGCTCGCGGTAGAAGACTATATCATGAGTTGAGTTGAATCGAGTATGATGCGGCGGCAGGCTTATTTTAACCTCTTAAAAAAGCTGGCAGCTTAAATCTGTGTTGCTCGTCTTTTGCTCCATTTCATTTTATGGAAGTTGCTGCGGTCATATCAAACCCAAGAATCAGCACGGGAGCATCTGTGCCTTGGACCTCTTTCCTGTCAGATCAGAAACAAGACTGTCAGTTCTTCATCAAGAACTCATCTTGATCTCTTTCCCTTTGTCTCCTTTTTTGGCCTTCTTTTTCCTTTTTGTTTTCAACCATCAGTCTATATAGAAGTAAATGGATTGATGAGCCGTAGACCTCGGATACTCGAGATGGGCCCTCACGCCGGCCTTTTGTGTATTACGATCCAACAAAGAGAACCAGGGCGTGGTAGATATGGTCGCACGGCATGCGAATGCTGAGCGGCCGTTCAATGTATTATGAGAAATAGACTTTGAACTTTGACGATGTAACATTTCTGTTTGTTTCCAAATGTGTATGTATATATGTGAGAAGAGTCTTCAGAAACACACACCCCCTTTCGGAAGGCTGATATTTGCTAGTTCACTTGTAGACGCGAGAATTCGAAATTGTCGGGACCAAGCAAACGTCTCGATCTTGAGGTGTGGCGCCGATTGCTGATTCAGGGGTACCGTACCGTCCAGGCTAAGCCGCGCGGGAATTCTTATGGCCCTTGACTTTCCACCGATATATAAGAAGCTCGTCAGAAAATCAACTACTTAGGGGCCGATTATGACATGGTGCTCAATATTTGATCCTAGACCCAAAGAAAGGTACTGATACGGGAAAAGGTCTCTTGTACAGACATAGGGTTTGACTGGTACGAAGTTGGTTTTGAAGTTTCGAATGGCACATGATGCAATGTTCTGTGCGCTTACAAAATGACGGAGTGCAAACCGCATCGCAACGAGTGGGAAGCTAATGTGGCTTCGTTATCAAGAGCACAGTCGTGGTGTTGCAGACTTGAAAAAGCATGCAGGTGTTGAGATTGGAACCTCGTGAGTCGCAGCTGTTAATAAGCACGCATTGTGCTCCATCGCAAGCTGAGACTGGATGTGTCTGACAAATTCGTGCATGATGGCCTGGCTTTCTCCGAGTATGCGTGCGCTCTTTGAAGTCTTTAAAACTGATGAATGAATTGCTGAGAAGCACATCGATCGGATTTGACACGTAAAAGGGAAGTCAATGCGGGAACCGGGCCATGTGGGCTGTCAGGCAGGGTCTTTAGTTGTAGCTGGGCTATAGTTGAAGGCGTGTCTCGCCGACTCGGTAAACGGCTTTGCTTCTTTTTGAATCCGAATCGAACACGGGCGTGTCCGAGAAGAATGAAGTAGTATTTTTTTACTACAACAGCGGCTTGAAAGTCGAATGCATTTTTGCGACCATGACACATTCTGTGTTTTGACTCTGGTGTTGCTTGCCAAGGGACGACGAGCTATTGTCGTCGAGTCGAGTGCTCTAGCAGCTCTTGCGAGGAGCGAGGCTCCGAACAATAATAGCCTGTCCCATGGATTGGACCGTCCAGATCGTCCTTTGTTGTGGCTCTCTTCGCGACATCAGGCGACCAACTTCCGTGCACTGCAGGCTGCCAGGGACTGGAAACGCCAGTAAGGTCCGGCTTCAACCTCGGACGTTGTTGACCCAAATCAATCGTGGCGTCACCCTGTCAGTTTCGATAACGCCATCCGTGAGGTCTCGGAGACTAGGGTTTGTCTGACACACGTTCGCTGCGCTGGGCCACTTGCGTCATCTGCTGAAACATCCCGGAGCCCTTGTCCACGGCTGAGCTGCGCCTTGCGAAATTCCCGCGGTGAAGCTTTCAACCTCTCTCCCGCGACAATGTCATGAACCCCGCTGCGCCAAGGGACAGGGCCGTCTCCAGGCCCATGACATATTCGGTACTCTCAACTGCCACAATCCCTGAATAGCCTTGATATGTCTAGGCAACTGGTTCCATAATCTTCACATAACACAGGTCCTCGCTACAACTTTGGCCAGTAAACGAGCACACCAAGGACCTATGCCGGCCATGCTTCCAAGAGCACCACGTGTGATTCTCTGTCCGACTGAAGGTGGTGGGGGGCGCACGTTGGACAAGCGGTTGGGGTACAGCGTTTCGCCGATGAGCCCTGTCCTCCGTGTCAACCGTGAACTCAGTACCACGCCGTAGTTCTGTGCAAGTCTTGAGAAGGCCTTATCGCTTCGTTTTCGTCAGAAATCCAAAATGAACAGCGAGCTCTCTATGCTTTGCAATCGCGGAGAAGCGGCCGAACAGTTGCCTGTCACGCTTGTGCAAGGCACTTGGAAAACGAAGTCGCCTGGCTGAGATTTCCTGTTTTTGGGTCTTGCTCAATATGGCATCTGGAGGTCGCTGCCGTCGCCTCAACAGCCCAGGCATCGAAAACGGAGGCGAGTAGTTACGGGGAAGCTTCGCGTGGTCGACGGTATCCAACGAGGGACAAGGCTACGTCCAACTAGACGCGCAAATCCTGAGAGCGAGGTGGATGCAGTTTTGTCCGGAAGAGCCTTTCTGGGCTCGCAGGACCGTCAGGTGAAGTCTCTTCGTCTCAACGCACTCGATGTCAGGGCCTTTCCGCATGCAGTGAGTGACCACGCACGGGGCGCACGTGATCACGCGTCCCAAACCCGGCCATGGAGGGGTGCATGCAGTGTCAACTGGATTCTTCATGTGCCGGCACTCGGACGCGTAGCCCCCGCCCTCCAGTCGCCCTCCAATCCCGATCGCGCGCCCACCACCTGGTTGGGGGAGCCTTGTTATGGATGGGAAGCCACACCACCACGACTCGAGAGCTGCCTAAGTCGCATCGAATAGCAGTCCTGGTCATGGACATGGCGCGTGGCTCGCGCCGAGCTCGCCATGTAGCTGCCAACGCCAACGCCAACGCCGACGCCAACGCCAACGCCGACGCCAACGCCAACGCCAACGCTAATGCTTCACCCGACGTCGACGACAGACGGCGCCATGAACCACGACCACAACCGCGCGACTCGATCCATGCCGACGCCGCACAGACACTCCAACTACCCTACGATTCAAACACCGACGTGACGAGGAGAGGACACGTCGCGCCGCCGGTGGTCAGGAGGCACCAGGTTACGCCGAATCATCTGCATCGGACACCGGAGCAGCTTGGGAGCCAGCGGAACCAAGAAGGCTTGCAGCCGGGCGTGGCGGGACCGCCGCCGCATCCCTTTCGGCTGCACAGGAGTGAGTTTGATCCTTTCCCCGACGTCTTGTTGTTCGGCATGCCGGGTGCTTCTGGGTTCGAGAGAGGATCGGTTCTGTAAATCACGGGCGATGTGGCCAGACTTTACTCTGTACCCGGCTGTTTGAATACAGCCATTATGGGGCTCGTCTTCTTCGCACCTGGTGAGCTCGGAGGTTTCAACCAGTCCTGGTTTTACGGCCAAGGTCGGTCTACGGACTCGTTTGGCAATCGCCCTGTTTGGGAACGTTGATGCCATTGATGTTTACCTGCAAGAGCATCTCTCCATCGCTCATCACCGCAGCTAGACCAGGTGCGGAGATTCGATCAAATCCCCTTTCAGACCCCCTTCAGGAAAAAAATTCAACAAAATTAAAGATTCCCCATCTGTCCGCAAGGGAAGGACATCTCGGGGCTTGGACCACTTCCCCCCTCTCGAGGCTACAGGCTTTTCTAACACTTCAACAGCAGCGCAATACACCGCCGCACTGCTCAGTATGCCCTACGACTCAGATGAATCCGGCTCCGAGCCAGACCTAAGCATCCTGGCTCTAGCCCGGGGCCGCCACCCCATGACAGACCAAATACGCCCCATGAACAACAACATGGCGTACGATGACGAAGTCCTGTCGCGGGAGCAATATGAAGCCGAAGACACCAGCCTCGAAGAACAGGCAAACGAGGAATCAGAGTCGGAGGGGTCGGCGTCAGAAGAGCCAGAAGAAGCCGTCAACCTGGTCGACCCTGCAACCCTTGGACTAAAGGAGATTTCCAACCTCGGCCGGTTCACCGTGAGCAGCCACAAGCCAGGGAACGGGGTGGAAGAGCTGCGAAGCGATGATCTCAAATTATACTGGCAGTATGTTGACACCAAGCATCCGTCTCCTTTCTCTCGAGTCGCCATGAAATACCTAGAGAAGGAAAAAGAACTCATCATGCCACTAATAGGTCGGACGGGCCGCAGCCGCACAAGCTGACAGTCTACTTTGTCAAGCGCGTCGGCATCCGCGACATCCGCTTCTTCGTCGACTACAGCGAGGACGAGTCCTACACACCCACCAAGATCGTCTTCAAGTCTGGCACGAGCGAGAACAACCTCATCGAGTTTGCCACCATGGCCATGGAGAGCCCCGTCGGATGGCAGCAGGTGCCTGTTGCCGGGGCCGGCGGCGACCCGGACGGCAACACCCTCGTCTCGTACGTCCTGCAGATGCAGATCCTGGAGAACCACCAGAACGGCAAGGACACGCACCTGCGGGGCATCAAGATATACGCCTTTGATCCAGATGCCGCCCAGGGAGCGGGCAGGGACACGGCCGCCGCCGAGGACGAGGGTGCGGCGGGCACGTTCGATACGGTCGATAGGCTGGACGATATTGTGAGAGATTTGGCGGCGGCGAGGCTGGAAGGCGGCGAGGCTGGGTTCTCGATTCCGGATTTTATGAGAGAGCCCGAGATTCGATAGCTGGCTGTCGAAACGGCTCCATGCTTGCTGTGTAGACGTGTGACCACCAGGGCCGAGGGACATTGTATCCGAGCAAGGCTTACGAGTCACGACTGACAGGTCGTGGTGGGAAGTGATGGAATACTTGTGTATAAATGTTCTTCTTGTGCGCTTCTCTCTTTCGTATAAAATGTTGCCTAGAAGGTACCTGATGGAACATGGCTGTACTCTAAGGGGGGGGTTATTGGCATCCAAAACTGACTCAAGTCAAGTCAAAAGCAGCACTGAGCCTAACTAGGTAGATATCCAAAGATGAAGATGAGGAACACGGATTACTGGCCCGGGTTTCTGCTAATAATACACGTAAAGGTAGGATTCGGATCCGCACTGAACTGCCAGATAAGATGTTGGGTGCCACGCTCCATGGTGCCAAGCACACTTAACCGACGCAGTGCCTTTTTCGAGCGCAAGCCCCGATTTGACTGTCGGAATGAGAAGCACATGATGACTACGTGGCCGGTAGTCGGCACCATTAAGTTGGTACGAGAGGTGTTGAGGGCACCCACTCTTGACTGATCGCGAATGACTGCTCTCCGCTGTTCCACAATCCCTTGATTCTGTGGCTGAGTTGGATTCGGAAGCAGACCCTTCGACCACGGCGGGACATGGGCTCGACGCATGCAGTTGCTCTCCTGGACTCGGGGGCAAAATCTCTACTTGGGTAGTTGGAAGGGGAGAAACGGAAAGGAACCCTGCGGAACAGCTAGCACTGCTACTCCGTGCCCTACCGTACCGTACCGCCCCATTGGATCGTGCTAATGCTAGGCTGTGGCCCAGTCAGAGATGTTTTGGAACGTACAAAGCTTGCCGTCTGTTGCGCGATGCAAGGCGGTCGTTCGTCGGCGCGTGGCGCTGGGGCTGGGGTAGTGCCGAATGAAGAAGGCTTCCAGAAGCCGTCCCGACATGATCTGAGTCATCTGATGAGGGGTGGACGAGCACGGGGGACGCTTGGGGCGTTCTCGTGACGGGTTGACAATGTCTGATGTCTGCCTGCCTGTCCCTGGATCAGGACGAGCAACACCTCGAGCACGATGCCGAGTGGAGTGGGGGGGGATAGGCGTTGAGGCAATGCAGGCTCTGTCTGTTTAGAGACTAAGCTGACAAGCTCGTTGTCTTGGCATTTACTCCGTATCGTGTTGAGCGGTTGGTTCTCGGGTCTTGTCTGTAGAGTGTGCACTACTGCTATACTACTCAAGTAACTAGTACTTGACTTGGAAATACGTAGTGGAGGGATGCGCACACGCGTCATTGGCACGTCGCAGCACCCTCGTCCGTGGCGGAAACGATGTGGCGATGCAGCTCGGCTGGCAATGCTGGAAAGGCAGCGTGCTTGTGGGTTGTTCTGTCGGTGATGCTGTAGATTCCTCACGTCGATGAGGGGCAGGTCGGGTCCTGAGTCGTGACTCTCGTCGCATCCATCGCATCATGCCATGGCAGGTGCGGCGAGTGCCATGCTTCCCAAGTTCTAAAACGAAGCAAGGCGTTCGCTGTGGAAGGCACAGACTGCTGGCGCCTTCCCCACGCCGTGCCGGGTATCCGTGCCCAAGGCGTCCTAGATCCACTCCGTACGGAGTAAGCTGCGTGCCACTTCCACTTATCCGTCGGCTCCACTGCCTCAGTCCACTTGACCCGACAAGAACGACGCCGGCCTCCCTCTCTCAGATCTCACTCCTCAAGACGGTCATGACCCCGGGGCAATTGCCAAGTCAATCAATCCTCCTGGTCGACGTCGGATACGTGGCCGACAGCCGGCCCTAGCATTCATAAATACTCAGCTACAGCCATCGCTCCCGCAGCTGTTGTGCTCAGCCAAAGACTGCTGGGCTTTCTCGACCATCCCATCCACGCCGACGCCAGAATCAAAACGCCAAGTCTGCGCCGGCAGCAATCGCGACAGTGACCTCGTTTACTTCATCTACGGAACCCATTATGGCTCAGGTAAGTGGCGGAGGGTCTTCAAGCAGCAAGGCCCCCGCGCCTGCGCATGAATCCCCGGGCAAGATGAATGTCGCGCCACCCAAGCAAGAGGATCTCCAGCAGAGCTATGCCACCCTTATCGGCAACGATCCCAACCCCAAGGGCTGGTATGGTAGCATGAGTACGTCCAACCAGGATCCGCGTCAATCTGCCCTCAAGTGGCCTTTTTTTTTTTTTTTTTTTTTTTCGCTGACATGTTTGTTCCCGCAACAGTCAATGCTCTTGGTGCCTGTGTCGGAACCTTGGGGGCCATCCCTCTCTGTTGCTGCTGCCCCAACCCATACAAGAGCGTCAGCCAGGGCAACGTCGGCCTCGTCACCAAGTTTGGTCGATTCTACAAGGCTGTCGATCCCGGTCTGGTCAAGGTGAATCCTCTGAGTGAGAAGCTCCTCCAGATCGATGTCAAGATCCAGACATCCGAGGTCCCTGAGCAGACTTGCATGACCAAGGACAACGTCACCCTGCGCCTGACCTCTGTCATCTACTACCACATTGTGGCACCCCACAAGGCTGCCTTTGGTATCTCCAACGTCCGCCAGGCCCTGCTTGAGCGTACCCAGACCACCCTTCGCCATGTTATCGGCGCCCGTGTTCTCCAGGATGTTATTGAGCGACGTGAGGAAATCGCCGAGTCTATCCGCGAAATTATCGAGGACGTCGCTGCCGGCTGGGGTGTGCAGGTTGAGAGCATGCTCATAAAGGACATCATTTTCAGCCAGGATCTGCAGGAGTCGCTCTCCATGGCTGCCCAGAGCAAGCGTATCGGTGAAAGCAAGGTTATTGCCGCCAAGGCAGAGGTACGACGAGCGACTGGCATCTCTCAAAACTCAGCCTCGAGCAAGCTAACCATGTATAGGTCGAATCTGCCAAGCTGATGCGACAGGCGGCAGACATTCTCAGCTCAGCTCCTGCCATGCAGATCCGTTACCTCGAAGCTATGCAGGCCATGGCAAAGTCGGCCAACAGTAAAGTTATATTCTTGCCTGGCTCCAGCCAGAACATGCAGGCTTTCAACGCCCTAAATGTCTCCCATGAGCTTGGCGAGGGCAGCGGCTACAACCGAAATGACCCTGGTAACAATAAAGACTTTGGAGGTCAGGACCCCGGCTTGCAAGCCGCCATCAACGCCCGCGTCGTTGAAAACATCTAACGATGCACGCGTGTATCAACGTGAAAAGAGCGTGACACGCTACCTCGAAGTCTTTCGGCTGATTAGCGTGGTCTACTTGATTTCGAGAGACGTCTTCCTGACACGCTCCCATAAGACTTCAACAATGCTCTACCTTGTCTTCCGCATTCACCTCGAGTCAGCAACGCCGGCATCTTCTCACGCTTGAACGACTCATTATTCTATTAATTCCCGTTGTCGCTCCCGATCTGCTGTGGCTTGACGTTTCAGAGCCATCCTTTTTCTGCCCCTTTTTTGATTTCTGGTTTGGACTGGATGGATAGAATAGGTGGAACAGAGGTGACTGTAAAGCTAATGTAGGCTTCCCTTTCGGCTTTGGTCAAGGCGAAATATACGAAAATTGGTAATCACAACCCCCTGGTGCGATAGCCCAGGGATTTGGACAGATGGGTACGACAGGATATATATGGATCGGTGCTGGAGTTGGTCTTACTCATGATCCTGCGACGGATACCCCTAATCGCTCGCTGGGGCGCGGAGGAGACAGTCTGGATATTTTGCTTGTACAACGTCATCCTTGATGAAATGACAGCAGCGCTACTTAAACACCTCTTTTACATTGGTTCGTAAACTGCAAGTAAGCGAAAAATGATTCATTTAAATCATGTTGAAAAAGCCAAGGAAATCGAGGATGCCTATAGTTGACTGATGCCAATGCGGTCTACTAAGCCAATTCCCTTTCGCCCGCCCATAACCTCAAGACGTCGCCAAGACTGGACGATGGCCGGGCCCAAATGACAGGAAACTTTAAACAACAGATTACAAAGTGGAGCAAAAATAAAGGAAAGCAAATCGCGCCAGATGCCGTGAAAATCCAAGCCTTTCCCAAAAAAACGCCGGCGCCCTAGTCGGCACAAGAAGTTCGAGGCCAGAAGAATGCTTTCCAGTCAGCAAAACCCACCATCGCCCACACCCCCTCCCGGGGCCGCCATGTACAGTCTCAGGTATCAATCATACAACCACACATCGCAGACTATTGCCGATCCTGATGCGATGCGTTTTGTTCTTTTTTGCGGTTCCGTTTCCTCCACGACACGCTCGCAGTTCAAGATTGTGATTCTTCTGAGCCGTCTTCTATTCGGCGTCGGAGTGGCGCTTTTTCTTCTTCTGCTTCTTGTCTTTCTTGGCGGACTCGACTTCCTCATCATCATCATCGTACTTTCTCTTTTTTTTCTTCTTTTCAGGGGAGGGCTCAATAGTGGACTTTGCGGGTGTGGACTTTGCGGGTGTGGACTTGGCGCCGCCTTCGGCTTTTCGGAGCTTCTTCATTTCCTTCTTGCTAAAGACCTTGGGCGTCCCATCGGCGCCGAGCTCGACGTCACCACGCTCGTACTTCCGTTTGAACTTCTTGACGGAAAGGCCGGCAGCTTCTGCGAGGCGCTCGTACTCTTCGGTTGACAGCTTGACGACCTTCTTGACGGGGGTGGTGTTTTGGTTATCGCTCTTGCCATCCTCAGCGTCCTTCATCTCGTCGTCCGAGTCCTCCTCGACGACATCGATCTTTGGCTTCTTGTCCTTGGATTTCTTTTCCTTCTTGGAAGAAGCCTTGCCATTCACTTCCTCAGTAACACCGTCGGCATCGGTATTATATCGTCGAGACTTATTAAGGATGAATGCGCTAGAAACGGCTTCACCGGATGGGGCGACCTTGGTGCCCTTGGGCAAGGCAGGTTTGCCTTCCAGCCTTCGGAGGTGGTTCTCCAGTTTGATACGGTTGCTGAGACCGAGGATGGCTCGCTCTTCTTCATCTTGCTCGTCATCATCACCGCCGAGGGCATCGACACGCAGGCCAAGGGCAGCCTTGGCAGCCAGCATACGTGCAATCTTGCCCTTGTTGCGACCGGTGGCCTGGCCGATAAGGGAAGAGTGATAGATCAAACCGTACTTGGGGGTATCGTGTTTGGTCTTGAGAGCTCGGAAGAGAGCCTTCTCGGCACCTAAAATCTGAATGGTCGAGCTAGGTGCCTTGGCTAGGCTGATGAGGGATCCGGCATGGGCGATGAGTCTGGCACCGACTAGGTAGCCAACAAGGGCTGTCAAATTGGGAGCAATGGCACGCATGCGAGTCTCCAAGTACGAGGAGAGCTGGGTACGGTAGTCGGAGTAGCGAATGACCTGCTCGGCCAAAAGCTTGATGTTGTCCACATCTTCTTCCGTAATTTCGGTACCCATGCTGATTTCGGCGGCTGCCTTGATGGCGACCTCGACCTCCTCAGGGAGGATTTCAGACAGATCAGCGTCGGCAATATTGGTTCGCATACCCACGGCGAGAATAACACGGGCGTAGGCCATGTTGTCGTTGAGAATCTTGGCCATCTCGGGGAAGTGCCAACCGTACCATTCCTTGGTTCGCATGGCGTACACGTTGAGCTCCTTGTCCATGTCATCAATCAGCTTGACAGCCTGAATGATCATTGAGTCAACCTTGTCGACGGAAAACTTGAGCCTGTGGCGGGACATGGAGTGGGAGAGACCGAGAGACATGCGATCGACAATTTCCTGCTCCAGCCCAGGAATGAGAGATGAGAGGTGCTCACGAATTCCTCGGAAACAATCCATGGTTTCAGATCCAGCCACAGGAGTGATGTTGAACTGGGGCAAGTTGGAGATGGCGGTTCCCAGCTTCATGTCGGCGACGGCGAGCGAGGCCTTCTTCTCGCTCTTGAGATCTTCCAGGAGAGTGGTGAGGAGCGCTGGGACCTTGCCTTCCTTGAGAGAGGCGGCTTCTTCAAGAGCCATGGCAGCGCTGTCGAACTTGACAAACTTTTTCAGCTTAAGCCTGCAAGGAACCCAATGTTAGCATAGCACACAATCTTGATGGGTCGTCGAGTTTTGTCCTCACATTTCGACCAGTTTTTCCGGACGTCCAAGTTCAGCGGCAAGGTCCCCATTCTTGAAGATTTTCTTGTCGGAAGCCTTGAACAGGCCATAGCTACATTTGTGTCAGCCATTGCAGTTCAAACTTGACAAAGTGTGGCCAGGATGCGGCGCAGCATGTGCAAAAACTCACCCTGCCGGCGTCTCGGCAAGAACGAAGAGAGACATTGCAAACAAACGATATTGCCTCTAACGGACTTGCTCGGCTTGACTGGGGTCCTGCTTCCTTGCGAAGCGCAATTGCCGTCGATGTGCGCACGCAAGATGAAATGTGATGGGAAATTTTTCAGGCAAGAGGAGCTCCAGAGTTGCACTGGAAATTTTTGGCTTTGGTTCTGCACGCACACACATGTGGGCACTAATAGTGGGAGGCACTAATAGTGGGACCAGCCCGGTGCCGGCGCTTCTATAAGTCCGGCTGAACCTAACTCTCATTGGCGCGTGCACTACTCCAACTCCGTAGCTGGTGACTGCCTAGGTACTCCGTACCTGGGTACGTACCCAGGTAGACACCGAGCAACTCATCCGCAGTTGGCCCTTTTGCAACGACCAGCCAAGCCAGCCAGCCACTTCTACATCTCACCTGGGCGGGCGCATCCTATCCCACGGCTGTCGTTCTACTTCGCGTCGCAACCGAATCTCAGGACTCACGAGACGTCAGGCAAGATGGAAGGTTTGTTTTTCAACGTCAACAATGGGTAGGTCCGCTTCTTTTGGCAGGAATCTGCATGCACGACTAACCGTGACAGCTATGTCGAAGGCATCGTCCGAGGCTACCGCAATGGCCTTCTCACCGGCGCCGCTTACAACAACCTGACTCAGTGCGAAACTATCGACGGTATGATTATTCCTGCCTCTTCTGTCCCCATCATGTCGCACGCCCGCGGGCTGATCGAAGAGCAGACCTCAAGCTTCAACTTGGTCCTGCCTATGGCGACTTTCTTGCCTCCCTGCCACCCAATCCATCAACGTCTAGTCTTGCGGCAAAAACCACCGACAAGCTGGTCTCTGAATTTCGCTATGTCCGAGCCAATGCTGTCGGATCACTGGCAAAGTTCATGGACTACGTCACGTACGGCTACATGATTGATAATGTTGCCCTTCTCATCACCGGTACTCTTCACGAGCGAGACACGCGCGAGTTGTTGGACAGATGTCATCCTTTGGGGTGGTTCGAGACCATGCCCGTTCTTTGCGTTGCCACGAATATCGAGGAACTGTACAACAGCGTTTTAATCGAGACTCCTCTCGCTGCATACTTCAAGGGTAGCCTGAGTCACCAGGACCTTGACGAGCTCAACATTGAGATTGTCCGAAACACCCTGTACAAGAACTACCTTGAGGACTTTTACAACTTTGTCAACTCGCACCCCGACATGGCTGGTACGCCAACAGCAGAGGTCATGTCGGAGATCCTTGAGTTTGAGGCCGATCGAAGAGCGATCAACATTACTCTCAACTCATTCGGCACCGAGCTGTCCAAGGCAGACCGCAAGAAGCTCTATCCCAATTTTGGTAAATTGTACCCCGAGGGTACTCTTATGCTGTCACGTGCGGATGACCCCGAGGGTGTTCGTCTGGCTGTCGATGGTGTTCATGACTACAAGACTTTCTTTGATGCCGTCTCCCTTGGCGGCTCATCCGGACCTGGTAACATGGGTGGCGGCTCTGCTGACGGCAGGACATTGGAGGACATGTTTTATCAGAAAGAGATGGAAATATCAAAGAGTGCTTTCACTAGACAATTCACGCATGCCATTGTCTATGCGTGGGTCAAACTTCGAGAACAGGTGAGTTCCGCATTTATTGCAATATTCCCTTCTAGGTTGACCCGGTGTACCAACAAGAAGACAGGAGATCCGAAACATTACATGGATCGCCGAGTGCATAGCTCAGAACCAGAAGGATCGCATTGGCAACTTCATCAGCGTGTTTTGAGACGTCTTTGTTGTCGATTTTTTGACGTTTATCAGCATGGCTTGTAGTTTATCGACCCCAGTAGCTCATAATTGCGAAAGGTCGAACGGTCTTTTCTTCTTTTTTTTTTCTTTCGGGCGAAACATCGGTGGAGGCGAACCAAGTCAAATGTGGACAAGCAGATTATCCACTCATGCGGCTCTTGAAATCTTGTACAAATAGGAGTACAGTATTCTACAGCAATTCTCATAAGTTATTACAAGCTGATCTGACCCTTCCAGGTAGCGGGTGTGAGGCCCAGCTTCTCAATCATGTGTGTCCACCTCTCGCTTCCCCTCTCCTTTCTCTCCATGTATGCCAGCAGTTTCTGCCTGCGATGGACCAGCAGCCTCAAGTTTCGCTTATTGTGCACATCCTTGTACCCTCGGTTAATCTCAAGGGCCTTGGACAGATTCCGGATCTTTGCGGTGAGAATGGCAATCTGCACCTCGGAGCTGCCTGTGTCGGGACCTGCACGACCAGGCATGGGTGTGGTGTTGGGTGAAATAGACTGCGGCTTGGGTTTTAGGAACTTGTCCGTCTTGTGACGGCCAAACTCGTCAATCAAGCGGCGAACATTGGCGTGGAAGCGGTCCTTGGCGCTACCATTCCGCAAAGAGGTGATGCGCCTCAAAGCCTCCACCGCCCTGGCGTGGTCCTGCTTGTGCTTCTCAATATTGGCCTCATTCGAGGCTGCGTCGCTCAACTGGTCGCCAACAATCGCCGCCATGGGCTTGCTGAGCGTAAAGGCATGTTTCGTCGCTTCTTCCAACTCGGCATCGGTTAGGAAGTGATTTCTCAGACCCGGTGATGTTGGCAGCTCGTGGGGCGTCTGCAGAGCATTGCCGCTGGCGTCTCGGGGCACTTCACTGAGGCCGACTTGGCCAGCGGTGTCAAGGGACTCAAGAAAAGGCGTTGTTCTCCCCAGCACGGGATCGCCCCATGCCTCGTCCCGTTGCTTCTGGAGCTCCTCGCGACGCTTGAGGTTTGCGTTTTTGCGTTGCTGAGCCTGTGCCCACTTGTATGGATCCTGCTTCGCCTTGAGCTTCTTTTCTCGCTGTGACAGGTTGGCCGTCTGAACGATGGGCAGAAAGTTTTGTGTCGCTGCACGCAGCTTTGGCCGGAGACACACTATTGTCATGCAAACGTTAGCAAATCACCAAATGGCGTTCAATTTGAACAAGCTCGAGAGCGGCAGTACCCTTACCGTTAAAGGTGCCCAGGCGCCGTAGTACATCTGATCTCGGCGGCATGCTTATTCTGGGCTTCTCGAGGAGAAAATTGGAAAAAAGGCCAGCAAGGCGAATGACCTGCAACGGCCTTCGGTTCAGATGCTCAAAATTTCCCTGTCCGCGGGCGCAGGTACGTACAGGAGGACCCAAGACCCAAGTACGTAAGTCCAACACATTTCCCAACACGGACTAGTGCGCAGTGCGCGTGATTGATTTTCCATGCCCAGGGAGCTAGTCCTCTTTTGCTCTGGCGCCGTCAGGGCTACCCACCACCACACACACTTTCGCAAATTCGTGTGTGATCCTCGCGAACTTTTTCTGCGACCTCTACGATCCGTTACAAGACCTCCGACCTCTTTTCTTCCCACCCGCTTCCCACGTCTTATCTGCAAAGGAAGAAAATCAGGAAAGATGGCCCCCAACAACCTGCCGTCGGTGCTCAACGCCACCACCCAGGACATTGAGATGCTCCTGGCTGCTCAATGCCACGTTGGCAGCAAGAACCTCCAGGTGCACATGGAGCCGTACCTCTGGAAGACTCGTGCCGATGGCGTCAACATCATCAACATTGGCAAGACCTGGTATGTTGATTTTGGAAAATTCGGGAGAACATTGAACGCTCGCGCAATTTTTAAAAGCTTTTTTCCCCGCTGCAAATTTGCGTTTTCGACTTGTTCCTGAAAAAAAAAAAAATTCACCCCCGTTCAGTTAAATATCGCAGTGCTGACTGGGGCGTGTTCCAGGGAGAAGATCGTGCTCGCTGCCCGCATCATTGTCGCCGTCGAGAACCCGGCCGACATTTGCGTCATCTCCGCCCGTCCCTACGGCCAGCGTGCCGTGCTCAAGTTCGCCGCTCACACGGGAGCGTCGTCCATCGCCGGTCGCTTCACCCCCGGCTCCTTCACCAACTACATCACCCGATCCTTCAAGGAGCCGCGCCTCATCATCGTCACCGACCCCCGCACCGACGCCCAGGCTATCAAGGAGGCTTCCTACGTCAACATCCCCGTGATTGCCCTCTGCGACTCCGACTCCCTCACCGAGTACGTCGACGTCGCCATCCCCACCAACAACAAGGGTCGCCACGCTATCGGTACCATCTGGTGGTTGCTTGCCCGTGAGGTCCTCCGCCTCCGTGGCACCATCTACAACCGCGAGACTCCCTGGGACGTCATGCCCGATCTGTACTTTTGTATGTCCATTCCCCCCCCCCAGCCCCCTATTTCTTCCAGGCACGCTCGCGCTCCTTGGTAGACAGTACCGTTTCTGTCGTCCCGTCTTGCTGACCCGCACACTCCCAGACCGCGACCCTGACACCGAGGCCGAGGAGAAGACGGAGGAGGAGAAGCCCGCTGAGGAAGAGGCGCCCGCCGCGCCCGCCGCCGGCGCAGAGTGGGAAGCCTCCGCTCCCGCCTTCAGCGGAACCTGGGACGGCGCCGAGGGCGGCGAGTGGGCCGCCTCCGGCACCGGCGAGTGGGCCGAGCCCTCCAAGGAGCAGTCTCAGTGGTAGGCCCCTGAGGCCTCTGCCGAAGGCATCGAATCCAACGACGTCGGAGCCCAATGGTAAAACAAGAACAAAAACTCGCACGGTTGAAAAGAGGCAACGAGGTGAATCGGAGGCAGTTGCCAGGCTCAGGCTAAGCAGGAACGTGGTGCACGTTTGTCGTCTCGGACTCTTTGGTCGACTTGGTTGGCACTTATGAGGGAAAGATACTCGATCTTGATCTTTTTTTTTCGCCGTATTCTTCCACTCCCCGCTGGCTTTTTGTTCCCTGCCCCGGTCCCACGGGCACACGGTGTGGTTTCAAACCCGCGCCCTGCGCTGGATGAGACGACAGGTGCAGGGGCGGGGGCGGTGGTGAGGAATGCGAGAACAGTAGTCATCAGGAGAGAGGGAAAGCCCTGTGCTGCCAAAAGGGATGGACTTGACCGTTATCCCGCCTTTGTTTCCTAGGCACGAACTTTGGATTGCGTGGCAGCTGGGGGCTGGGGGCTGGCCGTGCTAGATATTTTTAAAAAGGATGACCACGACACGATGTCGTCTATTCGATGCCGCTGCGATGCTGATCTTTCCGTCCCGGTCAAACATGTTCTGGGTCAGAAAGGTTCCATTTGTGATTTGTGCGGTTGGAATGCTAGCGAGGGGCGTGTAGAGTCCAGGCTGGGGGCTTTCTCGGTCCAGCGTCGAGCGTCGAATAAAGACTTTACACGTCTTCACGAGCGACCATGGGACAAGACTCGGCTCTCGCCCGGTACGTACGTGAGCCCTTGATGTCTTACGCCCCCGCCGCTTGAGCACTTTGCGTGCTAGACACGACTGGACAGTCAAAGGGTATAGATTCACATCTACCCCCCATCTACCCATCTATCTAGGACTCTCCCTCCGCGTGTGCTGGTGTCGACAAAGGAAATCGCCCGTCCGCCGCGTCGGGCGGGTCTGAAAACCCAACCGGGCGCCCTTTTTTCAAACGTCCTTTTCGAGCCCGACCAACTTGGCACTCAGCTCCCAGAGCCTGTCCTCGCCGTCGAGGTCGTAGGCGTGCGGCGCGGCGCCGGGGTCCAAGATGGACGCCGCGGCATCCGCTGTGCCCGCGACGCCGCAGTGCGCGAGGTACTTGCCGCCGTTGCCCTCGCAGGCCTTTGCGACGGCGGCCCAGACGGAGGTGGCCGCGCCCTGGGGCGGGCTCATCATCTGGGTGGCCACGGCGTCGTCGGCCCTCCGCGAGTGCAGCAGGCCATGATTCCTGGGCCGCGGTCAGTGATGGACGGAGCCGGGCGACTGCGGAAGACGTACCGGCATTGTTGACGAGGATGTTGATTGTGAGAAAGTCCCGGGCGGCTTTGCGGACGGAATCAAGCGAGTCCAGGTCCATCTCGACGACTTCCAGCTCGCCTCTGCCCGAGGCCCGAGGCGGTCCTGAGCACGTCCTCGGTTGTGGCGGCGGCCATTTCGAGGCTCCGCGCCGTGAAATAGACGTCGGCGCCGGTGCTGTGCATGGCGCGGACCGTTTCGACGCCGATGCCTGCCGTGCCGCCCGTGACGAGGACCACTCTGCCGGTCCGTGTGCCCTTTGCGCCGCTGTCCTCGACGACCTGGAGAGCGGTGGGCCGCTGGTCTCCAGGGCCAGAGGGGTTGGCGTAGAGCTCGGCGTAGGGGCTCAATGCGTCGGACATTTTGGGGCCTGTCTTCTTTTGGCTCAGGTTGGAGCGTGAAAATCGATTGCTTCTGTACAAGGACCGGATGTTGTCCGTCGTTGCGGGTGAGGTTTGAGCAGCGACGGGTGTGTTTCTACTACTTATTTTGTACTCGGGCTGCCAGGCGAGCGAGCGCAGCTTGGAGGGAGGTCCGAGGCGTATTTATGTCCCATGGCTTAGAGTTGGCCCAACGTCCAAAGCGCAGGCATCTCCGGCACGGCCTTGACGCGGTGGGCCGGCATTGTCCGCTCTGCTCCGCTCCGCTCCGCTCCAGTCCGCTGCCGTTTGTGGGGCTGAAGGTCGGCAATAAGAATAGTCTTTGAGTCTGACTCTGACTGCAGCGAGAAATGGGCATCGATTATTTGTACCATGTGGCTCTTACGTTTACGAGCACCATTGAGACATCACCACTCGGAGCAGAGGGAAGGAGAAAGATGATGTGATTGCCGGTCCCAGCTCTAGCTGACGGGCTGCGGCGACGCTGCTCGAAAAAACAGTCGGCGATGCCGCGCACATGCGCACCAGAAGCGCTTAATTGGTGGCTGACCGTTTGTTGGGTTGGAGAATCGATGCATCATGTCGTTTTGCGGTTTTGCACAGTTATTTGGGGCGTTTATTGCCTTTCCTTTGAGCCCTCTTTGTGCGCGTTATGCCCAGCCACGAGCCAAGGGCAGATAAGGGGAGGCCTCCCCCCCCCCCCCCGTCTCCCGTGTTATGGACGGGCGCCGACGTCGTCAGTCACGTCTTTGGCGACGGGTGGCGTATTTTGTAGGCGCTCTTCAGCCATGGCGTTCCCAGCCCACGGGAGCCGTGACATGGAGGCATTCCCCATGGTTGTGTTGTGTGCATGTATATGTGCGACTTGGAAGTCCACGATGACCTTGTACAGGAACGCATGCTGGAGAGACAGAACAGGAACAGCCGCGTCGTTGGTCCCTAGCAGCTCGTCAAACCGTACATGCATATTCCAAAGACGCTGCGTGCGCGAGATGAATAGACGGCGGTGTCGGCACGGTCCCTGGCGTCGACTCCCTGGCATCCCATCCTGGCACTGCCTGGCCGACAGCCACGTCTCCTGGAAAGGCATAGCTGTGTCTGGGTCGAGCGGCGCGACAGGCCATGACGGCAATTCAGGGTTGTCCATTTTCAGCATCTCCTCTCCAGTACCCCCAGCCGGGGCCCCAACTTGACCAGAGCGTTGCACCGAGATGAGACAACATAAAGGCCTTTTGGGAAGCTGATCTGGTGTTTGGACCAGGAGGAGGGCAGGGGGGTCTGCGCCCGTCTGCCGTCCCGGGCAAACGGGGCGTGAAGACGTCCTCTTCTGACCAAGATATGGTTCACTAGACGGCAGCAAGCATTGGGCTGAGTGAGCATGGCGTGCATGTCACGGGCACTGCGAGATACGGAGTAGTGCCACCGGTAATGAGAACCCTGGCCCGAATCCTGGGGCGCTGGAGAGCTGGTCAAAGACATGCAGCCCGTCCAATGTCTGATCTGTTGGCTTTGAGCCTTTTGTAAAGGTTCCTGGTGCGTGGTTGGGTCAAGAAGGGGGATGGTTTGTAGGGACACATGCAAGCTTGTTGCTGGACCTGCAACGGGAGCAAAATGGACGATGAAATCCGCAAGTCTTCCCCCCCCCCCCCCCTTGCGGTTCCCGACTCTCGCCTCCTTTTGCTCCTCGTTTTCCCGCTCCCGGAGAAGTAAAGACCAGCAAATGCTTCATCTCGACCAAGCCCGCACTGGCCAAAATCATGCTTCGAGGCGCATCCCGCTGGTTCCTGGCCAAAACCCTCCCCCATCTCGATGACCAAGAGAGGGCCTTCCAGCCCGTGCCGCGCCGCGCAACGTTCGACTCTGCCGCCAGCGCAAACAGGCCCATCACCATCGTCACGACCGACGAAAACGCCCTCGTGCCCCATCGGGACAAACTCCTCGTCTTCCGCTCCCTCACGGGCATCGACACCGTGCCCACCGTCTCCGGCGACGGCCATGCTCAGCGGGCCGCCCCCAACTTGGGCATCTATCCTCGCGTGATCAAGGCCGAGAGGAAAGCGGCCCGCGGCTTCAAAGTGTACAACATCATTGTCAACGTCTGCCTCGGCACACAAATCGTAGTTGCGGCGTCGTTGACGGCCCTCGGCGCCGCAGACGGTTCCCGTGTCGCCGTGACTGCTTTTGGTGCCATCAACACCATCATTGCCGGGTTTCTTACCTATCTGAAGGGGTCGGGCATGCCGCAGCGTTTGAAGTTTGTTCAGGACGAGTTCAAGGCTGTGCGGGAGCATATCGAGCAGCGTGAGCGCGAGTTCTGTCTAGCCGACTGTCCGCTGGACCCCATTGTTGAGGCGGCCATCATTGACGACATGTATCAGGATGCGAAGAAGGACCTGGAGGGGATCAACAAGTCGTCTGGGGGGAAGCAGGCGGAGAGGGGCGAGCGTAGAAAAGAGGTAGGAACAGTGGCGCCGTCTCTGGGGCATAGGTTGTCCAAGTTGACCGAATCAACAACCGGTCCGCCTCGCGTGCCGGGACTGGACAAGATTTGATCAGATGATTACCACTGAGCCCAGCAATGTTAACTGAAGGATGCCGATGCCACATGATGATGTACACTCGTGAGAGAAGGAAGGCTTTTGCCCCTTCTGAGGGATCTGTCAGTGTGTTGACCTGTTTGTATCTCTACCTTCACGTGGTGGAAACGGTCTCGACGGGGAGTATAATATTACATTGGGTTAAAGGACACGGTTACAATCCAAGAGAATTTCTCCAATCGCATTTACCGGCTACTAATCGTCTTGCTCTTCCAGCTCGTCGCCGTCGTCGTCGTCGTCGTCGTCGCTGCCACCATCTCCATCAATTGCGGGATCGGGCATAATTATGCTGTTCAAGAACGAGACCTGCACAAGCGTTTAGTCAAACGAGACAACCTTGCGGCGCTTCTTGACACATACGAAGCCAGCAATACCGCGCACGATTTCTTGCACCTCATGCTGAGCGGTATCCTTGGTGAACATGTCGGCATCGATCTTGGCGCCAATCGTGTAGTTGCGCAACTTTAACAGCTCGATATCCCTATGGGTAACTTCGTATCCCTAAGCTCAGTTAGTGACCAACGATGTCACGAGGGCCTCCAAGTCATCCCACCATTGGTCGTTTTTTGAGCGCGTTCTCTTGATTTCTCTGCACAAAGGCTTTGATTACTGCCTCTGGACCGGCATTGGCCTTGACATTGGGGAACAAAAATTTCTTCAACAAAGGTTCGCTAAACGTCCGTCGCCATCGATCTGGGTGTCTGTCGATGCTGCGGCGGAGTTTCGTGACGAACGCGGCTTCGGGATGCCACAAGCCCCCGCCGATGAAGGACGATCCGGGCTCGCAGTGCATGTAGTAACAGGCGTAGGGACCTTTCCGGCCTGTCCGTGACCAGGCGGCCGAGAAGTGAGGCTATTGCGCGTTGAGTCACCATCTTGGTTGATTGCCAGCAAGGGTTCGGCGTACCTTGTATGGCGTCTTCACTTTGCTGAAGCGAATATCTCTGTATATTCGGAATATGACGTCCTTGATGGGCAGTTCGGGAACCGTTTCATCTACTTCAATTATGGTCTGCGTAGCCGTCTCCACAAAGGATTGCCAATCTTTCAGAGCCCGTCGGTACTCGCCATCATGAGCTGCATGTTGTAAGCATAACGACGACACTCAACCAGGGCTCATCAGCTCACATTTCAGCCAACTTCTCTTGTTATTTGCCTTTAGGTCCTTGAGAAACAGCAACGTGTTCTTATGGAGTTTGTGATCTTCATATTCCACCCCTCCTGTATCCCTCATCTTCTCCAGAGGTATGATTTCAACTCTTCTTGGTGCTTCGTCGTCGTCGTCGTCGTCCGCTGCCTCCTCCTCCTCCTCCTTCTGGTCCTCATCTGCCGTCTCTTGGACGTACTGATCCTCCTCGAGTTGTTTCGAAGTTGACTTGCTTTTCCCAGAGAGTCGACGTTGTTTCTTCAGGGGAGCTTCATCCTCATTCGATGGAGTATCCGAGTCTTCGAAGTAGGAGCTCTTTTGTGAAGCCGTGGATAATCGGCCAGACCGTCTCCGATCAGTGCTTGGCTCCGGCGCAGATCTTTTTCGAGACGGCATCTCAATTGCAAAGTTCCGGCAGGGTTATATAGCTATTTTTCGCGAAATTCAATGGGATTCAAGGCGTAGCTGGACTTGGGTGATGGAGCCAAGTTCATCATCTCACAGGCGAGTGCGAGTGGTTGCGTCATTGGTGGAAGTGCCATGGGTCGCGGCAGTACTCCGTAGTAGTGCTGATGTACCTAGGTACTCCGTACCTACTAGGAGCCCGTTGCACCAATCCGCTTCCTTCCTTCCTTCCTCTTTTTTTTTTTTGGGCTTGCGGGAACGCGTCTCGCTCGTGGCGCGACTGTCGGAGATCCGACGGCCGCAATATGTGAGTGAAACCCAAGGATGTGGCCATTGTATCCTAGATTTGCGACGCCATGTGTTCGTGCTCCGAGGTCATGGCCATGATTGAATCAACCGCGTCCCGGTGAGATCGAAATCTCGTCATGTCTCTGACCAGATCTCGGCCAACACCAAAGCTGGGTTTGCATCGGTTGATAGTCCGGACTCCGCAGTCCACGAGTTCTCCCCGATGACCAAAATGGTACCCAAAGTCAAGATAGACGTCAACAACGCCAAGACCCAAGACTGTGGTGTAACTTGGCTTTGAAATACTTTCCAGCACCGATGCACAACTCAATTGCCAAGACGCATCTACGCCGCCCCAGGTCTGGTATCGACTGGTCGACCAGGGGCGCCTCTTGACGGCTTTGCTCCAGCACATTCGCGAGCCTTGTTGTGAAAATGTGGCCAACCGCTGGCACCAGCTTGGTGTCGGCCGGAACCCAGGTAAGGAACCCGGGCAGGGATGCTGGGCTGGTTGAGATGCGGCGAATGGCCGTCGAATCTTGTCCAGACCGACCAAAATGACTGGCACTCGACTCGAATCTCGGTTGCTCCATGACGTGGATTGTTCATGGGAGGCGCAGCCGGAGTTAATCACTCCGGACTCGTTTCTACCCCCCAAACAAAATGCTCTGCGTGAAACGAGCAATGCAAAGGGCGGGGAGATGCGGGAAGAAACGAGACGCTCAGGATATGGCGGCACACGACCATGGGCGAGAGTAAAGTAAAGTAGCCATTGGGATTCGAGGTCTCAAGAGTGTCCAATCAAGCATTGAGACACATCATTTCAGCATCGCCCGCTTTTGCCGCTCCTAAAGAAGCGTCGAGTGGATGAATCATTTATGTTTGTATGCAAGTTGGAAGTGGTCTCGAGGCCGTCGCTCAATTGGCGCGCGGAACAAAAAAAAGTCCAATTCCTTTGAGAGCACCGGATGCAAAAATAGCACAATCACTCTCCGACTCTTTTCCATTCTTTGCTCTTTGAGTGGCCAACCACCCCAACACACACGAGACAATGTCATGCCGTATTTCTATCGAAAGGAAGCGGTTGCGGGCAATTGTTATTGCGGTTGGTTCAATGGTGATTCCGTCTAGAAATACGTGAGTCAAGACAAGGCCACAAAAGAGGGACCTATATCAAAGTCAGTACTCCATAGCTATGCTTGCTTGGCTTATTGGTTCCTCCATGCACCACTGCGAATGCTTGCGGCAAATGATTGTAGTGGCTTGCTGAGAGCTATGCTTGCTTGTGAAGCGATGTGTGTGTGCGTGTGTGCGTGCGCGTGCGCGTGCGTGTGCGTGTGCGTGTGCGTGTGCGTGTGGAGCTGTCGTGTTGTAGTCGTAGCCTGCCCGTGGCTTTTGTCCCTCCCAAGGATGCTCCTTTGAAGTCGCCTCGTGCCTTTCTCACTAGTATCTGTTGAGGTGCAAGAACCTAGAGGTACGCACCTGGAACCTGCTGCCGTGGTGTCCATGGAAGTTCTTTCGTAGGGCCCAGGCACCTTGATACCTCCAAGAACTTGAGTCGGTACTTGAGTAGCAAGCCAAGTTCTTAAGTACTTCAGTACTTACCTAGGTAGGCCGACGAGCTTAAAGTTTCAAGTACTCGAGTACTCAGGTGCCCGTACGGAGTACCCCGCTCGGCCATACTAACATCCCAATCCAATTTGACCCTGGCCGGCCGATCAGTATACATACCAAGTACTCCGTACCTACCATACACTGACCCAGGATGGCAAAATTCAACCTCCTCCTATCCTCCTCCATCATCCGAGCAGGCCAAGCAAGCTAAGAAAACAGACAATGGCACACGGTGGCCATGCCTGATAATCTGAGGCTCTTTGGGGTGTCTGGCGGTGACGTGCTTGTTTCATCTTGGTCTTGTCACCCCGACAGGAGCTGTCCTCTCGTCCGTCCAACAAATGCCTGCCCTCACTGCGGTTCCTTGGTCCATAAAAAAGAGCTCACATACTCCGTACACGTGTTTTCTACCCCTATCAACGTTGCCAAAGCAAGCTCAGCTCAGTTGCCGCCGCATGGGGTTCGTTTTCCGTATCCACCGCTATCCACCTCGGCAGGTTGCCAAGAGATGTGAGAGGCACAGCCCACGCGACCCTTGCGGCTCTGAGAAACAGGGAAGGTGATCTCAGTCTTGGCTATTGCAGGAGCACGAATTAAGTTTCTCGATACGGAGTGCTCCGTGCCATGGCCTCCTATTGCTGGGGGGCTGTACGGAGTACGTAGCAGCTCCAAGGGCAGACAGAACCACATGAGCACGAGTAATGAATAGGAGGACGTCGGCCCCCCTGCACCGCTTGTCTGCCACGATTTCTAGAAAGGATAAGACGGAAGCAGGCACCTGATGGCCGGTCCCCTATTATTATTCTCAGGGTCAACTGGTCCCTTACGTCTCTCCATTATACACCTTGTCCATGGAAGTCAGCCTTGCTCCATTGTTCACGAACTGGACAGACCATGCTTGTGTGGCACAATAGCAGCTGCCCTACTCCGTACATTGCGCGTTCGTTTCGCTCCTTCGCTCCTTCCTCTGGACCTGTGCCGCTTCCCATTGATCCCTCGACCCTCTGCATTTCCTCGCGCACGACGGCTGCCGGAATCGATTCCTCATCTTTTTCTGTTTCATTTACGAATCTCAACAAAATACAACCGGCCGCGACTCCCCCTCCTTGTTCTTGACGAGCCGCAACAATCTTGATAGACGACGCATCGCCACGCGGCAAGTGGTGCAGTACGATACGGCCGCCCAAAATGAGCCGCGACCAGGTTCTGTCCCCAGAGACGGTGGATGCCATGATTGCCGACGGAGATGTCGTTGTCATCTTTGAGGAGCATGTCCTTCGCCTCGATTCGTGGCTGGATAGGCACCCCGGTGGTCGCCTCGCAATCATGCACATGGTTGGAAGAGATGCCACCGATGAAATAACAGCGTAATATGCCTCACTCTTTTCACCTCTGTTTTTTCACTCGTCAGGGAAATAATTGCGTGTCACCTTTCCGTTTCCCAGAGTGTTCAGGGACTGTCATCTTGGCGCTGCGCCGGTGCAAAGAGGCTGAACTACCAGACCCTGGTTGTGGTTGCCGGGGGTCTGCTACCCAAAGGGGCATGTCAGATCTGAATCTTTAAGCTTGAACAACTTGGGGCGGACTGCGGCTGATGGGGCTGCTGGCTGATGCATAGGGCACACTGCATTGTAACCCTTTCAAATCTCAACTACTACGAAATAAATACCTGAGTCATCATGGACTGAGGCCCTGCATTCTAGGTACCACACCGATCGCACGCTACGAACGATGAAGGCATACCGGATCGGCCGGAAGCCAATGGGTCCCTGGACCAACCGCACACCGCCAATCAGAGGAGGCGTGTTCCAGAAAGGAATCCAATCAGAAATCGTGCCCGACCTGTCCGAGACTCAATCGTCAGATCAAGACAAGGACTTCCTGGACGAGGGTTACGGTAGTGGCGTTAGCAGAGTTGCTTCCCGAGACCAGTCCCACAGATCGAGTCCGTCTCCTGCCTCGCAATATGCCACTGGGAGTCAGATAGCCTCGGACAGGGCCCTCCCGCGTGCCAACGCCAGCCATGTGCGGGATGGCATAGTCGAGGCCCAGAAACCCGTTGACGCTGACAAGGCGGACAAGGTTGCCGAGGCTCGGGTTGCCTTGAGCCCCGAAGAATGGACCGAGTGGGCTGTCCAGCAGGGCAAGGTGAATGACGGCAGAGACTTTCCTCCCTTGGACTTGCTTGTCCAAGGTGCCATTGCCGCCAAGTATCGACTCCTACACCGTCGTATCCAAGATGAGGGCCTCTACGCTTGTCCATACAAGGAGTATGTCAAGGAGATGGTCCGGTACACGACCTTGTTCGGTCTCTTCCTTTACACTCTCTGCCACGGCTGGCATCTGACTTCTGCCGTCTTCCTTGGCCTCTTTTGGGTTAGTAACACTCGATTCCGTTCTGCCATTTGCCCCGTCAACTCACATGTCGTAGCATCAAATTATGTTTACTGCCCACGATGCTGGCCACAGAGCCATCACAACCATCTTTGCCGTCGACACGCTTATTGGCTTGTTCATCGCCGATTTCTGCTGTGGCCTGTCTTTGGGCTGGTGGAAAAGCAGTCACAATGTTCATCACCTAATCACAAACATGCCGGTATGCTGCGGCCGATACTCGCATCCTATTTTGCAAACCCTCACTAACAGAGCCGTCAGGAACATGACCCCGACATTCAAAACCTGCCCCTTTTCGCCACATGTCCATCATTCTTCAAGTCCCTTCGCTCAAGTTACTATGACTTTACCTTTGTGTGGGACGCCGCCGCCGAATTCCTTGTTCCCTTCCAGAAGTACACGTACTACCCCGTCATGGGTATCGCGCGATTCAATCTCTACCTTCTCTCATGGCTTCATGTCCTCTCTTCCAAATCGTCGTCTCTCGGGAGCAGCAAGGCCTGGTGGATTCGTCCCACCGAGATTGCCTTTATGACGTGCTACTGGTTTCTGTTCGGCTACCTCCTGCTTTGGCGCGCACTTCCGACCTGGACCATCCGCGTGGCATTTGTTCTCATCTCCCACATGGTTACCATGCCTCTACACGTCCAAATAACGCTATCACACTGGGGAATGTCAACTTCGGACCTGGGAGAAGATGAATCCTTTCCCCAGCGGCAGCTGCGGACGACCCTCGACGTTGATTGTCCCGCTTGGCTAGACTTTATCCACGGCGGGTTGCAGTTCCAAGCCATCCATCACCTATTTCCTCGAGTTCCCCGCCACAATCTTCGCAAGGTTCAAGCCATGGTCAGGGAGTTTTGCGCAGATACCAACATTCCGTATTCGATTCTGGGCTTCATGGACGGCAATCGCAAGGTAATCAGTCGACTAGATGAAGTCAGCCAGCAGGTAAAAATGCTGGTCAAGTGTCAGAAGTACATGGCCGAAACCGGGGAGAGCGGGCTGCATTGAGATGAGTATCGCGATTGTGGTTTTTTTATTTTAATATTTCATTTGTATTCAGCATGACTGCAATATCAGAGACCTGTAGACCAAAGCTTTGCATAATACGGCGTTATTTGCAAAGGTGGGTGGGTCGCGGCACAACGGAGCCATTCGCTACACGATATCTTGTGGGGTTTTTACACGCTGGCACAATGCACATTTGCCGCCCGCAGATCTACATAGAAGGCGTTTCATTGTTTCAAGGCGCCAATCAGCGCAATACCCAGAGTCCTCTCAAGCCACGTGCTCGCCGGTCAGCCACGTGTTCAGCAGCGTCAGCAATGCCGGCCCTGTACCGAGATGAAACTTTTCTTTGTCCCCGTAAAGGCACTCACATCATTACCCCGATCCTTCTTTTCAAGGCCAGCACGACTCCGGTCGCTCACCCTCCTGAAGGGGCAGCCGAAAGCTTGGCTCGCCGCCGTAGCGCCGAAACGGGGATATTGAGCGGGGCCCGGAGGTTGTCTCCACACCGCAAGCGCGGTGATTTGGGAACTCGCCGTCTTTCCGGCCGGGCAGGCTCGACACGGTAAACGTCCCGATAAAGTCGTCGTCTAATGGCCTGCGGGTCATCATCGTCGCGCCCGGGCCCAGCTCGGGACAGATGCCCAGGCTCCCCGTCACCACCGCGGCAGCCCGTACAGCCGGGCATCCAGCACCAAGCAGCGTCCATCACGGCGAGTGGATTCGTCGTGCGGAACACGACGACCGGGGAGCTTGCGCCAATTGGACGCCACAGTGGCCGCGTGGAATAAACTTATCTATGCATTAGCCGATAGAGGCCGAGGCTCAGCTATGAAATGCGGTGCTGCTGCGTACGTAGTCCGCAGAGACTGACTACCAGTCCGCCTGGCGATCTTACTCCGTATATGTCGAGGAGAACCTCTGGTTCGGGCATCCCAAATCATTAGCCAACACAAAACCACCGTCACTCCCACAAAATTTACTTGGCCGTGTATATACAGAAATGTATGGCAAAAATGCAGCAACTGTCATTCATAGACGTCGTCCCTGTCCCAAACCCAACGCCTCTTGGAAACATTGTGCAAAAAGAGAAAAGACAGCAAGGAGAAAAAACATTATCCCGATGCGAGTGATATGCCAGGTGACAACGCTGACCGATACGGTGGGTTTGATATTCCAGCCACCTCAACTCAATAGTATCCGCGATTCTGTTGTGACTCGATATGGTATCCACTTGGTTGCGTCTGGTAATAGTCCAGTATGTCGTCGTCTGAAAAACGTCTCATTGACGCTAGCGACATCATGTCTCTTTGCGGAGGACAGTATTGAGCTCCCGCCTTTTGGGGCACTATTGACCCTGTTGTCACGCTCCGAAATTGTGGCAAATGTCCACTGTTGTTTCCATAAAATGGAGCTGGGCTCTCCCGGCCACCAACACCCCGGGAGGGATTGTATGGTTGATATGGACGAGATGATGTTGCATAACCGGTGGGATCTGTGTTGCTTCGATTCGCAGGCGGTAATGCACCGTAATTGCTGACCATTGTCGAGCCGTTCGTTTGTGTCCTCACAAGACCTGGGTACATGGGCAAGCCGCTCTCGGTCAAGGCAGGGCTGGCGGTGATGGTTCGCAGAGGAATGCCAGAACCAATTGTCGCATGTCCGTAGCCGGGTCTCCCGCTAGAAAAGCTCTGTTGCGAGTTGGATGGACTGGATCGTGGCGGCAGGACACTGGCTGATGAGTATGATGGGCCATATCCCACGTCTGCTGCAGAAGACATCAGAGGAGCCCGAGACGAATGGCTCGAGCCCGATGTAGAAGTGCCGGTCCGTTGCATTGGCCGCCTGCCGTCCATCGGGCCTAATTCGGTGTTCCCAGACGAGCCATGGCCATATGTATACACTGGTACCACGGCCGTCCTCTCATCTTGTCCCATGGTAGGCATTCTGGGAAGGCTGTCATCCACATTGTGCGGGACACCAGGTAGCGTCGGTAGTGTAGCCGCTCGATCGTGATGTGATACCTTCTCACCCGTCCTTTTCGCATATTCCAATTCCGCCCTGTACCTGTCCGCTTGCCCTTTGGCAAGAGCCTTATTGACTTTGGTCGTAACGATGCGCAAGAGCTTCTTGTTGACTTTTCTCTCGCAGTAGCCACTCAAACCGCCATCGGCACGAGGAATCCAATGGAACAAAAACAAAACGTAGAAAAGGACTGCCAGCAACAGAAACAAAGCCGAAAAGAACCAAACGACAAGAGTGAAACACATGCCTGACAAGATGACGGCCTGCTGGTAATCCTCCGCAGCCAGTAGCCTGACCTTGTCGAAGAAACCCAGGATCGCCCCGTCAACGCTTGTGGCGGTGGGTGCTAGCTTGGCTACGTATACCGATCTCAGCGTCAGGGCGTTTACAACCTGACGTGGACCAGAGCAAAAGATGACGCGGATCCAGGCTACAAGGCAGAGTCAGAATCAAAAACCGAACAATTCAAGGGAGGCCCAAGGCAAACATACACTTGAAGCTGAAGTAGGTGAACAGAGCCACATATTCCGACCCTTTTTTGCTCTTTGTAAGTTCCGCAAAGACGAGAAATCGCCTCCAACCCTGAGCTCCAAAACGGATTGACTCCCAGCGAACTGCTAAGCTGTCGAGGAAACATTCGGCCACATTGCCACGCCTCATTACACGGAAGGCTCGGACGCCTTCAAATGCAAGGTTGACGAACGAGAGAAGGATGCAAATGGAAAAAATCCATTTGGAGACATTGAACGGAATAGCAGGTTCGATTTTGGACGACCATTGATCGAAAGCGAGCAAGTTTACTGCAGTAAAGCTGTCGACGGCGTATACAGCGATCGAGATAATCAGCATGAAGCACAAATAGCCATATGCGAACCCGGGGCCACAGCCTTTGGCCCTGAAGTCCCGCAGGTTAATGTAGTCCCATTTCTGGTCGAGAAACTCGCGTGTCTGCTTCTTGCGGTTACGTGCGCAGCCCATTTTGCTGATGATGGCCTCGTCCAGCGGTCCAGCGGTCCAGCGGTCCAGCCGGGCTCAGCAACTGAGAGGACAACCTGCTAGTCGCGTGATTCTTGTTGATTCGGCGACTTTGGGGGTGGTTTGCCGTGTTGCGGTCCTGCCGTCAGTACACCTCGCGCCTCGGCTCGGAATGGTCTTCCTCCCCAGTTGAGATGATATATTCAACGTAATGCAATCGACGGCAAGGGAAAAGAAGGCCTTGGCTGACAGCAGCGGGAAGACGAAACAGAGACGGCCTACGCTAGACCGCTACTCCGCGCTGCCCATGACTTCCAAACACAGTAGACTGCGGCCAAGGGGCGATCGTCACAGCAGGCGGGCGGGCGTCGTCGTGGTCGCAAACAGGCTCTACTAGGCGACCAGCAGAAGCAAAGGGTGTTGCATTTCCCCCCAGCAGTAAAAAAGTAGGGGACAAAGGACCACGAGCAACCCAAGGCCAACTGAAGAGGGATTGAGACGAGCGTACAGGTGGAATGGCGTGGTCGGCTGAAGCGTATGATGTGCTCTTGGTCGAAGCAGGTCTCTGATGTCTGATTTCAAGACCAGGTATCAAGACTTTGAGGGCCAGTCGGAAACTATTATGTTATTAATAAGTAGAAGTAGTAGTAGTGGTAGCAGTGGTAGTAGTAGTACGTAGTGTGGCAGAAACGACAGGTCAAGATGGCACGAATGGAGACGAAGCGAAGAGCACGCCGAGATGTGGCAGGCGGGAGCTATTATTGTTCACGTTGGAATGAAGAAATGGCTGGTGTGAGAGATTAATGGTGGCACTTGGCGCAGTGTGAGTCGTGACGGTTGTCCTCGTCGGCTCGACTGGAACGGGCAGGCGCAAGTGGTGGCCGGTCGTCCCTTCCCCAGACTCGGGAGTCGGGACAGGTGTTAACGTTAGTTACAACACAAGTCAGGTACGGAGCACCACGAGGCACCGGTACTCGAACCCCTGGCGCCAATTGGAACAACCCAGCTCCACCATGATTGGCGCTTCTGGGCGGCGCTTGCAGGGTGGTCCGGACGCCCTGGTGGGGCCGTCGCTGGTGCTCAGGGTGCAGGCTCTGATTGGCCTGTTGACGGTGCCTGCCCCTGCCCCGCCCCCCCTGCCGTGGCCACAGCTCAAACGCCAGTCCCCGCACGCCTCTTCATCCAAGGTTGAACGTAGTCATTCCATTCCAACGGATGGCAACGATTCTGCAAACCCTCTGGCTTCAATACGACAACAAATCGTCGACTCCACCGGCGTCGTGCCTGCATGCATGGCCTGTCGATCATGAAACGCCTCTTGACGCCTGCTACCCCCATGATCCATGATGGCAAAGGTCGCTATTCAGTGTTCAAGGCGGCAGCCGGGCTAGCTGGACTTCCGTGCGTATTGGCGAGCGTGTGACATGGCCGTATGCGGAAAATGAAATTGCCTGTCATCTCAACTACTACTACGTACTCGGTCACCTTGATGGGAAGAAAATATGGCGCCATGCGAAGTGGCCCGTGGCCGAGGTGCGCACGGCGCGAACGGATGTGAGGCGCCATGGCTTGCCGACTTTGGCCTCAGACTATCGACGACAGATGATTGCCAGTTTCTTCGCTACGCAGAGAGGAGCGTCCTCGGATGTCGTACGGGCTCTTGACCAGTGTTTTAATTCTGTTTGCCTGTTCGTCGAACGCGATGGCGCCCGCATTTTGGCCATGGAGACGATCGGTCGTGACAGATTTACGATGAAGGACTTTTCCCTTGCGAGCTTGTTGCAGAGCCTCCGTGAAACGGCGTCGCACCGCGTTTCTTTTGCAAATACTATTCTATCTTATTTTACTTCATTTTTTATTTATTCGGGTCCGCCTCCGCTTTACTCAACTTGGTCTTCCCACAAGTGTCTGACACGTTGCTTGAGGGCGAGTCGGGGACATGCATCCCGGCCGGTTCGTACTCAAAATACGGAGTATCACGTATTGAATTCGCCACATCGCCGAGATTGCCATGTCATCAGGAACGCGGACATGACATGAGCGGTGTTTCATCATCACGGTCGAGCTAGTTAACGTTAGTCTTGAGGCATGACCTACCTATTCAGCATATCCCTGGCGCTGTTGTTCGCTCGCATAAATGACTTTCCCATTGTGGACTCGCCCTTTTTCATTGCGAAAAAGCCTTGGAACGGGAGCCTAGGACTGCCAACCCCCCATTCCAGTCCCATGTTGCGCTTCACAGAATTGCAGTCTGGGGTGGCCATCCGTGGGATGCACAGATACCTTTTCTGACTTGGCCACTAAGTAGCGCAGTAAAAATGAAACCATCCCATCCGTGTCGTGCGTGCTTTTACTCTTTTACTTGCACGTGGCAGCGTCACTCGTGGTCATGCATATCTCTGCCCTGCGATTGCTGCCCAGGCCCTGGCTCATTGGCAAGACGCAGGCCGGCCGTCAGGGCATGGAGTGCTTTTGCCGCGTACACTAGGCAATTCCACCATTTTTCCATGCAATGCTTGGCATGTACTGCTCAATGCGCCTCCTCAGAATGAGACTGCTCATGACTTCGTGTCGCATGCATCCGGCGACGTAATTTGGTCCACGCGTCACGTAGCCGCCACACCAGCCCCGAAACGGCTAGCGTGGGCCGCCTTCTCTCCAGGAGGAGCCGAGCCGCCAAGCCATACGAAGCACCGCACCGCGAGTGAAACACAAGTTGATCTCATCAACGCATTGTCCCGCGTCCCGGCTTCATCCCCCCCAGCATCGCCAAGTCGGCGCCCAGACGACCTTTGCAAGCGGCCTCGTCTCGCCCGTCCAGTCATCTTCTTCCACGGGCCACTGCCGCCGCCGCTGCCGCTGCCGCTGCCGTCCCCGTCCCGTCAGCAAGCACGTCACCCGCTTCGCCTCCCGAGCCCGCCCGCCGCAGCACGACGACGATTGACGTCGCCATCGCTTCCCATCCCCGAGAACCCAAGGACGGATCACGGACAATGACTCTCCCAAACCCATCGCCACCCCTCCTCCTCACGAAGCGCCTCAACGCCTTTCTACACGCCAACCAAACCCCCCAGCTGCCCACGCTCCTCCTCACCACCTGCCACGGCAAGCTCCTCGCCCACGCAAGCCCACACCCGGTATCTATCCTCCGCACACACGCGACCGTCGCGGCCTCGCTCCTCGCCATCCACACCTCCTCCTCGGCCGACGTGCCCTCCGCGCTGCCCGGCTCCCGAACCCCCGACCCCATCCCCAGCTCGCCCGTCCTCTACCCAGACACCTCGGATAAAGAAGACTACGGCGACGACGACGGCGACGACGACGACGACGACGACGACGACGACCAAGACGCAGCCCCCCACGCCACCGCAGCGTCCAAAAGGGCAGCCGCGAAAAGGAGAGCCGCCCGGTCCGTCAAACCCGTCACCATCACAGTCCAGCTCAGCGGCGGGACCGTCATCATCCGCCGCCTCAAATGCGGCCTGCTCTTCGTGTCCGTCGGCCCCTCGGCGCACGACCTCCAGCCCGACGCGCACCTGCAGCCCGAAAACGGCGACGCAGCCGGTAGTCCCAGCGAGGTGGAGAGCCTAGCCAGCGCCGGGGCACAAACGTCGTCCAGCCTGGAAAGCGCGGGCGCCGCCTCCGTCGTCGCCATGAGGAGGCACGCGGCAGACCTGGCGCGCTGGCTGGACGACAAGCTGGGCACGCTGCGCGTCCCCGAGGAAGGCGTCGGGTCGAGCGACTGGAAGAACTGACCCAAAGGACACGAGACATGTGCACTCTTGAAAAGGCCGAGCCGGCAATCCGGCGGCGGCCCCCTTCTGAGGGGAAAAGGGGACCATTACGGAGTACCCGGCGTTTGTTTGGCAACGAGGACCACGGCGTATGATTTTGGGAACGACTTCATTTCCAGTCGTTTGAAGGAAGAACAGAAAATTTCCCACCTCGACCGGCTTTGTCCGTCTTCGTCTATGCTTTGGCGCGTCTACTTGGGACACCAAATCCTTTTACCTGCCCACGACGTTGCAAGCTTGCGGCGTGCCAGTCGCAGACTGCCCTTATGCATGCCTTGGGTCTTTTCCTCACTCCGTGAAGCCCCGTTGACTAGAATAATTACAACATCTACCATGATGGTCTGCCATCGTGTCACGCTCATCTTGAAACCCATCAATCAAGCCTTGACGTCCACAAGACGCGCCGAATTCTCGGCTGAATTCAAAAAGTGTAACAATGTACTCGCTGCACAGAAGCAGATATCAGTGATGCATACGCCACGAAACAAAACGCCCGCCGATGCACCAGCAACTACTCCGTAATGCACCCGTGAAGGATACTCCGCCGGCCAGGAGGAGTCTTGCCCCTTTTCTATGCGCCCATCCAGCACCCGTCACTATTCTATACTCATACGCATGATACCATCGTTGGTGTCAACCATTCCCTGGAACCCTACACGACCTTTGCTGTTTATTCTCCCTGTTGTCCCGGCTAGAGGGTTTGCGGGAGTGCCGCCGCCAGCGCTTCCCGACTCGCTCTGGGCGCTGCTGCCCGCCTTGTCGCCTCCGGTGCTGCCGGGGCGAGAACCCCACGGCGCTGATTCGCGCTGCATAGGGCTCTGTAGGATGGGTGAGTTGTGAGCACTCATCCCGGGGCTGACGGCCCGTCTCTTGAAGCTGATGGGGTCGAGGTCGTCATCGCGACGGCGCTTGTTGTTGATCCTGCGCGTTATTTCTGCCGCGCTTGGCCCTTGAGCATTGCTGCACTGCGAGGCAGAGTGTGCGGACGCGAGCCCGGGTCCAGGGGAGTCCAGGCCATTGTCCTCGCTCATGCCGGAAGAGGAACCTCGGGGCAAGAGGCCCGAGGGGGGCGGTGTTGTTCTCGTCCCACACATGCTGCTCGACTCGGAAAAGGTGTCCCAGAACTGTTTCCCTTTGGAATTCCTGATGGCCTGTTGTTTGAAGCTGCTGGAAATTCCCGAGGCCAAGTCGCTCAGCATGTTGACGTCATCCTCTTGATCGTCGACAGGATCGTTGTTTGTTAGGTTTGGTGAGGACAAGACGCTGGCCGCCGTGCCCGACTCGGCGGGTGCTGCTTGCGAGACTCGAGGCCCACGCGCGACGTCGCTTTCGCGCACTTGTTTGACAACCTCTGCTTCTCGTCGGGTTTCGGCCTCGGCCGGCGCAACCTCTTCAAAGAGTGCGGCGCGGATTCGGGCAAAGGTTTTGGTTTTTGGCAGTAGGTTGCCACGACGGGTCACGGCTCGCTTGACAACACCGCGTTGTGATCCCTCGCTGCCGCCGTTGACGTCAGCATCGCTCTGGGACTTTGCGCTTTCGTCGGTGTCGGCGGCAGAGATGTGTAGCTGGTTCGCTTGCCAGCTGATGCTCTCCCTCCTCGCCTTCGCACCGTTGCTGGGCGGGGACTTGGACAGAGTGGCTGCGGCCATGTTGAAGCCGAGACCCAAGGGTCCGCGCACCTTCTTCTTGGGCTGTTTGTGATGGCGGCGTTGTCTTTTTTGGAAGCTCATGAGGCTGCTCATGGCAGGAGACCCAAACGGCCCCGTCGGCGCAATATTGGTAGTCTTGGAGACTTGCGGGGTTGTGAGGTATGGCTCGTCCATTTCCTCATCCATCAAGTCGTCATCGTCTGATGAGCTTGACGAGTCGCATCCAACGGCGACTTGGTTGGTGCTGCCTAGAGAGCTGCTAATATTCATCTTCTCGTGATTTCCCATGACGGACCAGAGCGACGAAGACGTTTGCTCGGGACCGCCATATTCGTTCCTGCGATGGGGGATGTTCATGGCCCGCTCCCCGATGGTGGGCGATGAGTCGGGGGACGATTCGGCGAGGGTCGAGTGATGCAAGCTGGTGGCAGCACGAGAAAAGTCCAGGCCGCGCGACCTGCGAGGAAGAATATTGGTCGGCGACGCGTATATCTGTGAATGGTCGAGTTTTGGAGAAAGAGGCGGAGGCTTGACGTAGGGATTCGAGGCCTGAGTTGGTGGTGTGAACTGTCGAGGAACCATTTGCAACGAGAGACTCTTGAAGTCGGAGCGTCGCGGCGTAGAGGGTGCCTGCGCGTCCTTGATGTGGGTGTCGTCCTTGGACGTTGCCCGCGGTGTTTCGACAATGAGCGGCGACGGTGACAGCTTTGAGGGTGTAGCTCCTCCATCGGACAGAGATCGAGTCTTGGTTGCAGGAGGCGACCTGCCGTGAGCCGCGTCGAGACGGCGACTGCCCGGTCTCTCGCCAGGGACACCGCCGAGGGAGTCGCTGTCGATCTGGATAGCGGAATCGTCAATGTTGTACTCTGCCATTTTGCGCCGGTTCAGTGTCCCCCTGCCGCCGTCCGCTGTCTGGAAACTCGGCGGGGAGACGGGGAGCAGGTCGTAGCAGTAGCAGCAGTAGTAGGATCAGCGCGTCGAGGAAGCCATGGGTGCTTGAGCTGGTCGTGAATTCCAGGGCGCGTTGGTCTCGTAAGCTGACATGGAATGGAATTGTGATCGATCACAACGCTTCTCTGCAACAAGTTTTGTCCAAGAAAAGAGAAGGCGGCGTACGTAGCGAGGATACAGGCGGTGGGCGGCAGTGACGGACAGACAAATGTTTTGAGAGATGTCGAGTCGTCGCGCGGCGTCTGAGCATGCGGAGTGGTGGGTGGTGGCTGCACATGCCCGCCATCCTCCGTACGGAGTTGGTGCTCCGTGATTTGTGGGCACCAGCACTGGCTCGATTAGTGACTTCCCAGTGGCTGGCGCTGCCTGGGCTCTGACTGGCTGAAACAAGGCAATTAAGCTGTGCCCCAGTGCCAGTGCCAGTGCCAGAAATACCCGCCGGGGGGGCCCCGCTCTACGTCTTCAACTCTGACTGACGGGTTGATGTCGTAGCCATGATGAATGAAAGTGCGGAGCAGTTCAAGGACGAGCGGCATCTGGCAGCGTCGATAAAGCTAGAGCTTGCTCACAGGATACATACAGAGTGCCTACGTGGGTCAACGTCCGAAACATGATCAAACCAGTTGGAGAGCACGTGGGTTTGACGTTAATACGTGTCGAAATCGTCTCCACCTTTTCTGGCTGGGCGGGAATCTGTAGTTACGTAGTTCCGAGCCCCAAATTGCATAGCGGGGCAGAAGCCGCGGGTCAAGCCCAGCTCGCCCTCTCCAGGTCAAAAACACATCATTGAAGCAACCCCAGGCCACACCTTGGACAGCACAGGAACTCTCTTCCTCCTCAAGGTTTCCCCCAAGCCAGGTACGGCGGCCCCCCTCCCTCAACAATCTCATTCATGCTCAGAGTCACCGTCCACGGACCTCCTCTACCTGCTGAAGCTCAGCTGGGACAGCAATCAATCAAGAACAATGGCGGCCACAACCAACACCAACACGTACAAGTTTAACCACTCGATGCAAGTCTGAGCCCATACAATCGATCCGATGAACGCTGGCTGAAGTGCAGTTTTCCAGGATTCGAGTCAAGGATGCCAAGGAATCCGGTGAGTCCCTCCTGAAACCCGCCGCCATGTAAACGCACTGGCTTCGGCTGCTTGACAAGTTGCGCTGATGGTTCGTACCGCATGTCAGTCAAATTCTACGAGTTCTTGGGCATGTCATTGGTCAAGAAGTACGAATTTCCCGAGGCCAAGTTCGATCTGTACTTTATGGGATACAACAGTCCCAAGGCCGTTTCCCACGGCAGCTCACACGTGAACCGCCAAGGTGTCATCGAGCTCACTCACAACTACGGCACCGAGGATGATCCCAACTATACCGTAAACAACGGCAACAAAGAACCGCACCGTGGCTTTGGTCACACCTGCATTAGCGTAGACAACATTCAGGCCGCTTGCCAGCGTATCGAGGATGCAGGATACAAGTTTCAGAAGAAGCTTACTGATGGCCGGATGAAGAACATCGCCTTTGCCTTGGATCCCGACGGCTACTGGGTGGAAGTAATTGGACAGAAACCCCTGGAGGAAACCGAGAACATCAAGGAGACTGATCCAGCCACCTACCGAATGGTACGGTCATTACCTCGTCGGGACACTTGGCCGATCTTGACCCTGTACCGATCCACTAACCAACGTCTTTGACAGAACCATACCATGATTCGCGTCAGGGATGCTGAAAAATCGCTGAAATTCTATCAGGAGGTCATGGGGATGACGCTTATCAGAACCTCCGAGAATGGCGCTGCCGGGTTCAACCTCTACTTCCTCGGCTACCCTGGTGCTCAGGACACTGCTCAGGCCAACCGCGAGGGCTTGCTCGAACTGACATGGAACTATGGCACCGAGAAGGATGCCAACTTCAAGTACCACAATGGCAATGATGATCCCCAGGGCTTTGGGCATATTTGTGAGTCCCGTGTCCTTGTCTGATCGACTGATGGGATTGAAAGCAAGGGTACCATTCTTACCGGTACATAGGCGTGTCCGTTGACGACCTTGACGCTGCTTGCCAGCGTTTCGAGGATCTCAAGTGTAGTTGGAAGAAGCGACTTACAGATGGCCGCATGAGGAACGTGGCTTTCTTGCTAGATCCGGATGGCTACTGGGTTGAGGTTGTGCAGAATGACAAGTACAGTGACAAGTACAGAGTATAAGGTCAAGAAACGGACGGTATGTAACCTATGGTGACTCGGCAACAGGGCCGAGGACGTTGTTTTTCCTTCTTTGTTTCCTTTCTTTTTCTTTCCTTTTTGGTAAAAAGTTGGGGTTGCTCACATTTCGTGGCCAGATTTCAGAATGACAAGCCACACGGTGCTATGTGATGCTTGTCCTCGTCATACTACAAGCGAGGACAGAAAACAAGAGACTGTGTAAAAGCGTGTGACACAAGGTACTCCGTATACCAAGCTTTTGTGATGTGGCAGTAGACCGGCCAACACCGGTGTAATTCATGCGAGAAACGTGCGGTGGGATGCCGTGATTGAGATTACCCGCCCGCTACTCAATACGGAGTACAGCGAGAGATAATTCCGGGCAGTTGACTCTTGAGACCGAGCCACGAAGCGACTCACCCGGGCTGGCTGCAGCCTGCAGGTGCCTCACGCATCGTTTGGCGCCGATCGGCGCCGACGTCGGGTCAGACAGCCCGGATGATACTTCTGTACTCCGTAGAGCAAAGTGAGACTGGGCACAAGGATTGCCAAAAGAAATCATTTGGCAGAGAGCCCAGAGCTGAAATCAAGACGGGGAGGAAGTTGGTCCCAATCCATGCACAACCACCCGGGCCGAAGGTTGAAAACTCATTGCTTGCTGCTTTGCACGAGGATTCTCGCTTATGAACAGCCCTTTGCAGGCCTTTCAAAATGCATCGCGACAGACCGGCTCCTCTGGGAAGAAGTGTGCTCAATACTGGACGCAGCTGAGGTGACGACGGTCGAGGTCAACACTTGAATGCAGCATTGGACGTGGAGAAGCGGAGCGACGGATGATGTACGGAGTACGTACCCCGCAATGGGCTGCCTGTACTCCGTGCTCCTCCAGTACCACTACTAATAGCAGCGACGACGTCATGTGCTCTGGCCACTACCTTAGGTCCTGTACCCCGTTAGGTACTGGGTACTTGAGGACTCAAGTTGCCTCCTATCAATCAGCACAGTCCAGTCCAGAGCCCAGACAGAGGCAGCGATGTTCATCCTCTCCGTGACAAAACCTGGACAGAACTCCAGACACCAACCATCAATTGATCCCACACGCTGCAGCCAAACTCGCCCTGCCAGGCTGCATGTGCCCACTTTGAACTGGATCGAGTCCGATTGACTCGACGCCGTACAGACGCGTCCCCTGGACTTTGCAGCCAGTAGCAACCAAGCCCGCCCTCTCTTCAAGTCTCTTCACCCGCCCGCATGCGTCTGCCCGCCGCCCTCTCATCAGTCAGACACACCGTCCTAGACTACCACCGAGTAACTACGGAGAACGGAGTCCGGGAACATGGAAGACACGGTCTGACAGTCAGCCACAACGAGGGCGGGGGAGGGGCCACGAGCCAGACCAGACCAGTTCCAGTTCCAGTTCCGCTCACGCGCAACACCCAAGTCGACTGCTCACCTTGAGAGACATTCAGAACAAGCCTCGACGTTTGTATGGCCCGTCCGCCCATTAGCGTCCGTCATTCTATTCCTGCAACATGGCAACATGGGTAGCAAAGCGTCTCCAGCCACCTCGGTGATTCGCCCCATATGCCCGTCAGGCAAAGCAACATAGTACTGCAGCATCTGGATGCAGCCCGCATTGGCTTGGCTTGCCTCACCAAGTCCCGGCACCAAGGGCAACATTTGGATGCGTTTGGGCCAGGACAGAGATCTGATTCGGCGTACGGAGTAACCTGCGGATTATACGCCAGCCATGTCGATTCGTCGGCCTGGATCCAGGGGTTGGCGTACCGACTTCTCTGTGCAAGACAATCAGCCTGACCCGAGGGGTAGCCAAAAACAATCAATGTCATGTTCGGCGGCTTTGGCAATTGGTTAATAGTAAAACTAGTCCTATCCCCCCCAGCCTTTCCTACTTGGCCATGACCCCGACCCTGTCTCTGGTTCCTCTATCCCCTCTCTTCTCCAACTTGATCGCCTCTTGTTGAGTCTTTGGTTTTGTGCCATTACACCGCTGTGTTTGAGAACAAGTCATACGCGGAACGTTGAATTCTGCTTCTGGCCATGACGCCCTCCGCCATCCTAGATCTGACGTCAGACTCTCCCCCTGCGAGAGCTCGTATTCTCGTCCCCGAGAAAGTCTCGGCTGATGGTCTCGCCCTGCTCACGCCCTATTATGATGTTGATGTCAAGCTGGGACTGTCCCCCCAAGAACTCATTTCCGTCATCCCCGGCTACCAGGGCCTCATTGTTAGATCAGAAACCAAAGTCACATCAGAAGTGCTACAATCAGGGAAGAGGCTCAAGGTGGTGGCGCGCGCCGGTGTCGGTGTCGACAACATCGACGTGCCGGCAGCTACGACGCAGGGCATCATTGTCATCAACTCTCCGGCCGGGAACATCTTGGCAGCCGCCGAACACACCATTGCTCTGCTTCTGGCGACGGCCCGCAATGTTGGCCGTGCCGACGGAACCATCAAGCAAGGAAAGTGGGAGCGCAGCAAGCTTGTTGGGGTAGAAGTTGGCCGGAAGACGCTCGGTATTGTTGGCCTGGGCAAGGTTGGCCTGAATGTTGCCAGGATGGCCAAGGGTTTGGGAATGCAGGTCAAAGCCGTCGACCCCTATGCCAGTGCTGACCTGGCTCGCCAAGCAGGCGTTGACCTCGTTCCAAGCCTCAAGGACATGCTGCCACAAGTTGACTTCCTCACCATCCACACCCCGTTGCTGGCGACGACGATGGACTTGATTGGGGAGGCGGAACTCAAGGCCATGAAGAGGACAGCTCGGGTCCTCAATGTGGCCCGAGGCGGTGTTTACAACGAGGCCGCACTGCTCAAGGGCTTGGACGAGGGATGGATTGCTGGCGCAGGCTTGGACGTCTTCACAAGTGAGCCGCCTGCGCCTGATTCCGTCGCGGCGCAGCTCGCCAGACATCCCAAGACGGTGGCCACACCGCATCTGGGGGCTTCCACGGTGGAAGCACAGGAAAACGTGTCGATGGACGTATGCACCCAGATGCTCGAGATTCTGCGCGGTGGCCTACCGACAAGCGCCGTCAACGCTCCCATCATCCTGCCGGAGGAATTCCGGAAGCTTCAGCCTGCGGTGCAGCTGGTCGAGAAAATGGGACGCCTCTATACTCAACATTTCGTCAAGGAAAAGGGGGGGATGATTGGTGATCGCAAGTTTGAGCTCATCTATCACGGCGACCTGGCCGGTATGCCGAACACGAAGCCACTTTTTGCTGCCCTCGTAAAGGGCCTCGTAGCCTCGTTCAGCGACTCTCACATCAACATTGTGAATGCGGCTCTCATTGCCAAAGAGAAGGGCATTATAATCAACGAGACACACGCACACCAAGCTAAAGACTTGACTTTTTCAAACCTGGTGACCTTGAGGTCCATCGCCGACGGCCCGGTTGGGTCCAGGACGGAGCAAATCATCGAGGGGTATGCGTCCGATAAACGGGTTTACATTTCGAAACTGGACTGCTTCAACGCAACGTTCAGTCCTGAGGGCACTCTGATCATTCTTCACAATTACGATGAACCGGGCAAGATAGGTGGCGTGGGCATGGTCCTCGGCTCTCATGGCATCAACATTCGATACATGCAGGTGGCCAGCTTGGATGCAGAGGCCCGCCAGGGGCACAACACGCCCCCGAACCAGAAGGACAATGAGGCTCTCATGATTCTGGGAGTTGATGGCGAAGTTGATGCAGAGGTCATGGAGGGATTGCGCAAGTCAGAAGGTGTTTTGGACGTCAGCTTGATACGATTGTGATGAGGGGTGCTATTCCAACCCCCGGGGAAAACGTTTACTCTTTGGATCTATAATGTAACCAACATGCCACTTGAGTCTTGACCAACTACTACCTGATGGGGCAATGGGGCTTGCATGAACGAGCATGCATATACTCTGTATGGATGTATTATTGCATCCGCAAGCGTCCGCGGCGATCTCAGCTCAGACTCCGCCGCAACGCTGCCATTGGCATGGACCCGTCCCCAGCAGAAACACTATTGTAATTTGTCTAGAAGTGTGCACATACTGAGTTGGTCCCCCCAGCAAGTGCATGTGCATGTATTTATCTACTCCCAACGCATGCCTGCATCACGATATCCTAGTGTAAGTGCCTAGGTACCTACTACCTTAAGTAGGTACTTAGGTACTTACCTACCCAAGTACCCAGGTACCCGAGTACCTGAGTTCCGAAGTCCGAAGTTCTCCCTCCGTACGGGGGGTCGAGGTGTGGCCCCGCGAGCAACAGGTCGGGCATGCAGCCAATCAACGCGCGTGGCTCGTCTCGCCCCTCGTCATGGACCCTGGCTACCAACGTACCAAGCTCGCTACTTGCGTGCAGCAAAGCCGCAGCAGCAAGGTACAAGGTACGGGTCAGTGGCACCTGCCCACTGTTGTTCTGCCCAGGACGTCTCCACTATTATCCGTTAATGGCAGGAGCAACTTTACAGTAGGACGTCAAGAGCATGTTAACTGAAGCATGTATCGGACCACGGCACGCTGTACTGTAAAGTACTGCAACATGTTAGTGCGTACCCGGTGGTTGGCAGACGCAACCATTCCACAGGCAGTATTGTAGCACCCACTCCGGCCGGACTCGACCAACCTACCCTTCTGCTACATTGATTGTTTATCTGTTTGTCTACCTATTCTAGCTACGACTTGACGATAGATTTGACTCGTCGTGGCCGCACGGCCAAGCGCCCTTCGATTAGTCGAGCCGTATTCGAATCCCGCAGCCACCCGTCGGTCCCTGCATCATCGAAGCCTTCGACGGTTACACAGAAAGCGACTGCCAGTGGGCGTGGAGTTGCTTCTGGCCACAAAGTAATATTGGCAAAGTCATCTATCAGCGCTTAAATCGGCCTGCATAGATTTTTGTCTTCAGGCTCTGGTTGTTCTCGTTGGCCTATTTCTACCATTGTCCTGAGCATCAACCATCGGAGTTGCTCAGTGCCGAGCGCGCGACAACAGGTTGTTGCGGCGTCATCTTCGCACCTCTCATACTGAGTATTCCAGACGATCGAACATGCAGCGCAACGGGGGCTCTGGAGGCTTTACAAACTTTCGAACATGCGTCCTGGCTATGGGCCGCGTCTTGGGCGCTGGCTTGTCGTCTGTCGCGGCTGCGCCATTGACACAAACAAAGCCGCGTTCTGATGATGACCTCGACGGGACATCTTTGTGGGTGCTCTACGTGGCCTCAATGGCCCTCGTGTTGCTCGGTGGCGCTTTTGCTGGCTTGACTATTGCGTGAGTTGGTATGCCTGTAGCTCAGGGTGCAACCACTTGGAGCTGCCTGACGTCGGAGAAGTTTCCCAGCCGTGCTGACTGTTTCTTTGCCATAGCTTGATGGGACAGGATAGCATTTATCTACAAGTCGTATCCGGCGACTCGACGGAGCCGCAATGCAAGAACGCCAAACGAGTACTGAGCTTGTTGAGTAAGGGCAAGCATTGGGTTCTCGTTACGTTGCTCCTTGCCAACGTTATCGTGAACGAGTCGTTGCCAGTTGTCCTCGACAGGACGTTGGGTGGCGGTATTGCTGCCGTTGTCGGCAGCACCGTTCTCATTGGTTAGCTTCAATTTGCTAGATCCGTTGATGCGCAAGATAGTTTGCTGACCCTCTGACTTATAGTCATATTCGGCGAAATCGTCCCCCAGTCCATCTGTGTCCGCTTCGGCCTACCGATTGGTGGATATATGTCGAAACCCGTCCTCATACTCATGTACCTCATGAGCCCTATTGCGTGGCCAACTGCGAAACTACTCGATTGGATCCTCGGCGAAGACCAAGGCACAGTCTATAAAAAGAGCGGCCTCAAGACCCTAGTCACTCTTCACAAGTCTCTTGGGGAGCTCTCGGAGCGGCTGAATCAAGACGAAGTGACCATCATCACCGCTGTCCTAGACCTCAAGGACAAACCCGTATCAGAGGTTATGACTCCCATGGTGGACGTGTACACGTTGGCTGAAGATCACATTTTGGATGAAAAGACAATGGATAATATCCTGTCATCCGGTTACTCTCGCATCCCCGTTTATCGCTCAGGCAACCCTACGGACTTTGTCGGCATGCTTCTTGTCAAGACACTCATCACGTACGACCCAGAGGACAGAATACCTGTCCGAGAAATTCCTCTCGGGGCCATTGTTGAGACCAGACCAGACACCAGCTGCTTGGACATTATCAACTTTTTCCAGGAAGGCAAATCTCACATGGTCTTGGTATCAGATCACCCTGGCTCTGATCACGGTGCTTTGGGCGTCGTTACACTGGAGGATGTGATTGAGGAGCTCATTGGAGAGTGAGTCCAGACTGGATACTGAACCAAGCGCTGTATCTAACGGGAATCCAGGGAAATCGTTGACGAATCAGACGTGTATGTTGATGTGCACAAGGCCATTCGGCGTCTGACACCGGCTCCTCGAGCCCGACGCATTCATGCTGAGTCTGGCGCTGCTGCCGTGGGCAGGAAACCGGGAGACGGCGCAGCCCTGGTTCACATTGCAGAAAACCTTGAGGTCCCCGACCCTGTGGTTGGTTCGGTCGGAGCGATGAGTGACGGCGTCCCGGAGAGGGCTCCCAAGACGGCCACCTTCATGAGGCGGCGTGGTTCTGCAGGACCAGATGGCACGGCCGACAACAGACCCGTGCCCTTCAAGGCGTCGTTGAATGAGATGAAAGAGCAGCTCCGACACCTTGCCCCTTCGAACCGCGCTGCCAATCCTCGAAACACTCGCACCAATGTTTTCAAGATAAAACAGGGCCTCAGCGTAACGACGTTTGTTGCGGGCGACGGCAGCCCCAGGCCGCTTGAGGGCCCAGGGCCGAAGCAAGACGATGTCGCATACACCGACGAGTCAACTCCTCTTCTCAACACGAGCGATTTGAATGGCGGCGGGCCGGAAAACGGGTACGGGTCCGACAAGTCAAAAAAGGACGAAGTGAGATCCAAATCGCCAGAACATTAATAAGACCCGAAGCCCCTCAAGAAATAGCGGCTTCTTTTTCACAATTAACAAACAAGAACACGCCCCTTGGTTCACTATTGTCGGCTTTGGCCGTGAGCGAAACTGTATTAGCTGGAGGAATAACAAAAATGGCATTTTGCGTTGGTATGTACAGTCAACTAGTATCAGCCTAGATACTCTGGTATTCTCTGAAATTGTCAGACGTGCCCAATCATCCCTCAATGTCGTGGGACCTGCATGTAAAGCTTCGCCAAGCCTCGTGCCGCCGGGGCCTAGAAAGGGCCCCGTGGCAAACTGGCAGAGTTTCATGGCCGGCAGTCAATACTCGCCCGGCGGTAGCTCTCTTCAGGGGGGAAAAGCTTGGCTGTTCTCTGGGGTATTTAATATAATGTATATACACCCAACTAGCTATACAACTAGTACGTCTACCACTATAACTCGGCTGTATAGCAAACACCTTCCAAGAAAAAAAAAATCAGTCGTACCAAATGGCATTCATACCGAATCCTGGCTCGGGCACTCTCACTCTAGCTACGCGCGCCAGAAACTCGTCCTGCCAGCGATAAATCTCCAGCCAGCCCTCCTGGTCGTCGGTAATGGCTATCCATTCGTCGCACCAGTCACTTGGGGCCACGGCATTGCTGTGGCCGCCACTGGTTGGCGTGGGATTGAGGCATATCTGCCTCTCGATGGCACCGTTCTTGCCCAGCTTGAAGGCGGCAATGTAGCCTGTCAGGTCAAACGAGTTTGCCCTCGAGGACGCAAACAGATATTCGCCCGAATGAGATAGCGAGCACACATCAGCACGATACATGGCCCACCGATCGGGGATGCCGGGCGGGACGAGGGGGTACTGCTTGTGCGTGTACACGGGCATGTGCGTGGCAGGATCGACGAGGTACTCGCAGATTCGGTTGCCTTTTTCCATCAGGGCATACAAGTAGTTGCCGGAGGGGTGCATGGCCACCCAGCGGGGGTGGTCCGTCTCGTCGGGGCATTCGACGCAGCCGACGAGCTCGAGGGTTGCGTTGTCGGGAGACGACGGCGCCTCCCTTCGCCGGCGGTGAGTCCAGATCTTGTTGGCCCTGAGGTCCGCGGAGTAGAGGTACGTCTCTGACGGGTCGAAGACCATGCCGTGGACGCCAGAGTCGGGCTGGTAGGCGTAGTGCTGGACGGCGGCCTCGAGGGCTCCTGAGGGGGACGAGGAGAAGACGGTGCCGTGGCCGGCGTGGCTGTAGAACGGGTTGCAGTATACTGCGTGAGGGGGCTGCTTGGCGGCCAGGAGGAAGATGGCGCGCGTGTTTGTGGATGCTGAGGACGCTTCGGCTGCGTGGTGCGGCGGCTTTAGCATAAGGCGTCTCGTTCATCCCGGAAGGGAGGGGAGGTCCTTGGCTGGATGGGTTTCTGGAGGCGGCGTACATACGCTGGTGAAGCATTGGGTGGGAAGCTTGGTGGATGATGGATGTTGGGGACTCGACGGCAAAGCTGGACCATTTCTTCATGGCGGCGCCGTAGATGGTCTTTTTGGCGTGCTGCCGGATGTGTCAGGACGTGGCCTTTGTCTTTCAAGATATCCGAGTGACGCTGGGAGAATCAGGGCGTAGGCGGGGGGTCTTACGTCAAAGGCCATCCAAGAAATGGGTTCATCTTCTGGGATTGGCGTTCGCTTAACTAGCTCGACGGTGAGCTTTTCATCGTCAAAGGCGAACGTGAAGATGGCTCCTGGCGGCGTCCACGTGCCGACCATGAGGTGATGGACGGGCATGTTTGTGGGAGGAGTTGGGGCAGTGGCAGGCCGTAGGACGGAGCAGATGTCTGGATAACTCGGAAGTCAGTTTGAGATGAAGTTTTGACATGGAGGGCAAAATTTTGGATCCGGGTTGACTACGTCTATTGCAGAACAGATGGGCATCGCAAACTACCCTGTGGTTGATGCAAGTCGTCGCCTTTCGTACCTGCCAAGTCAGGTTCACGCTCTTCCACCGGAGTACTCCGTAGTTACTACCCTGGTTCCCAAAGTGCTCGTGTACCTATCCCAAAGTACCTAAGTACCTACCTACAAGGTACTTACCTACCTAGGTACGTAAGGCAGGCCCTCTGTTCTCCTACCCCGTCGTTGCTCCCGTGATGACGTACCGTTTCCCCCGATTTCGCGCCTCGGAACTGAGAATATTACAAAACAGCGCCAAGTGCCGCACGACAGCCCAGGTGAAAAATATTTTGGTCAACCGACCACCCTACCGACCGTGAACAGCCGGCACACGGTCTCGGGAACCTCTGGCGGCAAATAACTGCCCGGGTGGTGGACACAGGTGGGGTGGTCAGCATCGGAGACTCTCGAGCTTCTGGCCAATCGGAATCAGGTTATCCACAGATCGGCACCCGCGATCGCAAACTCGAACACTCTACATATCCGCCAGGGACTGGTGAAGCAGTGCTAGCGGCGCCAGATTCAGACATCTGGACCTTTTTATGGTTTGCGGGGTTTCGACCGTCAAGATCTAGTCCAAGTCCCTGATGATCAGCATCGCTCCTTTGTTTTTGCGGTCAGGGAAAGGAGGGGGGCGTGTGGGTGAATGGTTGCCAAATGGCGGACGCGCAAATGTCATCCGCTTCCTGATGCTGACAACTATTTATAAAGTCTTTGCTGCTCCGCGGGTGGCGGAGGACCCTGGGGAAAGTATATATTCGACGTGATTCCCCGTCGACGGCTCTTGTGTCCTCCATCTCTGAGCCGGTAGTTCTCAGCTTCAACCTTGCTCTGCTTGACGACAAGTCTGCCATACTATCGCGTCAAGTCACCGCCCGGGCGGCAGCAACTTCCGAAGACGCCATCTACCCTCATTCTCTCGCCACATCTCTCTTCTCCCCCTGCTGCGTATCTTCAAACGCCTCTGGTCTGCCGCGATGACTACCAACGGTCACACAAACGGCGCCTCGGCCGAGCCAAGCAGCCGCTTCGATCCCAACTTCACCAGCCATGTCATCAAGACCATGGGTCCTGATATGACGCCTAGAAATCGCCAGGTCCTCAGCAGCCTGATCAGACACCTACACGATTTTGCGCGGGAGGTTGAGCTGACCAATGACGAGTGGATGGCCGGCGTTCACTTTGTCAACTTGATCGGACAGACGTCTACCAAGACGAGAAATGAGGCGCACCGAATTTCTGATGTTCTCGGTCTTGAATCGTATGATTAGTCTTGTCCCCTCCCCTTCTTCTGCCGCAAATGTTCCCCCTTGCCGTGCCGGCTGACACGCGGATCAAGTCTCGTGGATGAAATTGCCAACAAGATCATCGCCGAGGGAGACCTTGACCCAACTTCATCCTCGATCCTCGGGCCCTTCTGGTCTCCCGATGCGCCCTTCCGCGAGAACGGCGGCACCATCATCCAGGATCCCAACCCCGAAGGCCGCGTGTGCAGGATGCACGGCACCATCACCAATCTCCTCACCGGCAAGCCCATCCCCGGCGCCGTCTTTGACATCTGGCAGGCGAGCGCCAACGGCAAATACGACTTCCAGGACCCGGAGAACCAGACCCCCAATAACCTGCGTGGCAAGTTCAGAGCCGACGACAACGGCCGGTACTGGTTCTACTGCTACCATCCCACGGCCTATTCGTTGCCCACCGATGGTCCAGCTTATCAGCTCATCACCCTCATGGACCGTCATCCCATGCGTCCCGCGCACATTCACATCATGGCATGTCTCTCTCTCCCTCCCTTTTCTCCCCTGAAAGCCCGTGATTCGAGAACGGGGGCTTTTACAAGAGCCGCTGTTTGAAAAGAAAAGGCAAGCCATGGCAAAAAGCTGACCTGTATAAACTCTAGGTTACGCATCCCGACTTCAAGGGCTGCACAACACAGCTGTACCCCAAGGACGATCCCTGGCTCGAGACTGACACCGTCTTTGCCGTCAAGGACGATCTGGTAGTCGATTTCAAGCCAATCAGGGGCGACGATAAAGCTACTTTAGAGCTCGAATACAACGTGGTCCTATCGCCCAAGGGTTACAAGGGCAAGGTTTTTTAAAGCCGCTCAGGCTGGCCGTTCTTGTCTTTTTTTGTTTCTTTTCCCTCAAGCATGTACGTGTATTATATGAGGCTGGGTGGAAGCGGTAGGCGAGTATTTGCATTACATACAAGGTCGATGAATTGGGGAAACACGAGGCTTGGCCGTGACTGATCCCTGTCTGCTGCCGGACCCTATCTCGCTCGAGTGCATGCTGAGCGCGGCAGTATAATGAACCGTGTAGCCAACTACTAGCAGTGGTGTGTGTGAGACTCGAACTCTCCAAAAAAAACTAGGTGCACGGCGTTGGGGGCGAGACCGGCCGACATGCCGCGAGACACTGTGCCCTGGTGGCGTTTGACAGCACGCACGCGCGACTTGCGCGGCGACAGCAGTGACGAGTCCCACGGTGCTTGGCTTCGCGCTGTGGACTGCAGCAGTAGTACTCCGTACGGACGAGGATGGAGGAGGATGATGTGGTGCGACATTGGCCGGACGGCTCATGGCGAACCACGAATCTTTTGACGTCGACGCGGCGAGGGTCTTCTCCAGCAACCACCTGCGTCTGCGTCACATCAATGCGGGATGCGCAGTTGCTCGGCCGCACAGCCTGTGGCCGCGGTGAATGACAGAAACAAAAGTCACAATACCGATCATGATATGGGGTGCTCCGTACTCTGCATGTAACGCATGCATGGGCGTGGACGGCATCAACTCGCGTTGGGTGCAGAGTCGAGGGCCCGCAGACTTTGGGTTCGGGTTGGGTTGACCGTTGGGCGAGGAGATGGACCCACATCGGCGGTCGCCACAGCAACGGCTGCGCTAGTAAACAAGGGCGGGTCTAAACCTCATCCAGAGGGCATCTTCGTTGAGAAACCTATCCGTTTCGCCGTTGGATTGATTTATTCGCAATGATATAAAATACTTGATTTGGTGCATCGCCAATTTATCCGTCTTATTTTCTCAGAGAGCCTCGTGTTCATTCATGCCTTTTCGGGTTCATCCACCGACTCAGAGGCCTCAAACCAACAGACCTACCGGCCGCGGTTTACGGCGATAACGGGCAAAGGGCCGCGTCTGGCGACGTTTTTTTTGGGTCAACGGCTTTTTTGGGGACAAGCGGCCTCGACGATTGAGACGTTGATGCGTACCACGGGCAATGGCGTCTGACAGTCGCGGAGAAAGTCTCAATTTTGAGGGCAGTTCCCCGTCCAAGCCATCATCGTTCATAGTTTCGTTTCTCCATCGTCGACAACCTTCAATCGACAAGGCGCTGTCGAGTACTACCTCTGCTGCGGAACAGCTCGGCTTTCCGGACAAGACCATGGTTGGACAACTCCTTAGAAGTGGCCCCGGTGCCCTGGGCGAGCTGCAGCAGAACCAACAGGACGTTGCTCCTCGCTCTCCAAGAAAGTCCCGCGATGAGCCTCGGACTGGTAGGCAGTCACCCACAAAGTCCGCCCTGGGCAAGTTTGCTTTCCGATCGAATGCCGACAAAGAAGCGGCGCGGACGGCCAAATCCCGGGACGGGTCGCCGCAGAAGCCCAAGAAGGCCAAGTCGGCAACGAACCTCGCTGGCCTGCTGCCACGGCCGAAATCGCTAAAGAACTTGTACAAACTGGCCACTGAAGAGGACAACCGCAAAAGAGACAAGGAGAACATGACGCCCGATGGGACGCCGGTCAGTGAACGACCACCGCCGATTTTCGCCCAGTTCACCTCGGATCGAACCGTGAGGCAGGAGATTGGTTGCTCCGAAAACACGCCAGGTCGAGCCGTCAGGGATCGACCCAAGACGTTCCAGGGCCCGAAGCCGCAGGATGACGCTGTACACTGTCCTTGGCCTTCTTCGTCCTCACCCTCCAAGACGAATGCTCGTGCTGCGCGGCCCGTGTCTATGCATCCGACGCAAACTCCTCGCGGTAAAGGTGCCTCTGGCCACGGACGCTCCAAGTCCGCGGCCACGACCCCGACCAACTCGTTGCCTCAGCTGCGAGTTGACCCCAAAGACATTGACGCGCAGTTGGAGGCCCTTCTGGATCGTCGCAACATTCCCGAAAATCAGCGATACAAGATGCGTAACCTGGCCGACACCATCAAACTCGAGTTTATCCGCCAGGATCACGCAGAAATGCAGGCCGCCCGAGCGGATCGGCCCGGAACTACAGGCACGACAGGTAGCACGAGCAGTGCCGAAGGGGCCATTTCCGGCGATCTCAATAGTCCTCACGAGGTTGAGGAGCGACCAGCGCGCAGCCGGGGCAGAAGCTTCACATTCTCCAGAGGCAAGAAGGGCTCGAGCTCGCCGGCAAAAAAGCCCAAGGGGGAAGCAACTCTTGGCCACCACTTCAGAAGCCGGTCCACGGACAGTGTTGCTTCTGATCCCCGTCCTTCCTCCTCTTCTTCGCCGTCAAAGGCGTCCGGGTTCCTATCCAAGATCAAGGCTCAGCAAGGCCCGTCTGATTACGTTGCGTACCTCAGAAAGGTGCAGAAGCCGGAGCTGGTGGAGGTGGGCAAGCTGCACAAGCTGCGTCTGCTGCTGCGGAATGAAACGGTGGCATGGATTGAAGACTTTATACAGCAAGGTGGCATGCACGAGATTGTCGAGCTGCTGAACCGCATCATGGGGGTTGAATGGAGGTGAGTCACGCACAACCCAGCCAAGAGGGGGGGAGCATTCCGTTCCATTCGAGACTGACGCTGACGGGGGCGCGCAGAGAGGAACACGAAGATGCCTTGCTGCATGAGAACTTGCTGTGTCTAAAGGGGCTCGCCACCACCGCCAAGGCCATGGAACACGTCAACGCCGTTCAGGCGCAGCTGTTCCCCAAGCTGCTGCACCTGCTCTTTGACCCTGAGAAGAAGGGACCGAGCGAGTTTACGACGCGAAACATTGTCACGTCGGTTCTTCTAACATATATCGAATCGGCTCCGCCGGCGGAACGGGTCGTCAGAGTCAAGAACGTGCTCGGCCATCTCCGGGACAAGGATACGGAAGAGGGCCGGCGTCCGCTTCCCTTTGTCCTGGAGATGAGGCAAGAACGGCCGTACCGGGTCTGGTGCAAGGAAGTCGTGTCCGTGACAAAGGAAGTCTTCTGGATCTTCCTGCACAACCTGAATGTCGTCGCTCTGGCCAGCGACAAGGCGGCACGGTCGACTGCTCCTCAAGAGGGGTGCTCTGCCGGCGGCGACGAGCATCGAGACGGCCCGTTTGGATACATGCTTCGCCACTTCCCTCAGGAGCGGCCACCGGTTCCTGCTGCACCCTACGTCGGGGGTGTCGAGTGGGATGCGACAAACTACCTCGCTTCTCATGTCGACCTCATGAACGCCATCATCGCCTGCACCCCTTCCACGCGGGAGCGGAATGCCCTGCGGGCCGAGTTCCGCATCTCGGGGTGGGAGCGGTGCCTGGGCGGCAGTCTCCGTATCTGCAAGGAGAAGTTCTACGGCAGCGTACACGTCGCCCTGCGGACGTGGGTTGCCGCTGCAGCCGAGGATGGCTGGGACGTCAGGGATGTCCGCTTCGGGCCTCCTCCTGAGTCGAGAAGCCCCAGGAAGACGGCCGGTGGCCAGAAGCCCAAGGTTGAGGCGCCGCCAAAGTTGGAAATGCCCAGGCTTGATTTCGGGGACGTCCAGCCGGCCGAGGACGCGTGGCTGTAATCAAGACGACGACAGCGAGCTCATGAGTCACGTCACCTCACGTCACTCATCGTATGGAAAGGACACGAGAGATTGGGTACGCACGCATGGACGGTTCTCTGTTGCCGCCAGTCACTCCTTTGGTTTTTCGTGCATCTGCATCGTCATTTCTCTTTCATGACTACCAACCAGTCCATTGGGTTGTCGTACATTTCGGGATTCTCGTTGGGGACTCTCTCCTTCTCTTCTCTCTTCCTTTTTTTCTTTTTGTATAATTGGGACTGTTGGTGCTCTACGACTGCATTGATTGCATGAATGAATTTGACGAATTATGAAACATGGGCCTGAGTTCAAGTTCAAGCCGTGACTGTCTTGCCGTGTGACTGTCGTGTGCTGCTGGTCTGACTCTTGTATTCCCCCCTCGCTGTCCGTCTTCTGGGATCCTGGGCATGGCGGGTAGGGAGAGGCGTGCGGCGCAGCTCCCGGGAAACACTGACGACCAGTGTTCGGCCGGCGGAAGCAGCTCCGTCGCTCTCGTCGGCTCGGGGTACGGAGTACAGAAATCGCAATTCAGGTCCCCCGGTGGAGCTTGAACGCATCGTGTACCGACATGCCCTTCAGCACGTCCTGCTTGACCCTGTCGTCCGCGGCGACAAGCCCGGGCAGCATCTCGAGGACCTGGTCCAGCTTGTCCCTGGGGATAATGACGACGCCATTGGCGGGGTCGTGGAGGGCAACGTCGCCCGGGGAGACGACGACGCCGTCGATGTCAAGGGGCACTTGCGTGGCCCAGGGGACGCTGCCGCCGCCGGAGCCGACTGTCGAGACGCCGCGGGCCAAGATCTAGTCCGTCGCGAAACGGGTCAGTTTTTCTGCACGCCGTCTTCACCGTCTTCCCCTTCTCGGCTCCTTCTTTTTTCGCACGGAAGGGGGATTGCAGTACCGGGAGGTCGGTGCGTTTGAGCTCCTGCACGTCTCGCACGCGGCCGGCGACAATGATGCCCTTTGCACGGCGCATCTTGATGCGGAGGGCCATGATGCCACCGCAGATGGCGTTTGTCTGGCCCGGGGGCTGCCTCATCACCACAAAGGTGCCCGGCTGGGTGGCGTCGCTCCAGTGGCCGTCCTTGGGGACGTTGGGCGCTGGTTCGGCGGGAGCCTCGCCCTTGGCGGCGAACAGGACGGTGGACACGGGCGCGACGGTCGGGCTCTCGGCTTCCTTGCCCGGCTTGGTGCTGTAGGGGCTGAGGTCTGCGATGAATCCTGCCCCGGGGACCTTGAGCTTGAGGAGAGCGTCTGAGACGTCGCATGCGGTGTACCGCTCGAGACGGGCGAGCGCGGCGGTCGACATGGTCGACTTGGTTTGTGACGCCAGGCGGGGAAGGAGACTGAGCCGCGGTCTGGCGAGTCTGGAAGATGGACGCATGCCTCGGCACCTCTCTGGATTCTGGAGGCTGGTGTTTCCGTTGCACGTCGTTGCGCCTCGGCTCGGCTGACCCCGGGCCGCGTCCGTCGCAAGTGGTTGCATGACGTCGCGGGTCCGGTGGGTCCCGGACGGCGCTGAGTCGTGAGCACCGAGGTGCCTTAGGTACTCCGTACTTGAGGAGGTACTTGGACGCCTCGGCGGCTTGAGTCCGGCACCTGGGCAAGGTATCTAGTCCGGTACTACGTAGTACTTACTTACTCAGTCGATTCGCGGGAGCTCCCGTTCGTCTGCCGACTGGGCCAATCAGAACCACAGCAGTTGTTCTGCAAGTCTGGCCTCGCAGGCTCGTACTTTATGTCTGAATCCTGATTCGGCACAATGCTGTCCTTGATCTGCTGGCATGAAATAGTAGCACGTGTCTGAGACCAAGGACGAACCCATTTTCTTCGTAGCCAAGTTTAGTTTCAACAAGTCAACTCGAGTCTTTCAAGCCCAACCACTCCGTACAGAATCACGACTCTCAACTGTCTGTCGGTTCTCGCCGCTTGGTTGAACATTCTCTTCAAACCGGAGCCGGAGCCACATGGACCATAGCGAATACCACACGAATGCGGCACGCAATACCACGCTCATCGCGATAATCAACCGCGTTTTCAAAGCGGACGAGCTTCCTTTGTTCCTTACCTGCCCGCTGGGTTGAGATGCGCCTCATCCCCACACGAACAAGGGTCATTCGATTTATGGCTGAGCTCAACAGGCTAGGATGGAACTGAGTAGCGGACATCCAGCGGCACAGCGGCGTGTGCCCGGCCTGGGTTGTCTTTGTGGTTTGCTTTCTGTCATTTGCAAGTCCCGCCAAAGAAGCCGGGAGAGACGTTGCAGTATTGTACCATCTCGTACGGTTGACCAAGTCCCGAGTCCTCGAGCACTCAGCAAGAGCATTCTTGGCCAGACAAGTGTGGTCCAGGCACGTGGAGAGTGAGACATAGGCAGCCGCTCGTGCTCCCTCACCCCAGGCCATGGCGGCACTCGAGACGGACCCATCTCCCGGACACAAATCATGTCTAGTCGACCCAGCCATGGACCGCGTACGTACTCGGCACGGAGTACGTGGACACCTGGGCAACTGGTCTGCCCCTTGATGCCGTAACTGCAACTTGTCGGATTCCGCCGGTCCTTTCCTTTCAACTCGTGAGATGAGTAGGGCGCAAGTCGAGATGTAGTTGGCAGCCGGTCGATGGATTGACTTGCTAATGTTGACCAGCTGTCGGACCAAGTGGACGCAACATGGTTGGAACGGCTTGACTTGGTTTTGTTTGGCTCAGGAGCCTGCTATTCACCCCCTGCCTCATTAGCTGGAGAGAGTCACGTAGCACAAAATAGTCGTAAGTGATTCGGGAACGAGCCGACGCCGACATGGAGCTGTCTCGCCTTCTCTCTGCTTGTCGAGTGTTGCGCTTGTCGTGTTGTGCCCACGCCCGTCCGTTCAAATATGCTGTCCACCCACCGCAACAAAGAGGAAGGGACTAGACGTCCCCTTGGCTTCAAACTGAACTTGCTCACCGCGCCTCGCCTCACCTCGCCTCACCCTCACCCTCACCCTCGACCGCTCCGCTTCCTCTCGTCCTGCCATCCTGCTTGGCCCGTTCGTCTCCTGTGTGCCCGTCTATCCTGGCCTCCGTCTTTATTCTCTTCTCTTCTCATTCCCTGTTCTTGTTTTGTTCCTCAATCTCCCTGTTTCTGTTCTTTCCTTGTTCATCATCACTTCCACGCCGAATACCACGAGACCCTGGCTCATTTCTCTTCTTCGTAGTTGTATGTGAGCCCCATCCCATTTCATATTTCAAATCCTTTGGTTGACTTTCTTCACGAGCACCTTCTTCATGGGCGTCGAGTTTCTCTGCTTTTCGTCATGGACGACCAATTTGGCCAGTTTCTGGTGTTCCCACTGTCTCCAAGTTCTCCTGCTGAAGTTGACGGAGGTAGTGAGGCTGTGCTGAAGCGGGCTGGTATCATCACTCTTGAAGGCGAAGAAGTTTTGCTCAGAAAGGACTTGGTATCATGCGAGCTGGTCCTCCCCACGGGACCAGAGTCCGGCGATATACCGCCTGGGGGTCAACAGTTATTTCTTATTATAGTTAATATAAAAGAACCTTCACCGTCTACAAAACCTGTGACGTAAAAAGGGTTTAATTTATTCTGAAATTCAAATCCTAGATGGCACGTTGTTCCTCACGAGCCAGAGGGTTAGTATTTCCAACGCGCTCCCGAGAATTCATGCATTGAGATTCCCTCCCTCCGCGTGCTGATCATACAAATCAGGTTTTATATGTCCCCGAGAACTCCACAGAAGGGTCACAACGCCATTCCTGTTTCGTTGCTGCTATTTCCGATTTGCCAGACCCGGACTACTTCGAGTTCATGAGCGGCAAGGTATGGAAGTCGAGTTGCACCAGTGGTCATGCTCTCTTGGTCTGCTTCTCCTTTACCGAGAGCGAGGGGGATGAATTCGCAAATCGATTTACACAGGTAAAGCAAGGCTTGTCACAGGACCAGGAAGGGAGCAGGGAGATGGGCTGGACTTGGAGTGGCCTCGGCGCCGACATGCCACATGAGGGTTTTGCCGCATATCAAGGCCCCGGTGCAAACCCATCGTGGTCGACGACGACGCACTATCATCACGAACCTACCGCCCAGACATTCCCTGCCGTCGTAGACCTGACCGGGCCGACACCGTGGTCGACGACGACACACTATCATCACGGACCTGCTGCCCAGACATTTCCTGCCGTCGTAGACCAGACGGAGCCTCCACCTGGCCATGACGAAGCGCAAGCATGACCGATCAGTATGCGTCTAGGAGACCAGCTTCGGGGAGAGGTGGATCGCGGTGCCACTGACCAATGGTCTCGATAGAAATGGACTATGAATACCATGATATTCACCAAGTCCTACTTGAGCCATCTCATGGTTTGCACGGCGCTGGGAGAAGAACGGAACCACTCTGATGTTTGAGGTCGAGAAATTGGATTTCTTTTCTTTTCTTTTATCTTCTTATTTTTTACAAACTCTCTTGTCATCACACTGCCAAAGGCGTGGTTTGGCGTGGTTTGGCGAGGTTAAGGCCGACAGACAGATCTATAACTAGGCAAAGCGGCTTAAAGGTAGTCAATGTAAAGTGATGAACGGCGCGCTGACAATCTTTCGCGTTGCCTCTTATGCCACATATTATATTTATAATGGGAGCGTCCCTAGGCATCTGGTAAGATTCATGCGAAAACACTTTTTGGCCATTGGTCGGTGGAAAAAGTAGCAAAAAGACGGGCTACTCACGGTATCGCAAACCTCAGGCGGCCTCCGCAGGAGATAATTCAAAACCCAGCATCCCTCCCGCTTTGCCTACCCCTAGGTCGACATTTCGTTGGCATCAGGGTCTGGGAACAACTCTTACGTTAAGAAACCCACCCTGACCATGCTCCACGTTGCTCTGAAAATGTCCACGTAATCAAAATGATCTCCCGAGTGAGTCAGGCTGTCTCGACATCCGACTATGTGTTAAAAACCCGTGGCTCCCCGGCAGTTTCAGGTACGCGGCTGTCACGTGACTAAGGGCGTGATCTGACGTGTCTTGTGGATCTCAGCTACCCAATCAGATCATGCCAATTCCGGATCAGATTTCGCTGCCGGGACTTTGCCCGAGAGCTACCGACTTCTGGCGTTCTGACGGTTTGGTGAAATACCTCAAAACACAAGACCATCGTCTTCCATTGTGATTTATCTACCTGTCACGATGGGTATCTGGGACGCCTTTTGCGACATCGTCGAGGCCGTTACGCCATGTGGCGTTGTTGAGGCCGAAGCTCCTGCTCAGAGTCCCAAGGTATGATTTCGATCCCGTTCCCCTTTGCCAACCATAGCCGACCTCTTGCGGCATCCGCTATGGCCATTGACGCAACGGATTCAATCGCACGCTCAACTCCTCCCGGGGGCTCTCACCACTACAATTGACCTGCTGACACGACGGGCGCAGGAGGAGCAGGCCGCCGAGACCGAGTCCAAGGACGAAGGGGCGTCTGAGGACGCTGCTGAGGAAGCTACCGAGGGCGCCGAGGACGCAGAGGAGGGGGAAGACGAAGAGGAGGACGAGGACGAAGACGAGGACGAAGAAGAGATTGTCGACCCCAAGGAGACTCTTGAGGAAGGTCCGTTGATACTTTTGCACTCCCCCTTTGCTCCGGCTACCAGAGCGGCTCGTCCGTCCGGCCGACCTCGGCAATCTGGCGAGCCATTTTCCCCTTGAACAACGACAACGCCTGTTATGGGCCAAAGGACTTGGTCCACGCGGTTTATGCTGACAGCATTGTTCCCTGGTAGAATGCAAAAACTCTGCTCAATGTGCCCCCGCCAAGCACCACTTCGACGAGTGTGTTGAGCGTGTTCAGCACCAAGAGAGCGAAGGCGAGGCCAAAGAGGATTGCGTCGAGGAGTGTACGTGACAGAACCCATGATACCAAGTCCCAAGTTCTCGCTGTCTACGGAACAAATCCCCCCCCCCGCTCTAAAAAAATCAGAGGGAGTGAATCAGTCGGCTCAAATTGAGCCATCCGCGTTGCAAAGTCCGCCCGGCTAACAGAATGTCTAGTCTTCCATCTTGCCCACTGCGCCAGCGGGTGTGCCGCTCCCAAGCTGTGGTCTAAGCTCCGATAAATGTCTCCCAAAGTCTCAACGTCAAAAATCTATTGTCCTACCCAACCTGATCGGCTAAACAAGTGATGGGCACGCGGGACTAGGACTCTTTTTTTTCGGCGGATGGGAAGTATCTTTCTCCGACGCAGCCAATTCGCGCTGACTGAGGAGACGTGCAAAGGGCCAAGGCACAAACCGTGGACTGGGCAGTGAGCGCCAGAGAAACGTGTCCATGGAGAACCTGCCACGACTGAAATGGCGGGGCGGCCTTGAGATGATTTGTACTGTATTTTGGGGGAGCCCTTTGCCGTTGCGTGATGGTGGGTTTTCTGTCTGTATCATAAATGTTGCGGCGCCAGCAATAGATTTTCTCTCGTCTTTGGTGTTTTCTTGTCCCGGCTGCTGGAGGTAGTTTGAGGCGTAGTCGCGTGACGTGTGAGGTGGTTACATTCCGGCACGTACAAGTCTGGAGACGCAAACTATGCCAGGCCCCCCGTGGCACGGGCTAATCGAAATGATACCGCAAGGAGATGCCGAACTCGAGAACTCGGTCTCGCAGCATGATGCAGATCCCGCATTGGGGTGGACAAGAAGAAGTACTTGACTGCCACCGTCCTGGCCGGAACATGTTGCAAACAAGGTATGAAGTCAAAGCATGAATAGTTGCAAACAGTGTCACGGAAACTCAATTCTATTCTATTCTTTGCCCATGACCGTTGAAGGGGGTGAAAATGCGACGCACGGTGCAGAAAATCGTTATACCTGCGGTGAGGACTCAACTCGAAGATTTTGCGCACCAAGAAATACTTTTCGGTTTTCTCCCAAGAAGAAAGGTATGTCCTCTCCACACGACCTAGTCTGCAGAGAACGCAATCTTGAAATCGTAGCAAAGAACTCGCCGGCCCCAACAGGACTAGGACCGGCTTCATTGAATATAGTTCAAATATCATCTATGCGATTCCAGAGCATATATATTTTCCTATAGCCAATCGTGGCGCAGGACGCAACAGCCGGATACCTGTCCTCGGGATATTGCTTTATTCCGGACGGTGGCGCGAGGCGAGCTTCCTTGAGCCTTGTACAAACTAGGCATTGAAAAAGGTTCAGCACGGGCAAATTTCCTAAGCCACACCTGTGATGGGAGATGGAGGAAGCGCATTGTTACCTGCACAACTCTGGACACGGGATTCCTCCACTCTGATATGGCAGCACGGGTTATATTATCATCAACAAGCTTTCCGCGAGTAAGGTACCATCGAGAGTGTTGAAGAAAAGAGTCTCTCGGCGGTGGGGATCGACAGACACGGCTGGCGACGGATGACCATCGGCAGCGGGACCCTCTTTACTGTTGTTTCAGGCCTGAGATTCGAGTTGGTGGACGTCATGCGTGTGTTGCTGCTCAGTCCAAGGCTCGACAGTGCGTAGTACGAGGTCAAAGAGAAGCAAGACAAGAACAGTAACCTTCGTAGTAGGCGCAGATCGGACGGATGGTGCCTTGAGGATGGTTGTGCTCTGGGGCGTGTTTCGGATTGAAGAGACGACAGACGTCGGAGACGAGATTGCACCTGGCAAGAGCGACCGTGCCCAAGCTTGCTTGCTTGCTTGCTTGCCAGGTCAATTGCCTGCGCGTATCGCCTCGCTTTGGCGCCCCATGGACCAATCATCACATCAAGCTCAGCTATTGTCGAAACTCGGTGTTTTCCGCAAAACTATACGGCAATGCCTTCTTCGGACGGTCGACACCTCGTTCATTCTTCCAGTGGTCACGCCACGAATGGCTCAACGGAGACGAGCCACCAATGTATGAAGACTCGACTTTCGAGCTCCTCCCCATCGCGGCTGGCGGCTGGCGGCTACACGCACAAGATCGACGCAACCCCCACTCGTCTTCTTTGAGCCAAAATATCCATCAGTTACTTCCCACTGTTATCCAGGAAATCCGGAACAAGCATACTATATAATAACATGGAGCCTGGACACGCTTGACACATGACACGCCATCGACCTGCAACACCAACTTGCGCCGGTGCCAGTCCCTCAACTTTTTTGCTCTCCACCGCAAGTCCAGTCAACGTTTGGTGGCAAAGCGGGCACGCCGGATCCAAGCCATGTATGTCTCTTCAACCAGAACCCAGGGTCTCGTGCCCCCAAAAGGACGTCTCCTTACAATTTACGACCCTGCAACGTGCGTACGGCCCACGGGCGTATGTGATGCTGGAACATGCTTGCTTCGTGGCCGCGGAGTATGCCGGCGGCCAGTCTAGTTGGCCCTAACGAGTCATCAAACTTTAACAGGTTGTGAATGGGGTCGTGGGAGGCGGAAACCCTTTTAATCAGAACATGCCATGTTGAAAGCAAAAGGGGGCAAGCTTGGTGTGAATTAAAGCCTGGTACGGAGTATTATTGATATTATCCCCCTGCTGATAGCGCGAATCACTAACCAAAAGCCCAAGGCAATTTTATCATCCCTCACCCAGGCCGGGGGAGCAATCATCACGACCAACATACATACTACTACTGCTGCTGCTGCTACTACTGCTACTGCACATCTCGGGCACTATTCGGCGCCACCAGCAGTGTCCGCATCGACCTTCATTAACGGGATTGGTAGCAAAATGCCGCCTCGAATGTCTGGCTGATTACCCACCCCTCCTTGGCTCGGTGGCACTAGTGGTGTAAGCCCCTGCCCGATACCTTGGCTGGGGTTTGGGATTGAATGTTGCTTTCCGTAGATGGTGGGTGGTATGGAATATTCCTTGGCCTAACTGCTACGTGTTGAGTACAGGACACAACTCCAGTCTGGAACCAGATCCACGAGTCGTCCGGAGGGTACAGACGGAGGCTCAGAATCGAGCTGGCTCCCAAACCTGCCCATCTCCCAAGGGAGGCGGCACCGAGTGGGTGGGAAAGTCTAAGTTGACAGCCCCACGCGACCCTGTTTGTCTGCATGCACACCAAGCCGAAGCAGAACCAAGTACTTTAAGTACTTAACCTGGCACTTAGTCACGACACTAATAAGCTCCTGCGGGCCGGTCTTCATGCGTCACCGTCTTGGAACGCGACGTGGTCCCGGCCTGACGTTGAAGCGGCTTGCACTCTGTTTCCATCTTAAGCGCCACTCTCCCGTTCCCGTGGGCAATCCGCATCTCAATTTCTACTCTTTCAACCCTTTTCGGTTTCAGTTGCGAGGCCTTTCTGTCTGGCTCTGTAATCCGATTCTGCGTTGTATCAGCAACATCGATTCTGTACACCCATGACCTGCCCGTTTCTTGGTCCGCCGAAATCTTGGACCACATACTTTATGTATTTCTGATACTTCTGCAGTTGCTGCTTGGCCATTACTCCACCGCGCTGCCTTGTTTGGTTCGAGCAAAGAATAACCTGGCCAGCGAACCGGGTGTCCATGCAACTCGCGATTGATTCCAATTGAATGAGTCCGACTTGACGAATTACAACCGTCTCGGGGACAAATCATTCAATTCTGACCTTACCGCGAAACAAGTCTCCGACTGTGAAAAAGAGAGCCGCTTGGAATTGCAGATTGCGGAGCCGTACTCCGTACATCCTTGTCCATCAACAACCATTGACTCTCTCCTCAACTACCCCGGCGCCTCCCGCGAGCCCGACTCTGGGAATTTTGAATGTAAAGGGCTGCGAAGAAATTGTATTTCTTTTACCTTTCCCCGGTAGGCTGCTCAAGAATTGGAACGGCAGCCGCACGCAGGCCTTTTTCTTTGGTTGTCACTGTATAGTCCAAGCGCAGCCAGCGTCTCACCGCATGTCGCGCTTCCCCGCAAGATGAAGGGAAGTAATAGCGGTAGCGAAGAAAGCCGCGACCAGATTGGCAGGCGCTTCCGGGGAGGGACAAAGCTGGGGTCCCTGGATCACGGCCTCGGCGAGCGAAACGTTGGCGGAGATGGAAACATCTACGTCGTAGGCGAAGAAAGCGTTCCTAATGGGATACCGACGGGTTATCGAACCTACAAACGACGATGGATTGGCCTCGCAACACTCACACTCATGAACATCGTCGTTTCCTGGGATGTACGAGACCCCCTATCCTCCATTTCCCATTCCCCATACATACACCGAGGTCTCGAGAGGCTTTCGTTTCTGTTGGCTCGACGGGCGTGAGGCTTGCCGAGAACCTCTGGGTGCAACGCTAACTCTTTTCCTCTACTCTTGATAGTGGCTTACTTTTGCGCCTGTTGTCGACCTCTCAGCACAATACTATGGTGTCTCAAAATCAGCCATCAATTGGGTCAGCACCGCCTTCTTTCTCGCTTTTGTTGTCATTTTCCCCGTTACCATTGCCATTTTGCATCGCGGCCCGAAGCTAGCCTTTATGATTGCTGCTGTGCTCGTCATCATAGGAAACTGGATTCGGTATGGCGGCTCAACCAGCCCTTCCGGTGGCCGCTTTGCTGCCATAATGGCCGGTGAAATCCTCATCGGTTTCGCACAGCCTTTCATCTTGGCTGCTCCTACCCGATACTCGGATTTGTGGTTCACCAACCGCGGTCGAGTTGCTGCCACAGCAGTGACAAGTCTGGCGAATCCCCTGGGTGGTGCCCTGGGCCAGCTGATCAACCCTCTGTGGGCTAAGCAGCCGAGCGACATATCTCAGATGGTGCTCTATGTCTCCATTATTGTAAGCAGAGCGCCAACCCCTCCGCTCCGAGTTGCATTCTCCGCAGCTAATCATGTATGCCCTTCCGTAGTCTACTGTTTGCTGCCTACCAGCATTCGTCGTACCGGCCGCGCCTCCGACCCCCGTTGGGCCCTCCTCCGAGACTCCCAAGCTCCGTCTGCGGGCATCCGCCAGAGCCCTCACTCACTCCATTGAGCTGTGGCTTGTCCTCATCCCGTTCGCCGTCTTCGTCGGCTTCTTCAACTCTCTCTCGTCTCTGCTCAACCAGATGATGACCCCCTACGGATTCAGCGACGACCAAGCGGGTATCGGCGGTGCCATCCTCATCGTGGTCGGGCTTGTCTTCTCAGCTATTACCTCGCCGATTTTGGACAGAACCAAGAAGTTTCTCTTCGCTCTCAAGTTCTTCATGCCCATCATCGGCATCTGCTACCTCGTCTTTGTATGGATGCCAGAAACCCGCGACGTTGCCGGCCCGTATGCAGTGCTCGCCATTCTGGGAGCCGGCTCGTTTGCTCTGGTCCCCGTCGCCCTAGAGTTCCTCACTGAGCTCAGCCACCCACTTAGTCCCGAGGTCACGTCCACCACCGCATGGGCCGGCGGTCAGCTCCTCGGTGCCATCTTTGTCATCATCAGCGATGCTCTGGTTGCCGGTAACGATGCGAGCCCGCCCAGGAACATGAAGAATGCCCTCATCTTCCAGGCGGTCATCGCACTGGTTGTTTGCCCGTTGCCCTTGTTCTTGGGCCTGTTTGGCCGCGCAGATAAAGTAGTCTTGAGGCGCATCCGCTCTGATGAGCAGAGCGCATCTACAAATGTACAGACTGCTGTGTAATTCCAAATGCTGCGGTGGCCGATTTTCATTGGGCATATCACGTGGGGTGAATACTTGCTACACACGTCTGTATATACATACCATAGCGAGTGAAACCAGTACACTCTTGGTTCTGTCGCACCTTTTGAAATTCTTGATGACTCTACGTCGTATGTCCCGGTGCTGACACAGGTTGTCTTCACAAGCTAGCAGGCGTGTGACTTCCGCATCGCCAATGCCCCGGGCCGTCAAGTCACCGGGACGGGTCGACAGGCATTAGTTATTACTGACGTATGCTAGTGGCGAGACAAAATCGTCGAGCCAAGACGGTCCGCACCCTCTATGATTCGTCTTCACGCGCCGTGATTTCATCCCACTGAGCCCTCAACTCCTCCAGCTGCCGCCAACACCGGGCTCCGACCTCCTCGAACTCGGCGATGTCCTCAGCAGTCACATCCCGAGTACCGATCCGTCGCCCAACCGACTTGCGCAATACACCGACAGCGGTGTCGGCGGCAATAGTGTCAAACGTCTCGGGTTTGCCTTCCCACCCCCAGCCTTCCACCTCTGTCTTCTTCACGTCAACGTTGAGCCTGGTATCCGTGCTGCTGCCCCACTTGACGCGTTCGGCGCCAAATTCATCGAGAGCCTCCTGACTTTGCAGCGTGACCCAAGTGGCCGCCTTGGCGCCGTTGTAGCCCGTGACATTGTGCCAGGGGGAACCGAACCAGCGGCTGATGATGAGCGCGAGCTCATACGCCCAGAAGAGGAACCAGGGAAGTGGGAAGATCGTGCTGGCCACGACGCCGGGGTGGGTGAGGTAGATTTTGGGCTGGACAAGCTGTTTCTTGGCAGCGTCGGCGTCGTCGTCGACGGTGAGGAAGCGGGAGGAGAAGGGCCGCGCCGCGGGGAGAGAGGAGCTCAGGCAGAGGAGATCGGTGAGCCTTTTGCAAGACTCATATGCCTCGGGACGCATGAGACACTGTAGGTCGTTGATGTCAAAGACTTGTCGGACCGCCTCGATGCTGCTTGACCAGATGATGCGGCCCGGGGCCTCTTTCTCGGAGGACCTGCTCAGCAGCGGGAGGAGCTTGTGGGCGAGCATGTAGTGGCCAAAGACACATGCGCAAAAGACCTCGCCCAGCAAAGGCTTGACGGGCTGCAGGAAACCGCTGTCAGCATGCACGGATTGCACGTGCGCCCGCAGCTCGACGAGCAGAGACTCACATAGTTGTACACGGGCCGCTCGTTCAAGATGCAAGTCGGCAACGATAGCTTAAAATCGGGCCAAGTAGCCGTCTGGATAATGCCCTTTGTGAAGAACGACCAAAGAGCTGCAAAATAGTCCAACCCCGACCACCCACCAAAGGCTGCATTGCAGATGATGCTGTCCAGACGGGGTACCCTCACATTACGCAGATATTCCCCCTCCAAGCCCTCAGGGTTGCTCACAGTCCCGTAGCGCAGTTTGTGCGCAAAATCCCGAATAGCACGAAGGTCGCACAAATCTAGTGTCAGGCTTAAGATGTGAATTCTTGCGACGGCGTCTTCCCATTTGTAGCCCACGCCGGCGCGCGACGACAAGCCTTTGGAAGACTTGGCTGCCTTGGTAGCATATCCTCTCAGTTGTTGGATCGTCTCGAGGGATTTGGCGCTGGACCGTGTCGTGGGGATTATGACGAGATGCGAACTCAGGGAGCGGGTGGCCAGGAAATCGTCAATGAGAACTTGAGCCGTGCCGAGACCGATGCCGCTGCAAAACAGAAAAGGCACGAATGTGCCACGGTGTTAGCTCAAGGAGTCCCGAAATGCTAGCCATGGGATAGGGAGGTGTGGGTAGGATGCGGACCTGTTCGCACCGGTGATGAGCACAAACAGCTGCTCACGAGCAGACGCAGATTCCCACGGAGCCGAGGCGGCAGAAACAGTCTTTGCAGCCCCCATTGAAGCTTTTTCGCAGCGAACCACGAATAATCGGAAGACGAGAACAAGCGCGATTGTCTGAAATCAAGGAAGGGAGCCCTGGCAGGTGGCGTACCAGAAGATCAATCCAGAACTCCCGTCGCCATCCGATCAGAGGCGGGTAAAAAGTGGCAGCAGATGGGGGGAGGGGCGAAGCTCGATGAGGCGGCAGGCGCAACCCGCAGGGAACCACTTGCCGCACTTCCAAAAGCTGCCCTGGCCAAGTACCTAGGTACTTAGACCTAGGTGAGCAGGTACCTAAAGGCAACTACTAGTAGTACCAAGTTCAAGTACTCGACATGAACGACTTTGTCACACGCTTCCTTGCCCAAACAACTCGTTTTATCTTCTTGTCCATTGCTTTTGCTCTTTTTCAAGGTACAGTCAACATTTCAGTGATCCTGCAATATAAAGTGTATGCCTTGAACCCGGAAAATGATGTTCATCCACCTCCCACGCCATCCTCGTCAACATCAATCACACGACCCCAAAGGCGTACATTTTCCGTGATACATGGACCAGTGCCGACATTGAGTTACAGGGGTATTAGTTGATGCACTGCGGCTGGCGTTTCTTGTTGCTTTCTTTTTCCGCTTCACTCTACAGGCCGCAAGGTGGAAATCTACTCCCTGGGCTTTTGCCCCTCGCGTACAGCAGCCAAGATCAACTCTTTGGCCTTCTCTACGCCTGCCTGGGTACCGACTATCTCAATGGCCTCGTCACGGGCCTGGTCTCTGGGCACCTGGATCTTGCAGTTGCTCTGCTGTCGAATCGCGTTGACCTTGGAGCCGTTTGGCCCAATGACGTGACGGTAAGTCCTGGGGTCGGGTAAGATCAGGTAACCAGTGGCATCAGTCTTCCTGGCCTGTTCCAGGGCCTTCTGGATCACTTCCTTGGCCTTCTGAATATTCTCCGGGGTGCCTTTTAAGACCCAAGGAATATCTCCCTCCTCGGTAGAAATAGTCTTGACCACTTTCCAGGAGTGAGCGTCTGCAGTGGCGTCCGCGTCGTCAGTGATAAGCGGCAAGGAGCCAGCGTTGGCTCTGCCCGAGCTATCGTGCTTGCCGGGAATAGTATGGCCAGCGTGGTCAACCGTCACCTGATGGTTGTTGCGGAGCTGTCGGAAAATCTGGCCATTGTTGGAAACGGCGTGATGGACGTTGCGGGGGATCTGAATAGTCTCTCCTTGCTGCTGTTTGATAATGCCAGCAATGTGCTCCTTGGCCTGGGCTACGTTCTCGGGTCGGCCAGACACCTTGACACCAGTTTTGCCGTCGCCCTGTCTGGGCACGTCAATCGAAACATCGAACTTGCTCTCCATCTGGCGCTTGGTGTCACCACCACGACCAATAAGCGATCGATGATGCTCAATAGGCACCTCGACTACCTCCGAAATCTGGCTGTCACGCTCAGCAACGATCTCTTGGATGCGCTTAATGATCTTCTGCACCACGTCGGTGCGTCCCTCGACCTTGATGGTGTTGCCATCTGCCTCCTGTTTAGGAAACTGAATGGTGCGAGCGAGCTCGCGTCGATCATCCGACCCTCCAGCTCCGATGACAATATCCTTCAGGTTGGCTCCTACATAAATGAAACCATTAGCAACCAAGCCAAGTGGTGACCATGTATGGTACCAAAGAGACTCTTACCCCCACTGCCAATCAAGGCCTTGTGGTGCTTCTTGTCAACGTCAATAGTCTGAACAATGGTGTCGTCGAAAATGGTCCGCTTTTCTTCCAAGACCTTGCGGGCCTTGGCGACTTGCGAAGCAGTCCCCTTGATGGAAATTTCAACCATATCTGCATCACGGTCCGCAGGGACATCGATGCGTGCACCAGTCAACTGGCGAAGCTCATCCAGGGCAGCACCCCCCTGGCCGATAAGAGACCCAACCTGCTTCTGCTGAACGGGGACAGTTGCAGTGACTGAATGCTCCTCCAGATACTTGTGGAGAGAAAAGATCTCATCCCTAGCTTCATCTGCGCCCTTCTTGGGACCACGAATAATGACTTCATCAGGAGCCTGCTGACGGCGGGGCTTGCCGGCGTCGCTGGCGGCGTCGGGGTTTGGCTGGTCTTCGGGGCCAGCCTTTGCGGAGCGAGGGAAGAAAATGAGGACCTTGTATCGAGTTTGAAGGCGGTTGATCTGGCCGCCCTGGGCACCGATGAGCTCTCGGTGATACTTGGGGTCAATCTTCAAAATATGCGTTGTCTCATCAGCCAAGGTACGGCTGAGGTTCTGGATGTGGTGGCGAGCAGCCTCGGCTTTGGCCTTGGGGCCCTTGAGCTCGACTTGCCCATCTTGAACCTGGATTTCGACGTCGAATCGATCACGAAGCTCCTTGATGTTGCTACCGCTCTTGCCAATAAGATGGTTGGCAAACTTCTGAGGAAAATCGAAACTTAAAGTAAAGCCACGCTCCTTCTCGTCTTCCTTCTCCTGATCAACAAAGGTATTGGCCTTGGTCGCCAGAGCTTCCACAGCAGACCTGGGTCCACGGAGGGTGATTGTGGTGCCAACCTTAGTAACGCGCACAGGGATCTGGTCAGAAGGGCGCCTCTCCTGCTCCTTCTTGATGAAGCGCCGAAGTCTCTCGTGGAATCTCGCGGGAACGTCTAGGGTAGCGCTGGATAGCTCCTCTTGCTTGCCGATAAGACCCAGAATGTGTTTTTCGGCATCATCCAGAGCCTTCTTAAATTCACGAATCTCCGCGTCCGTGGGCTTGGTTCGAGGGAGCTGGTAAGGACCATCAGTCGGCTCCGGACCCTCGCAAACAAGTAGTACCGGAGTGTTAGGCTCAGATGCCTCGGGAATCACAAGGTGAACACCGAAATCGGCCTTTACCCTAGGGGTAATGTCGGTACGCAGGTGCTGGTGGAAGAAGGGATCAATGTTGACAGAGTGCATACGAGCGGGAGGCTGGGCGTTGATGATACCGGTGATCTCGGATTGGGCGCGGATGGCGTTCTTGCCATCACGAGAGTACAGCTCCCAGGGCAAGGCGCCATCCTGCGAGAAGGGTGTGTTGATGTGGGTATTGTACAGCTTCTCCAGACGATCAATCTCCCTGCGCTGACGAAGATAGCGAGTCACGTTACCGGCATGTGCGGCAGCGCCACCAGGGGCGTTGCGATGGAATCTACCGACATCAATGTTTGACATTTGCATGCCCATGGCCAGATCCATGGCCTTTTCCAGACCAGCCTGAACACGCTCAGCGGGGCCAATGACGGTGACCATGTCGTCATCTTCGTCTGAAGGGAGGAGAATAGCACAGCCGGTCTCGGCGAAGAAGTCGTCCGCAGGCAACCCTCGGTCTCCAATAATAAATTGATGGCGACCCCGCTGTATGGCAAGCTGCTCCAATTGCAGTTGTTTATGCAGCTCGGCGACTTGTCGCTCGATTTCAGCACGAACCTGCTGAGTAGCAGCCCTATCACCCGCCAGCTGGATATGGTCGTCCTCAACCCCGGCAGGGTGAAAGACAGGCCGGTGTCCGGGCTGGGGGGCGGCAGGAGCAGGAACATGACATATGGCCTGGTGAGAGGGAACACGCATTTGAACACCGTGAGTCTCCTCCAAAGCTTTGGCCAGGGAGTTTCCGGGGCCGGCTATAAACGGGTAGAAAGCCGTGGGAACACCGCGAACCTTGGTCTGCACGTTGGCGGCCCGCTCGCCAGCAATCTTGAGCAACTCATTCCGGGCCGATGCGGCGGAGAGAGCGTTGCCCTCGACAGAAACGTCGATGGTGGCTTCGTCGTCGTCAGCAAGAAGAGCATTGTCTTCGACCTTGGGAAGCTGGATCTTGGCTCCAGTCTTCTCCTGCAACGACCTAATCATCGAACCACCCTTTCCAATGACATGAGCTCGAGCAGAGTAAGGGATGGGGACTTTGATGGAAGTCTGCAACGGGTCAGGCAAGTTAAATGCTTAGTTCTTCGAGACAATGGGGTTGTTTTGACATACCCGGGTTCCAATTTGCTGGACCAAATCCTTGAGAGCCTGTTGAGCAATCTCCTGAGGACCGGTAGCTTCGAACTTGTATCGGCCATTGGCTCCATTGGCCATGGTGATGTTTGCGCGCGACTTGCGATTGATGTCTTTGATGATATCGGGGATTGGGCGCTTCAATTGGCCACGGGGCAGGACAAACTGGGGGTCCAGTGTGACGGTTTCAACATTGCGACCCGGAATAAACATGGAGGGAGCGACAGCCTTGGAGGGAGTTGCGGTTCCGGACGTGGGGGTTGACGATCGTGAAACGCCGTTGGAGGCAGCACCATCAGGCCTGCCATTGGCGTTGTTCTTGGCACCCCAGATGGGGGCCACGTTGGCAGTCTTGGCCTTGGGGGCTCCAAGTTCGGGAAAGAGTTCGTGAGACTGCGTGTCGAGAGGCGCCTGGGGGGTGGAGGATTCCTTTTGCTTTCCAGCAGCCTTGGAGCTCATCGGAGCGGCCCAAGAGCCATGGGCGTCGTTGGTCGGCTTCGCGGGAAGTTCTTCATCTGGGATATCCTCAACTGTTACACTGCGAGGCTCCTCGGAATGCTTCTGGAGAAGCTTCTGGGCAGCAGACTCTTCGGAGGCCATGTTCAAGTATTCGACCGCTATGATTTTGGGAGGGGTGCCAGATCAGGGAAGGCGAGTTCAAGCGAGACAGGGTTTTTATAAGAAGTATCTAGTCGCAGCATGTTAGTACGGTTTTCCCCAAGGTTTTGAGTACTTAAGCATAGCCGGGTAAACTTTAAGTACATCTTCACTCTGGCTAGCTTTGTTGGGGCAACAGGAGCGCGCATACGTAAATTTCCCCTTCGAAAACAATATATTGCCAGCGAATTGATGCAATCCCGGAATGGATAGTTGTCCTTGGGCGATGCTGTTTCGATGCTCCGTGCTCTCTGCTGCTTGGGTGGGATATCCGAGGCGTCTAGTGCATAGTGCGGTGCAGACAACCCACAGAGTTCGAGATGAAGAGAATAAGATGGGGGGAGGGGGAAAAACGATTACCGGTGACCAGAAGGATAGACCAGGAGAGGCAGGAACCAGGAAGAGTAGGAGGAAAGGCTTTGATGCCGGGAAGGACGGCAAGATGCAGTGTCGTTGAAGCAGCTTAAGGGTGAGGTGGAAGTTGCCGCTCCACGAGACGAGACGTCTTCTGGTGGTTTTCTGGCCGTCTGACAGGGGTGCAGGAGGCCTTCCCCACCCGACGAACCTGACTACGGAGTATGATGGGCGATGGTACGGAGTACGGAATGCGGCTAGGCCCTTCCCAGGCATAGCCAGTGTAGTTAGTGGTCACGGTCACGGGATTCCGCATGTGATGCCGACGTGGACCAGATATCTACCCTACAGCGGTTGGTGCAACTTTTGGCAATCGGCGCCTTGGAATTCGGAGTACTCTGTTCCATGTACCACCCTACCCGGTGGTCAATTTTCCGGTTGCATTGTTTGCTCTTTGCCTTTTGTGCTGGGGTATTTCATGAAGCTACCCGCGAAGAGAGAACCTCGAAGCCGAAGGACACACGTCCCCAGTTGGATAGTGATGGTCGATCATATCTCAACGCATGTTCACGTCAGTCTCCCTCCAAGGCCGCCGGAAGACCGTCAAGCTGTCTAGTCCAGCAGAAACAAGCAATAGCAGAAATTCCCACTCGTAAGCCCTCGCCGCACCGCATGCTCAATCGAGGAGGAAACAGAAAAGGAGAAGATGCCATCGACGTCAGCATTGTATGTCGCCACGAACCCTGCTGCGTCGTGCTCTTCCGGACAAAGTCGTGGCGGCAGCTGCACAGGCACTCCCTCCGAGCAACCAAGTGAAAAATATCGAACAAATGACGTGTCTTGGGGGATATACCACGAGACACTGACCATGGCGGATCTGTGAATAGTGTAGGGTAAAAGCCCGTGCCAGCCGACCCGGCAGTGCGCCGATTCTTCCCCGCCCTTCAAGGTATAAATAGCATCAAGTGCAGTATGTACTACCTACTATGCTCACGGAGATTCTGCCATGCGCGGTTAGGAGCTCGTATTTCAGCACGGCGTTCCAGTGATGAGGCCGTTTGTTGCATGGGCCGCACTCTCGTCACGGTGTTGAATGTGACCAAGTCGTGGATGCCATCTCCTTCTATGCCGGCGGCCTTCATGCTTCATATTGCAAGGAGAGAGAGTGGAGTGTGGTGCACTTTACATGAATGAATGACTGGCGTCTACGGAGTGCCAAGCAACTTATTAGGTTCGAAAAGTGGCCCACAATCGATTCATCGCGTGTGTGAAACACGGGGGCCGCATTGTCCAACAAGGGGACGTCAGAGAGGCAAGAGGGCAAACCCAACCCGAAGCCATGACGGGACGCCCTACGCCGTCCTCCGTACCTTGCAGCTGAATCATCGATGGGCCATTGGAGTTTGATTTGCCTCATGTCGTTGTGACGAGGCCTAGCATGGCACTTGAGATCCATCACCCATCATCATCATCATCACCATCATCATCTTTCTCCTCTCCTTTCACATCCTTTTCTTTTTATGTCATGAATTTTATTTTATTTTATTTTATTTTATGTGTGTGTGTGCGTGTGTGTGCCCCTTTGTGCGTGGCCGGCACTGGGCAAGTGGGTGAATGGAAACTATAATGCCACATCAACGTGCGAGTGGATATGGACATGGACACAGATGCCGATGGATATCCATCACCGGGTCCATGGGCTCTCGCAACCAACACGCTTGTCGAATTAGAAGCTTCCGAGAACCGACATTTTTGGACCTGTGTCCACGGTGCTGTTTATTGTCTTTGTTCACGCTGGATTCTTTGCCATGGGCGGGCATTAGCACGTCAAGCCACTGACTGGGCTACGACTTGTGATTTTTTTATTTTAATTATAGTATACATATACGTATATTAAAAGGATGCCAGGACGCGTTCCTGTTTCGCCCGAGATGGAGAGAGATGATGGATGACCTTGGAATCCTCATTCGCAGATGAAACACCAGCCTTGTCGACTGCAACAGCTTCCGTTGCGTCTTGAGTGGACGACAACACTGCCGTCATCCGTCATCTGTAATAAAGTTCATGGACACGGCGTTTGGAACCAACAGCGTCTGGCATCTGACATGTTCCAGGCCATTCGGGATGGGGAAATTCGTGCCGAGAAACTTTTGGCTGTCGTAAAAAAGCCGCGGCAAGGCCCCCATTTTTTCTTTCTGCTTGGCTCCCGCACGCCAATTCAGACACTACTCCGTATCCATGTCGTGCATTGATTTGATGATTTGATGACCAACCAGCTGCTCAAGTAGGAGAAGAGTTTTTTATAAAAAAGAAAAAAACCCACAACAAGGGTGCCCGAATCGTGCATGACGTACTAGTATGCAGTGCCAATGCCAAATGGTGGTACGTACCGAGTGCACCAGCGCGACAAGCCGCGCGCCTGACTGTGATTCAGATGGCGCCGGGCAGCCTTTCATCAAATCTTTGGGGCGTTATTCATGCCCTGATTTTCACCGTCCGATGTCAGTGAACTCTTCAATTAGGGCACCCCCTCGAAGCACCCACTTGGATCGAGCGTCTCAGGATGAAAATTTTTACCATCTGTGGATTTGGTGACGGGTCTTGCTTGGGTCCTGGCTCGTGTACACACAGCCCTCGATGGCTAGCTCGCAGGCTGCTTCCTGCAACAGATTGTATGTAGGTACCGCTGCATGTCTGACGATCAGAACAGATGGATGATTTTTGAATGACATGACTGGATGCGGGAATCCGGAATCCGGAGCTGGGCCATGGGACCCTGGTGATGCCGCGGTGAGAAGGCAAATGACGGGGCGACGGAATGGCAATTGAGCGCCGCATGTACCTGCTTACTTGAGGTACTTTAGGTACCTAGGTACTTAAGTGCCTGACCGAGAGAGTGTTCGCTACCCTCGGGCATTAGGCTTTGCGGCATGTCAGCACTGCAAGATTGATGATTGTGGCCCTTGCTGCTCCGTAATAATTTCAACGTTCGAGTTCTTTGCGCGCATCGCGGATCCCATGGCCCTGACTGTGAAACGTCGCCGTTGCAGCCCTGTACTCGGTGTTGTTGGTGCTCTGGTACCACTTACTACCTTCTAAAAACAAATCCCTACGAGGTAGCCGTTACGGGAGTAATCTTCCAATCTCCTTCGCAGCTTCACCAAAACCCCCCCACGCACAGAGGCCGTTGGCCTTGGGTGCTGGACCCCGCGGGCGCGCGCTTCGTTTCCTACTTAAGTAGTAATCAAGTTTTGACTAGGTACCTCTTTCAAGTGATTAAAGTACTGAGTACTTAAGTACTTAAGTAAGGAACCCAGGTTCTGTTACAGGGAACCCGGGTGCCCCATTATTCAGAGCCGGCACTGCTAAGCGCAAGAGTACTAGATCAAAAGTCTTATCAAGAACGTAGGTACCTGACTACCTACCTCTTTTACTTACCACCTTAGATACCTTTCCTATACTTCCTACTTACTTGGTAGGTACGTGCGTACATGCAAGTGCAAGCCACTGATTCCAGACGTCGGACATCTGGACTTTGGGGATGCAACATGGAGGCTTTTTGACCCAGCTCATAAATAGTGTTGCTATTTGAGGCACCCGATGTTGGCCGCTTGGGTGCTTGGCCGTTGCTGTTTCCAACCATGTAACTACGATCAACTACTCCGTACACCTCGGGCAGTTCCGTTTTCCATTCACCAGGACAGGATGCATCACGACTTTGAGGTTGGAAATTGATGCATGTGCTCCCTACCAACTTCCCAACCCCCGTCCTCGACCCGGGCGGGATTGCTCACGACTTTTTCGCTCCTTCAGTACCGCCGTGGATCTGGCCTCGTTTTGGCCCAAGTTATTATGCGCACCCGACTTTTGCAAGCGATTTGTTTGCTCATCAATCAGATGGTAGTTAGTCGGGTATTTGGCAGACAAATGAACCATGGATGATCCATCGTTGGATCACTCGCCATTGCACCTCGAGCCAAAGACAGACAGACAGACAGACAGGCAGACTGACTGACTGACTGACTCCTGACTCCCGAGTCTCGACTCGACAGATGTCCCCCGTCGTCGCCTCGCCTCCGCCTCACTTCTCCTCTCCCCTTCCCCCCCTCCTCGCCATCATTCGGCCGTTTCACCATTTCACCATCTCATCACCACCTCGCCAGCTCACCACTTCTACATCCATCATTTACCCGTCCCCCCCATCTGCTCACCACGTCAGAGCCTCTCGGAAGAACCCATCGTCCGCCGCAGAAGCCGACTCGACTTGGTTCGAAGCTCACGCCTTTGACGACCTCGCCTCTCGGCATGGTTGGCAAATCGCTCCCAGTCACTCCGTATAACTAGTACTCCGTACTATCTACTTACTCCATGCAAGTGCCTGCCACCAGCACCACCGCCAACCAGCCTTGGTGTCACAGAGTTGCACGACTGATGCCCTCCTCCACCTGAGCATCAACCGTTCACCCGCTCACCCGCTCGCCCGCTCGCCCGTTCACCACCCCATTCACCCCGTCCTCTTCCCCGACTTCTCGGCTGTTGGATGCGACGCTCCTCCCCGTTATCCACAGAAAGAACGCCACCAGTTTGTAGGGCGTGATATTTATGAGCTCTACGTCGCTGTGATAGTAATTGAGCTGCTTTTGTACGCCCAAGGTCTCTCTTCGTCTGTATAAGCTCAGTAGCTGCAATAAGAGAGCCGCGGATAAAACGACTGATATTGCGTGCAAACTCAGGCTCAAGGGATGTATCGTCTTCTAATACCTCCCCTAGCTTGTTGGCAACCTTATTTATCTGCCTGAGTGTTGTGGGCGTCTCAAAGTCGGAAGAGTTGTTGTGATATAACGGCGGCGGCGATGGTGTTGATGTGTAAATTGCAGCTCGTTGTTCAAGGGCCTCAATTACAGGCTGTGGATTGTAGGGTGAAATTCCAGTTTTTCGAAAGGCTGTGAGAATAGTAGTAGTCTTGAAAGCTTGTTTTCGTACAGCTTGAATGCAAGCAAGGAATTCAATCTTTGTAATATTCAACACGCCGTCTCGAACAATGATATCCAACGCCTTTGCATGATAATGCTTTAGTGGCTGAAATATCACAACATCAAGAGGTTGAAGGATGTGTGTAAGGTGCGAGGGCAACGCAAAGGGAATTATATCGTGCTGTTCGCAGTATTCAACGAATTCAATTGTATGGTGTGATCCGTGGCCATCTAGGATTAAAAGGCGATATCTGCCTATTGGCGTTGCAAATTCCTGAAAATGCTGTATCCAAGCAACTGCAATTTCGTCATTCGTAAAGCCGGTTGGTGAGACTGTTATTTTGGTATTAGCTTCAAGCTCCTTTATCCGATACCAGGACTCCATGTGTTTTTGCCCTGTAAGGATAAGAAAGGCAGGAATAACTTTGCCGCCAGCAGAAATGCATTCTATTGCTGTTGCAGTCTCCCTGTTTTCTGGCATTGAAAATAGATGCGCTCTTCTTCGCTTTGTAACAACTAAATGGTCCTTTCCCATTCCAATACGAAAGCCAGTCTCATCCATATTCCAGATATCTTCAGGAGGGACTCCGTACTGCTGAATAGCCTCTTTAAGCTTGTTGTAATAAGAAAGAGCTCTTGTCACATCTTCTGAAGCTTTTCGACTTGAATCAATCTTTTTTTGAAGACCTTTATGATAGTGATGCCGCTGGATAAAGCGTGTAGTCCATCGCGTTCCAACTTGCCTAGGCGGGGCAGTTGACGATGCCCTCTCTTTTAGGATGTAATTTGCAGCATCTGTAATGAATTCAGGTCGTACAGCGAAGTTGGCCTTATCAAGGCGATCGATATAGTTACATAAAGCAACTTCCTCTTCTCGTGAAAGCATTGTATTTCTTGCTGGATGGCCTTTCCTAGCAGGAACGCCGTTAGCACGTCGTTGAAGCCGGCTACGAGGCACGTTGAATTTCTTCGCCACAGAGCGAATTTTTGCACCTGGATTTTCCTCAATATACTCAAGAGCCTCGTTGACACGTAATTCGACATCGCTTTTTGCCGTTTGGACGCTAGTTGCAGCCATTTTCGCGGTTCAACGCGTCTAGGTTGAAAATTGGTCCGCCTTGGTGTCCGGCCCGCCTTGCTGTCGAGCACCACCTTTGGTGGTGAGGGCTTTTGCTAGCCGAACCACATAAAGTGGGGCGGGCACGATTAGTCGCAGTAGTAGTAATAAACCGCTCCAACTCAATATACTCCCAACCTGAACCTGACCTGCCGACGGAGCACGAGTAGCACCACTCGGCTTCTGGTGCCCCCCTGCACCAACAAAACGCCAGCCGTCCGCGCGCCCACCCGCTCGCCTCGAGGGCACAAACCCACATACTACTCCGTACTCGCCATTTCTCAGACCTCGAATTGGCCCTCGCCACCCGTCCGGCCGTCAGGACCGCTTTTTCTTTTTGTCTACTTACTCGCACACACACACAACACACACCCGTTCGCGCCGGCTTGGTTCGGCCTGCAAAGTGCACCTAGACTGCTACCTTGACTACTCTGCGGCCAGCAGCCTGCCCGCCTGCCCGCCTGCCCGCCTGCCCGCCTGCCCGCCTGCCCGCCTGCCGCCTGCCGCCTGCTCCGAGACCTTTTCGGCAAGGGTGGACAGCGGATAGTGAACAGCGGATAGCGGATAGTGGACAGCGGACAGCGGACGGTGGACAGCGAGCACTGGACAGTGGACAGTAAACGGTGGACTCGGGACTGGACAGCGGTCGGCAGCACCATGGACGGCCCGGCGTCGTCGTCCTTCAACGGCCATTCTCAACGTCGCAAACTCGTCAAGAAACCCCCCTCCCACACGTACACTCGCTCCTCCTCGGGTCTCGACGACTCTCGCTCGCTCGGCAGCAGAAGCAGCTCCCAAAGCCTTCGACGAGCACCCAGTGCGCCCCCCGTCCGATCCTCCGTTGCAAACACCTCGAGCAGCTCGTCGCCAAGACATCCGACCGCCTCGCAGTGGCCGTCGAATGCCTCTTCTTCCGTCGCCCCGGGGGACCTTCTTGCTGCCTCCAACCTGACCACCAGCAGCCCCGCCCTCGCGCAGCGTCCTCCAAACCGCCTCTCCGACTCGCTCCCTCGCCGTCACAGCAGAGATCCCTCCGACGACCTCCTGGGCGCGCCTTTTGACGGTGCTGCCATCCTGAGCCGCATCGAGTCTACAAAGTATACTCTCCCGCGAGACTCTGCCCAGCGATCACCAGCGTCCCCCCCACTCGCCAGGTCCCTCACTGGCACGCGAATCGTGAGCCCCGCGCTCCGAGCCTCACAGAGCTTCAGCAACATGGAGCCCGTCGTGACGGAGAAAATCCAGGGCGGCAGAGCACCTGATGGCGCAGCAGCGACGCCGAAGCGGTATTCCGACGAGGGAAAGGAGTCGAAGCCGCCCATGATTCGCAAGAAGTCGGGTTTCTCCGGTTTCGTCACCAGTTTGGTCGGCTCACAAAAGAAGCCCACCATTTCAGCCCCAGAGAATCCGGTTCATGTCACTCATGTGGGATACGACAGTACCACTGGACAATTTACTGTTAGACCGCCCTCACTTCCACCTTGTTCTGCAACGCCTCGGCCGCGCGTGCACCGCATCCATGCTAACTCAACCACCAGGGCCTGCCCAAGGAATGGCAACGCTTGATAAACGAAAGCGGCATTCCCGAGAAGGAGAGACGAGAAAACCCTCAGACCATGGTGGACATTCTTCAATTTTACAAGGAAACGACCGAGCGCCCGCCCGAGGATCAAATTCTGGAGAAATTCCACCACGCCGGACCGACAGAAAATCGTTCACATAACACACCGGCCTCGCCAAACATGTACCCCGCGAATTACATGGGTAAGAGGGCGCTCTGCGCTGTCGAGTGTTTTTTTATGACGATATGGCCTTGACTGACTCGTGCCGACGGAACAGGAAGTTTTGAGAATCCTCGAGCGCCTCCACCTGTGCCAGCTTCGAGGAATCATGGTAGAGACATGATGCCAAGCCGGCCCGCTCCCAAGCCGCCGGTCAGCATAAACAACCGGTCCATGCCGTCGAGTGTGTATCCCACCAAGGACTCTGGTATCGGTCTATCCCAACAATCCGACGATTACTCCCCGCAGTCAAAGGACAATGCGCCCATGCTGCCCGAGGAGCACCGGTCAAGATCCAACTCTCGTGCCAACGGTCAATCGCCGTACGGCCCCTCGACCCCGCTACCTGGTCAGACGACTGTGCAAGTTGCCGCGTATCAGCAGCAGCAACTTGTACAACAACAGCATGAACAGGCCTTGGCGCAGGCCCAAGCGGCAATGTCCGGACACGTTGGCCGGGCTCCCAGCAAGAGACAACCACAGCACCAGGCGCCGGTGCCAGGCCCCCATCAGGCGGCCGCCTACGCTCGACCTGCCGATGCGAACGGACACTCGAACGCTTCACGCCAGCAGGCAGGTCCGGGTGCGGTAGCTGGCGCCAGACCCAGACAAAGGGCCCGCCAAAGCAACGGCATTGATGTGATTGCGTCGCTCAAAAGAATTTGCAGCGAGGGCGATCCGCGGGAAGTCTTTCGCGGCTTCACAAAGATTGGCCAGGGCGCTTCTGGCGGTGTCTTTACAGGCTACGAGAGGGGCACCAACCGACTTGTCGCCATCAAGCAGATGAATCTGGAGCAGCAACCGAAAAAGGACCTGATTATTAACGAAATCCTGGTCATGAAGGACAGCTCACATCCCAATATCGTCAACTTCATCGATAGCTACCTCTGCGCAGGAGAACTGTGGGTGGTCATGGAGTTCATGGAAGGAGGCAGCCTGACAGACGTCGTCACCTTTAACATCATGACTGAAGGACAAATTGCATCTGTGTGCCGGGAGACCCTCAAGGGCCTTCAACATTTGCATTCCAAGGGCGTGATCCATCGCGATATCAAGTCGGACAACATCTTGCTATCTAACGAGGGCAGCATCAAGCTCAGTAAGTTGCACACACTCTGAACATTGGCACCGGGTGGAATATTGAACCGGACTTGGCTAATCCATCCTTGAAAGCCGACTTTGGGTTTTGCGCCACCATCAACGAGGCGCAGAACAAACGAACAACCATGGTTGGCACGCCTTACTGGATGGCCCCGGAGGTTGTAACGAGGAAAGAGTACGGGCGCAAAGTAGACATCTGGTCGCTGGGAATCATGGCCATTGAAATGATCGAGGGCGAACCTCCATATCTAACCGAGTCGCCACTTCGAGCGCTGTGGCTCATTGCCACCAACGGAACGCCGCAGATCAAGAGTCCGGACGAGCTCTCGCCTGTGTTCAGGGACTTCCTCCACTTTGCTCTAAAGGTAGACCCCGAGAAGAGAGCGAGCGCGCACGATCTTTTAAGGGTAGGTTTCTTTCCCTCCTACTCTTGTTCCGGCCAATGGCCACCATCGGCGGGTTTGGAAGCAACAAATCGACTAAAACCTTTGCAGCACGAGTTCATGAAACAGTGCGTAGATCTAGGCCAACTGGCTCCCCTCGTGCGAGCCGCCAGAGAACAAAGAGCTCAGGAAAAGGCACGAAAGCAATAAGATCAGATACACGTCCGAGTATTACGCATGGCTCTTCGATCATTTACAAAGCGAGCATTTGTCTTTTTATTTTATTTTTTAATTCGTGTCTTGATATTATTTACATAAACGAAACAGCGCTTTGTTTGACCTACGTCACAACGAAACGACGACGTTATTTTGTTGCCACGATTGCCGAGAATACCCAGGATGCGTAAGATAGGGGGATCATGGATCAACAAGCACCAGCCTTTTTTTTTTCTCTTTTTTTTTTACAAAAAAAAAAAATCCAACGCCGGCGGTGAATGCAGACTTGGCAAGATCGGACTGGGTAGTTTTGCAGTGGAGGGCGCAAATTCCGGCAGCGTCCCACGTACATACGTACAGGAACCGGGGTTTTCCGACAAGACACGACCGGCGGTTGACGCTTTGGAAGCCGTGTCCTTGAATGGCCGTTGCTGGGCTGGTGTTATTCCTCGAGGATACAGCCTCCCTCAACAACAATGTATCAACTACGTTTCCAGACGAATTGAAAGTCTGCTGCATCCGCATCGGCCTTTCATAGACCGGCGTTTTTCCCCGTCCCCTCCCCCTTTCGTCTCTGGTGCGCTCTTGGGCCCTCTCATGCGACTCTCTCTCTCTCTCTCGCTCTCTCTGTGGTGAGGGATGAACCAGTCATCCGCGTTTTTGGGATACCTGTCTTTGTAACCGTTTGGTACAGAACGCGTGAGCAACTCGTCTTTTTTTCCTTCCTCTTCAAACTCGCTGTTTTCTCCTATTCCTGCTACTATACGACGACTACCCTTTCCGACTCCTCCACTGGGAGTGCGGTCCTTTTCTCTTTCTGCCTCAGTCGGCGGTCATTGACATGGACGACACATGGGCGGCGCGGGGAGCATGGATGGACAGTATACATGATTATTTCGGGATACGGCTGGGGCGAATTCCGGGCACTGAGCGGCGCATGTGAGGAGGGAGGGCGGGGCGTTTCGGAGGGAACAACAGGGAACGCTCGTGCCTCTCCCCTAGGAAAGTGAGGCCGCGGTCCCCTTGCTCAGTGAGCCTGTTGTATTATGGTTGGGTTGTTTGATAGCTGGGAGAGGCTCGGCCGGGCCTCGGCCGGCAACGGGAAGCACACGGGGGCTGTGCTGTCTGTCATTGAGAAGGCGGACATTGGAAATTGGGCAACGGGAACGAGGTCCGGATCACTTGGGCACTTGGGAGTTTAAAAAAAAAAATCCAATGTTTATGAGCTGCCGTGTCGCGTGGGCTAGGTCGAGCAGATGTCGAGCAAGGGCTTCATGGCGGCACGCCTGTCTGACTTGGTCCCCGTGGCGTGACGGACGGCTGACAGCTATGACGTGCATGACCACGCACGCATGCAGGCAGGGTCTTGCAAGAAGCAATGTTCCATTTTCTAATCTTGCATGCGTAGTAGGACACCCATGCGCGCTGGAAGGAAGGATGAGGATGCGCAGATGTGGTCGTGGTACATCAATAGTACTAGTTCCATCTACGCACGCCGCCGTCGTCGTCATGACCTTGCTGTCGCCGTGTGCAGAAGCCATCAGGCGCCTGCCGACTGAGCACTTCAAGTTAAACATGACAGCTCCAGCATGTCACGATGGTTCATGGACGGCACAGCGCAGTAATTAAGTTGATAGTATTTCGAATACTCTCCACAGAGCATCCTGTCTTTTTCGCTCCAGACCAGATCTATCACATTTCCCAGGCGGTCTCTATCCTCTATGGCCGATAGTTTTTGGCTATTTTGATCGCAGTAAAGCGGGGCCTCGATGCAGACAAACGATGTGGAAATAACAAAAATAAAAAAAAACAAATGAGATCCGTAAACGCCAGGCAGTATACGATGCATGAGAAAATGTGTGCATGGCTGGTCTTGCAGCCCGAAATGCTCTTCATCCGAGGTATGTGGATGGTGGGGCGTGATGAAGAAATGTTGGTGGCGGCAGCCGCCTTCTTTTCGAGGCCGGCTGTGCCATGCCAAGTGCTCTCCGACCTCGCTCCTCTGGAGCATTATAGAGAATATATGTATGTTGTGAAGTGAACAGGGTTGAGGCAGGGTCATGACGGCAACTGGCTTAGTAGCACGAGTAGCCACCGTCAATGATGATGTTGGAGCCAGTCATGAAACTGGAAGCGTCGGAGGCGAGGAAGACACAGAGACCGTTGAGCTCGTCGACGCCACCGAGACGGTCCTGGGGAGTCAGGGATTTCCAGATCTTCTTCTGGGCCTCGAGAGCAGGAACGCGGTTCAGAGCTGTGTCCATGTAGCCAGGGGAGATGCAGTTGACACGAATCTTATACTTGGCCCACTCAGCGGCGATCGACTTGGCAAACTGGATCACGCCGGCTTTGGAGGCATTGTAGCAGCTCTGCTCCTGTGGGTAGTTGACGACGGAGCCGGACATGGAGGCGACGAGGACGATGCTGCCCGGCTTACCAGCGGCCATCATGGCGCGGCCAACAGCCTGAGACATGAGGAAGGAGCCAGTCAGGTTGATATCAATGAGGCGGCGGAACATGGCAGGATCGTAAGTCTCGGCCTTGATATTGGAATCGGCGATACCGGCAGAGTTGACCAGAACATCGGGAGCACCGTAGAGCTCGACGACAGACTCGACTGCGGTGTTGATGGCAGCACCGTCACGGACGTCCACTTTGAAGAAGGAGACGGGGAGACCCGACTTGTCGTGAAGCTCGGCGGCAGCTTCGTCCCCGAGATCCTGGTTGGCGTCGAAAATGACGATTGCTTTGGCACCAGCCTCGGCACAGGCGCGGGCCATGTAGTTGCCCAATCCGCGAGCACCGCCAGTGACGATGATGACCTTGCCGTACACGCTCATGTTGCGCATGGTGCGAGGCATCGCCTCGTAGACTTTCCTCCCCAGGGGCTGAACGAGGTCATACTCGGCAGGGGGAGCAGGGCTGTCGAAAGGTACTTGAGCAGCTTCGTCCGGAACCTGAACAGTGTGCTTATCCCCTTGCCCCTGACCAGCGCTGTAGACGGTAACCGGGACTTCCTTCTCGCGGACAACGCTCTTCTTCTGGTGGGTGTCGGACACGGCTCTGACGTGAGATGTAGAGAAGAAGCGGGCGGTCGGTCGAGGGGCGGCAATGCGAGGAGTGGCGGTTCGAGAGAGTCGCAGGGCGCCTCTGGTTGCGAAAGACATTGTGATTGATTTGATTGTGAGAAGGGTGGGTGGGAGTGATGGACAATGCTGTGTAGAGAGACCAAGACCAAGCTTTATCAAGAGCAACAGAGTTGCGAAGGGAGTGGCAGTGGGAGGACGGGATGGGTGTCCGGCAAGTCAAACAAGGAATTGAGGGACGAGAGTCTGGACAAGCTGTAACTTCAGGCGAGAAAAACGCCCTGATATATGAATGTCTTGAGGAGTCTAGGCAGCCTCTGGGAAGGGGGGTCCAGTCCAGACTTGCGAGGACCTTCACCTGAGCGAGCAGTGAGCACAGCCGTTGACTCGGTCGGATCAACAGGGTACTGTAGGTAAAAACAGTGGACCTGACGAGGGTGACGGGGATCGTTGGTGCCAAGCTGGAGTGTCAAATCTGGTCGGACGTGGCGCCGCGTGGGCATCTGGCTTACACTACTGCAGGGCCTAGTCGGGGTTTGGCGTCTTTCGGCGGCATGTCCGGGCAGGGAGAGGGAAGACAATAGGCTGTGAGGCGAAGCTTTTGCCTCCCTCCCTGACAGTACTGCGCTCACCCTCCTTCTGGAAGCTCAGCGAAAAAAAATCTCGACGCGTTGCGGTTGGCCGGTGGGCATTGTCCAACGCGGAGTTTCGGGAACTCCCCGTTTGCTTTGTCCAGGTCGGTCTAGACAAATTCGGCTCGGTCTGAGCTGCGCTGCCGATGCTGTCTGTGTGTCTGTGTACTGACTAGTATTCATTACTTGGCAGACAACTCCGCCGTGCACTGCTGTGAATATGAGTCTCGACTAATTTGTGTACTGCGTACTGCGCAAGACCCTCAATGACTCCAGAGCAGTATTCCGTCCGCTGCATCGAGACCGAGTGAGAGTGGTTGCTGCTGCTTGAAAAAGAAGGAATCAAACCGCACCCAGGTCAGGCGAACGAGATGATTGATACGGGGACCCCGGGAGAACGAGACCCGATGCTATTAATAACAAACGGTGACTGGGGTTGATGAGGCGGCCGTGGCATGAACGAGCAGTTTTGGCGTCGTCGTCTACGGATACGGAGTACGGAGTAACGAGTGTTCGATGCTGCATGTATTCCAGGTCAGCAGTCAGTCAGTCAGTCAGCTGCCTCGCTGGCGAATGCGCAGCAACAGATTGGGAGGAAGGATCATGCTCCGTACAGAGTGTACACACTCCGTGTTCTGTTGCGGCTTTGACATTGATTTGAGCAACAGCATTAATAATTACGTAGCACAGCACTAACCTAACTGCGGCGCCGGGAGCAGGGAGGTGAATGCGGCGGCAACTATATCTCAGACTGGTTGGTGTTGGCTGGGCGTCTCACGTCACAAAAAAACCGGGGTTTTGCTGGAGAAGAGGAGCATCGTGTTGCCCCTGTGGAGCGTCTTGCTGTTTCTTTGACCTTTTCTGCAAGCAGAGGCGATTGTTGATGACCTTGCAAGAAAGCTTGGGCCTCGCTTGTCTCACATCACAGGATGGAATGGTAGTGCGGCTCCTGGTTGCTTTGCTTTGCTGTGCATGGTGGCATCCATCCATCCATCCGGTTCCCGACGCAATGGCATAAAGGCTATGTATGTCTTGACAACGGGCATGGCCAGCTGACAAGGCGCGGAATGGACGCAGAGACTATCAGCCCCTATCCCAATGCTTCCGACCATTGCGGAGGCTCAGGAATGCGGCCTGTCTCACATGAACTAGCCATCTTTGACGAAATGACATTGTAACGACAGCGCCCTCTTCATCCATGGAAAGGGGGCTCGGTAGTACGTAGTCATATCATGCTACGTACCACTGTTTCTTCTTGCGGTTACTGTTCGAGACAACACGCATCCTACCAAGGTTCGCAAGGATCGTGAAATAGCGGTGGAGCAGAAGGAAGGTCATATGACCAAAGCCAGTCCGGGGGTTCCAAAGACGCAAACCAGTAAAGGAAAAAGAAAAAATAGCCGTGACATTTTTGTCGTGCAACCAATACCGCTGTGAAAATTGATCGTGGCTGGCAACCAGACGGCGCCAAGTCTATCTGATGGTATCCTCGCATCAATTTCCCTCGGTATCTAGGCAGTAATAGCGGTTAGTTGGAACTCTATTAAGGGTACAAAACAAGCCCTAGCAAACGCAAGCTTTCACCACCATAGCGACGCTTCCTGTGAGAAATCAGTATTCGCTCGTTCCGTGACGAAAAGCCTGGAGCCTGCTCTGAGTCTCTGACAGTAAACGGACAAATGTCGTGCCGTACTTCAGCCTCAAAAGGAGAGGGAGGACAGACATCTGATGCCATCCTGGGCACCAATGTGCTGGGACTCCGGGAGTGACACCAGCAGCCTCCAACAGCCATGGAGTAACAACACGCCCCGCCTGCCTTGGCCCTTGATGACAGCACGCCTGCGTCTAAACCCCTGACATTTTTTTTGTGCCTGATTTTGGCACCGAGATGTGGCGTGGCCGAGCAGGGACTAGACTAGTCAATCCCGTTGCCATGACTGTCTGAAAATTTTATGCTCAGAGACGGTCCCGCATACGTGGGTACGGCAAGACCACCGAGTTGTTCCAGGCACATGCTCCGGAGTCCGGACTGTTTTTGAGACGCACTCCATACATAATACTCCGTACGTACGTACCTAGATGATTAGTCCGTACGGAGTAGTGCAACTGGCAAAGTTTTCGAATGCGTCTTTCTCCTCTTGCAGCGCAGCTTAATAACCTCATAATCCACCGTGCTTCGTACTAGTACTCACCAACCCGGTATTCTTTTTTCAATCCCCTCAGTAGTCAGAGTGGCAGCTTGTTTGCATTGGGATACCAGGTTTGTACAACAAAAGCTCAGGCCGGAATATCCCTCTGCCATGTATCAGCACATCAGCCAAATTATTACTTGGTTCAAACATGATTGAATTGGGTTTCGTCTGTTTCGACCGAGATGGTCTTTCGATTGTCTGCACGGGCCACTGCTTGCTAGCTTGCGCAACCACTCAACCGGTGCATCGTGAATTTATCTCAACGCTCTCCAGGTGTCTCCTTAGTGGACCGAATCTGAAAGATGCATGACGCTGGACATCGAAACTGTTGACTGCACAGCGCATGTCAGTACACGTTTCTACGCTGTACATGGTGTACAGTGGCCAGCGATAGCGTATAAAGCAGAGAAGATGTCGAGTGGAATTTTAGGACCACGAGCAGCTCTTACGACGGTGCAGGTTTCCTCGGAGAGCTGCTATACACGGTAGTGGCAGACTCGACATGGCTTGAACGAGCTATAGTTGTTGGGAATCTAGATGCCAACAGTTAGTAACGGCTCAAGCCTTTGAACTAGTGCCATGTCCACGCCCTACCGCCTCGCATCTGATCGACAGTCTTGAGCGGTAGGCCTGATGGTTCATGAAGATGGGGAATATGGAATAGTTGGGTGGGGACCAAGCACTCGGCGCCTGGGGCTCTTCGGGCACCAAGAGGCAGTTGGGGGCTCTCGGTGTGATGCTGCCAGACCACATGGTGGCGGGGAAAAATCAACAAAAGCGAGGAATAGAGTGCTGGCTGCTCTTACCTGACCCCGGATGTGATGGACCGTGTAATATGAATCTTTCCAACGGTGAGGCAATGCAATTCATGATGGCCATTGCGATGTGGGAATGCAGCCCCAGTGGGTAACTACCCCAGTATTTGCCCGGAGATTCGTGCAGGTGGCTCCTGCCCACAAGACGGAGTACCGAACCCGAAGCTGCGCAAGTACAAAGCTACGTCCGGTACGGAGTAATACTCGGTATGTACTCGCTTCTGTGGGAATCCCGCACTTTGGCAAAAAAAAAAGAAAAAGAAAACACCAACATGCATCAAGCCATCTCTACGCTGTACAATGCAGTTACTCACACATTATGACACACTGTAACTGCTATCAGATTGGCATCCCCCTCCGTCCAAGCTGTATGCAAGTTCGACCACTTCTCCCGTGAGGCTTCTGTCATTCGACTACCATGCTTTGAAAGAAAGCTGACCCGTTGACCACCATGGCGCCGGGTGATCCGGCCTCGCCAGCGCTGGCCTTTTGGTGCAGCTCTTTTTGCTGCTCTCGGGCCTGTCGTCGGGCCTTGTTCTTTTCGAGTCTCTCGAGTTCCTTTTTGATTCTGCATCGAGCTGCGTGTAAGCACACCGTCTCTGGCGCGACCCGAGGGCAGGTCGTCAATCCACATACCTAATGCCCGCAAGGCGGTCATGGTCGGCATTGCCCGTAGGCCGGGAGCTGTAGATGCTGTGGAGAGGTAGACGTAAGCAGGTGCTCGTAACTCCAACCCAACGTAGTCGGCAACAGCGCCTGGAGACGGCACTTGTCGTCTCTTGGGGCCGAGATGCGTGTGACCCAGGCACGCCCACTTGTGAAGCGCCCTGACACGTGACGGCAGCCGCTTCCAGACCCGGGGGGCCTCCCCGCGGGGCCTGCATCGCATCGTCTTGAGTACATACTCCTTAAGTTCCAAGTCTGCCTCGGTTCGCCGCTTCATATACTGCGAGATGACGACGGGATCGTGGACGACCTCGGTTCGCGTCTGCGTCGACCCGTCCTGCAGGCGGACCTCTCTCGTGATGCGGATGGCTTTCTTGACATGGCGACTAGCCGATGTGAAGCCACTAATTTGGCTGGTGCCGTCGTCGAATTGCGCCGGCGTCGCGGCGGCGTGAACGTTGAATCGATCATCCTCGTCTTCCGTGACTGCCACGTCCTTGTCGTCGTGCTCCCGGGCGTCGGACAGCGTTGCCTTTTGCTTCTCCCAAATCTCCTTGATGCCCTCCTCGTACATTGCTTGTTGCTTCTTGACGTTATAGGCGTGGCCGCCGTTAGCGCGCTTCTCACGCTCCATGGCGTCGGCCGACGTGGCCAACGGGCCCTGAACAGCCTCAATGTACCCTCCCTTCATGGACGTTCGGATGAAACTGAAGCCGAGGCCGTGTCCAGTCGGGTCACCCTCGCCGTGCAGCTGGAGCATGGCCTTTTGCGCACAGGCGTCGATGAAGGCCTTTGTAGTTTTCCAAGGTGCCATCTTGTCGGCAAGTGTCTCTTCCTGCTTTTCGCCAGGCTTCTTGGCGCCCTTGGGCGCCTTGCTTCCGCCCTCATCCTCGTCGTCTTCTTCAGCATCCATGTCCATGACGTCATCGTCAATGTTGGCATTTCGGGGATCGTAGCCGGCGTCCTCGAGCTCCTTGATTCCCAGCTGCATGGCATCCAGAAGACTGACCTCCTCAGGCTTGATCATGGCGCGAATCGCATTTTCGTCGGGCAAGATCTCGCTTGGCTTCAGGCGCCACATGCCTTTTTCGCCACTCTCCCTGTCGTACTGTAGAAATTTGGGACGAGAAGGGTGTACATTATAGGCGAAGAGGTTAATAGCGTTATTAGGTTGAAAATTGGCCCGCCTTGGTGTCCGGCCCGCCTTGCTGTCGAGCACCACCTTTGGTGGTGAGGGCTTTTGCTAGCCGAACCACATAAAGTGGGGCGGGCACGATTACTACTTACTAGGCCCGTCTAGACTCGACAAATGGGGGCTACCTACCGCGGAGCGCGTCAACGAGGGCTGGGAGGGGTGGCATGAAAGAGGACTCTCTTTGCAATCTCAGAAATTCAGACCCAACAATGACTGGAATCTGAAGTGGCCAAGGCACTCCATGACTTGGGACACTTTTTAGCCGAAAGACACGGACCATTTCCTGCTCTTCCATTCGAAGACGACAAGCCACGTTTGATGGTCCAAGCTATCCCCTGGTCTCCCGAGCCCATGGGGACTCTGAGGGTCGGAACGTGGGGATGCAACCGTGGCTCACTGCGCCCTGAGCTTGGGGGAGGGGATGTTGAGGCAATCTCACAACTGGTCATGTGGCCATGCTGAATTTTCTCTCCCCCGGTCCGTCGTGCAACAACCATGACAAGTCAACTCGGACCAGCCACGTTGCCCGAATCTCGTACATGGCATTGCGGAGGACGGAGCGCTTTGGCGCTGAACTGAATGCCGAGGGCGCGTGTAGAGACATTTCGCCTTTATCTGGGAGACAACCGACAAGAAGCCGATTTGTTCAGCCGACGAAATTGGCCCGACACTTCACCAACCGCATGGATGTACGGCCGGGATAGTCAGAAAGGAGAAGCCTGGCTGCTGCTACCTTGCACAAGTTACTTGCGCCAAGTTGCCCGCCAGGTCCAGGGCGGTTCGTGTGAGATTGTCAAGGTGCCAACGACAACTTCAACGCCGGCATCAGAATAGCACGGATATACAGGGCCCCCATGCGCCGGAATATTTGGTACACCGCCGGAGCCGGGAGGAGCACTTTAACCTACTTACTAGCAGAGCTCTGTCCAAGCTGAGCTGGCATCTCGCACACCGGCGCAGATGAGCCACCACAAGCCAAACAATGCTCAAGACGTTTGTTCACAGACTAGCAGCGGTGCCGCCAAACGTAACTGCGGTGGTGTGTATCAAGAAGAGGTTGCTCCCACTCCCCGTGGGCGGTCTGTAAAGGACAACGTCTCTCGCGGCCCCAAGCCGGGGATTTTTCGCGTGAAGTTATCCCCAAGACTCCTATCATGCAAACTATGGGCCGTAGCAAGCTCACACTCGAGGTAGATAGCCTCTGATTGGCAGGGCCAAGGTTTCTACTTGGTATTGGTGAGTCGCGGCTGATGGACCAAGGTTTTGACCCGACTAGCAGTTTCGAGCCGTGATTAGAGACACAGACTTCTGGGCTCTTTTCAGCACAACTCGCACAGGCAACCTCGTCTCCACCACCTCACGGCGCATTGACATGGAAAAGTACCGACTACGAGTAATACTATTATTAACGCATCTTTCTACGGAGTGCTCGGCGGCTGTAGCCGGAGCTGCAGCTGGAGCTGGGAGCTGGGAGCTGGGTTGGTGTCACACCCACATGTAACAGAGTGGTCATGCACAAGATCTTCCGGAAGTCCTGCTCCGCTCTGTCGAGAATACTAGAGGAAAAGAATAAGACGCAACAACGCTCAGCCCACCAACGCCACAGTTATGGATGCGTGGAGAGTGAGCAAGCATTGACCAACCAGGCCCGTTTGTCATTTGTTTGCGTCAAGAATTGCCGGCAGGGCAACCAGCCACGCAACTACCCCGTATGCAGTATGCAGCACTCCATCGTTTTGACCGGCCCTCGACCTATCGCCTGTCCCACAGCCCTACATACAGACTCGACGAACTCGAGCAGTATCCAGAACCTGGCGGGCGCACATGGGCGCAGACCACTGTTCTGCCCGTCATCCAGGTGACGCTGTCATGGCTTGCCATAACCGCGTTACCGAGGACCAAAACAGCCTCCAAGCAACGTGGCCTGGCCACTTCGTCCAACTTTCCTGCGTATGCTCATGGGGCCCCTTCAACGCCCCTGAGCGCCGGAGTAGGATATCATCGCGTAGAACCATGCTGCATGACTCTCTATACATGCTTTCTCGCCCAAAACCAAAGCAGAACCAAACTCCCCATCCTCTCCTGTACCGAAAAACGCACACTGGGAGGATGTACATACTTTCCCCTGTTGAGCCCCTGACAACCTGCACATAAGAAAAAATATCATTGCATGGGATCGACTGTCATCGTCAGTATTCATCTTCATCCTCAAGCTGCGTTTGAGGACGGATCAAGTCGAGAAGAGACGCGATATACGGACTCTGCTTGTTGTTAGTGTCGACTACCCAGCATTTCCGCGCGAATCAGCGACGATGCAGATCAACATGACTTACCAAAGCTCGATTCTCGGCCAGAACCTCAAATAGACGAGGCAATACAGCCCGGAACAGCCTCTCATTCCACCCACCTCTTTCCGAGCTGCTGGACTGTCGCGTCTTGAGCAATTCCTCCTCTGCTTCGGTCTTGACAACGTTTCGCGCAATATTACGTAGTACTAGAACAGCGCTGAGGGGGATGCCAGCAGCCTGAGGAGGCAAGTTGGGGTTTCTCTCATCCCGAACCGTAATCGTCTCTTCGTATGTAACCGCCATTGTCTTTGCCGGCACGACCCACGGTCTCTGAGAAGAGTTCGTGTCGATAGGAGCGGCAGCCATGATGTGAGTGTTGACATGGCGCGCAAAGTCGTGCAAGTGCAGCTTCGTCGGTGTAGCATATTTACAACACTCCCCCCAGGTACATAAAAACTTCCTCTCCTTGTTGCAAAACTGCCCATCCTCGTTGGCTTGCTCGTCGAGGTGTTTTGTCATGATGTGGTTCCACATCTGCTCCGGCTTGAGGAAAAACTGCCCGCACTTTTCGTTTCGCTTTTCCGAGTTGGTAGCCCACAGGCAGCGCACGTATTCTTTATCTTCAAAGTTCAACGGGCGAGGCCTAGCGCGAATCCCGTGAATGATGAACTTCTGCTGTGGCTCGCCAGGTTCCCGGAGGACTTGCGCGTTGGAATCCTTGTACACGGAAGTGCTGTTCCGAATGAAGTCTGCCGGAGTAATCATGGGCTGGCCGACAGCCTTCAGGGGACCAACAAAGGCGGACTGGTAGGCTTGCCAAGCGGCTAGTTGTGTGACGAAAGAGTCATTATCCTCTTCGAAGAAGCATTTCACCCACTTGTGGACTCGATCGGGCTCCTCTAGCTTGACCATCTGCTGCAACAAATCTTCTGGCATCGGTGCAATGTCGTCTCGAGCTGGGAGCTTTTGCTCGGGAATGAGAATAAACTCGCGGTGGACTTTTCTGGCTCCATGCGCCAAGAGCCGCACCAGATGTTCGACCAGGTTCTCTGGAGTCGTTGACCGGATAAGATTGTCCACATTGGCGACAACAGCAGTGTATTGGTAAAGTAGATCCAGGCAGGCATCCATCAACTCATCGTCATTGAGGAGCAACCAGTTTGTAATGCGCTCGAGGGGCTCTGCGGGCACATCGCCAAGCTTGTTCGTGGCTTCAAGGTTCATCGAGATGCGGGCCAAAGCCCGCAGGGAAGTTAAAATTGTACCGCGGTCGTCAGATGCCAGCTGTTCTAACAAGGTCTTGTACAATGGATCGTCGGACTCGAGAACCATGAATGGTGTGATCTGCTCAGCAATGTCCAACGCCATGTGCTTCAGCTCGGTTAGGGAATCTTTAGGGGGTAAATGCACGATAATACAAATCAGGTCTTTGATGGGGTAGAAGTCGGACATGTTCACCGCGTTTTCAGGCAGTGTCACCATGTTGCGGAGCGTTAGAACAGCTTCTGTGATCAACACCATTTGGTCTGTAAATGCTTCAGTTTGAAGAGCATCTGGCAAGTCCTTCTCTACCAAGTTGGCAATGCGGTTGAGGATATCCGGGGTCCCATTGTTGCCGTCCAGTGAGCCAATGCCACCGGGGTCCGCGTATGGATCCCATGATACGGTCCAGCAAACGTGATAAAACAGGCTGCCAACTTCAAGACCCTTTTCAACTAGCCCCTCTGCAAGGCCGGGGAAAGCGTCGAAGCGATATTTGTCACCACGTTCGAAAGATATCTTGACGAGGTGGTTTAGTGCAAAAGCCTGCTCACTCGGAACACCAGATCGTAGAGCATTAAGGCAACGGGTATAGATGTTGGGTCCATCGAAGCCAGCTACGTCATTTGATCATTAGAATCGACAAGCTAACAACAGTCCGTGTTTGGGGTTGCTGTCACTTACTGCCTGGTTGCATTGGCTGACGGTTGGTAGGATCAATGAGAACCGGCCTGTGAGGCAGCCGATGCCGCTGAAACTCATTGGGAGCGCTACTGGGAGTGGCAACAGCTCGAAGCTGTAAAGGCTTCATATGTTTTGGCTGGTACGAAAGCACCATGTTGGAGGTGTTTTCAGAGTTTGATGGGTGATGCATGATAGAAGGCCCGCGGCCCTGATGGCCACCTGGTGGCATTGGAGGCATGTTCGGATGATGTGTTGTCTGTGCGTTTCCTTGAGCTGGAGAAGCGTTTTGAGTAGCGTTTTGTTGGACGGCCTGTCGAGTCGAACGACTGGGTCCCGTGTCAGGCTGAAAGATAACGCGCTGTGGAGGGGCCTCTCGAAGACCACGAGAAGCTCGGGAGCTGGAAGGGGCTTCGGGAGCAGAGCGCTCACGCGTTGGCGTGCCGTCGTCACCGGATGCCGCGGAGTCACCAGCGTTCACGTTGCTGTCGCGCTTGGGTCGGAAGTTCTCAAGGGTGCGCGTCAGTAAGCTGGCGCCCTTTGCCGTGACGTCTTCCAAGATCTCCTTTGGAGGTGGCTCTTTGTTGTGGACTGTCTTGATCTCGTAAGCAGCCAGGTTCTTGTAAAACTTTTCCTTTAGCGAAAACGCCGTGGAAGCTTCGTTGTTTGAATGCAAGCCCAACTCAGCCGCGATACGCCGCCAGGCCAACTTTTCCTCGGAAATTTTATCGTAGCCTCCACTAGCGACGACGTGATTGAATACCTTGTACAGGTCGAGATATATCAGGCCAACCTTGGGTTCGGGGTCAAGAATGGTGCCTCGCTTCTCGTGAAATTCTTTGAGCTTGGTCATAAACTCCTCATACTCGGGAGTGCGTTCAATGGAGTGCAGTGGCACCTCTTGCGGCGTAGTAGTCATTTCGGTTTGGTCGTCCCAAATCAGCCGTGAATAACGTGTCCGTTCTCGTCGGGTTTTCGACCGACGTAGTCGTACAGGCTGTTGCGTCACGACTCGACAAATCGCGCGTCCGGATGTGTGCTCGCTTGCGATCCTCCTTCAAGTCCGGCGGATGGATGCGCAATCAACCAGCGTTCAAGCGCATCAAACCACTGCCTATGTACGGCGCTCGCCGACCAGTGATCTTGAAAGGATCGCAAAGGCGATAGAATGCCCAGACGAGGGATGCCGTTTAGTCGACAACTTCCAGACGGCGGATTGGAGACGTGTTGGCGCGAGACTTGCCGCGCCCAAATGCAAGGCTGGCAGATGCTATCTTATCACCACGTGACCACACATACACTAACAGACACCAATCGGCAGGGTTCCTTTTGCTCCATGCTACATCCCACCAAGCTTATTATTTGGTCGTTCCAAGTCGAACTCGACGTGGTGGTGTCAACTTAAATTCAATTCAATGGCACCGCCTCTATCAAGGATAAACTCTCCACATAGGCCGGGCTACTGTACAGTCACAACCGGCCGCCCAAATCTTGCGAAATGGCTCGATTTGCTTCGCCAGCATTAGGCTGCCAACTTCGGCTAGTCGAGGTCGAGATGGACGCGGCAAAAGAAACATACGACCCTAGGCATTTCAATGAGCCACTGGAGCTGAGCCTAGAAGGGCAAAGGTCACTGGGTTCGGATTGTGGTGTTCTTTCGCTGCTCATTACTACTGGCACAAGACAAATGGTTCGTCCTTGATCGCATGCAGAGTCCGGGAAGTTCTGACGCGCTTGTTCAGCTTTCATTACGACTGAATGACTTGTTGAGCCATCCAAGGGGCACTGAAGGAATGATAAGCGTCGACAGAGGAAACCATAGGCTTTGTGTAAATCTACCAAACCGAAACCATACCCTCCGTGTATGGTTTGCTGAGGAGCGAGACTTTCTCATTTCCGTGTGCATTCTTCGAAAGTCCGGCTTCAAGATTGAGGATAGCAAGATAATCCAGCACAGGGGTATTGGTACTGCCGCTACCAATACTAGTACTGACCCTAAGTTCGAGCTCGCAAAGGCTAGTAGTGCCAACCAAACATCCCCGTTTTCTACTACATCGTTGACCGTGTTAACTGCGCAAGCCAAGTCTTTATGCCATGATGATCCTCTGTCTTTCCCGAGAAGAAAGCCTTGGGGAGAAAACATCTTTGACGAGGTACTTGAGAGTTTACAGAGGCTTAGTGAAGACTCCAAATCACGAAATGTTGCCGAGGGCGATCCATTACTGGAAAGCCTCGGCTCACATGACTTATCGTATCTTAATCCCTACAATGCTTTTTCGATAAAGAGAAAGGCCATCTTGAACCAGCCAAATGTTGGATCCCCGCTCAAGAACATGGTTGATCAAGAACAGCAACATCAAAGCGAATCTAAGCGTCTGAAAACGACTTACACCGCCCCCGAACCACAACCGCGGCATAGTCATCGCTACTTCACACGTTCATTCTCGTCATCCAAGTCTGAAGCGCAGAAGAAGACCGAGCTCAGGTTTCCCTCATCATCCCTCAAGGTTCAACGGAATGCCAGCGCGTCTACAGGTGGAATCTTCTCAGACAGTACGCGCGGCACTTTCTCTGCTAGCTCCGACTCAAGCCCAATAGCAACCCTCCAGCAGATCATGCCACGGCGCAGGAACCTCCCATTTTCTACGCTTGTCAAGAGTACACACGAAAAGTTGAGACCCGCTAGTCACGCTGCAGAGATTGACCCTGGTAGAGAATCAGTGACACCACCCAGAGCGAGAGACAAGACACAACTGAGCAAAGGACGACTGGCTTCTCCGGAGACGACAATTATTCTGACACCTCTGGCGAGTCTTGATAACGTTGATAAAGAATCATGTAAGATATTTGACCAGTACGAGAAGGATATTGCAAGAGGCCGTGATCAGGGCCAAAGCGCCGTCTTCTACTTGGAGCGATTACATATCGCCAGATCAAGCTTTTGGCTCAATGAGCTGCGGAAAATCGGCAAGAGCGACGGCGAAACAATCACGAGCATCCAGTACGTAGCCAACAGAGCGCATGCAATGAACTGACACGCCGGCTTCGCAATATTCTTGGCTGGAGACGGCTAGGCACAGGAAAATTTTGCCCCGACCTGTCGCGGATACGCGAACTAGCACTGTTCCATCTGCTCCATCACAATCTAAACGGACGGTGTCAAAGTTAAGACCAAAATACCTCGATACCATCAATAGACTAAGTTTGCTCCGGCATTAGCTTCGCTGCTGTATAGTAATTTACAGACCGTGCAGCCTGTTACTGTTAGGACTGCAGAGCTTATATAAGACGGCTGATGGAGAGGGCTCCAACTTCTTTAACAAGGACATGACGCTCGTTGAGAGCACTTCCCAAACATTTCTTCTTTCAAACACAAAGTACTGGCATTACAGAGAGCATCTCGACACGCAGTCAGCCTCTCAAAGCATCAATATCGCAGCTGGGTCCTCACCATCACTCAAAGTCATCTCTATCTGTTCTGCATACATCCTTACCTCGACCTCCTCAACGTGGTCCCTCCTTCCTGTGCTCGTCTTTCATTTTTCACCTTGTCGCATTATCCACCGTCCTCTTCGAAAAATGGACGCAACCGCACCAGCCTCAGACGTCGAGGCCGTCGCCGTCAACAAGTTCAAGCAGCGGATTTCTACCATCTTCAAGAGCAAGGCCACCATTGAATTCCCTGGCGCGAGTCTCAAGGTGACTGCAGACAAGAGCTGCATTCTTAGGTGGAAGACGCGCCAGGATGACAGCTGCCCCGGCCACATCATGGAATGGGACGACACAAGCCCTGACTACATCAAAGTCACCAGCTTTCAGTACCCAAAGACCATCCCTCCTCGCAACTCCGAGTCGCGAAGGGCTGTGTGCTTCAAGATCCCAGTCAGGAAGGACTGCGGAATGCGACGGGTCATGAGCCTCACAATGACGGACCTCGTGGCGGATGGAGTCCTTCGGGACAAGGCAGGAATCAAGTCGGTCGAGCTGATCCAGAAGACGCCACAAAAAGCCATTTGGCATCTCGTACGTGTTGAGGAGAAACAGGGCTAAACCTGGGCTGGACTTTCCGAAAGCTCAGAGTGTTTTTGGATACAGACACCTTCCCGTGTGCTACTTCCTGTACGACTTCATGTACTACTTTTGCACCATTTTTGTACTACTTCTTGTACTTCTTGATGTATTACTTGGTGTACTACTTCATGTACTTCTTTGGGGGGGCTACTTCTGGACCGCTTCCGGGACTACCTGTTGGGCTACTTTCTGCATCAATCTACGAATTCTCAGCGGTGTAGGCTTCGTCATTCCCCATGTCAAGTTTAGACGTGAGATGCCCCAACTTGAGTCTGCCCGCCCGCCTGCCCCAAGACAAGAATCGACACCCCCAACAGCGTGTGATACGAAGGTGGCGTGGCGCGGCGTGGCCAAAGACTGTACTTGTACTGTACGTACGCCGTGCCATTGCCCTCCAAACACCGTGCGAAAAAAAAGACAAGACGCCCAGGTGGTGGTGAGACTAGGCACGCAAGCCTTAGCCGAAGCCCCTTGCAAGCGGCCCGTCGAAAAAGGCAAAGGGTCCCCCGTGTCGGTCGGAACCACGAGGCGATTGAGCAAGGGGCTGCAGGAAGGCGTCGTGATGCGCGAAACAAGGTGCCAAGGCAAGAAGAGATGGGAAGATGAAGCCCTCAAGCAATAGCCAAGCCACGCGGTCATGATAATCAATCACAAGGCACAGCCACAAAGAGGGCCCGCCCAGCTTATAGTCGGTCCATCTACACTCGGTATTATTCTTAAAATCAATGTGGCGCAGGACAACCTCTTCCCAGCCGATCCACGCAGCAAACTAAACTAGAAGAGTGTGGCTTCTATTGAAATTTCCATCATTTTCACCAAGTCTTTGGCTACACATGACTAAAAACAGCCTGCTGCGAGGGTCTCCCTAGCGCCAGAAAAATTCGTCACTAGCAGCAGCAGTCTGGGGAGGCCCTAGAATCCAGTGGAATCGTGTCGGTGCATATGTAGCATATAGCTGGTACGCGGACCTTGGGGCCACTACACGATGCCCTCGGAGGTCACTCGTGGGCGTGGGCATCGAAGCACAAAGGCCCACATGTGTAAGTTAGTTGGGTTGGCAACAGCAGAGTATGTGGAGAGACACGGAGGAGAGCCTCGGACGAACTCGTAGCTAGTTGGGATGGGGTAACGACTGATTCATCCCTGACCTCGTGTTCTCGCAGACCGATGTGCCCTTCTCGTGGCCCTATAGCTCCCTCGGAGCCAGCACGCAACTAGCTAGCCGGGTCTCGTTTCACAATTTTGCTCAGCAAATTTAGTGCCTTGCCCCTTGGAAAACTTGGTTTCTGACAGAAACAAGTGGACAACAAGTGGCCCATGAGGGCATCGTGGTAGCTGCGACCTTTCTGCATCGCAGCTTTGGTCAGGCGGTTGCGGCTTTGTCGACCGCCAGCCAGCTCCGCGTAGCGCAACATGGAGCCAGCACGGCCAGCCTTATGCTCCCCTGGCTCGCATGAAATCAACCAGATCAAAGAAGCTCTTCTTGAAACGCCTGGTCTGCGTCGTGCGATTCACCACCTGCAATCCGAACTGGGGGTCGTAGCTGCCAAACTCCCAGGTGTCTGCGAAGGACCAGGCATATGCACCAACTACCTCCACGCCATCTTCCCAGATGGACTTGAGGACCTCGGACATGCAGCTCAGGTAGTAGGTGCTCCGAGGAGAGTCCGACAACTGATCAGGCAGTTCCTTTTGTGACTCTGCATAGACGGGAAACCCAAACTCAGCTATGACAATGGGGGCCTTCCACGTGTTGTACACATAATTGAGATAGCTTCGCAAGTATGTGGGGGTGATGTAGGGAAAGGACTGGGAACGGTATCCAATTTCCCATCCGTATACGTTGCCCATGCTTTTACTGACACAGTACGGGCGGAACGTCGACTTCGGGTCGGCCGCACATTCTAGGATGCTGTTGGAGTCCTCGGGAAGCGGGGGAGCCACGACGGTTGCGGTATATGGAGAGATGGCAAGGAAGTCTGATGTGCCATGAATATATCGCAAATCCTCTTTGCTTAGGGGGATGTAATCGGGCCAGGTTTTTTTGAACGATTCGGGGTAATCTTCCCCAAGGTGGATGGGATTCCAGAATGGCCCAAGTTGGATTGAGTTGAAGTGATTGGCCGCGTATACATCCGCCTCGCTGTTTGGACGTCGCGGCACACCAAAGTTGTTGTTCAACTTGATGGAGACGCGGCCCGTCCCTTTGAGCTCCTCCTTGTAGAAGTGGTAGACTCGGGCATGGGACTTGATGGCGTGGTCAATGGACTTGGCATTTTGTGCGTGGAGAAGAGGCTCATTAAAAGTGAACCAGATGGGGACTCTGTCGCCGTAATGTGTCATGGCGATCTTGGCGTAGTGAACAAAAGCATCCGGGAAGGACTCGTTCTGGTACGCACCATTCATGTATCCAATCTCGGGCTTGTCCGCTGCCGTTGTCAGATTGCTGCCGTAGAACTGGAGAGGCGTGTCAAAGTGGAGCAGAGTGACGACCGGAAGCATGCCCTTTTCCAGAATGAAGTTGATGACGTCGTTGTAGTGATCAATGCCTTGTTTGTTGACGGGAGTCCCTGGCAAGGCAAACGGCAGGATTCGAGTCCAGGCGAGACTAAAGGAGAAGTACTTGACCCCCATTGCTGCCACGCGCTCAATGTCCTGCTTGTAGAGATAGTAGTGTTCATTGGCCGTGTACGGCTTTGCCCGAGAATCCTGGACCAGAATGTCCATGGAAGATGGGGATTTGCCCTCACGGGCGGCGGCACCTTCGATCTGACCGGCGGAGCTGGCCACGCCAAAGGAAAAGCCTGCCGGGAAGTTGTAGCAGTCTGTAGGCCCGAAGTAGTCTGGAGGAGGCAGCACCAATTCACTGGTAGGAACGGGTGTTGGGGAGACCGTGGTGCTGTATAACGCCGTTTCCGTAAAGCTTGGCGGGTTGGCATGTTGCCAAAGAGCACTCCAGGCAGCCCGACCATATGTATCGTTGGCATCGTTTGCCTCCACGGGACCATTGGGATCCCAGTCGCCCCATGTTGTATACGACAAAGGAGTGACCAGGGTAGACACGACACCGGGAGGAGGAGCGTACGTCGTTGTAGCCGTCGGGGCGGGTACGGGTGTCGCATATCGGACGGTTTCCGTCAGCGTGAAGCTAAACGGTCGATAGGAATGGTGAGGTTCTTTTGTCTTTGAGCGGCTGCATTGCGGTCGTGGTGCTGGACCTTCTGCGGGCACGTACACTTGTTGTGCCAACGCTGTATGAGCCGCAATGGCGTGGCCCAAAAGAAGGGAGCTCTTCTTCATGGTATGGCGAGTTGGAACCAGCTGCTGTGATGCTATGCGCTGCGTAGTCCTCCGTAGTCGCTGCCAACGCGGCGGTTTCGAAACTGGAGCGCTTGCTTGCCGGCGCACGGGTATAAGTAGCTGCGGTTCCCAGAGAGCTCTCGATGCAGCACGAGCTCGAGAGCACGGAATATGCCGAAATACTATCCATCGGACCGATTGAGATCTGGCTCAGACGGGCTGACACGGCGGTATTTACCGCGCATGCTTGGGATCGTGGGACTTCGTGGCAGATGCTCGACCCGGCCCGACAGCCCTGTCATCACGGCTTCACGGCTTCAATCAGCGGCGGCGCTTGGATGGAGAAATACTGGACCGGTTGTCTGTGATTTTCGGATGATATTGTGATTGATTGTGACTTTGGTTGGTGATGATTTCTCCGCGTGGAGTCCCAGTTTCCCCGATGTGGTGGAGGCAAAGTCTGTCTGGGGGAAACAAGATCCTTGGTCACATCCCGGGTCACGTCCCGGAGTGAGTCATCATTTGCGACGGGAAACAAGGATTCCATTGCATTGACAATTGGCGTATATGTACGTTGGCGAGGGCGAGGATTTTGGTTATACTTTCTCGCACAACCACAACCGTATACGGCCTCCTTCGTCTGTTGGAATCAGTCGATGATGGGTTTCGGCACTTTTCTACTTCTTCCGTGTCACTGGTTGACGACCGGAATCACGACATATGCGCTCGGGAACGTGCTAGGGAACTTGAACGCAACGAGTTTTTATTCTCTCATCTATTGACTCCAAGTTATTCTATGGTGGACGTAGTGCTGGTATATTCATTATTCACGGCCCTGGTTGCGCCCTTTAGGCAAGCTTCTTGGCATATACCTTCTCAATAAACTTTTCATCCTTCTTGGGCACGCCCAAGAGCTCGTTGTCATTCTTCTGGAAGTCGCCGCCATGCTCGGGGTCGAAAATAGATCGAAACAGATATGGTGCAATGGTTTGCATATCCACGACTCCTTGTGCCAGCCTCTTGTCGGCTGCAGCAGTGGCTTCATCCAGAGTGGCGTGCTTAGGCTCCCATGGCTTGTTTGGAGCCACCTTCTTTGCAATGGCCAGCAGGTCATTCTGTGTGATCTTTACGTCACCCAGGTACACAGCCCTGTTCTTGGTTTCGTCGGGGTGGCTCAGCACGCCTACCACGCCGTTGCCAATGGTGTCCAGAGAAGTAGCGTTGAAGACTGACTTTCCGCCGTTGAAGATGGTAGGCTGGTAGTTTGAAACATCCAGGAGGAAGTTGTTCTCGATGCCCCAGTCCAAGAAGGCTCCAGTGTAAATGTACGTGTACGTGAGGGGAGAAGACGTGGTCTTCTCGGCCACGTAGTCCTGTATCTTGACCTTTTCGAGGAACGGCAAGAGGGTTCGGTTCTTGGCATTGCTCAAATCACTGCCAAACTCGGAGGGGATGAATCTCTTGACGCCGGATTTGATGGAGGCGTCAATGAGCTGGCGCTGAAGGCCCAGAGATGTGGCCCCCAAAAGCGAAACCACTGCATCTTGGCCCTTGAGCGCCGCAGCAAGAGCGTCAACAGATGAGAAGTCGACGTCAACGACTTTTGTGCCGGCCGGGTACTGAGTGGTGGAATCCGGCCGTCTCAAAACCTGGATGTTGAACTTGCCGGAGTCGACGAGCTTCTTGAACACAGTGGTGCCAAGGTTTCCCGCGGCGCCAACGACGGTGACGTTCTTGATGGTCGACATTGTTGATTTGCCGCTGTTGGAGTTATTTTGGGCTTTGCGTCGAATGTAGTAGTGCTTGAGAAGGGACTTGATATTTTTTATACACATAGAAAATGCTTTGTGAATATGTTGAAGTGTTTTGAATGGATGCGTGTGCGTGTGTGCGTGTGTTTCTGTGATTGCTGGCGAGAAACTGTTGCACAAGAGCACCGCCAGGAGAATTATATAGCCATTTGCAGATGAGAGGACGCCATCCCACCGCTAGATTACACAACATTGCATCAACATGGCGAAGCATCGCAAATCGGCATGAGCCGGGTTGAGATTATTGACAGCATGACAACAACCCATCGACGGATGACGGATGACGGATGACAGTTGACGATTGAAGTCGAGGTGATGCTAAGTGGGATGCCGACGAGGTCGTGGTCGCGGCTTAAGTAAGAAAGAAAAACTAGACCACCAAGGAGTATACTATGCTATGCCTAATCAGGCAGACTATCCCAATGGGCTGACTTGTGTTTGGCCGTACCGGCACTGGGGTGCTTGACTCCTTGGGCGTGCAAAAGCTCTTGGCTCATTTTATTTGGGGCGATAAGTCCACGAGTGGGGTACGTCTATGGAGCCAGAGGCCTGATGACTCGCCCGTTTCGTGCACTAGTCATACATCCGGTGCGGGTACATATGGGATCTGATTTCTAATTGTCGGCTAGATCGTCGTTTTTGCGTACGGAACCCATCCCACTTCCATGCCGACTTTGTCAACTACACTGACAGATGAGCTTCCAGTTCATCATCAGTGTTATTCTTGCTCTCACGATGTTGTCCAATTCGGTCTGCTGCGCGATATTACACACGCTGATGCAGCTGACTCTCCTCTTGACATTTTACCCTGATGTGATTTCATTTCACATCACTTCAATTGGTAAGAGTACTCGACGCAGCAGACCCAAGCAATCCTCCCAGAGGCTTCGAATCCCGCTCCCTCTCGCAACATCAAATCGAGACCGCATGGGATCAAGCCCAACTTCTGGAAACCCTGGCCATTTCAATTGCGACTTGGTGCTGACTTCTCAGATTAGACGTAAAAAGTCTGGTGCCATTCATCTCCACATATCAACGTCAATACCGTATCTGATTCACATCTCGGCTCGCTCACCTGCAGAACAGCCGCCGGGTGGGAGAGACAGCGTCAAGGGAGCCAGCCACATAGCATCACAAGTACTAGCCGTCAGCGTTCCTCCAGTTTTCAACCGCTGACTTGGGGACTGTCTCGGCCCCCTCCCCCCCCCTTTCTTCCGGGCACATGGCAGATACAACTCCGAGCCGCCACACTTGTCATTGCGGCAAGTCTTTCATCCGCAAGGAGCATCTGCGAAGACATCAAGCTTCACATACCGGCAGGTCATTTCGCTGCGGAGTTTGTGGTCGATCTTTCACGCGAAGGTAGGTGCTGTTCGAATTCCTGCCGACTTGACATGGCACAATGTCCCAGCGTCCAACCGACGTCCCGCTAACGTCAAGTCACAAGTGATCTGCTTCGTCGACACGCTACTCTTCATGATAGCGCTACCGCGTCGCACGAGCCGCGCAGAGATAGGGCCTGTGATACCTGCCACGCCAACAAGACGAGATGTAGCGGCGGCGTGCAGTGTTCGTTGTGTGAAAAGAGAGGAGTTCCGTGCACGTACAATCGAGGCAATCCCGAATCGCACAAGAAAAATGGGCTTGTTCAGGCCGAGCCACTCCCCATCATGTCGAGCGATGGTGGCTCCAACTCTTCACCAGGCTCAGGCTCTCCCGAGCTGTTGACACTCGAAGCCCCTTTCCTGCTTCAGATAGAAGAGGCCAAAGATCATGATGCAAATCAGCATTTGAATTTTGGCAGTTCGACAGGCCTCGACATTCTCTTCAGGGTCCTCACAAAGCAGCCACCGGCATCTCCCTCTGAGCCCCAGGCAATCCCAAGACTGTGGCTGACAGCACGGATCGAATCGTACTTATCGACGTTCCACACGCGATGGCCGATTCTCCACGCCCCAGTCATCAATGAGACAACCGACTCTGTTCAAGTCCTTTCGACAATTGTCATGATCGACTCTTGGCTGCATGGCGATGTGAAGTTGAAGGACCAAATTCTACAGATTCACGACTGCCTTGTTCGGCAGCTTCACAAAGAATTGGTAAGGAACATGTCAAATTTGCTTATGCATGTGCATGCATCAGGACACTGTCCTTCTAACACTGTCCAGAATCAGTCCGATCTGGACCCCACGCATCCATGGCCAGCCAACCTCTATCAGCTTTCACTTCTCAATGTTATTTTCGCCTTCGAGACAGGAGTAAGTGTTATGTGTTGGCCGTTTCTGCTACAGCATCCACCTGCTGTTCACGGAGATATTTCCTTGGAACTTGCCCAGCTCATCATATTTGCTCCACCGCAAGTTACCGGCATCTCGCCGTGACCAGATGCTTCTCATCCGCCTCCCTAAACTCGTGTCTCTTGCTCTGATGACTGATATCCCCGCAGAGAGACAACATTATTAGGCAATCTCGCATGCTGTTCAGCCTGCTGGTCACGGCTCTACGAATGAATGGTTGCTTGCACGCGGACGCTGTCGAGTCGCAACGACTTACGCATCATCCTGGAGACTTCAGGCCGTATATATTCGGGACAACTGAGCGCTGGAAGAGGTATGATCCCGAGCCGCCGTAAAGACAAAATCGAAACCCCGGAACTGACGCCGCCCTCCTGCTACTCAGAATTGCCACTTGCGCACTCAAAGTAGATACCTATTTGTCTCTCTTATACGGCCACCCGCCTCTGCTAAGACGCGACGAACTAGAGCTGGGGTTATCATCAACATTTGCCATGTGGAACTCGTACGGGATCATGGTATTCTTCGACCGCAGCCGCGGTGAGCCATGGTCCCGCGACAACTACAAAATGTCCCAATTGAACGTGAGGAGACCCGAAGAGGTGCCGTCGGGGATCCTGCCAGAGGACATTCAGCTGTGCCTGCTCGGAATGTGGAACGACATCCGGTCGCTCAAGAACGAGTCGACACTCAACCGAGACATGGCCATGTTGAAGAAGGCCGATCTATCCCAGCAGCTGTACCTCGCCCTGGAACAGCTCGAGACCATTGTCGCCGAGTCGCGGAAGCCCCTGGTGGTGGGGGGCTACACGGCGACGCTCCTCCAAAGCTACCTCGGGTGCGACTCGTCGCGCGGACCAGACTGGCGACAGGAAGTGACGAACCGGCTGGACTCGTGCATCGCCAACATCAGGCCGCTTCTCCTCCTGCTCACGATCCATCTCCACGCGGACATTCACACCCTGCGGGACATTTACCTCTCCCCTGCACCGCTGCAGATGGAGCCCACGGCCGCCTCGCAGACGTGGCAGCAAAACGTGCTCAAGGTGCAAGAATGGGCGCTGTCGGCAGATGGCAGAACGGCAGCCATCGCGTCGCTGCAGACGTGGTTTGCGTACGAATCGTCCCTGCCGGTCATGAGCCCCAACCAGTCGGCGCCCGCCTTCGATCCCATCATGTACCTGGCCCTGTCGGCTGCGGCCGTAGTGCTGTGGGCGTGGACCATGAACGACGACGAGGTCTGCGTCTGCCACCCGACGACGCCCAAGGCAGAAGTCACCAGCAGCTCCATGCATCTGCAGCCCGATGTCCAGAACTGGATTCGCGGCGGCGGAGGCGGCATTTCTTTCCTGGGCCAACCCGTCTGCAAGTGCACTGTTGCTCAACGCCTTTCCGCCTGGACCGAGGCGTTGGCCAAAGTCGGCCGGACTTGGGAAAAGGCCGGTGTGGACGCCAACCTGTTCCGCTGCTCATGGCTGGGGACGTAGAGTGGGCGCATCCAGGGGGGGACCAGGATATACTACTCCGTACCGGTGGGTGCGTGGGTGGCTTTGATGAGTAACGATGCATCAATTGTTATTGTGTTCTTAGGATCGCGGCAAACATCTTGTCCGGGATCGAGAGAGAGAAAAAATAGACCAACTCCTACCGTAACGCTTGTGTACTGTTCTCTCCAGCTGGGCCCTCGCCCGAGCATGCACAGTCCCTTGGGAGCCTCGTTCAGCAATTATCATCTCCGAACACTTGATCTACTCGATAGACATGGCACTCCACTTGAACAACAATGAGCCCATATCCTCCCCCTTGAATCTGGGCTGGGGGCCCCCGCCGACGTCTTCTTCCCAGTCTCCTCAGGCAATGCAAAGCTGATGTCCCTAAATGTGTGTCCTGCGCGGTCCAAATTCTCAAAGTACTTCTTGGCCATCTGCGGCAACGAAGTCTTCGCCTGCCAGGCGATTGCCTTGATAGCCTGCAGAATGTAGCGGCACATGGGGTAGTCGCCTCCCGTCTCGCCGATAAGATAGGCGGCTTTGGCGAACAGCTGGTGCACGCAGGCATCGCCCAGGTGGTAAACAAGGACAAGTATGGAGTTGTACGCCCCGGCGATATTGATGCACGCGTAGTCGCGTAAGGTAAAGACTTTGACGAAACGCTCCATGTTGTCGATGTCGATCTGGCATAAGCTGAGTTGTAATGCTTTGACGGTCCAGCCAGGTTCAATCTCGGTTTGGGGGGGAAGGGGACGAAGAATACTAAACAGAACTTCGTTCATGTATGCCCTATACAGGTAGTTAGCAAGATTTCCTTTGCGCGGGGGGGGGGGGTTTCTCCTTCCCCTGAAAAGGGGTTAGGGGCTTCGAGGATCGTGTACCGAAGATAGCATGTCTGTGGGACAAAGTTGGTGTCATCTCGCAAGCTTTCGGGCAACATTGCCCTCCATTGCCGCACATTTTCAATCATATCTCTACGTTTATCGAGGTCCTGCTCAGTACCCCATATACTTTCGGACCTGAAATTCCAGTCCATCGATTCGTAGAGCATAACGGTTATTTCACAAGCTAGGAATAGTGCGCCGGTGACAAATGGAGGCGATCGGCTCTCGCTAGTGTGTTGGTTACCAAAGAGGTCGATGTTAGGTACTGGCCCATCACTCGCAGAGGGCGGTGGCTCGAAGCACCGCGGTATTTGAGGCGGCGGAAGCAACGACTGCTGTAGATACATGTATCCGACGATGCTTTCAATTGTTAGTCCGTCAACTTGACATGGCACACGTGAGAAAATGGCAAACCTCTCAAACAGAAACAGACCCCATGCTAGGCGGGACAGGACCCGTCTGTCACGGGCGGCTAGGGGATCGTGTGCTATTTTCGCATACATGGCATCGACGTCGAGTTGGTGAAACATGTCATACGCCGAGAGACGATATAACTAGTTTGGACGTTAGTGCGTCATTGCAGGGTGTGAGCGGAGATGCCTCTCTCGATTCGAGAGGACGAGAGAGAAGAAAATTGCGGCCGAACCGCGTCTGGACATCTTGGTCAGCCCTCGAGTCATACTTACACCACCAAGTTTATCAGTGCCTCGAAAACAAGCTATGGAGAAAAGTAATGTGAGACCTTGAACAGTCGGGATAGAGGCTCGGCCGCCCTCAAGATGGAGCAGCTTCTTGGCCTCGTTGAAGAAGTCGTCCGCTAAATTCTTCTTGCTGATGCCACTAAATGCTCTGGTTCGTCGACAAGTATACTGAAGCGTGAAAGAATCATCAGGATCAGTCTTGATCCGCACAGATTCACAGGGACAGCAGCCGGAGCTGCATACTCACACATCTGGCTGCACAGATGGCATTGACCAGGAACGGGGTGCAAAACTTGGCCGCGGCAACATTTCGGGCCCTCATGTCTTCCACAAACGCCTCCCTGTCAAGAAATGGCAAGTAAAGAGCGTCGTCCCAGTTGAAAAAGGATGAGATGAGCTCCGAGACTATGCCATCACCGGCCACTGCGGTCCACGGCTTTGCGTCAACCCGAATGGCGCTCTCGCGCAGCGCAAGAAGGTCCAGGCGGTCCAGCCTCGAGTCCAACAGAGCGGAACAAGACGATGAGTTGGGATTGTTGATCAGCAAGCTGGCCTCCTGAACAGAGCGCAAGACTTGAATGGGGTCATCAGCAGCCTTGAGTCTCGAAATGACTTCCTGGCCTTCCTCAGCGGGCAGACTGTGCAGTAACTTGAAAAGGTCCCGCAACTGCTCATTCTCCAGTTTGAGGGAGGCGTTGCGATGCCTCAAGGCCACAGCACCGGCCGACTCGTCCTGCTTCATGTCATTGTTGCAAGTGACACCTCTGCGGGCACAGGCGCCACACGTTGGGCGCTTGTCATCGCACTTTTCTTTGCGCCTCCGACAATTGGCACAGGCGGAGGCGACTTGCCGGCGTTTTTGGCGAGCAAAGGCGAGCTTGTCATTGCTCTTATCGGTGTGGACGACGACGGTCGACGGGGATGGCAGCAAGAATGGAAGTCGCTTCTCCATTGGGAGGGAGGGGAGATGGTGTGTGTGCAGCCAATCGTGGCTGCTGCACCCGATTGAGATGGAAGACGAAGATGATGCCGAGGTGGGAGCAGGTAAGTGGGAATGTTATCGCCAAGTAGGATACAAGACGGCATACCACACAAAACAGTGTGCTGTGGCCACACCCTTTTTTCTTTTGGTGTGACAAATGTGAGGTCGCAGTGCTCCATGGCTACTCGGGAGTCGGCAGGTACATGGGTCGAAGTCTGTTGTTTTCTTTGTCCGAGACCCAACGACCCCCCCGATGCTGGCGATGTGCCCGTTTGTGAGGCAGACGATCCCGAATCCCCGATGCTGACGAGCCCACTCACACGGGCGCACACGGGCATGCATGGCATCGTAATTGGAGGTGGGGGAGATTCCAAGTCTGTGTGTTTTGAAGGAGAAGACGACGTGTCAGCTGTCGTTCCGCCCGTCTGGTTCAGCTGCCTGTCCAATCGTGTGGTGTTCCATTGGCCCCGCTCCTCCCTTCCCCGCCCGTCCTTTATGTCCGCGCTGTTTCCCTCCGAGACCCGCTGGGGGGCAATTTAGTTCTACGCGAACGCGTTCGATCGCGACGCCAACTTGGCGGCTGCTCATCATCTTGATTCTTGAGAACAGTGGCCAAGGCTAGGAATATCCACTGACTCTCTATCAATTTGGTCGGTGAGTATGTTCCGCGTTCCGCCGCACGTCTGTCTCCCGCTCAGTGCTCACACTACGGGCTCGGTTCCGTCACCCTACGCCGGCGTCGTTGCCTTTGACTATTTGGGATGTCATCCCACACACCCAATTTCCAAGATTAGTAGTAGTACCACTTCGTCTCGACATGAATTGTCTCCCGGTGTACTCCGCATAGGCATGTGGACCAATTTGTGGCTCGTCGACCCTGTCTCAAAGTATTGCGTACTTGGTTGTGATAATAATGTACGTGTGCCATCTGTGCATGTAAGCCTCGGCGGGTTTCCACAAGCTCCGATTTGCTAGCTCCTTATCCTGAATGACATGAAGCACACAAGCAGCATCCGCGCGTGTCCACCGGAGCCGCCAGTTTTCGAAAACCTCGTTCTCGCTCTGGAATTGTGCAAAAGATTGCAAACTAGACCCAGGGATATCTCTTCTCAAAGACCCAAGAATCGCTCTTCACCAGACCCCCGCAAAACCAACACTCGTATCCATTCAGTCTTCCTCCATCCGGACATGATGCAATAAGGATACATGCAGCAAGAAGAGAAGCTGGTAAGGCCTCTCCCACGTCACCGCATCGAAATGCTACCAAAGGAAACGTGTCGCTGAACCCCCCGCAGACGCTCCCGCTCTGCCGTGCGAGTACGAGTATGCCACGTGCGTTTCTAAGACGAACTGGGCGAAAATTCAGGGTATAATCACTTCATCCTGACATAGTTGCTGGGGAATATGCCATGCCTCGTTCCAATCATACCAGTCCTGGAACTTGTGTTAGCGCACATTGTCCGCCGTGCAGCTTGCCAACACAGACGAGTGAGCGATCTACATACCACCAGTCGTTGTCGCTATCAGTCTTCTTCAACACGGTGATTATTTCGCCCTTCTTGAATCCCAAGTCTCCGGGTTGATCTGCTTCAAAGTTGAACAATGCAATAGCTTCGTTCTGTCTCAACGGAGCTTGTTTGTCGGCACCAAACTTGGGCTTCGGGGCCGTAGGCCTGCCTGGACCCGTCTTCTTCTCGTTCGCTCCACTATTTGAATCGCCGTATGCTCGGCCCGATGCGAACGTATTCGATCGTGACGGCGGGTTGGCGTCTTGTCGGTCGTATACGTCGTCCTTCCACGTGCTGGATCGATTGGGCCTGCCGAATTCACCTTGTCCAGCTCCGGATCCTGTGCGATCTCGCTGGACTCCCTGACCGTATGCGTCTCCTCTGCGACCCTCCCATACCACGTCGTCATGGCTCTCATCGTATACGGGCATGTCGTTGTACATGGCGTCATCGGTCGTTGTGCCGGCTCGCATGCCGCTAAACACTCTAGAATTCAAAACGGACATGAGGGAGTCGGCCGCGGGTGGGGGAGGAACGGCGCCGCTGAGGAGCTGCTGGGCCGTAAATCTTTTCCCGTAGAGTTTCTCATTTGCGTCGCGGCGCTCAATGATGGCCATGCCTTCGAGCGAGACGCCAGCGAATAGGCCCTTGGTCTTGGAGTAGCTAAAGATACCTCCCACACTCTTGAGAGACGCGGCACCAGCAGCTTCGGCATTGCGGCCTACAGGACCCGCGGCGAGAGATACATTTCCGCCCAATGTGATGGAGCCCATCTGGGCGAACGTCTTGACGGCGTTCGTGTCATTGAGCACGAAGACAAAGTCGGTCAGTTCGAAACCGATTTGGCCTCCGAAGCCACCTCCAGCCGCTGCAATAGCACTGGGGGCACTCCATGATCCGTCGGAAAGACGGGCAACGACAAGACCACTACCAAGACGGCCGGATCCAAGGAAACCAGCCTTCAGAATAGTGATGATGGCGAAGCCTTTCGCGTTGGACAGAACTGACGGCGGAATAACTTTATCGGGACCAAAGGCTTGTCGCGGGTTGACAAATGAAGTCAGGATCTTTCCGCACTTCCTACACTCCGCTATGGTTTGAAAGATGGCCACGATGATCAGCAACATGGTCCGATGTTCCGGCATGCCGGCCCAGCCGCGTATTGAAACAAGAAGATGAGTTTGGCACTTACATTTCAGAGAAGATGGGAGGGGGTTGTTGATTCCCATGGTGGCCGATCTCCTCGCGTGTCTCCCGCTCAATAAAGACGATTCCGAGAGCGCCTGGGTGTGAAGAGAGCCCGGTGGGAATAGAGGTGCAAGGGAGTAAAGTAACGAGAGAGCGACGTACTCCGTACTCCGTAGATTGAGAAATGGCGACGGGACCTGTCAGCGGACAATATGGATGAACGCAGAACCACTTGGGCGGGTGGCGGGGGGGGCTGACGACGAAAGCTAGCGCCGTCATACGCCAAGCCAAGCAATGCGCCGGTGGCCTGGAAGGTGGTCCGTGGAGGCCTAAAAGGAGTCACTCCGTCGGGAATCTGTTTGTACTTTGTACGGTCAATCCTTTTCACCACGATATCGGTTGGTGTTACACAGCAAACCACCGGTGTACCTACCGAGGTACGGAGTACGGAGTACTGTGACAGGCCGCCTGGCCTCCATAAATAAGCACACACCAGTATGTCGCAGCGTGTTGCTACGTTTCTTACGCGACAGGCCGGTACCTGCTCTAGGACTGGGTACGTATGTACATCGCACACCCGAGGTCGACCCAGCCTCGTTGCCGCACCAAGAGCTCATCGGCCGCCCTGCCGCGTGGCGTTTGTGGCTGTGCTACGGAGCACCGTTCGCTGCATGAATGATGAGAGCAGCTGGCAGGCAACCGCGGCCGGAGCGTCATTGAACAAACCACAGGCACGAACGAGTCCGCATGCGCAACCGTCTCTGGCCCCTGAGTCCTAACGCTCCCGAGAAACCCGACATACCGTGTCAACCCCCCAAGTCCGTCCGCGCCAGCATCCACCAACGGCACGTTCTCCCGTCATCCTCACGTCGGGAACGTCAATACACCGCTCGCCGACCATCGAACCGCCGACCACCTTTGCCGAGTGGACGATAGTCAACATATCCGCGGGCCCTCTCCCCCCAGCCTCGGCAGACATCCCCTTCGCCTGTGCTGTGCCTGTATACCCATCCATCCATCATGTCTGAGGCATACGAGCGCGAGAGGCAAAACGACTCCCGCCTAAACGAGCTTTCGGCAAAAGTATCCGCCCTGCGCGGCGTCACCATCGACATCTACGACCACGCACGTGCCCAGGACGTCATTGACAGCACAGTACGGCCCCTGCCTCACGCCCGCTCCCCAAAAAGAAAACGCAGCGCAGCCCGTCTCGAAGCAAATCTAACAGGTCCAGAATGAAACATTCTCATCCATGTCGTCGCAGCTGAAAACCGGAGCAGGGAGAATGACGAGGATGGCAGCGTCCGGCAACAAGGTCGCCATCTTCAAGCTGTCGGCCATCATCGTCGCCATATTCCTAGCCTTGTATTACGCCCTGAAGCTGATCTTGTGAGCGAACAGTATACGACTGTGGGGGAAAGGACAACGAGGCGCGCACGCACGCCAGTGCCGACTCAAATGAAGCAGTCACATGTAGGCTGTCACGGCGGGACGGTGTGAGAGGCAACGTTGTTCCTTGGTCTTCGGGGCCAGCCGTCAATGCTGGACCATGTAGATAGCTACAGATCACGCGATCTATCGAATAAGCTGGGCATGTGCGACGGCAGCCAGCAGGGCTGGCAGCGGTACGGCGGCGGCGAATGATATAAACGTTGGATTGATCCTCAAAGGTGTGGGAAACGGACATTAATCAATCACCCTCGGTATTTGGGTTTGGCGTTTTGTGACAAGTCGTTTCATATGAGCCCAAGCAATCATTCTTGAAGGTATTTGTCAATCAACATGGTCATTGATGCAGGCGTCTTCTGTGGAATTTTTTTTAATATCATTCTAATGACTGCCTCCTTCAATTTGCCTCCCCATTTGATGCCGGATTCCAAATGGACTCCTGACACGTGAACAGCAAAAAAACGCCAGGAACATGCTTGCTCTTCCATCCCCAATGCTTCGAGAATCTATCAATCGCTATCAACGGACATTGTGTTTCGTCGCAACGCCGTCTACTGCCACACATTGGAGAAGAGATCATCGTCGCCGCCAAAGCCTGACTTTGGAGCAGCAGGTTTGCCTGTATCAGATGGCCCGGTACTGCTTGCCCAGCCTCCAAATTCTTCGTCTGCAGTCACCTTTGGCGCAGGGTTGAAACCTCCACCGGAGCCAGGCACAATCGCGGTATTGGCAAAAGAAGAACTGGGATTTCCCCATCCGAAATCAGCTGCCGCGACTGGAACTGGAGCCGGGGCCTTGGCCTGCTGAGGACTCGGGAGTGCTTGCGCCGTCGGACCTGTTGCCGCTGCAGAAGCAGGCGTTGTCCACTCGCTAGATCCCCAGACATCAGCAGCCGACATAGCGGCGGATCCAAAAGCTGATGAAGTTGCGGTAGGAGCGGGAGCCGCTGGCTTGATTTGTGGAGACGATAGCGCGAACGCAGAGTTGGCCGTTGCAGACGCCGAAGAGGCCTGAGGCGGCGGAGGGGAGCTCTGGGACGTTGGAGCTGAAAGGTCGAAGAGATCGCCCATGGCGGAGGATGAGGACTGGGAGGGCCCGGGCGCCGGCGCAGTAGCCGTCTGAGTCGGGGGGGTGGAGATGGAAGTAAATCCTCCGAATCCAGAGTTGGAAGGCTTATGCTGATGCGAGACCGCCGGCTGGACAGGCTTTGGGTCAAAAAAGCCGCCTCCGCTGAGACCACCGAACGCACTGCTAGTATTGGATGTCTGGGAGGTAGCTCGGTTGCTTGTAGAGGCGCTTCCAAGGCTGGCGAAGGGGTCGGCAGCAGCACGCTTAGGGCTTGCCGTGGACGATAGATTCAGGCCACCGAAAGCATCGTTGAAACCTCCTATTGATGTTTGCGGTTGGTGGCCCATACCCCCAAACGCTTGTTGCTGGGGCTGCGGCTTGGGTGCTGAAGCGTAGAGCGAGAGAATCGACTGCTTAAGGTCCGGGCGTGACTGTGCTCCATGCGAAGCAGCGCCGGGAGTGCTGGCTGGACGAGGAGGGGCAGTTGAGCCTCCCAGAAAGTCCAGGCCAAGCAACGAGTCTCGTGTGTTTGTTGTCTTGGGGGCTGCGGGCTCAGCTTTGGGTGCTACTTTTGCAGCCAGAGGTGCAGCCCTGGCTGATGGCGAGAGAACTGCATCGTCACCGCCGATCAGATCGCCCTCGGGCGCCGAAGCATGGTGCGGCGCCTGGGATTTGCCGATGGATGCCTTCCTGATTGACTCCTTCCTCTCAATGACCTGCTTCTCCTTGACCAAACTCAACGGAACATCATCGTCACCGTCGACATCAAGGGTTGACGGGTCCGGCATGGGCCCATCCATGACCCATCGCTTCAGCTCATATTTGGTTCGGATGAAATTTTCGATCTTGGCTTCGGACGGGGCGTGGCCAGCAGCAAGTTTGGCTTCCCAGTATTTGTTGGCGCGAGCGTTTCCCCAGCTCAGTATGCTCTGCATTTGCTCATCGGTCCAGGAATCGAGGTCAACAGACTTGACTCTGCTAATGTGGGTTCCCATGCCTCGGTGAATGCCAGAACATCGAATACAGACGAAGACGCCCAAGTTCCAGCTGGCCCATCTTGGATCTGAACCGACAGTCAGCTCACACGACACGACATGACGGGGGAGGAGGGGGGCATGAATAGGTTGTGACACGCACGCTTATTCCTCTTGCAGTCGGCACACACTTTGTTAGGCTCCAACCTCAGGAGGTTTTTTATGGTGGCCTGGTTTTGCGCCGCCCGGTCGGCAGCGGGGTTCGGTGGGCGTCGAGACATGTCGTAAAGCTGCTTGTCTTCTCTTGGGACAATGACGGACGGTGTGGAATGATGGACGGAGCAAGATATTCGCAGCTGCAAGGAAGGCGGGCTATATATGTCAAACACCAGAGGAGGAATGAAGGGGGGGGTGGTGTCGGGGCGCTGTGTGCCTGTCGCGGCCGCACGTACGGAGTAGAGGCTAGTGATTCCAGGTCGAACCAGACCCCACACCCAAATTGTTTGGGCCGGTCCAGGGTACGCGGTAAATTTACTTGGGGTTTTTGGGGTACGTACTTGGGGCGGTAGGTGTTCCTCTCAGGCTCGTCGTTGCATTTCATCAGAGCTGGTTTTACGCTACCATTACAAATATTCTAGAACCAACTTCCACAGCAATTCTTGCCAAATCAAGCAGCGGAATCTAGCATCTACGCGTTTGCGCCGAGCTATAGAACGGCTGTTCCCGTCATCATCACCAGCACAACCATCAAACCCGAGTCAGCACTCACATCCGGCGCCGTCGTACATCAAAAGTCCTGGTTACGACGCGCAAGACAATCGCAGAACAAGTTCCCCGTCAGCTGCCTCGAACAGATCTGGCGCTTCTTGAACCTTTGGCAAGACATGACGGTCCCTTTTTTCGCAATTTTCCGGGAACAGCCGTCTCCCTAGACTGGGTATTAAGGGCTATGAAAGCGCAAAATAGACGCCGCTGTGAAAAGAGCCTTTTCGGACTGTATGCTGTTGGTTTTTGTGACCTTTTGGCCATGGATATATCTTGCGGCTTCTGGAGCAAGCTGATCCTCGTCGCTTCTCTTCATTCTGAAACCGTAAGCCCAGGTTTCTAACAGCCGTGGCGTGTGCCTGCTTGGTCGAGTAGAAGTGCGTGTACGTATTGGTCCTCTCGTATCCTTTTCTTTCAAGAGGTGTACGAGTACCTAAGTAGGCGTAAATAGAGCGTCTGGCACGATTTAGACTCTCGGCTGAAGCGTGTTTCGTTGCTCGCCAGCCTTGTTAGTTTGCCTTGCTCATTCCGAAACCCCAAGAATGAGGGTGTGGTAGAGCAATTCCCGATGATGTGCGTTACGACGCCACGGAGCCTGCATGTATACAGTTGAGATATGCTGATCGTTGGCACTGTACAGAATGCCCTGAAGGTCTGACACGTTAGACAGTGTAAAAGAGGAAGCTGGTTCCAGGGGGGGTTCATGACAGTTGGCCACCCCGCAATTTTGTCAAACGCTCTGGCATCCCTGCCAACCACCATCGTCGTCGTCGTCAATCGTCAACCACACGACGGTGTCAACCTTTGCTGCCTTCAATCAACATAAAAGTACTGCGACCGCATCAAGTCGTATCTCTGAAGCCTCGCCCTGCTACATGTCTTCCATGCGATTTCGACCATTCGTATCAGCGTTTCTATACACATTGTCCGGCTTTCCGCGCATCCGAGCTCCGGCGTCACTGGCTCACGTCGCCACACGTCGCCCGCTGCCTCTTCGATCCATGTCTGGTATTCCGTTATTGGGCGCCTTATTCGGATCGTCGTCATCGAAGTCTACAAAAATGTCGTATCCTGACGAGAGGTCTGATTCCGAATGGCAAGCCGTTCTCAACAAAGGTACGGTGATGTAGTGGCGCAAAAGGAAAGAGAGGAGGAGAAGAAGAAGAAGAAGAAGAAGAAAATGAAGAAGAAAGCTTTCCCATTTTACCCTCATTGACGCTAGTCTACAGAGCAATTCCGCATCCTGCGAGAAAAGGGGACCGAGCCTCCAGGTTCTGGCAAGTTCGACAAACATTACCCGGAGGAGGGCGTCTACACTTGTGCTGGATGCCACAAGCCGCTCTACAAGGCCAATCACAAATTCAAGTCTGGCTGCGGATGGCCGGCCTACTTTGACAGCATCCCGGGCGCGGTCACGAGACATGAGGATCGAACGCTAGGCATGACCAGGACCGAAATCGTCTGCTCCAACTGCGGTGGCCACCTTGGTCATGTTTTCAAGGGCGAGGGATACCCCACGCCGACGGATGAGCGGCACTGTGTCAACAGCGTCAGTCTCAACTTTTCAGCCGACGACAAGACTGTAGAGAGCGGCTCCAAGGAGAGCAAGGCCTAAGATACACTCTGATGTAGGAGATGCTAAAGAATGGTTGTGCATGAGGAGCATTGCGAGAGGTGGTGAGGGGATGGAGGGGGGTGGGTGGTGCTTGAGCCGTGGCGATTTTGGAGAAGCGTGTCGTCGTGTCGTCTGGTCAGAGGGTACACCAGATATCGGGGTTTTTTCCGTTACGGATTGGCGACTGTGACTGTACTTTGAATGAATTTTGTTTAAAGAACAAGGAAATTTGGCATTGTACGTATCATAACGTATGTGAAAATAATCGGCAGCCTCAGACCTACCAGGCACCAAAGTATCTTGCAAGTACGTACATGGTTGAGTGGGGCCAATCAGTGGGCGAATCCCTAAACGCACCGTTCAGCGACAGTTGCCGCCGGCCTGGTCCAGTAAGCAACGCCGGCCAGCGCGGAGTACAGTGGGGGCGATTCACAACTGGGCGCAGCATGTGGTGGGCCACCGGGTAGCTGTAGCAAGCAATTAGTACTTGTACCGTGTCCCGGAGTCCCGGACGGCTGAAGCATGTGAAAGCAGCGGAGCATCTGGACCACTAAAATGGGGCTGGCTTCTGCGGGCTTCTGGCCAGGACCCACTCTGGCGTATGCCTCGGTCGCGCGCAACCCGCATGTACATCGGAGATGCACCGACCAACCGCCATGCCGTCTGAGGGAGGACTCGTGCTTCTCGCCGAGGTCGACGGGCCTTTCCAAGGACGGATATATGTAGCTTCGCCTCCCGCGATGCGCACCGCCGTGGCTTGTCGTCGTCTACACCATCTTCATTTTTCTCGGACCCGCGTCGTCATCTTTCCTCCGGACACGTCTCTTTACAACCTGCAAGAGCCAAAATGGGTGGTGAGTAACCCCAGCTCTCTTTCGGCGGTTGTGTGATGTCACAAAAAATCAAAAAATAAAAAATAAAAATAAAAATAAGAACAAAATAAAAAGAAAATAAAAAGAAAATCAAGCATCGGAGAAAATACAGCTTCTAACCGCTCAACTGTGCCCAACAGCCCTTGACAGAATTTCTCAGATCGGTGGCCAAATCTCCGGCAAACTTGCGGCTGGCGGCCGCGACAGAATCTTGGAGAAGCGCCCTGACGATGTACGTTGACAAGACGTCCAAGTTGAGCAGACGGGGGCCAAGGAGGACCATCGAGCTGACTGTAGTCACCTAGGTCGTCGTCACAGCTGCTTGCCGAAGCGCCTTCACCAAGGGCGGAAAGGGCGGCTTCAAGGACACACAGGCCGCCGACATCATGGCCGGTGTGTTCAGGGCCATCATCGACCGGTCAAAGATCAACCCCGCCCTCGTCGAGGACATCGCCGTCGGGACTGTCCTCGCCCCCGGCGGTGGTGCGACCGAGATGCGCGCCGCCAGTCTGTTCGCCGGCTTCCCCGAGACCACTGCCGTCCGGACCCTCAACCGCCAGTGCTCATCCGGCCTCCAGGCATGCATCGACGTTGCCAACCAGATCAGGGCCGGCATGATTGACGTGGGCATCGGCGCCGGTGTCGAGAGCATGTCCCTCAACTACGGGTAAGTGTGACCCGGCTCCGCGCCGCGTTCCCCTCATCTTCCTCGTAAATGTCGGGGAGTGCTCGGCTCGCTTCCGTACTGACCGGACCGACTCGCGCGCCTAGTCCCTCTGCCGTGAGCGAGTTCTCCGAGACCCTGGAGTCCAACGAGGAGTCGGCCAACTGCAAGGTTCCCATGGGCGTCCTGTCCGAGGACATGGCCAAGGACCTCAAGATCGCCCGTGCCGACCAGGACAAGTTCGCCGCCTCGTCGTACCAAAAGGCCGTCAAGGCCCAAAGGGAGGGCCTCTTCGACGCCGAGATCGTCCCCCTCAAGGTCAAGTTCGAGGACCCCAAGTCGGGCGAGACCAAGGACATCACCGTCGCCCGCGACGACGGCGTCCGCGACGGCATCACCGCCGAGTCCCTGGCCAAGATCAAGCCTGCCTTCGCCGCCGACGGCAGCATCCACGCCGGCAACGCCTCCCAGATCTCCGACGGCGCCGCCGCCGTCCTCCTCATGAGGCGATCCACCGCCGAGAAGCTCGGCCAGACCATCCTCGGCAAGTACGTCTCGGGGGCCGTCGTCGGCGTCAAGCCGCTCCTCATGGGCCAGGGTCCCTGGAAGGCCATCCCCAAGGCCCTCGACCTCGCCGGCATCTCCAAGGACGACGTCGACATCTACGAGATCAACGAGGCCTTTGCCAGCCAGTGTCTTTGGTGCGCCAATGAGCTCCAGATCCCCCACGAAAAGATCAACCCCAAGGGCGGCGCCATCGCTTTCGGCCACCCTCTGGGCTGCACCGGCGCCCGCCAGGTTTCTACCCTCCTCTACGAGTTGAAGCGGACAGGCAAGAAGGTCGGCAGCACGAGCATGTGTGTCGGCACCGGTATGGGCATGGCCGCCGTCTGGGTGGCCGAGTAGATGTGTCTTGACACCACTCCAAGATACAAAATGGCATGGTTCCCTTGTTCTTTTATTTTTTGCATACCAAATTCCAAGAGCATACACACAACTCTTAGTCCTGCGGGACACTGGGATCAGGCAACGCTTGTGGAAGTCGGCTCAAAGGTGGTGCAGGCCACCGGCGATGAATACGTATAACAAAATTGTTGGGATGCCGTGTACGAATAGAATAACGTGCTTTCATGACAGTGTTTCCTCCTCCCGGTAGACGGTCCGGCCGTGATATTGTCCCACGATATATATACGTGTCCATCAACGCACATCGTCGCTTGAAGATAGCTTCTAAAATCCCCCGATTTGCGTGCCGATGCGCTTCTCGTTAGCCACCTTGACCAAATGCATGCCAACTACCAGATCCATCAGCCCCAAGCCCACGCTCTTGTAGACCACGGTTCCGTCTCTCAGCCAACGAGCAAGGCTGTCCTCCTTTTTCTTCTCCGTCTCGGACGAGCCCCCGGAGCGGGTTCGGAAAGGGAGTTGGAAACTTGACTTGCGCGAATGGTTAGACAGGCTGGAACTGGATGGGCTGGCGGGCCGTGGTGCAGGGTCGCCGTAGACCGATGACATGGACGGGTTTTTGTCGTCACCATCTAGGGGGACCTCATATTCGGAAGACGCCGGCGTCTGGCTACCAGTGGTATCTGTCTCTGATTCCTCAAAGGCCAGACGGTGCAGCATGACGAGTTCGCCGAGTCTGGAGTACTAGTCAGTCATGTATTCGGGGGGGGGCTGCAGACTCGACCATCTGATGGGGGCTGATTTTGGCAGCAATGATCTCGCCGGCTTCCTTCAACACGCCTTCGAGAGTGTCTACCACAATGACGCCGCCCTCATCTGCGTGCTTGTGGAAGTGACGGTGGTTTTTCTCATGGGGCTTTGTCACGAGATGCAATAGGCCCTCGGGAAGCTCCCTCATGGCAGGGGTGTAGCTTCCAACAGCCACGATCAGTCGGCCCTTCTTGCGACCCTCGTGCGAGGTCAGGATGGATGCATCAAACAGTTCGTGCTGGGACGGGGTACAGCAGTAGATGACGTCTGCGCTGCGGATCTGCTCCTTCTGAAGCCGTTCGAAATCATGAAAGGTTGGTGTCAGGATACTGAACTTGGTGTGTGCCCATCCTTCTCGCTCCTTGATGTCCAAGGGGATGATGGTGAACTTCTTGAGGATCTGGCCCGCGCTGTCGGAGAATCTCCGATTGATGATCTGTACATGCTTGATGGTGCTTCCACGCATGAGGAGCGCCAGGCGGACGTGCCAGTAGGCCTGACCGCCGCTGCCAAAGACGGTGAGGGTCTTGACGTGGTTGCGACGGCTGAGGAGACATGCCGACGCGAGAGCTGTGCGGAAGGCCGTCAGAGTGCTGGCGTGGACAAGGCCCAGGGGGGTCCCGTCGGGACGGAACAGGTTGACGACTCCGGTAGGGCTGACGGGCTTTACTGTGGGATCCTGGGTGGCGGCGGAGGAAGTCAATGAGACAACTATGTACAGGTCAGTGGTGTATCAGTGGCCAGGTTATGCCACGGTAGTCTCTGGGCGACGGTTCGAGATTGCATGAGCTTGCTCACCCTTGCATCCCATACCCTCCGGTCCGCAGGATGGCATATACAACGTCGTGGCCTTGGTCCCGGAGTGAAGGGTTGTGATTCTGTGGGGCTGTTGGTAGACGTCGACATGTCCAGTGTCGGTGTTGGTGGAGAACTCGTGGAGGGCGGATGACAAGACATGTCGGAAATCATCAAGCTCTTGGATGGTAAGGCCCTCGAGGACGTCCTTGACCTGGTCGTCTGTGAGAACGGTCAGTGTCATGATGGCCCGCGGTCGTCGGTTGCGAAGAGGCCGGTGTGTGCGCGTGCGAGTGTTTACGGAGTACGGAGCAGCATCTGGGGCGTCTGGGGCGTCCGGTGGCCCCGCTCCCACTGGTCAGTGCCAGACTTCCTGGCTGCACCGGCGACATCGGGGCCGGTGGGTGATGGGATGTTGATGACGGAGCACAGCCACATGCGCATTTCAGTCACGTCGGCGCACGTCCGACGGACAAACTCAACGGCTCGCTGCGCAATGCATGGCTCGTCAACGCCGGCGGATGCAAATCCCATCGTCTATCTGCTCCTTCACGGCACCATGCCATTCATGCTTTCAAGCAGCCAAAGAAACACGTTTCAGATCTTGATACGGAGTAGTGTTTCCGTCACCAGTGAGTGACGCGTTTCTTTGCGGCCCAGTCGACCAATGACCAGCCACCAGCCACCACCAGTTGACCGGTTCATCCAAGGCTCCGGACCCACCCAGAACTCTGCACTGCACTGCACATGCGGAAGGCTCCAGTCTGCAGTGCTCCTCCAGCTCTCTCTCCTTGCAGGGACCATCAACCTCGCCAGGCACCAACGCTGCCCGTCACGGCGTACGGAGCGTATACGAGATTTAATATAACAAGCGTTGTCAAGAGCCGCGTAATTAGCTGGCCACCGCCAGACCCTAGCTGCCCTCTGCCCTGCCCGCTGCCCTCTCTTTCAACGGTTGCACCTCCAGTCTGGTTGGTCGGTGCCTCGTTGTCCGGGACTCCAGCCGCCAAGCCACCAGTCGCTGTCGCGCTGCCACACTCTGCTGCGCCAGCCTCTTTGACAGGCCCGCCGTTGGAGAAGAGGCTACGTGCACCCTGACAAAGGCCAAGGTCCTCCTCCAGTCCACGACTTATTCATCATTTCAACGACCACCAACATTCCCGCATCCTTCTTCTGTTCCCAACCACATCATCACCGCTGATCAAGCTCTGCGAGCCTCACACGTGCGACAGTGAGCAGTTGATTGACTTCGCCTCTTGTGACTAATCACGCCTTGCGACTCGACTTTGCAGCGCTGCGCTTCTCGGACAAAAACAACAAAACCCCCCTCCCTGCCACAAAAAAAAAAAAAAAAAAAAAAAAAAGGGCCAGTTTGCCAGCAACTTCTGCGACAACTCTCGACATGTCGCTCAAGGAAGAGTTCCAGACCCGAAATTTCAGTAAGTCCCTCGACGCGGACCGGCGCTGTGGCCAGGTATCGAAGCAGTAACTGATGTTATCGGCATAGGTATCTACGGACAATGGTAAGGCCACGTCCCATGCTGCGACGGTCGATAACGCGATGCCTGGCCGCCTCCCCCTTGCCTTGGTCTCTGCCGCGAAAGCACGTGAATAAGCTGCAGAGGCATCGTTGTCCAAAGTTGGCATTGCCGATGGCACCATGATCGTATCGAGAAAATCTAACTTGGTTGGAACAGGCTCGGCATATTGTCCATGATCATCTGCTTAGCTACCGGAATCTCCACCATCTTCACCTTTAAAGTCGTTTTGATTGTCTTTGCTGCTATTGCCATGTAAGTACTTGCTGGGTATTACGACAGTGATGTCGCCCCCCAATGCTGGGAAGACGGGCGCTGACTCCGCCTCTGCAGTGCCTCCTCCTTCCTGATCTTGTTTATCGAAGTTCCCTTACTTCTGCGAATCTGCCCTACCTCTGGAAAGTTCGATGACTTTGTTCGCAAAATCTCGACAAACTACATGCGCGCCGCCGCTTATGCAGTCATGGCTTTTCTCCAGTTCCTGAGCAATCTCGGCGGCGCCAGTAGCCTGATTGCTGCGGGTGTCTTCTTGACGCTGACTGCCATCTGCTATCTTCTTGCCGGTATCAAGGGCCAGGCCTTTGTTGGCAGCAAGACTCTCGGTGGAGCTGGTGTTGCGCAGATGATTGTCTAAGCATCCAAAAAGTAACTTCTCATCTCCGTCTTCCTTTCACGGGTTGATGAGTCTATTCGGCACGCGACTGGGGAGGAAAAGTATGTGTTCGGTGACGAGGGCGGCGTCGGAGAGGTTGGCCAAGAAGCAGAACAAGGGCATGCTTGGGAGACGATGTGGATTTGACCTATTCATATGAATCATGCCTCGCTTGGTACCCCAGGATGATGGGCTGGATACCGACCAGGACTGTTTGGCGTCCAGGGTGATATTTGCTTGCTTGATGTTGGCTGTGTCTGCGCCAGCAGAATCGGACTTTGTTGATTTCTTCATGAAGGCTATTGGCGAGCCTTGGCGTGGTTTCGGACGAATTCGTAGCCCTGTTGTTCATTTACCCTAAGGTTATATAACTAGGTAGCACGGCCTTTGCTTTCATGAAATGATAGAGGGAAAAAAAATCGCCATTAGTCGACGTCTAGTTGCCCTGAACCGGCCAAGATGATGATGACGGCCCGCGAGTATGTCTGAAGTATTTCGAGCAGCCGAAAACCTACCTGAGCGGAATATGAGAACGACGCCTACAAGATGGAGGCACCAGCTTTCACATGAGCTGAAGCAGCGAAAGAGCTCTTGTGGGTCTTCTTGGTGCAGGCCAGGCAGCCTTTTAGTTATTGACGATGCCGCAGCACCAAGAGAAGATTGACGTGATGACCAATGCTGTCGTCATATGGAATCAAGCTCTATTGGAAACGACACTCCTGCCGAAAGCAACAGCGTTGGTTGGTTCAAACAGCGAAGTGTATTATCGGTGGCGTGTCCTGTCCATCCTGAAAAACACAGAGTCTGTCGACAGCCTTGATCGGCGTCCCTTTGGCTTGCCTCGGTTTGGGTTGGCTTGTACCAACGGTTGGAATCCAAAACATCAATGAATAAGAATCAGGGCAACTTCATCCCGCAGAGGGAGGCTCGCGATTCTGTCTGGACGCAGAGCGAGCGGGCAAGGGAACCGCACCCGACGCCAATCAGGGAACATGGGGGCTATGATGTGATGTGATGCAATGCGTTGCGGTGCGGTGCGTCTATTTGCCTTGGTCGATCGAGAATCGAGATCCCATCAATAGATAAATAAATAAATAAAACATGAACCCCTAGTAATGCGCCTTGGCTAGTCTGGGGCAAAATGACGAGACCGTTAGCGCAGTACCCCGCCGCGCCACGAGGGGCAACCGGCACAGTGCAGTGACTGCGCTGGCGTTCGCCTGTGATGGCGCCGGCCTCCGGACAAACGCTGGCGAAAGGAGGCAGGTACGGCACGGCGCTCCGTGTAGACTCTTACCATTTGCCCACGTCCCGGAGCCGACGAGGCTCTGGCGCTACAGCAGCGTTGCACGGCGTCACGTTTTCTTCCGAATGGCCCTCCATATTTAGAGGTTGCAGCTGAACACGCCTACGGGTACCGTGTAGAGCCGGGGACGGGATACCGTCAACATTGTAAGTGAATGCACGTCCCTGGCCCGTAAAAAAGAAAGCCTTCATGGACCGTGGTCAGCAGACTTGTCTTGGGACTGTTTGGTCGAGGGACCGACCGCTTGCAGCTACGGCGCTGGCCCTGCTGCGACGGTGGATCTGCAGGTGGGGATCGAGGGGTGGAGACGCCGCACTGTGTACCCTCGTGGTCAGGGGACTGCTCAACCGCTGCGTCCGTCCGGAGTACTCCGTGCTCGCTGGCGGGATTCCAATCAGTCTTTCGTCGAGTTTGGGAGGGAGCCGGCGAACACTGATTTATTCACTTCTTTTTTTTTCTTGCTCTCAGCCGGCCGCCGTAAATAGTACCGTGCTGATGGAGACTGTCAACGCAGTGCTCGAGGGTTGATTGACAGCAGTCCGAGAGCCCAGTCTCAGACCGTCCCTCCCGCGGCCGGGGCGCAATGCAACGGCCGGAAGGTTGGTCTGGACGCTGGGCCTCGTTGCCTCCCTCAACGCACCGTGCAGACTTGCGTGATTGGCACGGCAGACGGATCGGCTCCTGGTCTGGTGACGAAGGAAGCCCAGGGACTTGCTTGGCTTACACGGACAATCGTCGCGGCCGTCGAGTCCCAACGCCTTCGAGCTAGGGACTCCAACTCTTGTTCCCGCTTCCCCTTTCCCCTGTGACTCAATTCAAAGCCCTCGGCGTTATAGGAGGGACTGCATGTTGTAGCGACAACTCTTTGTCCGGTATCTCATACCGTCCCGAAACCATCAATTGCACAGCTGCTTGTACGTCGTCGTCCCCGGTCCCAACTCGCAGTCATCAGTCATCACAAACAAGTCTTCCGTCATTGGCCTGAGAGGCGTCACTCCCTTCTTCTCCTCGTCCTTGCGGGCGGATTGCGGCTTGTCCGTCGTCGTGAGACTTTGGCTGGCCGCCTGGCCCTGGATGGCATCATGGCACAGCCCGTCGCCGAACAGAGCATCAGTCTCCGTCTCCTCTGCCAAAGTCAATGAACCAGAGTCTGAGCTTTGGCATTCTTTGTCGGGGCGGCGCCTCTCGGTACCTGGCGGCGGCTTTGCTTATCTTGCGTCACATTGGCGTCGGGGCGCTTTATCAGTCACCAAGCCGCCCAACTGATTGATTGATGGCTCCTGAGTCTTGACCGCAACATCCTGATTCAAACACTAATCTATCCCTTGTCAACAGGCATGTTCTCTCTAAAGACTTCTCAGTCTGCCATTTCTATTCATATCTGCATACGCCTCATTGGCCTTTTCCGATCGTCGATTGGCGAGCCTCCTCTTCTCCATCAATACGCCTCGGCACACACATTGACCCATTTCGCCCGCACGAGGAAGAATGTCAGCAGCCCAAATGGCGCAGACGCCTGTTGTACCGCCTCGCCCCAGTAGATCTTCGGGCAAAGAAGCTCCTACTCACCTCATGCCTCCGGTGCCTCCTCGTCCCGTCAACAAGCGCCTCGATCGACCCATTTCGCCCGGCGGCCATCGCTTTGCACAGTCTCCGCTCACAGCCGGCATCCCCTCCGTACCTGTTGATGATCGATTCGGCAAGCACTATGCGCAAAAGGAGCACGCCCAGGACCCCGTTGAGCGGGCTAACAGTGTCGACATGCCCTCTGTTGGGGAAGAGGGCATGGAGTATAGTGCTGTGGCCGCCGAGTTGCAAGAGGAGGAGACTCGACCCCATCCTCCCGAACAGACTCGACCCCATCCTCCCGAACAGACTCGATCTGTAGCCGAGGGCCTGCACCTTCACGCGCCCAAGCCGTCTCTTCCTGCCCAGAGCGCCAAGAAGCAGGTCATGGCTGTTACGCGTACCGACTCAGACAAGGCCGCTTCCTTTGGAATTGGCCAGCCTAGCAACAGCGAAGACAGGGCCGTTTCTCGTGGCTCCACGAGAAAGCGTCCTGAGAGTAGCATCTCGGCTTACAGCGACCTTGGTAATCACACGGACGACGAGCACGGAATTCCCGAAATCGGCCAACGCGTCCCTATGAACAAGCACCTCGGAGACGTGCAAGCCCCGTCACCGGGTCCTGAAAACTCCAAGAAGCACCACAGCCGAAGGCTAAGCGGCCGTGGCTTGCCTCCCGGCAGTTATGGTCTCCATGGCCATGGAGTTGTGCCTCAGGACAAGCTGGAACAGGCTTATTATCAGAAACATCCTGAGGCACTTGAACGAGAGCAGCACACTCCTCGACACGAACGCCACAACGATTTTGCAATGAGCAGTTCTGATTTGAATAGACTTGTCAGAGATACGGCCAATCATCATGCGAAGACCGGTATGTGCACTGCTTTGCTTGGACAGACTAACATCAGTCGTTGTTAACTTGTCAAAAATAGCCTTGGCCGAGCTTCGTGGCACTCCTACTGATGATTGTGCTTTTGAGGCCAGCGAGAAGTATGCCTCCCGCATGTCGTCTTCTCGACCTACATCCGCGGTTTTGGGAGAAGGTCGTGAGTCCAGCTCTTCCTCCCAGCATGCAACAGCCGCGGAGGACAATGCCATCCATGTCGATGACGGCAAGAACCCTGAATTCTATTCTTATGGAGGGGGCAAGGTGGATGAAGAAGCTGAAGACTACACTGCTCCCATTCTGGCTTCGGATGAACTGAAGAAGGATCCCAGCCGTCGTGTACACCAACCTGCCATTCGTCCGCATTTGGAACGCCATGGTAGCTCGCTCGATGGAGAAGATCCCCCAAGCCGTCCCCCAAGCCGTCCTCGGGTGCAACGCTATCAATCTCAGCAACAGGAGGTCAAACATACTCCTCTGGAAGATGTGGAAGAATACGATCCCCTCTTCCCGGAAGACGCGAAGGGAGAGACGGCGACCGACAAGCAGGAACTGGCTGATGAGAATTGTGATCGCCGACACTTCCCAAGCAAGGACATCTGGGAAGATGCCCCGAATAGCGTGCACTACACTACTGAAGTGTCAACGCCCGACGTGACCGGGCCAGAGAGACGACGCTCATCCGCGCAGCTTGGTGATCGGCCTATCACGCCAGCGCAAGCCTTCGCTCAGTATCAAGAAGAGCTGGCGGAGAAGGAAGCCAATCAGCGTGGCAATAACTTCTTGCCATTGCAGGATCCGAGACCGAGCTGGGTCTCCCATCAGCCTCACTTGCACACTGAGGCGCGTCCAAGCTCTGGCTTGAGTAGGCGTTTTCCCAGTAGAGACATTTGGGAGGATGCCCCCGACAGCCACATTCACGAAGCCGAGGTTTCTGCCTCGCCAGTTGAGCAAACCAAGCCGGATATCCCAGCTGAAACAGCAAAGGAGGCTGAAATTTCCCCCGAGCGACCTGTAGTTCCCGAGCGACCCAAGGGAAGGCAGAACAGCGCAGATGATGCCGTGAAAGCCCGCCCCCCTGTTTCAGACAAGCCTAAGCCTTCTGTTCCTCCTCGAGCAAATAAGAGCTCGCCTGGGGAGTCCAAGGATGGTACTGCATCAAAGCCCAAGCCACCGGTTCCCAGCCGACCTGCCGGTAGCAAGATTGCGCTTTTGCAAACAGGATTCATGAGTGACCTGAACAAACGACTCCAGCTGGGACCACAGGGTGTCAAGAAAGGAGAACCCAAAGAAGAGGAAGCAGTCGACGATAAGGAAAAGGTGCCTTTGTCAGATGCACGAAAGGGCCGTGCACGTGGCCCTCAGCGTCGTGCGCCTGCCAAGAGCACAACTGCAGAAACGTCATCAGAGATGAAGCCCGCAGCTCCTGTGCTCTCATTTTCCACGACTCAGACGGTGTGGTCTATCGATCCTGAGCACGGGGAGTGTTCGTTCGGCGGCGAGGAAGGCGGGCCTATCAAGGAGGACACAAAATCAGAGGCGCTGTCACCTGTTCTGAAGCCAGCCGAGACATCTACAGTGGAACCAGATCGTACGAAGGAAGCCTCTGAGCAGTCGGAGCCTACACAGGAGATTGCTGACTCAGAACGCATATCCAAGATCGAGGAGCCGGAGATACCGAATGACGAACGCTCGGATTTAGAAGGAGACGTAGAACAACGTACAACAGAAGAAAGAAAGAGAGATCTCACTCTGGCGGCAAATACTGCTGGTGAGAGTATTCTCGAAGTCGCGGTTAAGAACGACCATGATCAGGTTGAACCTGTAGAGGTCCACGATGATGTCCAGTCTTAGGGGCTACAATATTGAATATGGGATATTTACGCTAGGGGCCTGCATGATTTAGCTGTCAGGATCAATGGAATTTGCTTCAGTTTACTGACCCAGGGTTTTCTCATGTCCTTCCCTGATGTTATGAACGGCCACAGGCATGTGAGATGTGTGATGTACACTCTGAAAAGGGTCCCACATTGGACAGTCCTGAATGTACACTTCAAAGCACCAAGCATTGGCAGCAGGAGATATTCGCCTCTTGTCCAAATTGTATTTAACTCATGATTCAGCCTACGTCCTGCCCCATGTACCACGCTCTTGATCAGCGCCTTTCCTCTCCCTTTCCACCAACGCGTCAAATTCTCTCTGTGCCTGAGACTTTGCTGACGACTTTTCTTCGTCTATGCCGGAGTACGGGTAGTCATCCCTCGAGCTACGATACTGCGGACTGGTGTCATCATCGCCACCCCATCCGCTATTGTTGCCTTGCGGAGCTTCCCACGACTTTTGGTCCCGTCGGCTCTGTCGAGGCGAATACTGAGCTTGCTGTCGTACACGGTCCCATGCGGAGCCGCTGTAGGATTGGGCCTCTTCAGATTTTGATCTGGACGGCGGTGCTACGGGGGACGCATCGCCAATCTCGTCTGCCGCATCCCATCCTCCTTGGGGCCCCTGCCGATCTGACCCGGGGCGGCGGAACGACGTCCATGATTGTTGTTCCTGCGTTTGTGTAGACGGCGAGGGCTGCCGGTAGCCGGCATCGATTTGGGGCGGTGACGAGTACTCTTGTTGTGAGTCAGGTCTCCAAGAATCTCCGTACTGCTGGCCACCCGAGTCCTGGACGGCGCCGAGGACCTCGCCAGCCTGCTTCTTCCCGCCCCGCAGGAGGGAGGCAAGCCTGGGGTCTTTGTCCATGGCCCAGCTCTGGCGCAGGAAGTTGACGCCCTGGAAGATGGGCTCTCCGATGAGCCAGAACGCACCGTAGTACGCCGCGAACCGAGCAGTGTGCCACATGATGCGGACTTGGGGGCCGCCCGTGGCGGGGTTGAATCGGCCGCCCGTGACGACGGGCTTGAAGAAGGGGAACCGCAGTGTTCGACGGCCGCGGTAGGTCATGTACCCTGCTAGACCGGTCATGACCCATTTCCACGCCAGCATGTTGTGGACGCTGGAGAGGAAATGCTCCGTCAGTGCCTTGGTCTCCGTGTCGCTTAGGCTCCTGTCTATGCCGGCGGCCAGTCCCAGGACCGTGGACTCGGCCAGGCCCAGCGTTTGCGTGCGGCCAAAGCCGCGCATCCTAGCGTAGAAAGGGGCCTCGTACTCTGCGAAGAGTCTCTGGATTTGTTCGTGAATCTGGGGCTGGTAGTGCTGCCGGTTGACCATGGCTCTGTGTCGCCGTTCTTCCATGGCGGCGCGGACGTTGCGAGTATACTCTGCCCGCGTCATGCGCTGCGGATTAGCCTCTCCGTCGCTTGGCCTCTCCATGATGGGGATGTGAGGATTGGGGGAAGTCGGTGGCCGGTTGTTCGCACGAGGAACCCCGTGGCGGATTACGTTTTGGAGTAACTGGACGACCGGGTCGACGATGACTGACTGATGACGCACGAGAGAACGGCTTGCATCTGGGTAGCTTTATCGATAAGATCAAGGCGACACGTGATGAGGACCACCGTAGCGGTTGCCATGCGGACGACTCCGATAGGTTGACAGGGATCGCGTTGCTTGGCGTGGCGGGACGCGGCCGGAAAGTGCAGGACGCGTCTTCCAAACGGCCATCCATATCCAGGGCGACGCTTTGTCTGTTCCCAGTTGCACCCCCGCATGGCCAATTCGTCTTGCTGACTTTCCGCGGGCTCAAGGGTATCTAATGACCTATATTGTCAATGGTCATTGTCAAAGATGCCGCTTCAGAAATCATACTCTGAGCGTGTAGGCTTGTCAAAGGTAACATCGCCAACTTTGCAGTGTTTACAGGCCGAACTTGGATGTTTGCTGACATGAGAGCTAGAACCGCAGTCCATGGCAACGATCACACAGCCACCCTGCCAATCTACAGGCGCAAAGACCAAGACCTTTGCCGCCGGTTTCCGATGTAACAAAGAGAAAGCTTAGCCGGTTCCAGTATAAACCGGTCGAAGATGATGATTCTCCAGCTTCTGCTTTGGGCGAGGCCAGTGGTACGCCCAACAAGCTCCAGAATATCGCGGCTGCAAGGGCTAGCCTTGCGGGGGATGCTGTCACACCTGTGACTCGATTAAACTGGAGAGATCTGCTTGAACCGAATGCGGCTCCGGCGGAGAACGAGGTCGATATCTCCCCAAACGACAAGCTGCTGTGGAATAACCAGCAAGACTCGTTGTATGCAGCAGCTTTGTCTCCGATGATGCCCCGGAAGGGCAGAAAGCGTGCTCGAAGCTCATCCCCCTTGTCATCGCCGGCAACTGATATAGGGAGCCTGCCCGCCGTCAATGTCGACAAGTTGAAGACGGCCCTTCGATCACCCCACGTCGATCCAACCATGGAACTCTGGGACCGATATTCGCTGAACGGCCCGGAAGCCATGACCACGCCTAACGGGGCCGTGAATCCTTCTCTAGCACAGCTCATGATTTCGTCGTCGCCGAAATCATTGAGGCACATGTCTGCTCGCCGGGGCGATGCCAACTTACGGAGAGCAATAAGCTGTGGTTTGAATTGGCCAAAGAGAAGGAAAGTAGAAAGATCAAAGTCGGGGAGCCAAAGCAATAGCCAGCAGCGGGAGATGGAAGCAGCGTCGAAATCGTCCTTGGTCACAGCATTATTGGACACAGTCACGAGCAGTATTAACGAGCCAACCCCCCCAAGTCGGGCCCAAGAACAGCTCATGAGATCGCCGTCACCAAAGAAAAGAAGGCTGTCACCGAAAAAAAAGGAGACGCCGCGTCGGGCGGAGACAGCAGCTCATCCGTTAGCTTCATCTTCCGATTACGGTGACGACGACTTCGATGATGATGCTTTCATGGAACTGGAAGTCAGCATGCAAGCCACAGGCACCACCAACACCCCACTACCGGACAGTATCGATCAAGGGCAGCCGGGCGGAAGAGAGCTTGAAGGGGAAGGTCATAGCAACGCGGACCTGGTCGAGGATCTCAGCGACATGGACGAGTATGATGGCGTTTTTGACAACATCATGCAATCACGGCAAACTGCAACTGGAATCTCGACGCCCAAGAGACTGTCAAAGCACCCTCTGGCTACGAAACTTGAAGAGAGTCCTGTGGATGAGTTTGGCAACGACTTGGATGGTGATATCGACTTCGATGCCGTGGAACTGGCCGCGACCCAATCGATACAACAACTGGAGGCGCCATCCGAAAGTGTACGTCAAAGTGTTGCGAAATCATTTCCCTGTTCCATTTACTAAATAAAGGTAGAGAAGGCAGAAGGCAAAAACAATTCAACGATACTTAGTGACAAGTGTTCTAGACGGCGATTTCGTCGATAAGTACGGTGTAACAAGGCCGGAAAAGGTTTGTTGACTTGCCTTCTTCAAACGACGACTTTCGCTAACATGGAATCAGATGCTCATCATTCAAGCCGATGACTCTAAAGTCACCAGGACAGTGCATCTTCGGGGCGCTTGGTTCGACACACCTGCGCACATAAATTCTTATGTTCATGTCATTGGCTCTTTTTCAGCACGCGGCCAGTGCATAGTTGACGATGCACAGAATCTTTTGATACTGCATCCCGATCAACTCATATCATCCACTGTTGTTGCGGACTCTTTCGGCTGCATGCGTCGAGCGGTGCTGCAAGACCGCGTAAAGGCTACCAGCGAAGCTTCCCCCCCCCTCGTCTATGGCACAATGCTTCATGAGATATTTCAGGAGGCCCTGATGGCAAACCAGTGGGGTATGCCATTTCTAAACCGCGTAGTTGATAAAATTATCGACAATCATGTCGAAGATTTGTACACGATCAAAGTTGGGTTGTCAAGTGCCAAGGAGCATCTCCTATCAAAAATGACCGAGTTGAGTTACTGGGCAAAGGCCTTTGTCACGCCAAAGCCACAGGTATGGACCAATTGCGTGCTTGTGCCATCTCGTTTCGGCGATGGGGGCTAATAATCTGCCACAGGCTGATGCGGTTGTGGAAGATCGTAATGGGAAGAAAGCAAATATGGCGATCACAAAGCTGCTCGATGTCGAAGAGCATGTCTGGTCGCCTATGTATGGACTGAAAGGCAACATAGATGCCACCGTCGAAGTTGCCATGTCCGATGGAAAACAAACAAGAACCCTAACAGTTCCATTCGAAGTCAAAACCGGCAAGCATGCTAACAGCAATCATATGGCCCAAACCGCTCTTTATACTCTCCTATTGTCCGATCGCTATGATATCGATATCGCCTATGGAATTCTTTATTACATGGAAACGTCGAAGACGATGCGTATCCCTGCGATCCAGCACGAGCTGCGACACATGATTCTTCAAAGAAACCAACTAGCCTGTTACATCAGAGAGAGGAGTGTTCAGCTGCCGCCAATGCTGAAGAGCAAGCATATGTGCGGAAAGTGCTACGCCAAAACGTCTTGTTTTACTTATCATCGCCTTGCCGATGACGGAGATGGCGAATCTAGTGGCATGCATGAGAAGTTTGACGAGCTTGTCAGACACCTAATGCCAGCCCATCAAGAATTCTTTGTGAAGTGGGAAAATCTTCTCACAATGGAAGAAAAGGAAAGCCAGAAGACGAAGCGAGAGCTATGGACAATGACGAGTACTCAACGTGAGAAGAAGTCGAGATGTTTTTCTGACGTCATAATTGAGGAAGGGTCCGCATCTGTTGACACTCAGAATCCGCGCATCAACCGTTTTCATTACACATTTATAAAGCGAAACCAACAACATGACTTCTCCTTTATGGAGTCAGAGTTGACGACCGGTGAGCCCGTGGTTGTGTCGGATGAAGACGGCCATTTTGCATTGGCCATTGGATACGTTACTTCTGCTCGCAAGCAACGGATAAGCGTTGCTGTCGATAGGCGGCTGCACAACACCAGAACCCGTCAACCCGGATTTGATGAAGTCGATAATCAAGTATTTTCCAGCATCATGGACGTGACACAGGGAAAATCCTCAGGCCAGGGACAATCCAAGACCAGAGGGCCGCCTGTTCGATACCGACTTGACCAAGACGAATTCAGCAACGGCATGGCAACTGTACGGAATAATCTGGTGCAAATGATGGCAAACGACGTACCCGCAGCGGCTCAGATCCGGCGTTTGATTGTTGACCTCGCCACCCCTCGGTTCAAGACAGTCCCAACCCAGTACACAGTTGCAGACGGGGAAAACCTCAACGTCGACCAGAGGCGTGCCATCGAGAAAGTCATGAGCACACAAGACTACTCCCTAGTTCTTGGCATGCCTGGTACCGGCAAGACGACCACAATCGCTCACATCATTCGAGCACTTGTGTCGCAGGGCAAGACCGTATTGCTCACATCTCACACTCACACAGCGGTGGATAACATCTTGTTGAAGCTCAAGACGGCTAAGATTCCGGTGCTGCGTCTTGGAGCACCGGCAAAAGTTCATCCAGAGGTCCAGGACTTTGCGCACCTTGCTGGTCAGCCCAGGAAAACTTTTGACGAGATCAAGGAAGCTTGGCACGGCACGCCGATTGTTGCTACTACTTGCTTAGGCATCAATCATCCGGTCTTCCAAGAGCGCTCGTTTGATTACTGCATTGTAGACGAAGCGTCACAGATTACACTTCCCATTTGCGCGGGACCTATTCGGATGGCACGCTCATTCGTCCTGGTCGGTGACCACAACCAGCTACCTCCGGTTGTGCGAAACGAAGACGCACGTGAAGGTGGCCTTGATGTAAGCTTGTTTAAGCTGCTCTCAGATGCTCACCCGGAGGCGGTCGTCAACCTTGAGCACCAGTATCGAATGTGCGAGGATATCATGACGCTCAGCAATACCCTGATCTATGAAGGGAAGCTGCGGTGTGGGACAGAATCACTACGATGGAAGAAGCTCCATGTTCCGAATATGAATGCTCTCGGCCAGGTCCACTTCAACGCATCCTCACTGGCGCATGCAGGGACACCCAGATCGTTCTGCACCGGACCGGGCCCGTCCCGATGTTGGCTGTACGATCTCCTCGACAGCGAGGCGCGAGTTCGGTTCGTCAACACCGATACAATTAGACCTCTGGTCAGAGAGGAGGCCCAAGGAAAGCGAATCGTGAACTCTGCAGAAGTGCGACTCGTATCACAATTGGTAGAAAGCCTTCTTGCGGTCGGGGTGCCCGCGTCCGAAGTAGGTGTCATGACTCACTACCGAGCCCAGCTGTTCCTTTTGAAAGACCAGCTGAAGGGCTGCGCAGGAGTTGAGATGCACACCACTGATCGATTCCAAGGACGAGACAAGGAAGTCGTCGTTCTAAGTCTTGTTCGATGCAATGAAGCATGCAACATTGGAGACCTGCTCAAGGACTGGAGGAGAATCAACGTCGCGTTTACGCGAGCCAAGACGAAGCTTCTGGTTGTGGGAAGCATGAACACCTTGAAATACAGCGGCAAGGAGAACATGCTCAGCAAGTTCATCTCCCTGATGGAGGATCGAGATTGGATATACAACTTGCCGGCAGACGCCCTGGGAAGCCATCGTTTTGTAGAACCAAGCACAGCCATGAGCGTCGCCCCGACACCAAAGTCAAAATCCCCCAACAAGGCGGCAAAGAAGGGCATGCCGAGCCCTGGAGGCAAGGAGAATCGTCGACCGTCGCCAAAGAAGGCGAGGATTGGGCAGCGGGCACTTTTGAAAGGGAAACTGGTCACAAGGGATATCCTGAATGAAATGACGAATGGCGCATACGTGGGTGTCTAGGAGCAGGGCTATTTACTGATTCAAACACATGGATAAGGAAACATGCTAGATTGGCGTATACATATTTGGGGTATCAGCTGATTACTACAATAGAACTTGGCTATCAATGACCATGTACCTCGTGGCTGTCGTCACAGTCTGCTCTCGGCATTCATTCGTTCAGCATCTCCAGGCTAATCGTTCATGCTCGTCTTGGAATTCGTCGTCGAATCTGATGTGACTCGATTAGCCTGGAGATGCCGAACGAATGAATGCCGAGAGCAGACTCACCCTTGTTCACCAACTATCAGCTTGGTATACTTCTCTAGTTCCTCAAGTTGGGCCACACAGCCCGTCAAGCTCTCATTATACGAAAAACTGTAGACCTCTGTACGTCTCGTGGCTGCGGTCCCTTGCCGTCGCTGAAATATACCTAGCCGCCAACGACGTCTGTCGGGGACTGAGTTAGCGTGGCCGCTGGGTGCAGTCGCTGGAGACTTTGCTGACTTCTGTACAGGATGCTCATGAAGAAAGCATCGACGAGAGCGCCTGCCTCAGTTCGCGACGGGCCACGAACGGCCAGAGGACCCAGTTGACCATGGTCGGCACGGCGGTGCCGACGAAAAAGGCGAGGCCGCTGAAGACAGCAAAGGCTGTGGGAGACGAACCTCCACCGTGTGCTCGTAAGCCGAGCGAGACGACGGTGAAAGAGAGGCAGCCGACGAGCCCCGAGCGCTGAATGGCTGAATGGTGCCTGTCGAGACGAGGACAGAGCGGTCATCCGAGGGGAATACCTACTGGATGCGAACCGATGGTATATCGATGGAGCATGGGCGCCATGCACAGAGCCGAAAAGACGCCCGTGACGTACGGATTTCCGCCTCCAGCGGCGTATCCTATCCCGCTCCAAGCTGCTCCCAGAAGAGCTACGCCTGACCTCGTCACGAGATCTTGTATGTTTCCACCGACTTGTGGATGCATGACTGCCCAGCTCACCGCAGCCACCCACCACACCTGATAGTAGTCCCGCCACGAATGGCTTTGAGAGAGGTACGACGGCGCCGCCAGGAGGGATGTGACGAGGCAGACTTTGAAAGCGTATCTGCTTTCAAAACCTTGACATAGGCGATGAAGAAGGCCGAAAACGTCTTCAACAGTCGGACTTCTTCCATCGCAGTTGCTACCCGGCGGAAAAGAGAATTTGACTGACGCCACTGTCGCGAAATGAAGTGCTTGGGAGCCAAGGGATTTGACTTGTCAAACTGTGCCGGTAAAGTAGCTTTGGAACGCTCCAAGAGATCTGTCTATCAAGACGCAGAGGTTTAAGAAATTTAGCCTCGAACAGCCCCTCTCGAACCTCGGAGACTCCAAACGTGTCTTGATCCACGTCGTCGTCTAACAGCACCTGATCGATCTGAGGGATGCTCATGGCGGAGCCACGATCTCTTTCCAGGCGCGGCCTCGAGGGTTGTTTGGTATCGGCCTACTCGAAGAGACTTGTATTGGCGGTGGATTTTCTAAGCTTCCGGAAGTGTCGCCTCGGGCTTTGATGCGCCGTCTGATACCATTACCGGCCTGAGCCTCCGTATCTAGGTTGTCGCTCGACATACTGGCGTCCAGTTGCTTGGGCCATGGGTAAATTACCGGTCTGCCCAGCAAGATGCCCATAGAATTGCAGCGGAAACGCCCAGGTGTTCACCAAAGTTGCGCCCTCGAAATCCGGCGGTTGGTGTGAAGAAATGCAGCGCAAGCTTCCCCTCGGTCGCTTCGACGACTTGTCCAGGGTCCTTGGCTAAAATCTTGGCGGTTCAGCGGACACATTGTTGACATTGAAACGTCGCAGCTTCCTCATGCCTGCCGCGACACACACCCTCAAACTTGCTCAATTAAGAGACAGAGGAAAGACTAGTGATCATGAATACAGATGTCAGCGGCAAGCTCTCAACACAGGCTGTGACGTGCCGCCGGGATCGGGAGGGGTGATGGGGTGTGTACCTAGTGACATGCGAGTCACGTGATCACCCCCGTTTGGATCCCGCCGGCCACCGAACCTCCTCTCCGGTGACCACGTCAAGACGCGATCTCGCATCACCAACTGCTCAGATACGACAGCCCGTTCGCACCTTCACAAGACGCAACCGGGCCAGGCCAAACATGGCAATTATTCGACACTCGGTCGCTTCGCTGCGAGCGGTGCGCTGCGCCCGCCAGCCCATCGCTGCGAGACCCTTCTCCGCGTCCTCCCGACGACAAGGTGGCGGCCACGGCGAGTCACAATTCGAACCCCCAACCGGCTGGCTCTGGGGTATCAAGCCCGGCGAGAAGCCTGAGCCCGAGGGTTGGGAATGGCCCATGTACCTGTTCTGCGGTAGTCTGCTGGCTGCCGGTGTTGCTCTGGCCTTCAAGCCCGACACGTCGTAAGTCCCCCGAACGCAGGTACTGCCAAGCGCGCCGCCTGCTTGTGCGACTGTAGATTGATCCGAGAAACCCCAGTCCAAGGTGGCGGGATTACCGGATCTGACAGAGTCTCTGGTCGTCCATGTCATGCGGTTCCTCTTGGAGCATCGATCGTGTGGAAGGACTCTGGTTGCTAACCTGGATTGCAGCGTCTCTACCTGGGCCCTGGAGGAGGCTCGACGGCGGTTGGAAGCAGAGGGTGTTTTGCCGGACCCCAGCAAAGACGGGAAAGAATAATCGGGGGACAAAAGGACGACGAAGTGCGGTATAGACAGAGGCGGCTATGTTTGTTGAGTGCGCGAATGGGCGGCCGACTTGATGTCAATCGCCCACATGTACATGTGCAAGGCCTGGGTTTGCTTTTTTCTCTTTTTTTTCGGCTGTCATGTTGTTTCTTGGCCAGAGATAAACCCCTTCAATGGTACGACGCATTAGACTTTTTTTTCTCGTTTCGATGAAATGACAGGCCCACGTTACTCGTGTGATGTGTGTGCGCGCGCAGTTTGTCGGTTTCTACGAAATGATCGAGTACCCGGGTCCAAAAAATTGACCTGTTGTCATATTCGTGCAGACATGATGGGCGCAAAAGTGGTCTTACATGTTGTCGAGTTGCCAAACACGGTGTCCAAAACCTCCTATGTACATGTGCACCGAGCGCCTAGCTTCTATTCTATTCTATCAGAAGGATTCACATTACGCAATCTTGAGGCTCCAGTCATGCTCCTCCTCACCATACTGAATGGCTTCTATCCATTCCTTGACACGCAAGGCAGTCTCGCCGGACTCCTCCGTCTCCTTCAAGCCGCAGTCGACGTGCTTTCCCTTCCAGGCAATGGTTCGGATGGGGCTGACAATGGCAGCGGTACCGGCGCCAAAAGCCTCCACCAGACGACCCTCCTGAGAAGCCTCGTAGAGCTCGTTCATGGTGTACTTGCGCTCGGTGACCTTCCAGCCCTCGGGGACGAGACGCTCGCGAGCCAGTGCAAGGACAGAGTCTCTGGTGACGCCCTCCAAGATGGTGCCGTCGAGAGGAGCGGTGACGAGTTCCTTGTGGCCGTCGGACTTGTCCTTGAGGACGACGAACATGTTCATGGTACCGACCTCGGTGACGTATTCCTCTTCTCCAAAGAGCCACAGATTCTGTTGGTAGCCGCGGCTGGCGGCCTGTAGCTGGGGCACGATGCAGGGGGCGTAGTTGGCGCCGAGTTTCTTGTCACCAACGCCGCCGGGCCAGGCTCGCACAGCGTAGTCGGTGGCCTCGAGCGAAACGGCCTTGAAGCCGGTAGGGTAGTAGGGCCCCACGGGCGAGGCAATGACATAGAGCAACGCAGAGCCGGGGGGGCCAACCCCGAGGGTCTTCTGGGTACCAATCATGGTGGGTCGCAGGTAGAGTGAGTAACCACGTTGGTTGGGGATGAAGCGCGAGTCGAGCTTGACGAGCCTGCTGATGAGCTCGATGAAGCTGGTGGGCTCGAAAGTGGGAAGAGCAATACGGGCAGCGGACTTGTTGAGACGGGCCATGTTCATGTCTGGCCGGAACAGACGGACGTTGCCGTCCTTGTCCTTGTAGGCCTTCATTCCCTCGAAACACTCAAAGGCATAGTGAAAGACGCAGGTGGCAGGGTCTAGAGATAGGTTCTGGTATGGGGTGATTCTAGGGTCGAGCCAGCCGTCTTCCTGAGTCCACTCGACGGCAAGCATATGGTCTATAATTCGGCAATTGTCAACACGACTATTTGTAATCTCCAGCGAGCATGTCGTTTACTTTGCACGTCGGGGAAAATGGGGGGGGACAGATCCGCGGGCCAGACATACCGGTGAACTCGCGTCCAAAGACGAGGGTTTCGGGCTTGCGCAGCGCCTTGGGGCTGGAGACGCGAGTGATGGAGAGTCTGCTCGGGTCAAGAGGCTTTCGCGTAAAATCTGAAGCAGCTTCAGCCTTGATGCTGAAGAGGCGAAGAGGACGAGCGGCTTGAAGCGTCCGCGAGAACCTGCCGGCGGTGCAGACGGCGCTGCGCGCCAACGTGACGGCTCTCATCGGTGACGGTGCGGGCCAGAGGCCGAGATCTCGTGTGAAGGCAGGTGGTGTTGATTAAATTGGACCGACCGAGCGAGCATGCAGTAGCGGAGGGCTCTGGGGAATGGTCAAGACATGTACGGAGCACACACAATGTCAGTTGCACTGTCGTGAGGGGATGCTGTAGATCGATCTGTCGCCAAAAAATCAAGAATGAAGCCGGGCGGCAGGCAGGCCAAGGCCTCCCTCAGCAAGGGTCGACGGTTCGTCGCGGTTACGGAGTCGAGACCCGGTACCGGTACCGGACATCTGGGCCAGGCCACCAGGCGCCAGGTGCGTACAGCAACGCTGCGCTGCAGCACCCTGCTGCCACGCTGTCGGCTCGCTGCCGAAGCTAAGCGCCGCCGGTCCGGGGCGGCTTCGGTTTGGGTCTTGGCAGCGGTCCCGGGTAGGCAGTTGTGAGGCGTCTTTGTCAGACCAGGTCAGTCATGGCACGGGCACGCCAACGGGGCGAGCAACTTGCCAACATACGGAGTACCACACGACGGATTCCCGCTTTTGCAGCTCACCTCGCTCGAATACCGTTATCCCGCTGATTTCACCAGGTCTGGACGCTACTAGCCGTCACACTACGTACAGACTCCTCTCTCTCGCAGCCCAACCGCCGCCCGTCAACCGCCGCCAACCACCACCACCGACCCTACCGACCCTACCACACCTCGACGACATGACATCACGGGGCTGTGAACCGCACCATCCGTGATTTCCATCATGTTCTCCTCAGCGCTCAAGTCTTTATCTGCCACCAACATCACCGCCAACTACTCCACGTCGGAGCGTCCCACGTCCACCGCCGGCCCATGGAAGATCTACGATGCCACCAGGAAGTCCACTGGTAATGCCTACAGCGTCTTCGTCTTCGACAAGAGGACATTGTCGCAAGGCAATTCTATGGGCCGATCCGGCGCCTCCGGCCTCAAGCGTTCTGTGGACGAAGTGGTTGAGCGCTTGAAGAAAGAAGCTTCCAACCTGGCCAAGCTCCGGCACCCGTCCATTCTGGAGCTGGTGGAGCCCGTCGAGGAGTTGAGGAACGGTAATTTGCAGTTCGTCACTGAAGCCGTCTCTGCGTCCCTGTCTAGTGTGCTACAAGAGAAGGATGCCCAGGAACGACCGCGAGGGAGGTCGACCCGGTCCGTCACCGAGGATGCGGGTGGTGGCGTCACAAGGGGGCGGACGATTGAGATCGACGAACTCGAGATCCAAAAGGGCTTGTTGCAAATTAGCCAGGCTCTAGAATTCTTGCACGAAAACGCTGGTCTTGTTCATTGCAACTTGACACCAGATGCCGTGCTTGTCAATGCCAAGGTAAGCTGCCGTGAACTGATGGAACCCGCGAACCTGTGTGTGTGAACGACCTGCTGACATGGACCAAACAGTCTGACTGGAAACTTGGCGGTCTTTCCTTTTGCAGCCCGGCCGACAACTCAACAAAGCCGACGTCAATTCAAGGCATAAGCTTGGGCGAAGTGCTGAACCTAGATCCTCGATTACCAAGACTTGTTCAGCTTAACCTCGACTATACATCTCCCGACTTCGTCATGGACAACAACTTGACCCCATCAGCCGATATGTACTCTCTCGGACTTCTCTCCATCGCCCTCTACAATTCGCCACACAAATCCCCTCTCGACAGCCATGGCAGTGTCTCTTCGTACAAGAGGCTGTTTTCATCAGTATCCACCACACCTTCGGCGAGTAACGGCTTTTTGGCGTCGCGAGAACTGCCAAAAGACCTGACAAAGCACGTGCTACCCAGATTGATTACCAGGCGACCCGCTCAACGGATGACGGCCCGGGAATTCCAGGAAACCGAGTATTTTGACAACGTTCTGGTGTCGACAATCAGGTTCCTGGATTCCTTCCCAGCCAAGACCCCTAATGAGAAGTCTCAGTTTATGAGGGGCCTGAACAAGGTGCTGCCATCGTTCCCCAAGTCTGTCATGGAGAAGAAAATTCTGCCTGCGCTTTTGGAGGAGCTCAAAGATAGAGATCTGCTTTCCGTGATCCTCCAGAATGTCTTCAAAATAATTGACCTGCTGCCTCATGCTAGACGAGCGTTCGGTGACAAGGTTCGTCCGGCTTTGAAGGAGATATTTGTGTTCAATGCCAGACAAGGCCAAGAAAAAGACCCAGCCCGAGATGCAGGGCTAATGGTGTTTTTGGAAAACCTGTCAGTCGCCGCAGATAACTCTCCTGGAAAGGAGTTCAAAGATGGTAAGCATGGCTCACTTTCTCTCCCACGATTCTTTCTCTGACTGACTGATTCGACTCGTCAAGATATTCTTCCCGTAATATTGGCCGCCATCGAGTGTCCCACACCGTCAATCGTAGACGCTGCCCTGAGGACATTGCCATCTGTTCTCCCTGCCCTCGACTTCAGCACCATTAAGAATGAACTCTTCCCCGTGGTAGCTGCGGTATTCAGCAGGACAAACAGCCTGGCAATCAAGGTCCGCGGCTTGCAAGCTTTTGTCATCCTCTGCGGTGGATCTACGGATGCTGCCGCTGATGACGGTCTGAACGGCCTGGTTGAAGACAAAAAGAAGACATCCTCGTCCAGTGCACTGGACAAGTATACCATGCAGGAGAAGATTGATCCCCTAATCAAGGCCATCAAGACCAAGGAGCCAGCCGTCATGATGGCAGCACTCAATGCGCTGCGCATCGTGGGAGAGAATGCGGATGCTGACTTCGTGGCGATGGACATTCTCCCCGTTCTGTGGAGCATGAGTCTGGGACCTCTGCTGGATCTGCGCCAGTTCCAGACATTCATGGAACTGATCAAGAACCTATCGAGGAGGGTGGAAGACGAACAGACCAAGAAGCTGCAAGAGCTGTCAGGCACGTCTAACGCAGGAACCGCCGGTCGCAACGAAGACTTGCTCGCATTCGGCGGCGTCACCGGCACCACTTTCGACAGCGGCACCGGCGGGAATGAGGATGACTTTGAAGCTCTCGTCAAGGGGAAAGGGGTCGTCTCAGCGTCGTCCAACGGCAGCAACGGCTTTCCTACCTGGGACCAGACACCGTCTGCCACGACCCCGGCCACCACCACCACAATCAAGAGCTCGTCCAGCACGCCGAAAACACCTTCATTCTCGTGGTCCTCACAAACCCCCACGAGCGCTTCGACAACAACACAGCCCGCCGTGGCCGGCAGTCAGCCTGGTTTCCGCACCACAACGCCGGATTTGGCGCGATTCGGCACCCTCACTCCGTCGTCGACTCAATACAGCAAACCGCTGCAGCCGACACGGCCTTCACAGCCATCATTCTTTCAACAGGCTCCGCAGCAGAGCTCGTCATCAATCAATTGGTCCGCCACGGCAGCCGCAACCTCCAACCCATGGGCGTCGTCAACACCAAACTACGCAAACTCGTCGAGCCACACACCCGCACACGTGCAGTCAGGCTCCAGCTTCAGCAGCATGAACGCATCCATGTCCAGCGTGTCCCTGGGGCAACAAGCTCCTCGGCCTTCCCTGGGCGGCGGCGACTCGCGGGACTCGTCGTTCTCGCTGCCCCCGCCGCCAGGTGCTCGTTCTTCGCCGTCGTCAAACACCTCGTTTAGTATCAAGCCGCCTCCCGCACCAGGCAGTTGGGGGGTGTCGGCTCAGAAACCAGCAGCATCATTGGGTGCTCCCGGTCAGCAGGTGGGTAGTAATGCGGGAGGGAAAAAGCCTTCAGGGCTGGATATGTACGAGAGTCTAATTTAGAAGCGCCCGAGGGGAGGCTCATACAATTGCTCGAGTAGGACGTATGTAGGCGGAATACAGGCCCATGTCAACTTACATGCCGCTCTCAACATGTTTTTTAATTTTTTTTCCACATCACCACGGCACCATGATCAAATGTCAAACATTATCGGAGAGATTTGCAGACTCGTCGAATCATGACGCGTGCATGATCCTCACGTCTAGAGTTCACGATGCGAAAAAGACAGTAGACACGCCGCCCGTTGTGTGTCTGGTTTCCCAGAACCAGTGACCCAGTGACCCAGTGACCCAGTGACCCAGTGACCCAGTGACCCAGTGATTACTCCCCTCCAGTGATGTCCGACGACGTGAAACGAAAAAGAAAAGTCTAGCTCTGTACCAAGGAAAACGACATGGACTTCGTAAACGTAAAGGGGGGCCGATGGACAGGGTCCAAAACACAAGACACGAGACATGAAAAAGAAACAAAATAAAAGCGGCGCTCAATCAGCACGGAAACGCCTGGAAATCGTCTCGAGGACTCCCGGAGAATCCCTCCATGGCATCGTGCCCATGCTGTTTATGGAGGGAAAAAAAAAAAAACTCAAACATGTAGCCCAACTGTTTTATTGTGTAGAGGAGGGTCGCTTTACTTCAGCCCCGGGGGGACTTTTTGACGCCGTCCGTTTGGGGCACGTCTGCCTCGAAGACGTGCCTGTTCTTGTAGCCCGTTTCGGGAGTCACGGTGATGACTTGGTTGGGGGGCACCATTTCGTGCCTGAGCGGCCAGCCCAGACGGCGGCAGAGCTCGGTGACGACGACGTCGCAGTCGCCGAGGAGGTCGATGTCGAAGTTGATGTGGTTGACTGCCTGGCGGGAGACGTAGATCTGGGGCACATTGGGGGAGAGCCAGTTTGAGACCTCGGACACGGGAGTCACCTTGAGGGATGTGCCAATGACGATGACGAGGTCGACTTTGTCGCGGTCATGTTCGGTGAGGCGCTTGGAGAATTCATCGGGGAGTTTCTCGCCGAAGAAGGTGATGTCTGGCTTCATGACGCCGGCGGAGGGAATGTCGTAGCCCGAGTCGTCATCGTCATCGTCGTCGTCGTCGTCGTCGTCGTCGTCGGACCACCGTCTGCCGCGGCGTTTGTCCGCCCCCGCGGAACGCTTTCTCTTGGTCGTCTTGCCATTGACGCTGAGGGACTGGAGACATCTTGGACACCGGGGGATCTTGCCGGCCCTGATGTCCGGAAAGATGGCATCGCCGTGGGTCTTGTAGCCGCACTGGATGCAAGTGGCTGTTCCAAAGGAGCCGTGGCACTGGATGAGCTTGTCCTTGGGAACGCCGGCCTTGACCTCGAGGTTGTCAATGTTCTGAGAGTAGTTGGTCAGGAGTTTCCCGCGCTGGTGGAGCATGGTGATGAACTTGTGCGTCGGGGTGTAGCGGTCAGTGGCGGGTATGATATCCTTGGCTATGGAATAGAAAATGGACGGGTCGTCCTTGAAGATGTCAATGTTGAAGACCTCCTGGGGGTCGTTGAGGCCCAAATGCGCCAGCTTGGCGTACAGACCGGTGCCCTCGGAACGGAAGTCCGGGATGCCAAGAGAGGTGGAAATGCCGGCGCCGGTGATGACGATGATGTTTTTGGATTTCTGGACGAGGTCTACGGCGTCGTCGACGGTGTTGTAGTCGGTCAGCTTGATTCGCTTTGACAGCTCTCTTGTTATGGCGAGCGACACGAGATGGGAAAAGTATTCCTCTGATTTTCCCTCGAGAGAATCAGGAGAGTATACTTGAAAAGCGGTCAGCAGCTTCTTGGCCGTATAGCGACCGCAATCTACGGTCCGCTTGCAGAAAACGATGGGGCCATAGTCTCGAAGTTCCCGACGAAGTCTGGCGGACTCCTCGGGTGTGCAAATGTCGGGCGCTAGAGAAAAGGTCAGTCACATTGGGTCGATGCAAGAGTCGATGAACCAAGTCATGAGCCGAGATGAAAACGGCTTGCGGTTGAGAACAGAAGACTTACACTTGTGCTCAGAGTTGCCCTTGGCCAGCTCCTCAAGAAAAGATTCCGTCTCCCACGAATCGCGCACATCTGCAACTCGGTGCTCGAGTTCTGCCAAGGACACATTGACGGCAGCGGCTTCGAGTTGGTCAACCGAGGCATCGTCGGGTAACTGCTCAAAGGCGTCGGGCTTGGGATTTCTCGCCCTCTTTGCAGGACCACGTTTGAGTGTCATTGAGACCCAGCAGTAGTGTGCTGGCTTGACGGCGCGCGAGCCAAGGAGTGCAAATTGGGGAGTTGTCAAGGTCCAAAGTCAAAACGAGGGCCGAGGAGACCATGGGAGAGAAGAGAGAGGAGAGGATGCACGAGTTTGAAGGCCGCAAGGAAGACGAGGAGAGACAAAGAGAAAGGAAAAGGCGACAGACGACAGACCGAGGGCCATACAGTACAGATGAATAGAAGGAGAGAAACGGATAGAAATATAGACGGCAGCTGGGAGTTAGTTGGGAGTTGGGAGGAGGGGAAAATGAGAAAACAGGCCAAAAAGTCAAACGTCAGACAGATGTGGTTGATCTGGGATGGCAGAGAGTCGAGACACACCCGCAGACGCCGGGCTAAACCACTTAACCCAGGCAGGCAGAGAGAGCGAGCCTGGCAAGGACAAGGCAAAGGGGCAAAACACGAGCAGGGAATCCAACAGGGGGGCCAAAGTTGAAGCGAGGGTGTCGATGTGTCGTGTCGATGTGTCTGTCAATGTGTCTGTCAATGTGTCTGTCAATGTGTCTGTCAATGTCTGCGAAGAGCAACAACAACAACAAAAAAACAAAGAAAAAAAGAAAGGGACTCAAGGTCAACTCGGTTGACACAACTTGGCAGGCTGCTGCACACGCACACGCACACGCTCACACTTCCCTTCTCTGATGCCAAACGCCACTTTCTGTGCAAAGATGAGCCAAAGTCGCAATCGCTGACTCTGTCTCGGTTGGCTGGGGATGTGCAAGGACGGGATGGGATGGGATGGGACGCAATGGGCGCATGGAATGGGATGCAATGCCAAAATGGGTGGTGGTGCTGGCTGGGCGTTGCCTCTTCGAATGTTGGCAATGAATTGATTGTGTGCATTTCAAATACTCCGTCACATGGCATAATAATAAAATGACTTGACGGACCCCTCTGGTGGCAACACGCCTCACTCACTCACTCACCCACTCACTCACTCACTCAATCACTCACTCAATCACTTCACTCAATCACTCAATCACTCACTCAATCACTCACTCAATCACTCACTCAATCACTCACTCAATCACTCACTCAATCACTCACTCACTCACTCATTCATCATCCACTCACTCACACACACACATTCACTCACGTACGCGTCGCTCCCTCCAATGCTGCCTTGCAATAGGACGATGGAATACGGAACCGGGTCACGGCACTGCTCAGGGTGCCGAGTGGGTGACCAACTCGTCCTATAAAGTTTATACATTGCCATTGCCATCGCCATCGCCATCGCCATCGCCATCCAACCCTCCTCGCCCGGCCGGCCCCGCCAAGCATCGCCTCGCGACCCGACAACGCACAACGCAATAGCCAGACCAAAAACACCGCCAAGATCCTTGAGCAGAACCAGACCTGTCTCAGACAACACCAACAACACCTAGCAACTCGTTGACCATTAGACATCACTCATCGTTCCTCATCCCAATGTCCCTCGCAAAGAGCGAGTCGACACCATCGTCCGAATCGACAAATGACTCGACTCAGGTGTGACGATGTGACGACGCCTTGCCCACGCCTCCGTGTTCCCCAGCCCCTCGAGCCAAAGTACCAGATGGACTCCCTTCACCGCGTGCACTGCCGTCTGTCTACTCGAGTGTTCTCATCCTCCTTGATGCCCTTGGGCTCTTCGAAGGCGCTCTGTTCGCCAAGGATTGGAGCCAATTGGCAGTTTATCCCTATCCATACTTGCAAGTCACAACCGTGCGCTGCTAGGGAGCCCGCTTATTGACAATAGTACTAATCTAATCATTCGATGACGGCAAGTCTCCGGCCTGATGTAGGGCAATATGGAGAGAGGTACTTCTGAGGAGCTTTATCGACACCATTGACGGCGTGACGGGACATGGGAAGTAACAGCTTTCGAGTCGTTGACATATAGGGCTTGGACAATCCTATCCACAGAATGAATGTGCATGGGTCTTGACATGTTAACGACCAAGGCTATCAAAGTCTTCATGTGTAGTGCGGCATGTCTAGAAACTTTATGAAATAATAAGATATAGGCTCGGCTTCGGTGCCCTATGATACAGCGCCTAGTCCAACAAAACCAACAGAAGAAAAAAAAAAGTAACAAAGAACAGCAAGTTTTTCTCGATTCGCTGGTATCTCCTTATCCAGTTGCCATTCCTTCCGAGTTGTTACTGTCATTCAAGCCCTCTTGTAATTCCTCCGCAGATGCTCGATCCCTCGGTGGCCACACACCTCCAACACCGGCTCCAATGAGGCCTACCATGAGAGCAGGAGCGCGCACTGCCGAGTTAGAACGGGATCGGTTTGATCCCGACCTAGCCCGGGAGTTGGGTGTCGGGAAAGCCGATCCGACGAAACTGTCCTCTCCTGTAGGCGTGTGCGGTCCATGCATCGAATTCGACCTCGAGTGCGATGGGCTCCGTGATCGCTGCAAAATGGTTTCCTTGGGATGCTGAATGGCAAATTTCAAGTTGTTCAGCCGGCCTCCCTTTACTCGTCTGAGGAAGTTGAGTTCGTCTCGCAACTCCGCAAGTGGCTCTGGATACATCTTCATCTCTTCGTCTGAGATGGTCAACCCGGGGACGCTGCGCGACCTCTTCGTCATGAACTTTGGCACCAACGCCACAATCATCCAGTCGGGAACCAGTCGAATAATGACGCCGACAGGTATCGAGATGAATCCAAGAACAATTGCGATGGCCCAGAGCGTGCCCCAAATCGCGTTGTCATCCGGTGGGTTGGCAATATGGAAAGCAGCACCGCCAAAGAATATAATGAGCACCTGTCCAGCACACATGATGACGCTGATGCCTATAAAGAACCAGTTCCTGCTGAGACCCTCAAAGATATTGAACTTATTGTCCAATCGTCGGTTGCTAGTAGAAAGGGATTAGTGAGTGCCCTGCGTTTAAACAAATTACGCAGTCCAAAAAAAAAAAAAAAAAAGAAAAAAAAAGGGGTAGCCGCTTACTTCCACTGGTTGAAAATCTGCATCCACACAAATGTGTTAAACACCAGCGTATTGATTTGGGCAGGTTCAGGAATGTCATCTGGACCTGGGAGAGGTAAGATTCCCTTGGGGCTTCCATAGTATAGCAGGAATGTGATGGCGAGTTGGTACAGTGCCTGGCCAATGATCATCTTCCACATTGTGACAGAGATAATCGATGAGCCTTTAGGCTCAGGTTTCCTCTCAAGGACACTGTCTTGCGGGGGATCCGTAGCGAGGGCTAGCGCTGCGAGTGTATCCATGATCAAGTTCACCCACAGCAGCTGCACAGCAGTCAAGACAGACTTCTCCGACTCACTGGAAACGGCAGTGACAAATGTCAACACAACAGCAGTGATGTTGACAGTGAGTTGAAACTGGAGGAATCGCTTGACGGCATCGTTGACGGCCCGACCCCACTTGAGGGCCTTGACGATGCTGGCGAAGTTGTCGTCCATGAGAATAATAGCAGAAGCTTCTTTGGCGACTTCGGTACCGGCGATGCCCATAGAAAATCCTACATCGGCCATCTTGAGTGCGGGGGCGTCGTTTGTGCCGTCACCTGTCACGGCGACAGTTTCACCCTTGTCCTTGAGTCGCTTCACAAGAACCCGCTTGTCTTCGGGGCTAGAACGAGCCAAAACGTGGAGCCGAGGAATAATCTTTTCCTGTTCCCTCTTGCTGAGATTGCGGAAGTCGGGACCCTCCATGACGATACTGTCAGGCTGAAGAATTCCACACTCTTTGGCGATGGCTTGGGCTGTGAGTTTGTTATCACCAGTGACCATGCGGACGACGACGCCGGCCTTCTGGCAAAGCTTTACGGACTCAAAGACACCATCACGGAGGGGATCTTGAATGCCGACCATGCCGATGAAAGACATGTCTTGGAAGAGGTCGTTGAATTCGACATCGCTCCCACCGCCTTCGCCGCGACGAGCAGACTTGGGTGGCCATACCTCAAAGTCTCTGAAGCAAATACCAATGGTTCTGAGGGACCGAGAAGCATATGTCTCAATGAGCTCCGTGATAGCCTTTGCATCCTTTGCTGTAAGGGTTGTGACAGAATCGTCAACAGAGGGGTCGCTCAGCATCCGGGTGCATTTTGCGAGTAAAATTTCCGACGCGCCCTTCACATAGAGCCTAGCACCACCTGTAGGCAGTTTCACAACAATGCCCATGCACTTGCGCCCAGAATCAAAGGGGATCATCTGTAGAGTCGTGGCATTGTCGCGCTCTCGACTTACTGGACCCATACCAAGATGGGCTTTTGCTAGGAGAAGAAGAGCCGTCTCGGTTTTGGAACCAATAAAGGTGTGCTCACCATCTACTTCACCTTCAAAGGCGGTAGAGTTCAGGGCAATTGACTTGAGAAGAAGATCCTTGACCGGCGCACTTAGCATCGAGATGAGCTCGGTAGCAGAAACCTCAGATTCGGCGTCCGCATCATCGCCTTCGTCGGAACTATCTCGAGAGCCGGGGCGCGCCAAGCCAAACCGGTGCGACTTGCCAACAGTGCCAGCCACGACCTGCATCTTGTTCTGTGTCAAGGTACCCGTTTTGTCGGAGCAGATGGTTGTCGCGTTGCCCATGACTTCGCAAGCCTTGAGGTGCCTTACCAAATTGGCATCTTTCAACATACGAGTTGTAGCAAAGGCCAACGCCAAGGTAACAGCAAGGGGTAGTCCCTCTGGCACAGCGACGACAATAATGGTGACGACGACAATAAAAATCTCGAGGAAGTTCTGGCCCTTTTGGGCAGGCGTAACCCCTTCGGGAAGCTTCGGCAGACGAACGAGGAACTCGATGAAGAGAACGAGGAACAGCAAGAGACCGGCAGCGCCACCAAGTTTTGCAATATAGGTAGCGATGACGTTGAGCTTGGCCTGGAGAGGGGTCATCTCGGGGTCCTCATTCAACGCCATGAGGGTACGTCCGTATGAGGAGTAGATGCCAGTTGAGGTGGCCATGTATGTGCCGACACCTTCCATAATGCGGGCACCAGATTGTATGAAGGGATCCATCTTTTTCAAGCTTTCGTGATTTTCTATTGCAGAATAGACTTCGTCGGCTGGTCGCTTTCTGATAATGTCAGACTCGCCAGTGGTCTGAGACTCATCGCACTTCACATTGAAGCCTTCAATGAGAACACCATCGACAGGAACCAAGTCACCAGGTTCAAGATGGACCACATCACCAACCATGATATCAAAAACCGAGATTTCAGTCATCTGGCCGGAGCGAACCACTTTAACGTTGCGATCTTGCTTCTTCTTGTTCAATCTGGCGAATTGGCGTTCTTTGGAATAATCATTGAGAGATCCGACGATGACAACAATGGCAATGGCAACGATAATAGCCACACCTTCGACCCATTCAACAGCTGGCTCAGTTTCGTGGCTCTGTCCGAAGGTCTGATAGAGACCAACGCCAAGACTAATGACGGCGGCGATGGACAGCAGAATGAGAACTTTGTCGTTATAGGTAATCCACATCAGCTGCAGCAAACTCTTTCCCTTCTTCACTGGCAGACGGTTGTCTCGAAAAACACGATATCGGTCAGCAAAGGGTTCGCTTCCGCGAGATTTGTCGGTAGGCGCCCTCGAGACTGCGGCGGTGGTTGTGGTGACGCCTTCGGTGATCTTCTTGTCGTTGTCCGCCGTGGCTTGGTCGAAGGTAACCTCGCCGTCCAAAAAAGTCTCCTCCGTGTTCAAACCAGATCTACGATTTGATCTGAGACCTTTTTCGAGGCCCCGCAGGCCGCCGAGGGCGAAAAAGGCAGGCAGGCTCTTGGGATTGAACATCTTGTTCAATTGGCCGGGGGTAAAAGCGAATGGATTCTTGTCCACCTTGAAATCGTTCTCGGTTCCAGCGTCGGGATTCAGGGCTCTTGTGTCCTTCATAATCTTTTCGTTGCCAGAGGCCTTTAATTTGTCGGTTTGGGTACAACTCGAGGCGACTACCGTCGTATCACCGTGCGAAGTCACTGATCGGGCGGCATCATCCGAATCCACGGAGTTCTGCCTTGACCGTAAGTGGTTGGGTACGGACAAGAAGCCCGCCCCTGCATCGTGCGTCCGCGACAGTACGGGACTCGAGACATTGTGAGGACTAGTAGGCCTGCTCTCGCGGCTCTCGAAGGAAGCTTCTGGTTGGACTTCGGAGCGTTGCTGACTGTTGAAGCCCAATGGCTGCTGGCCAACACTTGTAGATGGGCTCACTGCGTCATCCTGAGAGGAAATAGGCAGGGAAGTAGCGTGCGATTCCGTAAGCTCTCGTGGCATCTCGACAACGTTGCCGTCACCTTGGTCAAGGGCCGTGTTAATATTGATGGTTGGCCTGTATTATTTTCCCAGTTAGCAAACGACACAAGGCTTGGGACCGCCACGCAGATATACATCAGCCAGCATGACAGGATCCGATCTATTCTAGGGAGAAGAGGGAGGGAGCACGTACGCTCTTGGCCGTCCGGGGGACGCGCCTGGCCCATGTGGCCTTGATTCACCATTGTCGGCCATCGCTTCTGGCACGCAGCCGGGGAAACAAATGGGTCGTGGTGACCGAGCGAACCAAAAACAGGCTATGCGAAAGCCTGTCTAGACGAGACCATGGGGATATCGTAGCCAGGCCGCAGTATTAGAAGTGCAGAGCGGTTCAGGTAAAAAAACAGCCCAGGGTGTAAAGGCAAAACGAAGGCGTCGGGGTATCTCGGGAAAACCAAGTCGTACATATATAGCGGGAAGCTGCGAACGGACAAGACGCCAATGCGACTGCAAAAGGGACTCTTTCTAGCGAATCTGGCACATTTCGAGGGAAACAGGTCAAGATGAAGCGAGGAAGGCATTGAAGGGGTGAATCAATCAATGGGCAGCGAACAGTGAACACAAGCCAGACTGCCGCCGGTGCTGCAGTGCGTTGCAAGGCGAGGTTCGATGGAGTGCAAGTCAGGGAAGGGTTGAGGCAGTGCAAAAGGAGGCCGACATGATTGGGCAGCCATGGCAGGGTGGAGCCTCCAGAGAAAACAGACTTGGGAACTTGTGGTACTTTTCAAGGTTTGGGACTGGGGACAGCTCAGAACCCCGGCCGGATTGATTGGAGTGATTAGGCGGCGTTTTGGTGCCGCCAGCCGCTTCATGTCACCATTCATCATTGATCTGAATGACGACGGGGCAGCTCATGTCTCGCTGCGGATTTCCGAACAGCTATTAGACTGGTTGGTAGTTATTGCCTGGCGTGGCGTGGCGTGGCGCGGCGTGGCGCGGCGTGGCGTGGCATCTGGCAACACAGGGACGGAGCACTTGGCCCAGTCCCCAATCCTTACAAGGCTCATCCCGAGGCCTTGGCTTACCTATTTATTTTGTCCAAGGACGGTGACATAACTAACTTCAGACTCAGGCAGTCAGTTAGTCGGTCAGTGCCTCGACAGCTTGCTTCCTGCGACTCGGGGAGTGCCATCCGTTCTCCAAGGCTCTTGCGCTTTGTGTTCGGAGTAAGTCGTCCGTCCCCACGGTGTTCAGTCCCAACATGCCGGGCAAATACTAACATGATGACTACAGGGTCTGAAAGCTTTTTGGCCATAAGACAATACGTCGACGCAATCGCTGGGCAGTTCCTGCACTGCAGGCTTCCCCAGCCCACGGTGACTTCGCTGTTGCCGAATCGACTCCCTTCTCTCTACATTTGTCTCGGAACTCTCCAGCTTCCATGGCCCTCTAGGCGGTGAGGTCCTCGGCTGACTCCGCAGATTGACTGGACATTTACGGAGCAGTTACGGTCGTAAAACACTCGGATCGTTGCGGCCTGAGTGTTAGCCATTTGTCGCCGTGGTCCGGCCATAGATGTGGTTTGGTTTGTTAGCTCTTAGATTGGGCAGCGCTCATACTCAGCACCTCGGACAACACATCATAGCATATCACCGCGTTACTCTGCGTTACTTCGGCCCCAACCAAGGGTGCCCTTTTCTCCGCTCCAAGGGCTGCCTCCCTCTGGGTCCTACGGGGCGGACTTTCAAACCGTGCTGCTAGGCCGCGACGCCGTGGCAAGGACACCAGTACTGCTACTCCGTACTCCGTAGCAACTTGTTGACTCCCACTGCTACCAATAGTACGGAGTACATATGTCAAAGTTAGCGGCTTCGCCAAGCCCGCCCCAGCATGTCCCTGCTGCCAAAGTACCGCGCCACCGTCTCATTGCAGCGTGGAGTGCTTGGCGGTTGACTCTGTGCTGTGGGCTGCCGGGCTGACAGCGTTTCCTGTAGGCTGGCTGTATGGAGGGATTCCAGCAGGCTCGTGCGTCTGTGCCTGAATCGCATCATGGTCACGCTATGTTTGCAAAGCTTCTGGTTGCGTTGTGGCTATTAGATCAGTACGCATGACAAACACGGCCGCTGTGAACAGGTCAAACCTAGCCAACCACCTGGGGGCACGAACACCAAAATGCCATCATGCCGCCGGTCATGTCGAGAGGAGTTGCTGCTAAACTTTGACCTGGAGATGCGCTGCTCGACTCTGCGACGGCGGCCGCCAGGGTGGCGAATTTTCCAAACATCAACAGTCCGTATATCGTGGTGATGCGGATCCAGGACGAGGCTGAGCACATAGACCGTCATATTTGTTCATTGTCAAAGCCACAGTGGTTCCATCCTCGGCTGGCGGGATTCCTGCCCGGCATGGCTTTCAACACGGCAATCAACTACGTAACTTGTAGTATCGCACAAGCTCATGGAGCAGACGACGCGTTGACTAAACTGTTGAGCTACGTCGCTGCACCAAATCTCAGTCATGTTCATGCATGCGTCTTCGGCTGTGGCTTTGACCGTCTTGGCACAGCCATAGCCGTCCATAAGTAGAGTTCCTTGCATCGTCAACATCATTCGCACACGTCCATACTCGTGAGTGGCTGTCCTTGACTAGGCGATATTCCCGCGATATCCCACGTTACTAACCACCTGACTGGGACACCGCTCAGTCCCTGGCGACAATCAATCGTCGTCATCTGGTCATGGAGACATGCCAGTATTGCATGGATCCCGTGACTACTCCGTACTTGACGGAGCACGATAAACAAGCAGGCATGACACGTTGTCGTCGCGTAAAATGGCGAATCAGTTATTGGTCGTTGTCGGCCTTTGGCGTCTGCAGCAGCACTGCCTCGCGCACCTCCTCCATCTTTGTTCCCCGTCCTTGTTGTTGAGCTCACCGAATCTTCTCTCTTTCTCCTTCTCTCTTGACTTCTTCTTCTTTTCTGTTTCTTTCGCCTCTCGACACCAGTGACGACGAGCCTGTCGCATCTTCGCCATGGTCAAACTGATTGGCACCGATTAATCAACGGTGCACACGTGCCTCTTGCTGAGACTACTACGTACTTGCAAAAAGCCATCGCCGTCGTTCGACCCTCACGTCTCATGTCTCATGGTGGGTTGCACACGTACGGAGTGCAAGGCGGCCACCGCCTCTGCTCAAGTCACGCCGCACGAGTGGTGCGAGAGGAGTCGGGTGACGCGCCGCACAGTTGACATGTCGTCCGTTCTGTAACCTGTTCACGTCGCAGCCGACATGTGCAAGTGTCAAAAAGGCTTGCAGATAACAGGCATGACGCTTGCGTGTCTCCCTGCGGAACGGCATCTCGCAATGTTCACCACGCCTTTGTCAGCCAGCCAACATTGGAAACTCGACTGTCCCTCGCGACAAATAAAAGGCGCTGGCGGCACTCGATGCCCAAAATCATTCCAATCCTTCTCCTGCTCCCCGACACGCACGCGCTCGGCTTCTTGGCTCTGCACCGTGTCCCAGGTCGAGGCAGGTGCCCGGGTCAAGTACTTGAGTAGTACTAAGTTAGCCTCTAGGAAGTACTTGAGTAGCTTCCCTCAAGAACCTACCAGGTAGGCAATTTCCTCTTTCCTATTTCGGCACAGTCCAAGTGCTCAGCCTCAATTCCATATATCCCGGATATATGATGTGCATACGGATCGTCCTCACGGCGTGCCGAATACTCTCTCTCCCGCAGCGGCCGCCGGCTCGAGCGGGACATGTAACATGTTCCTGTTTGCCACGCATTAATCATGTCCCTTAGAAAACTACACACAGGGTCGCTTAGAAAACGGGACGGATGCCCTGCCTCATCGCGCTGCAGCGTACCCACGAAACCCCAATCAGGTTTGGACTCGGCGCGGAGAAAGGAAGGACTCGCAGTTCACAGTCTCTCAATTTCGCCTCGTGCGTATCCGGTTGCCAGACGTTCAGTGGGTGTGAAGTCTCTCTCAGGCCTTTCTCACCGAGGCCAACATCGAGTCCGGCGTAAGACCTCGTGATGTTCATGCCACTTGATGTTCTTGCCGCCCCCCCTTCTGAGAAATTCTTGCCGGTGTTCGACGCGTGATTCTGCATCTTGTCCCGGATACGGCCCGAAGATACACTTGTTCATGTAGTCATGGGATTGCTGGATCATCCAAAGGGGCGATGTGATCTAAGCCACCACCGTGACACGTTTGTGGTGGTGGTGGAGATGTGGTGATACCGAGGTCGGGATGCGTGCGTGCGTGCGTGCGTGCGCGCCCGTGGCATGTTGCTTTTGGAAGAGGGGTACTCCGTACTCCGTAGCTGTGCATTACATTGCTTGCTTCGAGTGATTGTTTCCCAGTGTGACAAGCATGTTTCCGACGTGACGGGAAGATGTTGCCCCCGGTGGCTTCACGTTGCTGGCTGAAGGTTGCACAGACAGACAGGCGGGCGGCTGGTACATGACGGACGGAGGCCAAAATATTCAAATGGCCTCGCAATCTCAGTCCCTTGACCAACAAGCGAGTCGGAAAGGGATTCGGCAACACACGGCGTAGAAGCGCAAAATGGTCTTGGATGCTGAGGCGTGGCCTCGTTGCTCACTCGCCAAGTGCATCATCGTCTCTCAAATAAAGTCTCGAGCTTTGACAAGTACTCCAGCACACCGGGCGACGGGAAACAAGACGACGCTGCTTGCTCCCTCCCGTCACCAAATCACCTCCTCCCCAGGTCGACGTCCCGGACCAGAGCCATATCACCCTCATCCTCACATTGCGCTGCGTCAACGCCCAGAAATTTAGCAACACTGACTCTCATGACACCCCTCCAGAACCCCTCCACGATTTCGCTCAAGTCCTCGCCTGTCTGCTTGAAGTCTGGAAAGGCATTGACCTCCAGAAGCCACGTCGTGCCGGCCTCATCGACCAGGAAATCCAGCCCAAACACCTCAAACGCATTCGGTAGTGTTTGGAAGTGAACCGGCATGACGCGAGCGGCTGCCTCAAATACCTCACCTGTCACACTGCAAATCTGCTCGAATATACCAGAGAGCTGCGTCTGCGGGAGCGGCAGATCCCAGAAACGTCGGACCGAGTTCTCGTTGGGCGAGTCCTGTAGACATGTATTTGTAAGGAAGGATTCAATGTCGTCGGGGGATTGCCAGGGAGCAGAGTAGGCTTTTGCAGCGAAGAGAGCGAGCATGTGTTTGTAGACATGGACGGCGAGGCTGCCGGTACACAGGACGTAGGTCCGGATATGAAATTTGCGCTTGTCGAAAAGGAGAGGCGGGTGGATGTAAGGTTGGGCGACAAAGTGGCGGAGGTGAGAAGCGGTGATGCAGTCGCCGCCTTCCTTCTGGGAGCCTTGGTCTTGAGTTTGGTCGTCTTCGTCGTCGCTGTCGGGGCGATCTGCTTCCCATCCGTCAAAGATGCCTTGTAGCTCTTCCATTGTGCTGAATAGACGAATCCCCTGACCTCGGTCGCTCATTCCAGGTTTCAAGATCCACCATTCCCGACTGGAGGGCTCGTCTCGATCGGCTTCAGCATTGCGGTCCATGCTCTCTCGGAGATCAAAGGCCTCGACCAATGCGTCGTCTAGGAACTCGGCGTAGTCGACTTCAAAGGACTCGCTTCGCTTGACGTGCTGCTTGAGCGGGGAGTCGGGATTCTTCGCGACCCAGTGGTCAACGGTTGCCGAGAGGTAGTGCTTGCGTATCAAGGCCTTGCGGATCATGTAGCTGTTTATCAGGCAAGATGTCGAGTGTGTCGCCGCAAACTCGAAATCGATGAGTTCGTATGGCGTTATTTGTATTACTTTAGACTTCGGGGAGTCTACAAACTTGGCTATTGAGAAGTCGTCTGTCGTCGGCACATTCGTAACGAGCTGGACCAAGCCTTGTGGGAATGTGGCATTCAGTGCAGCGACAATAAGCGGCTGCACGTAGGGATCTTCGTAGGCAATGAGGGCACGCAAGGCTTCGGCTGCACCTGTCGCCTCACCGACTTGCTTCGAGTTCTCTCGGACTGGCAAAGCTTTATACGAACTAAATAAAGATAGCAACATCGTGGTAAGAAAATTGTTCAAGTAACATATGACCCCCAAGGACGTAAAGTACATGGCATACCCGCTCTGATGCTCGCTTCTTGCATAGCTCATTGTCTATATCGCTGTACGGCCTGGAACCCAAAACAGGAAGACTACACGGAGTTTTGACTTACGACTCAAAATCAAACTCTTTGGCGGCACGTTCGGGGTGTGAGATTGCAAAGTTGGCCTTCATTGGAGTTATGCTTTTTTTTTTTCGTAGCTTGTCAGCTCTAGAGCATTTGAAGAACAATCAAAGCAGTGTTTCTCTTACCTCGTGTTTCCGTCTCGGACAATTCGGCCATCGTTACCGGGTCCAGACTCTTCCACGCTCTTGTAAACATCCGACATCCTGGGTGCCCATTTGAAATGTTTATGCTTGTGTCCCTTCTTCTCCTGCACGGTCGAGCCAGTCTCGATTTCTCCCTGCCTGATTCGAGCCTCCTCTTCTTCGGCGTCGCCGGTTTCGCCCTCGATCTCCTGGAAGCAGCTTCCTTCTCTCCAGTAATTCTGCAGCATATCCGCCCAGAGTGTCTTGTGATTTTCGACTCCCTCTACGAGAGGGACGTTGACGCTGTATACGTCAACACTGTCGTCCGCGGGCCACTGCCTATAAAGAGCCTCTATGACTCGGATGCCATGGCGACAAGCGGCCTCAATAATGAGCGGATCGTGGTTCCTGGAGAAGAAGGCGAAGCTGAGAGCAACAGCCTTCCTTCTGCAAACAGCTGCCTCCAGCGCAGCACCCAGTGTTCCAGAGCTCAGAGCAAAGACAGACGTCGTATTTCGCCCGTAATTAGGTCCGCTGATGACCAAGTCGATTGGACCTTTGTCCTGAAAAAAGTGGTACAATCCAATCTGGACACACGATGCCGGCGTGCCATCAATGAGGACCCATTCGTCAGCGTCGGCTGCCGTAGAGGGCAAGTGACGTATCGTTCCCTCGTCGTCCTCGCCGTGAATATCCGATGAAGGCGTGTAGTACATGGGCTTAAGAGTCTGCCCAATCATGTGGGCTTTGCCAATCCATGAGCGTTGCGTATGAGGCAGGCAAACTGAGACTGCATGTCCTGCATCTTCCAGATGCTTCACGAGGCAGTGAATGTATGGCGAGGAGTGTGGTGATGGTGGTCCATCGTCGTTTGTGACCAAAATATGCATGATTGACGAATCCACAGAGCAGCCTTCGTCCGATGGCCTTGTCTGGATGGAGAGTTCAGCCAACGCAACGAGCGGCCCAAAAGACACTGTAATCGATATGAAAGATCAAAATACGAAAATGATAATAACTCTGTATCCATACGATGCCCTGATTCTCCCTATTAGCCTCGACAGTGATGCAATTGAAGACGGAAGAATCGACGTGCAGGGCGGACGAAGAAAGGCGGGCCATGTGTATGGAGTAGAACGAGTAGTTACTCCGTAGCACGAGGGGCAGAAAATTATCCTTCATCAATCATGACGCTTCGGCGTGGGGCAAAAGGGTCAACGTCGCTCGCCGCCTCAGCCCCCTGTCACGGGGAATACTTGGACAGGTATAGATAGACCTACCAAGCAATCAATTACCTCTGCAATATTACGCGGATCAAGCTCTCTGGAGATTGGTATTGTTGCCCGAAGTAACATGAACCCAGCCAGCACCGTACAACGGCTGATGGGAAGACCTGTTAACACATTTGATTGTGAAAACTCGTAAATCTATAATCCTGTCGTCGATACTGAACATTCTTGCGGCATAGCATAGCTTCGAATATCCTACCACCCCCCCTTCCCAAACGCCGTGATAGAATCGAAAACTTTGGTTTCATCTCAACGCAAAATATAAAAATAATCCAGCAATCCAGGATCGCCAAGGAAATAAATCGCCCCGTCAGCACGACACCATCCTCCAACTCAGTGGCGTATTCTGTACAGCCTTTCCAATCCGTGGCAAAAAGTCTTCAAAACTCTCCAAGCCATGTCATATCTACTAGAAACAAATAAAGGTCGCTTCATCTTGGCCCGCTAACCATGATCTAAGCACGCGCTCGTTTGGCGACTCCCGAGGCAAGACTCTCGCCGGCTCTCTTGGGCGCTGGAGATTGACTCTTGTGCTCCTTGGTTCGAGGCCACGAGTCAAACGGGCTCTTGCGACCCGTCGTCCCCTTCAGTGGCGTGTCCGCGAGCTTGTTTGTAGAGCGGGTTGTGCGTTTTGTATCGGGAGGAGAAACGGGTGCATATTTGGGAGCTTCTGGTGTCTTTGCTGAAATCAAATGCGCCTTCTTGGGTGTCTGAGGATCTTGTTCGTCAATCATGTTCACCTCCTCCACATCAGTCAAGGCCTCTTCATCCTCCTCTGTAGTGGTCTTTGACGTGGGAAATAGGAGCCGAGGCTTCACAGAGGCACGGGTGAGAGGCCGACTCAGCCGTGATTCACTATCATCGCCGGAAGCAATGATCTCTTCAGCATGGTCCGGCTCAGAGAACTTGCGGAAGAACTTCTTGCCACGACTGAACCGCTTGTTAGCTTTTTTTTTTCCTTTCTTAAAAAAAATTTTAAAAAAAGTTCCACACTTACAAAACATAGACTATTCCATCCTCTCGACGAGCTGCTTCGTCTATCGACTGAATTCCTTCGCCAGGAATGCTAACGCCTCTTTGCCGACTTTGTCTCTTACTTGGTTCGGCCACCGAGTTGCCGTAAAAGGGATTTGCTTCGCTGTTGTCCTTTTCAGGGATACGATCTTTCGAATCAGTGAAAATGGTGATTGGATCCTCTTCTTCCTCGGCGGTGAAACTCTCCATTGTAACTCCAGAATATTTCTTAGAACGCCGCCTCCTAGGAGACGGCACGACTTCTTCCGCCGAGGAGAAAAGATTTCGAGCAAAAGATTGAATAGTAGCTGCAGTCTTTTCGTTGGGTGGTTTCTGAGGTGTCTTTGACGGCGTGGGTAGCATGCAATCAGCTTGCGAAGTCGAAGTAGTCGAGTGTGGCACGGCTCTGTCCGCATTGAGACCAAGCGCGACGGCAGCATTAGCAGTTCCTTCGGCAGTCAAAGATGCAGAAACCTGACGGCGAGAGCCAAGAGCGGGATGTGGCCTCTTGCGAGGGGACGTCACCGGCGAAACCATGGCGGCGCCAGTGTGAGCAGTGCTTTTCTTCACTGTTCGCGGAGAACCAGGCTGCCGACGATGGGAAGCTGGAGGCGAAGGGGTTCGGTTGGCGGCTCGTTGGGAAGAGAGTCTTGCCGACTTGCGCGGAGGGGAGTAAGGTTCCCAGCTATCGTGAAACCCTAGCCGAGGTGCATGAGGAGTACGGATGGTGCTGGGCGGAGAAGGCGTTTTGGCAACGGCGGGTTCACTGGCCAAAGCCATGGTGAAGGGCGAATGCGGGTGCGACGGAGGCGATACTGCGTACTGTGTTATGCGACCTGGTGCTCTGCCTTAGTGTTGCAGCTTAATCACCGCGTCTGGGGCATAGAAGCGAACGCCTGAGCGATGCCAGTCGCAAATAGAGCCTAAAACCTCGAGTAATTATCGGGCAGCCGCAAGGCAGGGTAACGCGAGACAAGAAATGCTAAATAATAAGGCCAATTAAACAGTCGACTAGAATAGGGAAAGCAGAACGCTGCGGAAACTCGACGGCAATGCGTAGAGTTAGTGTTGTTGAAAATCGGTAGAGATGAAAATGTACTGATGTATGGAGCATGGGAGGACGAGGATTCGACGTTCATGAGCTCAGACGACACAAGTAGGAGGCTGGGCGGGCAGAGTGTTTAGTGTTGGCAACTGCGGGCACCAGCCCCCCTGCTTTCTGCCTTCTGCCTCTGTCTTCGGCCGTGGTTTGGTCGCGGTGTACCCTTGTCGCCTCTAGCGCATGTGACTGGCCCTTGAGCCACAGGGCCCACTAAAATGCAGCGCACGCGCCTCCCTGCGTCGCTTGACGCGTGTGTTTCGCGCCATTGTTGGCCGATTAGAACCGAGAGCGGTCCAGAATTCGACGGCACAGCTACGACGGAGTACATTATGTATACTCCGTACTCCGTAATGAAAATGACCTTGCTGCCACCCCTTGCTGATTTTGCTTTGCCAGTTATATGTGCGCCTGCCGGCCCTTCGTACCTTATTTATCCCGTACGGACCCCTCATTGGACCCATGATTGACAGCTTGAATCTCGGAGTTCGGAAAAACCACCAGCGCCCCTCCACAAGCAAATGACGCGCCGTTCTGCCGTGCATGATAACGTCACTCTTTCACGGCCATTCGCAACAACCATAACGATTCTAAATCGTAAACACTGGTCGCATTTCTTGCTTCATTTCCCCTGTGACTATCTGCTACCGCCTACCTCTCAAACAACCCGGTTCTTAGGCGCGCATTCATGGCCGACGACACCGAATACACCGAGTCTGATATTTGGGCGTCGCCCTCGCATGACGCTCCTCTAGCTACTCGTCCCAAGACTCCCAAAACTCCAACCGGCTCAGCCCCCGCATCAGAGTCTGTCAGTCGAGATGACTTGTTGCGCAGAGAGCTGGAAGGCGTAAGAAGCGTCAATGAAGGCGTTGAGGGCCTGTTGGGCACGCTGAATCGAGCGGGTGGCAATATGCAGGTGAGTCTTGAAGCCAAAGTTTTCGATTCAAAGGTCCCTAACGCTCCGATGGTAGGTTGTTGCTAGGACCGTCGCCAATGCATCGACTTTGTTGGACACCTGGACGAGAATACTGTCACAGACCGAACACAACCAGCGCTTAATCCTCCACCCCGGCTGGAAAGGCTTGACCCAGGACCTGGCTGAGCAGGAGGCTGAAGCGTTGGAGAAGCAACGCGCTGCCGAGCGTAAAGCTGCAGAAGAGGAACAACGACGGGAGGAACTGCGCCGCCGAAGAGAAGAGGAGGAAACCGCTAGAAGATTAGCTCCCTCGACTTCCAGGGGCACACGGGGTCTGAGAAGGACTCGGAGCCGCGGAGGAATTGCTACTAGAAGTGGCACGACGGGGAGTCGTCTACCGGAGCCACCTACGTCAAGCTCATCAAGAAGTCGTGGAACTTCAGGCATAGGTCGTGGAATGCGGACAACGCGAAGCCGCACGCGGGCGGCAAGGTGAAGACGGTGTACGTTGTCCACGATATGAGCATGTGCTTTATGCGTTGCATCACGATTCCGACATCGTTGGCATCTCAGATACCCATTTATGAAGCGTTGAATGAATTCCTTTATTTCGCTCTAAAAAAGTGACTGAGCTTCATCATCCCACTCGTATTGACCTTCTTGAGCTCCCTTACACCGCGGCTCTCGTTAGCCCTGCGCTTCTTCTTCTCCTCCTCTAGTTTTCGCTTTTTCTCCTGAACAAGGTCGTCTTCTTCTCCATCTCGCATCCGCTTCCTCGAGTAGTCGGCGGTCGAATTCGCGGCAATGGCCTCGGCACGCAGCTCGGCCAATGCAGCTAGGTACTTGTCCAGCGGCGAAAAGTCGACCGAGCACATGTCTGCTTGCGAGAGGTATCTTTTCAATTGTTCTACAGTAGCGGCGGGAATATATCGGGAGCAAATGAAGTCAAAGGCGACATGCAGCCTCTGGAGCGCAGTGACTTCCGCAGATGCTTGGATGGCGGTCAAGGCGGCGTCTTCGACCTTGGAATCTTCGGCAAATGATGTTGCCGCAGTGCAAGGTTGCGATACGAATGATGAGTTTGAGTCCGCGGTGACAGTTGTCGATTGAGACTGAGCGGAGTCGGTGACGGGAGTAGAGGCGTCGGATTCTACTGCAGTTTCGACGGCAGCTTGACTTTCGCCAAGCTTGGCTGCCAAGCTGCTGCGATGTAGCAGAATTGGCGCCTCCAATGCCCTCTTGACGAACTTCTCTTCCAAGGTAGGCGGCAGACCTCCGTCACTTATGCGCTCGGCCTTTGCGAGGAGGGTAGCAAGGAGTTTCTTCTCACTGAGTCGGAACATCTTCTCGTCACCGGCCTCTACGGTGTCACAAATGACCTCCATTCTCGACTCGATAAGCGCTCTGGTCGCCTCCCATTGTAGAATTTCAGCCAGGTGCGAGCTTTCCTCGGGGAGTTTGTCAAAGTAGTCGTCACTTGACAAGAAGAGACTCGTCTTTTCATCTGAGCCCTTTGGGACCGTGGCATCGACCAACGACGGCAGCACCAAGAAGAGCGCATCGATCGCAGTTGCGACAAACATGTCGGAGGAGGATACTATGTCCACAAGCGGGTCTGATTCCTTCTTGTCTGTATCATCATCGCCTAAATTGGGTCTGGTCTCGATTAACCAGCTTCGAGGCGCTGAGTTGGGGGCTGAAATCTTTGTGAATTCGAAGAGACCAGTCTCGGGGCAGACGAGGTATCGCGACGGTTTGCCATTTCGCGGATGTGGCAGAGTGACTATGCGTGCTTGTGGAGTTGCGGCCTTTGGTAGGATGAAGACGCCTGGTGATGGGCCTTGACGAGGAGTGAGTTGGTGTTTTGAGGCGAGACTAGATGCTGGCGTGTCCGTTGACTCGCTCGCGGCTGGCTTGGTAGACCTCGTTCGAGGCATGGCTCGGGTCTCGTGTGATCAACTGACTGTGATCAATTGGCGCAATGGGAGGACATATGTCCAGAATTCAGGCCAAAGAAGGTAGCGATGGATGAAATGAATTTACAAAAATCAATCCGGGGCAATCATGTGTCGTTGACGACGTTTTAATTGTCGCTGGCTGATGATGATTATAATCTGGTGCCGTGGCCAGGGACGCGTCTGGTATTGAGTACTCCTCAATGTAAGCTGCGCTCTGTATGGAACGGAGTACTCGGGTACGGAGCACGCCGTAACTTACCAGGGTATCGATTGCAGATTGCATGTGTGCGGACGCGTAAAGCGTGTCACGTTACGGGCCCCAACCAGCACCGAGTCCAATGGGCCTTGGCGACGGCGCGTCAATTCCTGACGTCCATCTTTTTGGCAGGCAGATAAAGAGTTGCGTTCGCTTTGATAGACAGGCGCAGCCATTGCATTTGTACGTCGAGCAAAAAGCCTGGAGTAGCGCTCCAGCTCTATGGCTTGGGCTGCTCAGCGGCCATAGCCGGGCGTCTGGTTATGCGCCTTTTTTGCCCCAGGCCTTTTCGTTTCGTTCTTGCCATCTACTCGGAAATACCCCATTTCTTTCGCTGCCAAAAGGTTGCTACTTCAAGGCCGCGCCATGGCCCCTGGTGAGCATTTCAATCCCAAATGAGACTGCTCTGCGGCTTCTCGACTGACGCATCCGTGGTGCAGATTCTGAGCGGCAATGGCCACCTCGATCTCCTCATGAAGCCCTGTTAAGTACGCCTGGTGGACGTCAACGATATCGCGAGATGATGAACCGAACCTCGCCGTCACCGTCACCTATGAAAAGTGCTCGAGCATTGGCGGCTATTACTTCATCGCCAGGCGCTGGTCTGGGCATTCAATTGCCAGCAAAGGACGAGGACGAGGACGAGGACGAGGATGGGGATGGGGACGAAGACGAGGAGACGTTACAGCTGAAGCTTCAGGAGATACAGGCAAAGTTGAAACTGAAAAAACTGCAAAGTGCAAGGGCAAGGGAAAAGGTCGCCTCGCATAGAGATGGGGAGGCGAATATTCCGTCGGACGCTGTTTTCTCCAGCCCCGATCGCCGTGCCCGAGCACGAACACCAGGCGCGGATGAGAACGTGCGACCAGCCCTTCAAAATCAGGTAACAGTGCCTGCATCACCTGTTCGAAAACTCCAGTTTCTGCAACAACAAACGTCTCCGAGTAGGGTGTTGCTGGGCATTGACAAGGGGTTGAAAGCCAAAGATGTGTCTCTGAAGCGGGCCCCGAGCCAAAAAGGGCACAGGCCCGGGACATCATCTCAGGTTGGAGTGTATCTGAGTCGATCTAGATCAGTCCATCCTTCTGTTCCATCAGCAGAAGCCGCAAGACCATTAAGCTTCAATGAGAGACTGGCCCAAGCGCGGACAGAGGAGGTTGCTAGAGCGGAAAGGATCGAAAAGATACAAAGAGTGCGTACAAGTGCTTTCAGTATTGGACAGGAAGAGATGGACGGATTCAGGAAGAGCGCAGTCAGTATTCCAGACGAACCATTGCCCCCGCCGACATTTACTCGCCAGGAGATCTTGTCACAGCACACTGCAGCCGCCTCAAAGTTGCCTCGAAGCAAGACTGCGCCAAGTCTTCATCATTCACAGCCAGATTCTCACAATTCGAACTTGTCATCTGCAACTGCGGGCGCCAGCGCCAGCGCCAGCGCTACTGCTGAGCCGTCCGCCAAGGACGAAAGCTCCTTTGAGCCGTATTCCTGCCTGCATCTCTCAAGACGAATACTGCCACACACTGTCGTCACTCGACATGTCACTAGCAAGAAGGTCCTCAACATCAAGGACCTTTTAAGAGATGTCAAATCACCCAACTACGCTTTGCCGGATGTGGAACAAGACATTGTAGTCTTTGCTGTGGTGGCCCGCAAATCGGAGCCCCGAGCACACAAGCCAACTGCGAATCAGAAGCAGGAAGATCGAGGCAAATACCTCGTCATGACATTGACTGACTTGGAACTTGAGCTAGATCTCTTCCTGTTCAATTCTGGCTTTATGCGGTTCTGGAAACTAACCCAAGGCACTGTCGTTGCCATCCTGAACCCCAACATTATGCCCCCGCCGCCCGGGCGGCAAGATACTGGCCGTTTCAGTCTCGTCATCAATTCGGACGAAGACACAATATTAGAAATTGGCTCTGCTCGTGACTTGGGCTTCTGTCAATCCGTGAAGAGGGACGGCGAGCTCTGCGGCACGTGGGTCAATAAGAAGAAGACGCATTATTGTGAATTCCACTCCAACGAAGCCATTCGAAAGCAACGATCATCGCGAGTAGAAGTCAACGCCAGTGGCTTCGGAGGGTGGGAGAAACGAAGCAAGTTTGGCTCCGGACAGAAGAAAAATGGCTCGAGCAACTACGACTGGGAGACGAGGACGCAGTGGTTTGCGGCACGATCTCTCAGTGCAGCCGATCTGATTGATGGCAAGGACCGCGGTGCAGCCGACCGGAAAGAGAAGGCCGAGGCGGTCAAAAGAAACATGGAAGCAAAGGAAAAGGAGCGTGACATGATGAAGAAGCTGGGCAACGTCGGCCACGGGGCAGGACGAGAATACATGGAGCGGGCAGGGCTCAAGGGCGCCGCTGGCCCGGGGGCTGCGGTATCAAAGCGGGCCAAGGGACCTGTGATGACTGACGAGGAGGAGCAGCCTGCGAAGCGTGATGCCCTGTCCCTCGGCCTGACCGGCAAAGACCGGACGGTTCATCTCAGCCCGGTCAAGCGTAAACGACCGGATAGCTCGCAAGCGAGCTCTGTCACGGGCAGCTCAAACTTGGCGTCGTCGTCGGCCGCTGGATTCGGCTGGGGTTCCCACCTCCGAGACAAGCTGTCAAAGATGAAGGAAGGCGAGAAACTTCACAGGGGGGCGGAGGCTGCGCGGGTGCGTAAAAAGACGCGTTTCATTACAGACAAGGGCATCCGCGAGGCGGGAAGAGAGAGCCTGGGCATGGATATCTCGGAGAGGCAGGTTTCTCTCGACGACGATGACGATGACGATGAATTGGTTATTGTATAACATGTGCATTTTAGGGGTTCTGCAAAGCAAAAAGGGCATAGGAGAGCATGTTTTCTTCCGGTAGCATATACTGAGCACCGCGGTTTGTGTCTATTTAGAATTGCGGAATAACATGGACGTGTGACAGGCAGCAGGCAACAGGCAACGTACTGCGCGGGTTGTCTGTCTCTGGCCCCTCTGTTGTGCATTGCCAAATGCCAATGCCGGGCGATTGACTATTGGTTGAGACGGGCGGCTCATGGCTTATTGTCGCACAGCTCAGGGCTCGCATGCCAGCAACATGTCACTCGAGGGCTGAAACTTGACCAAACTGTACGGGTCTCTAAACGGACAATGGGCATCAGGATATTGGGGCGACGTCGACTCTCACTGGCCGGCTGGCCTTTGATTTCAACAACAGGGTACTCCGTACGACACATGTTGAAAAAAAAAAGAGTCCGCCCTCGATGTAAGCCGGATCTCAACCTCGCGTCCTCTTTGAGGAAGCTGAGATATGGCACGTCATGCTCCGTACTTAGAAGTAAGCACTTGGTTGGCATGCCTGCTTTCTCATCTGCCCGCGGCCAGGTTGACTTTGGAAACCGAGGAAGGAACTGCCCGGTAACATGAGGACAGCTCAGTGTTGTGCTGACAAACAATCCTGGGCTCACGAGGAAGTCAATCGACGAGATTTCAAGTCTGCACACGTCGTTGCTCCCCCCAACTCCCTCCCCCCCCAGGCCCTGGCATATAGCTGGCATGCAGCTGGCATATAGCCTCATCGCGTATAAGCCAAAGGGCACACGCACATCGCACTGCTCACCACTCTCGTCATTGCGGAAACCACACGAAACGCCATGCGCACAGCGGAAAGCCCAAGGCTGCGTCTGCAACTACAACGGGCAATGTTGACCATGAGTCCATGACCAAAACGGCACGGATCAGATTCCAGCTGTCTATCTAGGCCGATATGTCGGGCCAGACGACTCAGGAGTCAGGGCCCAGGGGCAGGTCGATGCAGTCTTTATTCCCCCCCCCCAGCCCGAGGTCGAGGTACTTTTGAACTTGAGCAGAATTTCAGCTCAGCCGAGTATCAAAGACGGCTCTCGTTGCCACGATGTGCCGAGGCTCACGAGTCATCACATAGCAATGCATCGGCATCGTCCCATCGGAAACGCAAAGCCGCACTTTTCATCCCGAAATTGCGATTTCAACTACACGAGGTCAAGCTGAAAAGAAGAAACGGCGAGGAAACGACCAAGAAGGGAAAATACAAGGATTCAGGTTCCACGACCGTTTTGTGAAAAGTGAAAACACACGTCCAGCTTTCGAGGCTGAATGAATCCCTCGAGTCTTGACTCTTGACCACGCAGCCCATGGTTTTCCCACGACAGCTTTTACGCATGCAGGCGAAGCGCAAACTGCATCTCGACTGAACATCACGCTGACCGCATTAAAGATTTCCTCTTGTGGCCAGCAACATTTCTTGGTACCGAATCTATTGGACACGGACGGAAACCAGGATAAACTGGTACTATTGCTGCTGCTGCGAATGTCCAAACGCATCGAGCGCCAGGGAAGTCATTGAAAACCAACCCCCCGGTCTGCTCTTCTCTCCATCTGCAAGCTGCCCGATTCGTCGTTGCTCTCGACCGAATACGGGGTTTTATTTTGCAAAAGCCGAAAATAGCTTAAAGCATGGCCAGCCAGTCTGCTAAGGTTCGCCGATGTCGAAGCTGCCGCTAACACTATTTAGCGTGTCGGCCTTGGCTGGGTGCATTGCTTGCATATCGCATCATGTAGGAACGGCGGCGATGACGAGGGCTGCTATGCTTGTTGCGGTGAGTCTGTCGAGCGGCAGCGGCAGCGGCAACGGCAGCGTCAGCGTCACGCAAACGCAGAGAAGGGTCATGATGATGTGTGCTATAGCCGGGTACATCCATGCATACGGAGGACGTCCCCACGGCCTTGGTTGCCAATGACAAGGCAGCATGGCAGTAGTTTGGGATGCAGCCAGGCCCCCCGCGGGCCGTGTCGGCGAATACAGTGCAATACAATAAGTTACAACGCATTACAATGAAAGGCACTCGCTTGCTGTCCACGGGCGAGCGAGCTGGATACGTTACATCATCTGGGGGCACCGCGGGAGTCAACGCTGTGCCCAAGGCCTTACCGCCGTTTTGAGTTTTCCAATGGCGATTGAAAATGGCCGCGTTGCCTGATCGGGGACGAAAAGAAGCTTTTTTGTCTTGACCAACTAACTCGACCAACACCGAGCGAGGGGAGGGCGACGCCGGTATCCGTCGGTGGATCGTGGACTCTACCACGGCCTGGCGATTTCTCGGAGAAGCCCTGTCGTGTCGTCAGGGTCCATGTGTCTATGCCATGTATGGCCCATGGTTGGCAGTTCGCAGTTCGTATTTCCCCTGCTCCCACTCACCCTCATGTAACCCTGGCACCGGCTGATCGGTCGAGCCAACCAATACAGTTCTACCTACCGTCTGTCTCTTTGGCACCACTCTTCGCAGGGCTGAAGGGGGAAAAGGGAAAAGCAAGGCGTGGTTCCCCTGGCGTTTCAGCCGAGCCCAGCAGGCGGACTGACGGGCAGACGTTGGACATGGACAGCAGACCTCACATTGTTCCAAGGCCGAGCGAAACCCGCCCGCCGACTTGGCAAACCATGACGGAGGAGACGAGAACTGCGAATGGGTCAAATGGTTGGGCCAAATGGTCGGGCACTCACCCATTCGCGCATAAGAGCGAGCGCGAGCGCGAGAGGCCACAGGTCCCGTCCCCGGCACCAGCGAGCCTTTCGCTCCAGCTAGCGGCGACGCCATGGCCAAAACGTCGCCGCTTCGTGAGGCCAGTCGAGAGCCATCCAGCTACTAGCCGCCGGGCCGCCTTGCTTTTTGATGTCTAACAAGACGCCGTCGTGGATAGCAAGACGTGCCTGAGCCCAGGCCATTGGGGGCCAATTTGTCATTGTCAGACGACCAACGGCTAGCTCCGGCGACGAATGTCATGGCATGGCCGTGTTGCTTGTTGATTGTTTTGGAATGGTATCCAGAAAAGAAGAAAAAAAGTCCCAACAGCTTCGTGTCCGGCCCAGCCCGTCCGCAGATGGGATAACCGTCGACCCATCGTGTAAGTCGGTCACCCGTCGCCACGCGCCCGCCGCCCGGCATCCCCTGGCCGGCGAGCGAACTGCTGTGTTGGCTGCTGGCCCCGTTCCATGTTCCATGAATACGGGCACAGCGGGCCGGGGTCTTCGTCGGAGTTGAGTAAACAAATTGGTTTCATGTATACACGCAGCTTGGACGGCCGCACCGCACGCTCGCATGCAACCACAGACGCGGTTGCTGGGAATTCCTTGCACACGGGAACGAGTTGCATCAGCGATCGCCACGGCATCCCGTGGCGGCGTGGCCGCATCCCTAGGGTCACGTATGCTCTCTGAGCCTCCTAAGCCTTTCTCTGTATCCGTATCTGTGCCTGCGTCCGTCTCTCTCTCACTGTGTGTCTCTGTCTCTGTGTGTGTCTCTCCCTATCTCTCGCCTCCCCCCCCCAGTCTCTTCTCTCTCTTCTCTCTCTCTCTGTCTGGTGCGAATTTTTAGACCCTTCACTTTAAACGAGGCCGCAAAATGGGTGGCAATGGTACAAAAGTATATCTTTGAAGCATGCCCTTCGTCCCCGGCACCACCTAGAAAACTAATCTCTAATTCAGTCCAGTCGTGACTGGACATACACAACCCAGCCCAAACTCCAAGCTCCTCACGATATTAGCCCAGAATGCTGTCCCCTTCCGTCACTGCCCTTTTGGCCATTGGCCTCGCTCCTCTGTTGGCGTCTGCTCAGTTTCGCATCACCGGCGCTCCTGGTGCCACCAGGAACAATGTTCCTTCAAGGAGAAACATCAATGACTTGTACTCTGAAGGAGGTCCTCAATGGTAATAAGAGCACCCCGTCGCGATATCCCAAGTCATGCTGGCAAGAGAGGGAAGTCAGAAACGGACGAAACCGGCTAACATGCCACACAGGGACCTTTATATCCAGGCACTCAGTCAACTTCAGTCAAAAGATTCCGCCGACCCCCTCGGCTACTTCCAGATTTCGGGTCCGTCACAAGTCTCCTTCTTCCCCTTCTTCTTATTCTTCATGACGCATCGTCAAATCTAACGTTGAACGCGTGCGTGTAGGCATTCATGGCGCACCGTTCATCGAATGGAACCATGGAGGAGCGCGCAACAATAACGGCTGGGGACCCCCCCCCCCCCCTTTTCCTCCTCCGTGTCGGATTCATCTTGTACTAACGGGCGACAAGGAACCCCTCTTTCTGCCCTGGCATCGGCCCTATGTCCTTCTTTTCGAGCAGCGCCTCGTCGAGCTCGCCATCGCTATTGCTTCCCAGTATCCCGCGGCGTTCCATGACCAGTATTTGGCAGCGGCGAATAGCCTTCGCTCACCGTTCTGGGACTGGTCTGCCGATTCCAACGTCCCGGCCTGCACCGTGCCGCAGACTGTATTCATCAAGGTCCCAAACGGCCAGAACCTGACGCGTAGTGAGGTCAGGAATCCATTATCATGGTATGACTACCCGTCGGAAGCCCGAGACGGTCGGTACGGGCCGTTTATTCAAGCACCGCGGACGTCGAGGTGTGCTGCTCCCGCACGGAACCCTGACTCGGCAAACCAAGAACTGCAGTCGTATGGACTCAGGCAGGCGACTGTGAGTTTGAACAGGTGGGCTGGTGGGGAATAAAGATATAAATAAAAACCAGCCTTCCTTCCCCGTTCTTGGTCGGCATCGCGCTGACAAAACGGGACCAAGTATGACATCTTCGCCACCGCTACCACCTTCAACGAGTTTGCCGTCAGCGGCAGAGTCCATCACCTCGAAGAGTTGCACAACGACGTCCACTACTCGGCCGGCTGCCAGGGCCAGTTTTTGGACGCTGGTGTGAGCGGTTTCGACCCCCTGTTGTAAGTAAGCCCGCCCACAATGGGAAGCTCGCTCGCTCCCCCGTCTCATCGTCACTGACAAATGGCATCATCAGCATGCTTCACCATACTCACGTCGACCGCCTCTGGGCGTACTGGCAATTCATCGTCCCGTCCCAGGCCAGTTTCAGCGGCTCTTACCAGGGTCAATCGCGTTTCTCGACCCCCGCAGGCACCGTCATCCACCCCAACTCCCCTCTCCCGCCGTTCTTCGACCGCAGCCTCAGATACTTCACGCCCAACTCGGTCTCGAGCATCCGGGGAATGGGGTACACCTACGAGGGGCTCGAGTACTGGCGCATGTCTGCTCAGCAGCTCCGGCAAAGCGCCATCCAGACCATCAACTCCCTCTACGCGCCTGCTTCGGCCTTTGCCAAGAGAAGTGGCGCCGAGGCCCAGACTCGACACTTTGCTCACATCGAGCTTGACAGAAACCAAGTCCAGCGTCCATCCGCTGTCACGTTGTTCATTGCTGGGAAGAAGGTCACCACCGTCCCTGTCATGAGCGCGCCGGCCAAGGGTATCCTTCACAGCAGTGTGTCCATCGACAAAGTCCCGAATGAGTCGTCGTGGAATACCGTCGAGATCCAGATCAGCAAGCCCGACGGGACTACAATTGATGTGGACGGGGTGGACAGCCTCAAAATCACCATTGAGACAGTCTCCATGAGGCTTGCCGCGTCGCGTGACGAGTTTCCTGAAATCGTTGATTCAAAATCGTATGTTGCCAAGATCCAGCCGTTGTCAGAGGGTGGACCAAAATAGAGACATGACAAGCCCCTTTTTTTTTTCTTTTGTTCCTTTTATTTTTGGTACTACTACTTCTTTTCCACTTCACTCTGTGTACATCTTTGCGAGTTTCCTCACTCGAGGGGCTTGGGCGTGGAATCTTTTCGTCAGCATGCGAGCAGGATAGGTCGGTCAAATTTGGATACAGACAAAAAGAAATGTCTGGCAATATTGAGTCCGGCGCCCAAACAGGTTGAAGCTGTGACGGTGGCACTTGATTCTCAACAAAACCTCTGCATCAACAGCCGTCGTGTGACCAGCATGTGCGCGGCGGCTCCCTCGCCGATGTTCCCCTGTTACTCCGTAGTTGGTTGTGTGACTGTGTCCTACGGAGCCCAACTCGTATCTTGCGGGAGACTCAAACGGGAGGCACTCATGTGCTGTCCAGTGTCGAGCGATGGCGTGAAAAGGGGTCCCCTGCCGGGCCTTGGCTGGCGAGTCGACGGACAACTCGGTACGGAGTATTCGGCCCAGACATTGAGCTGACGCTAGGCTTGGAGCCAAATGACATGTCAACAACGACACGCGCAGTCCAGGTGCCCCGACATGACACAGGACACGAGGTGAGACATGGTATGGCGATAAATAAAAAGGGGGGAAACTGGTGAAGAAGAAAAAGCAAAAAGAGGCAGACATGATGTCTCGTCCGCTGGTGGAGTCGGCGTGCGCGGCTGTGGCGGCTGCGACGTTGCAACTTCCGCAGTCGTCATTGTCAATCCATCAATCACATGACATGACATGACATGACTTTGGGATGACCGCACACGCTTCCGCACACGCCGATGCCATTCAGTCACCTCGACAAGTCCCGACTCTTACGTCCCTACCTAGTCCGTACTCGGTGCTGCGTACCGCAACCCTCGACATGGCGACAGGTCCACGAGCCGGAGGCGGGCACGACGTGTCCAGGCCGTCAGCGTTCGACATTGTGATCCCGCTCGCCGACGACGCGGCCGCCACGGCAGACGTGCACCTCCGCGCCATGGAGCGCGACGTCCTGACCAACGCGCAGTTCCCGAATCCTCAGGCGTGGGAGTATTTCCGCGGGTGGCTCGCGGAGAACACGCGGGAGCACATCCAGCATCCTAGCAAGGGGGTCTTGATCGCGCGGGATCCGACGACCGGCGACATTGCAAGCTTGATCAAGTGGCTGGAGTATGGACAGGCCGGCGAGGTTTCCGTGGCGCCGCCGGCGGCGGCTGTGGAGGAGCAAGAGTGGCCCGAGTGCTGTGGACGGTCGATCCTCAACGAGTATGCGAGCATTGCCGGAGATATAAGGAGGAGGGTTCTTGGCCAGAGGCCGTATTTTCGTAAGTCGCCTTGTGCGTGCGTGAGGTTGCTGCTTTGCCGGTTCTGCTTCTGGCTCTGTGGTGAAGGAAGGGCACATGTAACTACGTGTGGTTGCGTCACGACTTACATTCCCTCGCCGCGTCCTTGTCCGATCCGACTGCTTTCTTGCCTTCTTTCTTGCCGACTGGACGTGGACAGGTCAGGCAGGTTTCGTTTGGTGTCATTTTGAATTTTTTTGACTTTTCCCATTTATTCCCTCCCCCGGGTACCCGCATGGCACGACGTCGTGGTCGCATTGCTCGGTCCAGCGATTGGGTCACATGCTGCAAAAATGGACAACAATCTTACGAGAGTGTGTCATGGATTGTTGAAAAAAAAAAAGAATAAAAAATTAAAAAAGGGGGTGGGGCATGAATCCGCGATGGCACACAGCCAGGCTGTTCTTGCAAGAAACACTGTTACACCAACGGCTAACAGAGACTCTGGAAACCCCTACAACAGACGTGACTTTTCTATGCACCGATCCCAAATGGGGCGGCCGCGGTGCTGCATCGGCTTTGCTGAGAGAGCTGGAGGCAATGGCAGAGGACGCCGGCAAGGCCATCGTCTTGGAAGGCGTCATTTCTGCTGTGCCACTCTACAAGAGATTAGGTTTCGAGACGAGACAGCAGCTGCAGATGATGCTGCCACCTCGCGGGTCGACGGAGCGGACGGAACGATATCTAGAGCACACCATGGTCTGGACGCCGCCTTCACTGGAGCCATGATGGCCAGCACAGGCGCAATCTTTGGACCTGCGGAGATGCGGGCTGGATGGCGAGGCAATCAGTTGCAACTCGTCCTCGGTTGCCGTCGGCTGAGGCGAGCTTGTCAGTCTTGCTCAATGCTTAGGCCGTGCGACGACATGCTGCTCGTCAAAGGCTCGAGGGAGCTTCCTGAACCGTCTCTCAAGAGCCAAACCCGTGGACGCTAACAAGCCAAGGCTCTTCCCGTCAACAGCCTCCCTAGGACAGCACAAGCCATGCCTCTCCCGTCCTCTGTGGGGGCCAGATCGCTGTGACGCGTTTCGGATGCAACCCAGTATAGTAGCATCGTGGTCTATGGCAGCATTACTGTCGGTCCTCACTCGCCTCAGCCTGTGGTGCGCACTTGGGTTGTCAATCACGTGTAGTAATGGTGGCTCCGAGTCGAGACAGTTAGGTAGACACACTCGAAAGCCTAAAACACAAGATTCCGCCAAGAACTGCAGACGAGGTGCTATCGTCCTCACAAATCGTGACTCGGCGGAAGAGGTGTCGTATGCGAATGTTCCATTCGGCTTGCTCTGCTCGGCATGGCCCAGCGTCGGTCGACCCTGACCCTCTTGGTGCCTCTGTCCCGTGGCATCATCGATATCCCACCGGATGAAAAAATTGAAGAGAAGCCCAAGGGCCCATCATCTGACACGCCCTCGCCGAGAGCAACGCACATGCCGGCGTGTGTCGCTAATTTATCTACATGCTACCATGTGCATTTCTCACGCGGCACAGGAGCGGTGGTTGTTGAACGGCGATGCAACACCGTTCCATGTGGTGCACTGACACGGGCACACCGCTCTCCGAACCTCCGAAACACCGCCTTCTCTCCAAAGCCCGGGTCCAAGAGGGCCACGATGCCCATGCCCCTTAGCCTGCGGCGCCGTGGGTTTCGGCTCATTGTGGGGAACACATCGTAAAAAGTACCGCCGAGCAGCCCTGAAACCTGGCTGCTGGCCTCCGTCTTCCGTTCTCCGGACGACGTCGTTTAATAAACGAGCCGACACGAACGGCCCAAGGACGCGCTCTGTCCCAGGGCTAGTCTCCTGCTGTACGACCAGGTCAAAACTCTCGTCGCATGGCAGCGCGCACTGCAGAAGCACGTCAACCTAATTCTTCCCCATGGCGCCAACAGGATGACAGAAAAAGTAAAGGAAGGGGGCCCGGAGGGGGCCACTTGGCGCGAGATGCCACCAATACTGCCGGGCTGGCAATCAAGATGAGCCGTGGTGTGGTGTGGTAGCGTCCATCTTGTGCAGCGCCGACGATAAAAGAGGCGTGAAGCCTTCCGTTCAGTGGACTTCAGGCAAAGTCTGATTCTTATTCATCCAAGGTTATAACGTGAGCAGTAAGCCCGGTGTGAGTATGTCTTGTGCGTCAGTTTCTCAAGCCGAAACTCACTTACATACTGTTCCCACAAGTCGGCTCTTGTTTACTGCAGCAGAGCTTCCTTTAACTTTCTCTGTTGATCAAGGAAGCATATGTCCCAGCGTCGCAGCAGCCGCTCAAGACAAGAAATACCCGTCAGCGGATAAAAAAAAGTCTCTGGCCACATATTAGTTGCCCAACGGGTACAACGATGAATGCAGAAGGACCGAACAATGACTCGATGGTGGCCCGCGCCGAGAGAGCCATTACGTTAGATGTACCGGGGCTCTACGCCGGAGACGTTCAAAGGTGGTTTTCGATTTGGTAATAGGAGGTGGCCTAGAGCGACTGCTGCCGCTCGCAATGTTTGCGGAGTGGCTGAACACACCGCGTCGGCCACTCACAACGCCCTTTTCCCCTACATATGTAGTCTAACGGAGCGCCTCGTCGAGAAATGGAGGGCCGGAAGCCACCAAGACGAGACGGTAGAGCGTTAGAGTGGGGGAAGGTGGCTTCGCAGCGATATGGGAAATGCTCTTTGTGGTCTGCACACTATCAGCGGGCCAACGGCTCCGTTGGCCATTCATTATGTATTTCTTTCTGCTGATAACGAATGGTCCAGTGAGATGTGAGAAACAAGACCCTGGTTCTCCGATTAAGCAATTCTGGGGTCTCGACTTGTGAGGCAGACGACGACCCTGAAACCTGGCGAGCATGATGCGGCAATGGCATTGGCGGTGGGCACACCGCACTCAGCAACGGAACATGGCAACTGCAGCTGCAGCTGCAGCTGTATCGATGCTATCTTGGGGGACAATGCTGCTCGATGCTTGAAGATTGCTGCTGGCAACAACCTGCTGCCCTGGCTGCTGAGGGGTTTTCCGGAGAGCGAGCTGCCTGTGCGTAAGACGAATTAGGTCCGCGTATCAAAGGCGCAGGTTCCCGACATATCACAACATTGCATGTTGGAGCCCGGGGTTATGTGATGGAGTGAAATGTCGCGTGTCTTCGTGGGAAGGGTTTCTTCAAAGACAGGGTGTCATGACACGGAGTACTATGGTGGTAGTAGCATGGAGTATTGGTAACAGGCCATACTCCGTAGACTGACCCTCTCCGCAGGCAACTATAATAATAGCCTGACGCTGCGAATCCCAGGTACGCAAAAAAGGCCAAGTGTTCGGTGGCAACCGGAGCAGGCCAAATTTGGTTGGCAATCAGGTTCTCGTTCTCGTCCGAGCCGGAGTAACCACTGCTCAAACCCCGTGTCCTCCCTATGGCAGATCCATGACCGCGGTTCGCACAAAAACACGGTACCAATAGTACATAGCCCCATGACAAAATGTGGTTGCAAAAGGCTGAGAGCCACTGTTCGGAGGCTGTCGCCAATCGTAATCCGCGATAAGGAACCAAGTTGCTCAAGAGGTGTCATGGTTGGTTGATAGGGCCAAGACACCACCAAAGCACTAATGAGAAACAGAGCATCAAGCTAACCCGGTCCGGTTGGCCAGAGCGTACCTCGTCCACAACTGAAGACGAGAGAGAGAGTCTTGTTGATATATGGCGATCACCACGCCCAGGCCGGGTCGCTCGGTCATCTCTGCCAAGGGTTGCTTTAGGACTCGGAACCTGGTACGGAGTCGCTTCCTGGATAAATAGAGCAGTTACGGAGCAGAGAGCCTAACGACACGACACGGTACTTCGCTGTACGACCTGAATTCATTACAGATGCTGCAAATTACATCCTAAAAGAGAGGGCATCGTCAACTGCCCCGCCTAGGCAAGTTGGAACGCGATGGACTACACGCTTTATCCAGCGGCATCACTATCATAAAGGTCTTCAAAAAAAGATTGATTCAAGTCGAAAAGCTTCAGAAGATGTGACAAGAGCTCTTTCTTATTACAACAAGCTTAAAGAGGCTATTCAGCAGTACGGAGTCCCTCCTGAAGATATCTGGAATATGGATGAGACTGGCTTTCGTATTGGAATGGGAAAGGACCATTTAGTTGTTACAAAGCGAAGAAGAGCGCATCTATTTTCAATGCCAGAAAACAGGGAGACTGCAACAGCAATAGAATGCATTTCTGCTGGCGGCAAAGTTATTCCTGCCTTTCTTATCCTTACAGGGCAAAAACACATGGAGTCCTGGTATCGGATAAAGGAGCTTGAAGCTAATACCAAAATAACAGTCTCACCAACCGGCTTTACGAATGACGAAATTGCAGTTGCTTGGATACAGCATTTTCAGGAATTTGCAACGCCAATAGGCAGATATCGCCTTTTAATCCTAGATGGCCACGGATCACACCATACAATTGAATTCGTTGAATACTGCGAACAGCACGATATAATTCCCTTTGCGTTGCCCTCGCACCTTACACACATCCTTCAACCTCTTGATGTTGTGATATTTCAGCCACTAAAGCATTATCATGCAAAGGCGTTGGATATCATTGTTCGAGACGGCGTGTTGAATATTACAAAGATTGAATTCCTTGCTTGCATTCAAGCTGTACGAAAACAAGCTTTCAAGACTACTACTATTCTCACAGCCTTTCGAAAAACTGGAATTTCACCCTACAATCCACAGCCTGTAATTGAGGCCCTTGAACAACGAGCTGCAATTTACACATCAACACCATCGCCGCCGCCGTTATATCACAACAACTCTTCCGACTTTGAGACGCCCACAACACTCAGGCAGATAAATAAGGTTGCCAACAAGCTAGGGGAGGTATTAGAAGACGATACATCCCTTGAGCCTGAGTTTGCACGCAATATCAGTCGTTTTATCCGCGGCTCTCTTATTGCAGCTACTGAGCTTATACAGACGAAGAGAGACCTTGGGCGTACAAAAGCAGCTCAATTACTATCACAGCGACGTAGAGCTCATAAATATCACGCCCTACAAACTGGTGGCGTTCTTTCTGTGGATAACGCGCGTGAGATGGTCAAGCAAAACGAGAATGACCGCCTTGATACTGCTCGTCGGGTTGTTGAGGCAGCCGACAAAAGGCGCCACAACCACGCCAAGAGGACGTTTTTTGAAGCAGCTAAAAAGGCACGTAAATGGCGTCTGGATTCTGTACTAGATCTACTAGAAATTTGGGACGAGAAGGGTGTACATTATAGGCGAAGAGGTTAATAGCGTTATTAGGTTGAAAATTGGCCCGCCTTGGTGTCCGGCCCGCCTTGCTGTCGAGCACCACCTTTGGTGGTGAGGGCTTTTGCTAGCCGAACCACATAAAGTGGGGCGGGCACGATTAGTGCTTTGTAAATGCCATGCCATTCTTCCCATCACCTACTAGCTGGGATAAGTTTCCATGTCCCCACCGACGGTCCCATTTCATCCGTCATCGCTGTCCAGGTTGTGTGTGTAGTGTTGCTCACTTGAGCCGTTTCGGCACAGAGGAGAGAGGGCCACCCCAGTCTGGGGAAGATGCACATGTCACACCTTTTTTTTTTTTTGCATTTGTAATTTTGTAACCAACCGGGCAGGCACGACGAAGCGTGGGTTTAGGTTGTTGCCTCTTTTGATTTTTCTGCCTCTCCACTGGCACACTGGGCGTGTGCGCGAGAACGGTGCCATCCAGGAGCCAGACATCAGGATTAAAAAAAAAAAAAAAAAAACCTAAGAAAAGAAAAAAAGAAAGAATAATAATAAGCAGCAAAAGCGCTCTTCTTGTCTCTACTCCTCCTTTGCACTTTCTCACTCCCCTACGCCTCGTTCCTCGTCTCACAGACACTCGGTCCTTTTTTTTTCTTGTATCTTGGGTCATATCAGAGACACGGCACGAGGCACAAGCCACCCCTTACTCTTCTTCCCTCCCTTCTGCATGCGCGTCTTATTCACGCTGAAGACGTCTGCGCTGTAAGAGCAACTCACTCACTGTTCCTCACGGGTCCTGAGCATCGCACCTCTTCTATCTGGACGGACACACGTTACGGAATCTGCTACGGGCCAGAAGGAGAGTACCCGTAGCGGTCGGCCTCAATGACTCCGATAACCCACGGTTATCTCATCCTGGCCTCCGTGGTGACTTGATTCCCTGACACCGAAATCTCCGAGAGGCATCACTCTTTGATCAAACTAATCGGCTTCGGCTTGGCAAAGGGCGCAGCTGCTAGCGACATTGATCTGACCCGTTGCTTGGTGTCAACTCCGCCTGCTGCTTTGTCTCGCAGTCGTAGCAGGGTTCGAGTTACCATCGGTCCTGGCCCGGGTACTGAATATTTCGACGTCAAGTGTCTTTATTTCTTTTCTGGGATTCGGTTTGCGTCAAGTCAAAGCATCACCCTTGTGCGCACTGCAGCAAGGCCAGGATTCTCGCACCCTCGTTGATACGGCATATCGGCACCCCCCACGACGGCTTCTCACTCTCTTGTCCTTTCGGGAACAAGGGGGACTCGTTCTTAATATATACGTTGTAAAGTATACTGCAGTCCTTCGAACCTATAACGCTGTCGCCCTCTACCGGCATGGCCCACAACTCAGTTCAACGGACGGCTCCCATAGCCATTGCTCCGAAGCCTCCGAGGCGGGATCTGGCACCCCAACGACAGGACGGTTCATGTAAATTTGAGATTGGTCCCAGCAGTGTTCAAACTGGGGCCTCTGTTGAGTCTTCTGCCGGGTCGATCCTTACACCATGTCAAACCTGTCAGTTTTCTGGAGCCAAATGCGTTCTGAGTGACGACGAGGACGGACCCGCCGCTTGTCAAGCCCACGGTTCCGAGTGCTCTCTCTTATCAAGCTCCTTGGCGAGTCCTCAGTCTCGCAAGAGGAAAATGAACGGAGTGCCAGCCCGCGAGGCCACTTTTGGTAAACGAAGGTTAGTTCTGCCGTTGTTGTTACGGCCCCGTGCTTTGATTCCCCGCCTCTTTGCTGTTTCCGACCCGAGAAAGAGGCACTGTGGTAGGCTGCCACGTTCATTCATCAAGACGAAGTTCAAGCGTTGAAAAAGATGGTTTCTAACACGTGCTATGACTGCAGCTCACCAAGCATTTCTACTCGCAAACTCGGCAATTCCAGCTTATCCAGCACGGCTGTTAGTAGCTCCTTTCTGGAAGACCTGGCAAATGTCGGCGGACCAACAATACTCAAGAAGACTCTTGGCATGCAGAGTGATCGATTCAGTCAATACGTTGGGCTTACCACGGACTTTGAGCCATCGCTTATCAATCTCTCCACTTTCGATCCGCAGGACGAAAGTCTCTTGGCCAGAGGCACCTTGAGAAAGGTAAGCGACAATGACACCTTTCTGATGCTGCCGGACAACAGTACTCCAGGATATGATCATGTCATGGAAGACGTGGATGCCATTGAGGCCGTGGTATCGCCACATGGGCGTCATTTGATTGACTTGTACTTCCGTATCATCCATCCAGCCTTTCCAATCATTCAGAAACACGTCTTCTTGGAAAAGTACGAGCGATCCCATCGAGAGTTCTCACCGCCCATCCTAGCAGCGGTATACATTTTAGCCATTAATTGGTGGGATCACAGTGACAAGCTCTCGACTCTACCTCGTCCTGATGTACGAGAACTCGAGAGACTCATCTGTACCGCACTAGCAGATGCCATGAACAGACCTAAATTGTCCACTATCCAGGCTGGCTTGCTTCTATCTCAGCGTCCACAGGGGGACCAGTGGGCGCCAACAGCTCAACTTGTAGCCATTGGTCAGGAGCTCGGGTTGCATCTGGATTGTTCAAACTGGAAGATACCTCCTTGGGAAAAGGGGTTGAGGCGAAGGCTGGCCTGGGCCTTATTCATGCAAGACAAATGGGGCGCCCTGGTACACGGACGACCGTCCCATATCTTCCCATCCAACTGGGGCGTGCGAGCTTTGACTGCCAACGACTTTCCAGACGTCGAATGGGATGAGAATGACTCAGATGAGAGACAAGATATTGAAAAGGGCAGACTTTTATTTACTTGGTTTGTGCAGCTGTCTGAAATCCTGGCAGAGATCCTTGAGACATTTTACACGTTGAACTCGACACAGAATATTGCCGATGCGGGCATTCAAGGCATCCCACTTGTTTTGTCCCTGGCCAAACCTGTTCAGCTGAAGCTCAAGGAGTGGTATAGCGGTCTGCCCGCGAGCATTCGACTCGAGTCCTACTCTTTAGCGAGCTTTTCTCCCGCTTCGCCACCCGCGACGAACAGATCATCCAGCATTGGATATCTGCACCTGGGATATTTCGCTACGGAAATCACGCTACACCGCAGGATCATTCGGTCATTGGCATCGAATACAGCCGCTGTAGATCCCTATGTCCAGCACATCTGTCGAAGCGCAGCAAAGGCCCGTCTCATCTCGGCCATGGACTTTGTCAATCGACTGACTCCGAACCACTTGCGTTCGTTCTGGTTTTTTGCATCCAAGACCAACTTTGCACTGATCGGAACATTTGGCTCCCTGTTGTGGGCGACGTCTCCAGGTCGAGAAGAAGCCGATTGGTACCGCCGCCGCCTAGGGGAGTATCGATGGACTCTGTCAGTGAGCTCCAAACCTGGCGGGAGTAAAGGCCTGACGCAGTTCGCAATATCCATGCTGGACATCTCGACTGGGTTGCTGAAAAAGCTACCGGAAAAGCCGTCGATGAGTCGGAGCGGTAGCCTGGCGGACATGTCAGCGCCATCCGGCCCGCCTTCGTATCCGGGGTCGTTCTCCGGTTGTGGAAGTCTGATGGGCCAATTCAGCAATATACACAGCGCTGATGTGAGCAGCGCACAAAGTCCCCGAACTGATGAGTCGAGTAGTGGCGACGAGATGGATGACAGCTATGCGACCCCGATATAAAGTTGGCGGTTGGTTAGGTGCATGTGGGTATTCTTCTTACGGCAGGACAGAGCTGCTCAGGGATTCGGCTTGTTTTGATTTTTTGTTTGGATGGCATAGAGGAGCGATGATTTGCTTTGTTCAGATTTTGTGCATTTCATGAGTCGGATGCTGTCACGAATGTGCGTGCAAATGCTCGGGGCCGAGAGTGGACGGTGGACGGAGAGGCAGTAGTGAGGGTTGTTGAGCATTCTGTTGTAAAGCCGCAATCTGACTCTTGATCGGGAGTAGATTGGGTGGGTGAATATGGTGTTTACGAGGTTTGATAGATTGATTGTGAGCAAGTGAATGAACAGTGCTCTGCATTGGGCGACAAGTCAAGGAGACCATGAAAAGACGGACCAAGTCCATTTACTGCGAGTTCTTGGTCAGGCCCGTGCACCGCCACTTGGCGGGAGGCGAGAAGCCACACTGGACGGGAGAGCATATTTAGGTACGTACCTAAATACCTCCTAAAGCAGGTGATGGCCCGCTGGCCGAAGGTTTCAGGTACGTTTCTAGGCGAGGTACTTCAGCATCTAGTACTTAACCACCTACTTAGGTACTTACTTAAGTACTTCTAAGTACTACTTGGGCACTGGCACCTGGGCGCTTACCCGTCCTCCGTGCCATCGGACCGTGCCTCGACGACTACGGAGTACCTTGGAATATACACGCATTGTCACGCACCCATGGCCCATGGGAGCTCAAGGTGAAACGCACCGACACGGCCAACTCGTCTCCAACAGTCGAGCTCTCCGAGGTCAGTCTGGATGTACCCCGTTTTTGGTCTTTTCCACCTGGCGCTTCTACCGAACCCAAGACTTCTCATGTCTTCTGAGCCGACCTGGCTCTGTTTCGCGATCTGATCATGGCGAGCAAACCCGCACCAAGGGCGGCATCTACTACTAGACCTGGTGCGTGCTCTCGAGGCAAGCCGGCGGGCTTCACGCCCGAGAGGTTTGAAAGGGAGCTTCAGGACTTGGCTGACAGGGCTCGGAGTGACACGTTCAGCAATCGCCTCCTGGGCCAGCTCAACGTTTATCTTCGCATTGTGCTGCCTCTGGCCCTCCTTGGACTCTACTCCAACGTCTCTCAGCTCAACCTCTCGCCAGTCTACGGCTCCATTCCCTCGTCAATTTGGCACGCAAAGCTCGTCATGGGGGGATGCTTCCTGGGATGGGCAGGCAACACGTTCCTCCGCGACTCATTCTCCATCACTCCCGCCAACGCCCTTCCCCTGGTCGCCGTCTGCATTCCCGGGTTGCAGCATTTCCTGGCTAGCTTCAGCCAGACATTGGGCCCGAAATGGGGTCCTGTGCTCACAGAGAGCCTTACGCTGTTACCGCTGGCGGTGTTCACATCCGCCTCAATAGCTGATTCCTGGGAGGGGGCACGGCTGGGCATGTTGCCAGGCTTTGTGGCTGACGCTGGCCCTGGCATAGGCTCCTGGGCATTGTTCAAGTTGTTCGAAAACCAAATCGGCCTGCATTTGCCCCGGATCATTGGCAGGCTCCTCGTGTTCACTAGGCTGGGCTTGGAGCTCGTCCTTGGGTTTGCGTACATGGTCTTGGCGCCTTCCAAGTATCTCATTTACGCGGCGTTCCCATGTCTTCACAGTCTCTTCCTGAACCCCCATCTCCAGTCTCAAGCCGCCAGTCAGAGTCTGGCGAGCTCTTTGATGACTGACAACTGGCTGTTGATCGAAAGGCGCGAGTCGGTGACTGGCTACATATCAGTCCTACAGAGCATACAGCAGGGCTTCAGGGTCATGCGTTGTGATCACAGTCTGCTGGGAGGCGAGTGGATCAGTCATGGCGGGGGATTGGTATCAGAGCCGGTCTATGGCGTGTTCGCCATGTTGGAGGCTGTTAGATTGGTCGACTCGGCACCGCCCGTGGACGACAAGGACGCCCAAGCACTGGTGATGTAAGTACGATCCAGCGTTGCCATCAGCGTTGGCGACAGAGCATCTTGACGGCTAACTTTTCCCTGCAGCGGACTCGGCGCGGGAACGACGCCTTCTGCACTTGTCTCTCATGGCATCAACACAACCGTCGTAGAATTGGATCCGGTTGTGTACGAGTTTGCGTCAAAGTACTTTGGCTTGAAGGAAAACAACCCGCCCATCTTGCAGGACGCCGTCAGCTACACGGCCGAGCTGGCCAAGACGGCACCTTCGACATATGACTACATCGTTCACGACGTGTTCACCGGAGGGGCCGAGCCCATTGACCTCTTCACCCTCGAGTTCTTCCAGGGCCTGCACGCACTGCTAAAGCCCCAAGGCGTCACTGCCATTGTAAGTTCACCTCATCAACTCGTCACTGCCTCCCGCGTCAAACCTGCTCACCGTGTTGCCACAGAACTACGCAGGCGATTTGACCCTTCCATCGTCCAAAGTGATCTACCGCACCATCAAGCAAGTCTTCCCAACTTGTCGCATCTTCCGCGAAATGCCGCCAGACATGGAGGCCGTGAAAACCACGGGCTTGGATTTCACCAACATGGTCATCTTCTGCAAAAAGACGGACGACAGCCCGCTTAGCTTCCGACGCCCCACGGCCAAGGACTTCTTGCAGAGCCCAGCTAGAGAAGAGTTTCTGCCGTTGCCAAACGAGATTCCTGAGACGGACATGCTGTTAGGGGAGGACGAGGGCATCCTGACAAGGAATGAAACGTCAAAGCTGGCCAAGTGGCATGAGACGAGCGCCATCGGACACTGGTCGTTGATGAGGCTTGCTATTCCTGCCATGGTATGGGAGAGATGGTGAGCGAGTGTTCTGCACGCGAGATTAGAGGACGCATTTACCATGGAACCATGTCTTGTCAAGCGTGGGTGCAATGTCCAGTAGTAGATATAGCGGTGAGGTGAGGCCTGCGGATCCTCCGTCGTTGCGAGGGATCCTGAATATACCTTGCCAGCCTTTCCTGTGCACCTTGTTTCACAACGCTTTCGCTCCTCCTCGGCCAGGAAGATGAAGGTACGTAGGTCCCTCGGCATCATTCCCCAGTCCCAGCCCGGTTCCCAAGTCTGCAGAGGGGCTACCGCTCACGCCTCCTCCTCCTTGCGCTGAATCGCGTCCGTGGCAATTTGTCCTCGGCCTGGCCCGTCCCGTAACCCTCCCTGCTGATAACGACACGGACTGCCTAGGCATATACAAACGCGCGCGACGGGGAGACGGGACGTGTACTGCATCGGGCCCAAATACAGAGTACCCGGGTAAAGTTGGACCCATCAAAGGATACGGAGTACAAGCAGGCCATGGCGTCCTTGGACCCTGACAGATATGCCAGCGCCTGCGGTTGTCACGATGCCGAATGCGGGTCTTTAATCTCGACAGCAAAGCGAAAACAAGGCAAGGCGCGCTGGCCTCGTCTTCCCTTGTCGCCGCTCGGACGAGCTGGCTCACCGACAATACAAATCTACAAAGCAGCGAGCAGCATCAAGAAGCCGGCAGTCAAGGCAATGTGCCGTCGACAGGTCACTTCTCATGCACCAATCTCGCTTGTTCATTCTCGAACCAGGCTACGCGCGACGCGTGAGGCCGCGACAGCTTACGAGTTTCACAGTTGTGAGACACGCAAGATAACTGTGTGTCACATAGGCTTGACCTGGACCCTGGTTGATGGCACAGCACATCCATGGGGATAGTAGATGCTTCCGAAGCCACTGTAGGTTCTTGTGCAGATTAACAGCCAGGGGGGCTGACGATGACGGCGATGACGTCGTGGGTAAATTCAGCAGGGGCAATATATTATATTATATACGTGCAAAGAGGGCCCGGTGCCAGACCACAGAACTCTGGGTCAAGAGTCTCGTCAGGGAAACGGAGCAGACACGACCGAGACGATGAGGTTCCAACTCCTATGCCTAGCGGTAGCTGCCATGGCGGTCCCAGACCCCGGGTCTCACCTCGTCGCCCGCCGAAAGTCATCCGGCAACTGGGCCGGCGCCGTTCACACCACGCCCTCGTCCTCCGTGTCCTTCGTCACCGGCACCGTCACGCTGCCCGAGTACAAGCGGGACCCTGAGCTCGGAGCCTCCTTCTGGGTGGGCATCGACGGCGCAACCTGCCGCACTGCCATTCTCCAAACAGGAATCGACTACCTCCACGACACGATATACCCATGGTACGAGTGGTATCCGGCGGATTCAAAGTTCTACGCGCAGCCGCTGTCCGCAAAGCCGGGTGACAGGATTCGCATGGGCGTCAATGCCACGAGTGCCACGTCCGGAGTCGCTACTTTGGAGAACTTGACAACGGGGGGGGAGGCGTATGCTGAGTTGAAGGACCAGGCGAGGCTTTGTTTGAGGGACGCAGAGTGGGTTGTGGAAGATGTAGCAAACGGTCTCGTTGACTTTGGGGTAGTCAGGTTTTCCGACGTTGAGTGGCATAGCCTTGAGGGGAGAAAAGGTGCGTCGGCGGCGAGTGTTTATGATGTTGAGAAGGGCGGGAGGCAAAGCACTAGGTGTAGTGTCTCAGAGGATGTTGTTTGCAAATTTTTGCACCACTAAGGGACGTGGCGCTCAGGAGGTTTGGCCACCTACAACTTGGAGTATCGAGTTTTGGTACATGGGGTCTGCCTGCGTTATTACATGATTTATATCCTAAACATTTCATTGGGACTACATCCATATCTGTAGACCATACAGTTTTAATTCCCAAGGCCCCTGTTCTGCGGCCAAAGGGTTCACTATGCGGCATCGGGTACATGAAATGATTCACTTCTACTTACAGACGGACGAGAGTAGTGGTGAGGACAAGTTAGGTATTGTTGATTCTCCGCAACAGCATCTATTCGGTCGTTTTGTTCGCCGCGTCCAAACTCTGTTTCTTCTTTTCCGTGGTGAAATTTTCAAAATACTCCTTTGCGTAACTCGGTAGATTCACCCGGTTGTGCGGACCGGGAATGGGCTCACCCATGGTCGAATAAATGGGCACCACACCCGTCCAGACTGTGTTCAGTACATCCTCGTTCTCCAAATCATGCTTGTCATCCGAAACGCCGCCCTGGCGGAACTTGGCGCTTCCCGAAGCAATCTTCACTTTGAGAATGCTCGTGCTCTGCATTTCGGCATTTGTAGGCGGCAAGCGGCTGTTCTTCCAGCGGTCTGGGACGACGGAGTTGGTGATGAGCTCCATGGCGTACATCTTCTCCTCCAGGTCCTCGACGAGGGTGGCATGACCGAAGAGCAAGGCAGAGCGGTAGTTGTAGCTATGGTTGAAGGCGGAGAGGGCGAGAATGAGACCGTCGACGTGGGAAACGGCACAAGAGACGGGCATGCCTTCTTCGCCGGCAGCGCGGCCAAGGTTGAAGAGGCGCGAGGAGACGTAGCCATGGATATAGAGGTCTAGAGGGTCGCTTGTGTCGGCGGACGGGCGGTCAAAAGAACCCATTTGGCCGATCATGGGGAGGGTGACGGGGAAAGGAGAGTTGGGGACGTTGAATGAGACATGGATGAGTTGGCTGGAGTTGATCAGAGAATGGATCTTTTCGAGAGCGTAGATGCCTAGGATGCTTGCTTAGTCGACTGAGTATGAGCCGTTGAGTTCGAGTGAGATGATTACCTCGCTCGCCATGCCTCTTGACGAGATTTGTTGCGTCCTGGGGATACTCGAGCTCGTAGCGACCCATGACAACTGCGAGGACGGGTATGCTGTCTGTTCTTGTTGCAGTCCCAGGATCTTTCGGGGCTTCTTGGAAACCGCAACGCGATGATTCGACGGGGCGATGGCGATGGCGCGGGGTGAGCTGAGGCTCAACGTTCGTCAACTCCGTGATTACGTCGTTTCATCACGTCGGGCCCCCGGCACGACGACGGCTGCAGCCAAGACGCATGTTTGTGGGACCTGGCCACGTTCTGCGGATGTCTGCAGATGGCAGACGCTGCGTTGAAGACAAGATCTCGGAAGAATGCCTAACCTGTCGGGGGTGCGATGCGGGGAAGAACGAACTCGTGTTCAACAGCGCGGCCGGAGCTTCCCGATTCGGCTAGTCTACTCCGTTACCCTATTCAAGCCCCTTGTGTGAACTATGATGTGTGCAGAACAAATCTCCCATGAGTTGAGCGTAGCAGCCCGTGGCATTGATTCTCAAGTCCAGGTCCATACGTGTTCTCACTAGCCTAGCCGGGGGCTGAGCGCATAACCACCAATTGTCGGTTCCCCGGCACTCGACTTTGAGATCGCTCTAGGCGGGTGAAACATGAACGCCTTCTCTTTTTGGCAATCATCAGCTCGCTGTCGAGTATCATCTATAGACCACAGGATTGTCGTCAATGCCCTCTAGACTCATCGACCGGCCAGGATCAACAATTGGCTCCGGTGACCGACCTCGCCCGAGTAGTGGTGGTACCATGGATCTAGCCGAAGTGGTGGGATCAGAGCCCAAGTGTGCCTGTGCTTCAACATGCATGTAGGGTCGTAGGGTGAGGCCAAACGGGAGGAGGGCAGGGTCCAGGCACACAAAACATCGATGTTCGTGAAACACACTCTGCGTGACTCGCATCCATCACGCACACATGGTGATTCCAGAAAGGACTGGCCCCCTTGCCCCCGGCCAGGAGCACGGTGAAAATTGTCTGTGGACAAAAAGGTGAAAGAGCACCAACGTCTCCCAGTTTAGGTATTCGGCCTGCAGAGGCGCAGTCTCCTTGTTGAAGAGCCCGAGAATTGACGTACCAATAGCCCTGGCTGTCAATAATTCGATGGGGGGATGACAAGTTTCACCTGCACGGTTGAAGGAATCTATCATCCCATAGTACTACGTACGTAGAGCACAAGCATTCGGCACGGAAGAACTTTTGCCGACGGCCAGGCCCTACTCCGACAGTCCAATCTTCTAAATTTCCCGTCTCTGACAACACATGAGACCTGGCTGCTGTCGTGGTACTCACGGCATCCACGATTCAAGCAATATGGCAACAGAGGCGGTCCGAGTCATCTTTGACTTCAACTGCTCCTTTGGCCAAGACGATTGATTCGACCACATTTCCAGTGCGTTGCATGGCTAGGTGTGGGCGTCACCGCCTCACAGGCCCCATTTAGGCCCCATCAAAAAGGGTCCTCTGTCTTGCTAACGTTTGAGGTTTCATATCAGACACACCCGTCACAAAGCACGGATCCTCACGTCATTTGTTGTTGTTCTCAAATCCAATCTAGCGGCTCGTATGCGCGGCCCCAATGGCAAGGGATATCTGTCCTTCCGAGAGCTTTCTCAGCCTTGTTCCAACGTCAGTCGGCGGGTTTGAGAGCCTCCCCATCCGGTCTTCGATCTCAACAACATGAGACAAACCGCGAGGTACCAACCATCTGCCTGCACACGGGCACAGCAACATGTACTACGTGTGACGTTCTAGCATGGGCGTACTTGCCCGCCCCCCATGTGTGCCAAATAAGTCGTGTCAGCTCAGATGGCCTGTTTTGAGACTGCCAGCCAAAAAAAAAAAAAAAAAGTTGATTCTGTTGCTAAATCTGTTCCATTCGAGTGGATGCCTGTTATCCTCTCCCCAGATCCGTATCATGGCGATGGCCATGCTTCGACAATCGGGCCTCTGACTGGAAGCAAATTCCCCTTCCCAACCCTCAGGGCGCAATATTGTCTTCTACTTACCTTGACGATTTGCTTAAACGTCCATGGCCCGTTGATTTGGCCGTTTCGATTCTCGTCGCGGTCTTGTCCACCAAGCCGCTGGTTGGTCAGACCGTCGTCATGCCCAGCTCGGCCAGAGACCAGGCCTTGGTGGCAACCTTTGCCTTGTCAGTAAAAATTCACCATTGCTCTGGGACACTGGGCTTCAGCTTACGGTCGTTGAAACTGAGGAACTAACACCCGGTTCGCATATCAGCGGCGCCATTGTCTGTGCTTCTCTGGGGACCGTATTATTTCATCTCCGAGGAGGAGCACCGTCACTCTTTCGAGGTGGTCTGAGGCTGGTCCTCGCCGCTTTTCTTCTGTTCGCTTCTCTGTGGGCTGTCGATGGCTTCGTTGCTACCTTTCTCGACCAAACTTCCGCGGCAGGATGTCAAGTCGCCGTTACATTTGCCGCCGCATTCGACCAACTTGCCCGAATCTCACTAGAAGAATTTCTATTCTGGGTTATGAGAAGCGATGTCCCAGCTACTTCCGGCGTTCTCTTTCCACAGACTGTCTTCTTCGTTCGCTTCATCGTTGGCGGCATTTTTGTCGGTGTTCAACGGCCACAGTTTAATCCAGTGTGTGTGGGCACGAATCTACTTTGGCCACTCGGTGTCGTGGTCCTATGTATGGATGCCCTCATTATCCTTGGGCTTGTGACGAAAGCTTCTTCGACAGGAGTCTTTCGAGACACGAGGGCGGAGAACCCTCTTGGGTCTCGATCTAGGGCCATCGCTCTAACCATTGTTGTCTCGGGTCTTTGGATTGTTGTATGTCAAACTGAATTGCCGCCATGTTTGGCGTTTGGACTTTCAGCTTACTGTTGACTTTCTAGTTGAGTATTCCCATGATGTTAGGGGTCAGTACGCTTAGTATCGCTACACGTACGGCCCTTCCCGCCATTGGCGTGCTTCTCGTCATAGGTTTGGTGGCACTCTTTTGTTCAAGCTTGCATACTTTTGTTACTAATATGTGGAGCAGGTGTCCTTGCGTTCTACTTCGAATATGCGACTTTGCCCAAGAAAGCAGCTCAAAATTATACCCCATGTGTCAACAAATTACTTTCAGAGGCTGTGCATTCGCCAACAAGAAGGCCAGGAAACCGGGAGGTGTCTACGATTCAGTCATCCCTCCCACCGGACAGGCTTGGGCGGTCAAGGGAAGACTGGCGGAAATTTCCAAGGAGCGCGACTAAAGGAGCACTCGTATCACGAGATGCCAACAATGCGTTGCCTGTTATTGGTCGCCCGAGTCGAGGTCAGGCTGCAGCTGGCATTGGAGGAATGCCAGTTAAAGGCGAGCTTTTCCCGCCTTTGACGACCGAGTCGTTAACATCGAAGCGAGAGGGGTGTCTAGTGCAACCAACGAAGAAAGCAGTTATCAAGGGCGGAAAACTAGTCATATCTTTTCCAATGATTCAAGAGAACGGACTCAGCGGCGCGAGCCCCTTGAGACGGATTGCAACTGTCGACTTGGCCACCGCGGCCAAGCAAGACAGAGAAAGGAGGGTCAATTTTGCGGCGACCCAGCAGTCAATCACGCCCCAGCAGCCAAGCACAAACAGGTACAGTAATCGGCCTAGTGAAGAATTGCGGCGGAAACAAGTTGGTAGAACTCCTATTACCGCGAAACAGACCATGGCATCGACCATGGAGGCCACCGAGGCACGTCCGCGACAAGGCGCATCTTCGGCCGTGCTGCAGGCCCCTGTCACTTCCATGGGCGGTATTCGGCAGAGGTCACCGAGTCATATTTCGCAATGCTTTCATGGAACAATCCCTCCCGTTATTCCATCCAAGGACGTTTCAAGTCCAAGAATTCAAAGTCCCACATCACAAATTTCAAGCTCAGGAGTACGTCCCAAGCCGCTGCCTCGATCTCCTCTACGACCTGTGCCAGGGAAAACCACCAAAGCAGCTACCTTGCAGGGCCCAACACAATCACCGACTGAAATATCGAGTCGAACTAAAGATCATGTTCAAGAGCTCAAGAACACGGCTACTGGCGCTCCTTCGGGGCTGACTCCGGAGCTTCCATCTTCGAGAAGCGAGAGCGTCGCTCAAAGAAGTTCCATCAACTGCCCGAGCAGGAATGTGGACATTCTTGTACCCCCAGTACCTCCCCTTTCGCCAAGAGACCCGGCCTCGTGCTCGTACGACCAGTTGGAGAGGGCCTTAAGCAATCGACACCTAGGGAGCGAGCCATCATCCAGCATTCCTCGTAGCAGCTCAGGGAAAGATAACATCCGCCCACCAAGGAGAAAGCCCACAACTCCTCCGCCCGTCTATGAAGGGAACCCGCCAAAGACCCCGGTCCAGCTTCGAGAGACCTCGGGGCTTCCGGGTCATCCCAGAGCTCGGACTGTGAAATCCTCTGCCAGTGCGAGCCAGGACAAAATGGTCATGTTCGTCAACAGCATCGACTACAGTGATCCTAGCGGGGTCCGGGACATCATTCATGGGATGGCAACAGACTTGGCCACAAAGGCAAATTCGCGCGACTCCGAGAAGAGAGATTCAGTGATCCATCGGCCACGCCCAATTCCCCGAATGTCTCCCAGCAGGTCCTCTGTTTCTACCAGAAAATCACCTAGTGTAGCATCGGCAAGTGATTACTCGTCTCCGAAGAAGAGGGAAAGGAAAGTGAGATTGAGGGCCTCTGCTTCAATTGTTAGGGCACAAGGCAGCCTTAGTCCGTTGCCGCCAGTACCTCCTCTGCCGCCTCAGCAGCCACCGCCTGGAGTTCCGAAAAGTGAGCCGTTAGTACCGGCGACGACCAAGGAAACCTTACATCAAGCCAGGACGGATGATTCAGAGGTGAAGGAATCCATACCTCCGATGGTTGAGGCAGGCATCGCTCAGTCACCAACCACATCACAACCTCGAAGTCCTTACGGCCGACCTGAACCACAGGAAAGGGTCAACAATCCAGACACCCTTACCGCTTGGACGCCTGAAGAGCACGTCTGGCCGTCCACGTCCGCAAAACGCCAGCTCGAAGCGACTAAGTACATGTCCAAGTTCAGCATAGCCACGACTATAAGTCCAGAAGACCCGCCTTCTTTATATCTTCAATCACCAGCTCTCGCATTACTTCGGTCATCACAAGAAGGGCTGAGACGAAAATCATCTCCTGTTCTCCCAGGAGTCCCAGCAAATGACGGCCGGAAATCAGCTGGTCCTATTTCAACTGTGACAGACCAACCAGGTATACAGTCAGCTGCTACATCATCTGCGAAACGAGATCCCAAATCGCAAGATCTCGACGATGATCATGCGTCCAAGTCAGTGGGCGTCTTTTCTGCAGCTGTTGGCATGTCTTCCAGGACTACCTTTGTCGATGGTGCGCTGCCAAGCCATCGGGACGAGGTTAAAGAAGTGGCGACCTTCAAGCTGGACCGGAGCGCCGACGGCTCAGCTAATGCCGCATCTACGCTGTCGACACCAAATAGCGCAGAAGGCGGCACGGATAGCAAGAAAGACCCATGGCACTGCCGTGTGGGTGAAACTCCGCCTACGTTCTCCGGCCGAGAGGCTATGCAAACTCGCCGTTTTCCCAAACCACCTCGGCTCGAACTTGACAAGGCTTTCAAACGTATCAGAGGATCGCCTCCTACGGCTTCGCCGCTAGAAGCTCCCCAACAGGCACTGAATAAAATTCAAGAACAGCTGAGCAAACTCGATGAGTCCGACGTAGCTGATGCTGGTCTTGAAAAAAGAATGTCTCTGCTGAAGAGCATAGAGATTGAGATGGGAAAGGAAGAGAACCGATGGCAGAAGATGCGTGACGACCTTACCAAAACCTCGGCCTCGACGCTTAGCTCGACTCCGAACTCCCCATGCCCGGATGAAGCAAGCCCCTTATCGCCGCAAAATGTGCAGCCACCAGCGATCAATGTTTTCGAATGTTCCCCGAATAGACTGAAGAACAACGGGATGCGTCCGCAGTCCTCTATCCTTTACACAGCCGAACAAGTTCAGATGAGCCGTGCCAACCTGGTGCTTGACAGCCGCCGAGTTATCACCGGAGATGATGCATCTAGCATTGCGGCGCGCGCCGAGGGCGTTCTCAGGAAGCCAGAAAACAGTGCTCCAAATCCCAAAATCCCAAATTTGGAGGCTACTCCGAGGAGCTCGACCCCAGAGGCTGCAATCGAGTCAACTAGGTCGCCGTCTCCGGGGCCTAGGCTGGTAACTGGCAAGTTCGAAGAATCCTCGCCTGTAGAAGAACTGAGCCCCTTAGACAGACAACTAGAGAGCCCAGTATCGCAGTCCACCTCCCCTGGCATGTGGCGCGCAGCTCCTCAGTCGCCCAAGTCACCTCCACCATCTGGAGAACCAGCCGCTCGCCGGCACACACTGAGGCCTCCACGCAGGAGTAGGCGAATATCCCCACTACCAGACATCTTGGAGAATCCGGAGCCTTTGGAGAACAAGCGCGACACCTTGGGTATTTTTCGATTTCCTTGGGGGGAAAGGTCCGATACAGCCACACCGCATATCTCACTCCAGAACCGCGTGTTCATGCCGCCGGGTAGTGTGAGCAGAGGAGGTCCCCCCATTTATCCAACTCTGGAACAGCAGGCGCAGGTTATCGGATCTCAGCAACAGCAATCTTCGTTCTTTGATCACCACAGCGAGGAAGAGGCTTTCGAGGATATTTTTGAGGATTCAGATAACACCGGTTCCGATGATGATGACGATGCTTTTGATGAAACGACGCTGTGGGAGATTGCCAGCTTGCTGAAATCTGACAGGGTTCCCTCCAGGGAGAGCTTGTTTCCCAGTAATGAACCCGTCACCTACGATGCTCCCCCTAGATTGTCGGTGGTTCAGGGACCTGCAAACCACGACAGGCCGTCCCCCGTACCACCGGCACGGCAGGTCACAGAGATGGAAGATTGGGGCTTTTTCAAGGAAGAGCCATCTTCTCCTCCGCTGCCGCGCCGGAAATCTCTATCGCCAATCTTCCCGCCAGAAACGACTTTATGGGTTTACAACGTCTGCATGCCTCCTAGCCCTGCACATCACGGGCTTTTCCAAGACGATGAGCTATGGGAAACCTATGTTGATAGCCATCACCCTGTCACGCGCGCTCCTCTCAGGCAGAACAAGGCCTCGAATATTACTAGCACCTCACTCTGGAGTAAGCGAGCAACCAAGGCTGACATGCCTCCGCTTACTCATCTGTGGCCCGGCCAGTCCCAGTCACAGCCCATAGTAGAGTCCATTGTTCAAATCAAAGAAGTATCTCGTCCAAGTGTCCCTGTGCCGCAGCCTCTGTGGTCGGCACCAAAATCCATCCCTGGCAATGGTGCTCTTGGTCTACCACAGCCAGAGCCAGAGCATTGGAATCAATACATTGACCTTGGCGGGAGAGTGTTGTGCCCAAGGCTCCAGAATAAAGAACATTTAGCCATCGAGAGCTCATCTCTCTGGTCACAAACACAGGGAGCATCACAGGAGGAGCAGTCAGGGGTGGCCACTGCCTCGCCGACACCACCTTCTGATGGTAACAAAGGTGGAACTTCACCAACAGCCACAATCACCACAGGCGAACAGGTTGCTGGCAACGACATGACATTCCCAATCGAAACGTCCATCAACAGCCCAGAGTCGGAACATGCTACTGTTTCTACCGACGGACAACCCATCGACGATGCTTGCAATGCCGTTGAATCTCCAGACGATGTCGCAACGCCCAGTCTCCAAGTTCGCCGTCTTTGGGTCCCCGTTTCTGTCCCTCCCCTGGACGAGGAGCACCAAGGCCTGTTCCAAGTTCAACAAGGCGGCTACCAGCACGACAGGAAGTATCGCAGAACGTCAAAGTCCCCCGCAGCATTGGGAACTCGTCCCACGCCGCGATTGAGTCATCCGTCTCTCCAAGAACTTGAGTCAAACGCTCTCTGGGCCCCTGCTTCACCACACACTTTTGCCCGGGACTGGTTCACGCTGCCTTCCGTCCGACCCAGCACTGAGCCCGACCGACTATCTCGCGAGTCGAGCAGCGGGTCGCCCGTCTCGAACACGTCCTCGGTGTGCTCCGACGCCACTGCCGAATCCGCCGTCGCCAGCCTCCTCATCGGACAGGCGTCTGCGCAGCTGAAGCCGCGGCAGTCCGTCGCAGCCGCAGACTGCATGGCGACTCTCGAAGAAACAGGGCCGCCTGCCCGGCCCCGGACCGAGATTGCCAGATCGGTACCCAACAGAGCCGCAGCTCTGCACGATACCCCCCAAGGGGCTGTTGAAGCGTCCACGACATCCTCCTCGCAACCAGACCAAGAAGCGCAGCAGGACACAGACACAACGGGGCAAGAGGAGCGACTCGCCGTCACAGAGGTCAACGCAGACGCAGAAACAGTGGTGGTCCCAGAGCAACACACGAATCCCCCAGCTGCCGCAAACAACCACGAATAGGAAAAGGCGGCTTCGACCCCGCAAGACACCACCAGCCAGCCCTGTCTTGAACGTCTACATTCCCGATGCATGATAACTCGGAGACCACCACCCGGCTGCCCAGGGCTACATCCACGCACGCCCCGCAGGCAAGACGCCTGACTTGAATGAGCGAGAGGGCCAGCACAAGTGGCAAGCATTCTTTGTTTCATCGCGGGAGGAGTATTGGAAATTTCAAAGCATGGAGTACAAGGTTGGAGATACCCACGCGTATGATTACGTGGTTCAATCTACGTGAATTTACTGATGTAGTCGAATGACAATGCAGAATTACATACTCTAATGTCAAAATGTGTTAATATCACCATTTGTCGGCCGTGAATATTCCTGCACCAAACGTGCTTGATGGTTGTACGACCCGTGGCACTCACTCACTGACTGGGTCGGTGCCTCGCATCGAGCGTCAACGGCCTTCAGAACGAATCCTCTCTCTACCCTCACAGTCCACGACGAGAGCTACTATGCTAGTCCAATGTATCATAGCCCCGTGGGGGTTCTATCCATGCATTTCATCAACTGTAGACTAGAAAAATGACACAAACGTCAACAATGCGCCGATGCTATAGACGTGACATGCTTCTTCTTCTTGAACAGCTTGGCAGTAGTGCCCTACTGCTGTTCCCCTGCCCCGGATTGGCTCAATTGCCTCGTCCAATTTCCTTCCCAAATGTAGTACCTTGCGTCTTGCTCTCTATTTGCAGGCCATGACATGTGTGTGTGCTTTGCGTTGTCCCCCAATCCCCGGCCGGCCCTCCCATCGTTTTTCTGCATAATCATGAGCAGTGACATTTGCATCTCAGGCGATGACCGCGTCAAGTACAACCGTCGTTTCCGTTTCCCTCGTCTCCTGCTCTGGTCGCTTCTTCTCATAGCCATCTTCCGCGGCCTTCTTTCCGGCTCTCGCCCTCATTATGCGGCGAGTAGGCGCGTGACTTACATTAGATATAAAAAAGGAACATACAAAATAGAAAGTGCCACGAAACCGCCTCCCAAAACCGGGTTTGCCGCCGGAATGAGCAGCCCGGTGACAGACCATGACGGATGGCGAGGCTGACCCCGACTTGTCGAAGCTCCTACTCCTTTCAGTCATATTATGCTTTCCGCCCTCTTGACGTTTGAGTCGCAGGCGTCGTATATAATTGGTATGAAAAAGTCTTGGGACAAAAACCGTCGCTATGCAAACAAGATGATCCACACACAAAGAAAAAAGTTAATTTTCACGGTTTTCTTTTGTACAAAACCTCGGCTATGAATGACAGAGGTGTAAAGAGGCGATGGTAAGATGAGCATGGTCGGAGAAGCTTGGCTCCGGCATTTGCTGCTAGTTCACCGTCATCAACGGGACGCGGCGGCCAATATTTGACGGTGGTGAGTTCTCAGATGAAGGCCGCTCAACGTTGGTGCTGCTGTTACCACGACTCCTCGTGGGCCGCCGGGCCGGGCTAGATCCCGGATCGTCAAAAACCCTTGTAAAGGCAGGACTCGAATCCAAGCGTCTCTCGTGTCGTGGAGTTCGGGCCGGGCTTTGTGTCAGCTGGTCAGCCCTCCGTATGAGGTCGGACAGGACATCACGCAATTCTCCAGCTCTCCTGACCAATGCTTTCAAACTGTTGGTATCGAAATGCACCCTACTAGTGCCGGTGTAGCCCTTGCGAGACCCTATTGCGGGAGGCTCGGCGGTTGCCGGACTAGAGCGATGTTGAACAGATTCTATGACAGACCTCACGACGCCATTTACGCCCTGAGGCTTGACTAGCTGGTTTTCGGGTGTACGCGGTCGGCTGGGGCGATCAGAGAGTGGACGGTCATCCGCCAAGGGCCAATTTGCTCCAAAAATGTCATCATCTGGAGAGAAGACGGATCGCCGTCGCGGGGATTGCCGTTCACGGACAACAGCCGTCTTGGACATGGCTGGCTCGTTGTGCTCAATGACGGCATCCAACCTGTCGATTGACGGGTCGTCGTCAACGTTGTCTTCATCCCTTGGGGGGCTTGCAGCTTCAAAGGCATCAATGTAAACCGAGACCTCTGACTGATCATCATTCGCAGGTCCCTCGTCCGGAGAAGCCAAGGCAATGATACCCTCAGCCTCCTTCCAGAGTGGTTTCTGCTCGCCACTCAACATATTCAGCTCCCGGCCATGGCGACAGAGTCGTTTCAGGTCGTTGACGAGGAGAGACAACTCTCGGATTTGACCAGAGTGGGCCTTGACGCTGGGTTGTGAGGCACGAATTGATTCAGGGACGGCGAACAAATCTTTGGCGTCTGGCCCGTCACTGGGACCTGCAAATTCAAAATCCTCGTCCCAATCTTCGCTAACGGTTTTCGTGCCAAGCCCCCACGTCCCATACTTGGATCCCGTAGGTATTAATTCGTCAGGGGGATCGTGTACTACAGGGACACTTTGGCTCCGGACGTGCGCGGGCATTGGTCCCTTGCGAATGACAGATCGACCTCCTCTAGAGCCAATTTCCTGTTTACCGTAAGCTGTCTTGGGCCGAGAATGACACGCCGGATCCTGCTTGTCATGGAAGGGTTGCTCGCTCCAATCAAATAGGTTGCCGACAAAACGTTCGCTGCTTGATGGCGGTGGCTTTGAAGAAGGATTCGAGTTGTTGCCACCAATGCTGGCCAACGCTAGACGAACATTGGGATTCATGCAACTAGAGCTGAGAGAACTGCCTTTTGAAGGAGGTGATAGGGCATTGACTGGTGCGTCATCGTCATCTCTGGTCCAGTCCTCGTCAAAGTCAGCACCGAGAGAAGACCTGTCACAGTTGGGCGTGTCCCTGGCAACCTCGTTGCTCGTTGATGGGCCCAGACCGAAGCGAGGGTCTTCTCGCAGCTCACGCCTAACGTGATTGACCGTGGACCGATGTGGCATGCGGACTGGAGTGAAGTTTGACTCGTCTTCCTCCATAATCTTGCCGTCCTCGTCCCAAGCCCGGTCAAGGATCTCTTGAATTGACAGACGTTTTGATCTCTTGTTCCCGCCCGTGCTCGGGGGGGACTCGTCGTACACAGACTCGAGTGGTGTTTCCACAGCTCCGACCCGGCCAGAGCCCATGGTCCGCAGCGAGTCAAAAAGAGTGTCGCTCTTAAAGTCGGTGTCGTACTCATCACCAGATAATATCAAATCACGTGTGTCGCCGTCTGAGCCGTCCAGGGCAGATAGTTTCTCATAATGAAGATATCTCGGCTGCGGCGCGGCAGCGCTGGTAGAACTTGTCGAGCTCCCTGACGGCTGATTTGGCCGAGCTGAAGGACTGGCGGCGCCGCCAACAGGGCTACGTCGCGACGAGTCTGCATGAACACCCAGAAGATTGGAGGGCGGGGGCAGCGGGGAGGATGCGATTCTCCTGGGCGCCGAGTGCTGCGAGGTCGCAGCTGAATCCAGCACCAATCCCTGCTGAGCCCGGGCGATCGAGGCGCTGCTCACTGTATCGGCGAGGCCCGCCGCTGGTTGCAGGCTTCTGACCGGAGCTGACACATGCCGCTTGGCCTCTCCGCTGTCCTGCCTCGCGCCCCGTTTAATCCGGCGCAGGCTTCCGGATGTTCTCGAGGCCCAGTTTGCAGTCTGAGAAAACGTGGAAGAAAACGACCTCCTTGGACGTGCTGACGGTGGCATGTCAGGGTTCACGTCTCCCGTGGTGGGAGAATTCGTATGAACCCCAATTCGGCTGACCAGCTGGTAGTTGGGTCCCTCCTCTGTGTGCGACGATGCAAGCGAGTCGCTCTGCGTCGATGAGCTCGACACCATTCTGGGCTTGATGAGATGAGCACCGGTACCAGGTAATGTGGCTTTGGCCGGATTGATGCGCTTGGGCTGCAAATTCTTCGCGGACGACGCCGCGTTACTGTCGTCAGCACTACCACCGAGTCGATTGTGAGTACCTGACCTCGTCATAAGGTTTGCAGTTTTGGAGTGGAAGAAAGACACCCAGCCAGAAGATTTTGCAGCCCTGGTGGTGCGAGGAGTCTGGCCCAATTCTTCAATTGGCGATGCTCCAAGCAGCTCCTCTGGGCAAATTGGTTCATCAAACGAATACTTGGCGTCGGCACTTGAACCTGCAATGTCAAGCCCCGCGCGGAATTGCTGCAGCGTGGCAGATCTTTGATGGCTGGTGGCAGGTCGGCGCAGACTGGGTAAATGGCCTTTTGATTTGTGTCGGACCAGGTCCTCCGACGTGGGGTTTCTCGAAGGGGTGCGTTTTACCAGTTTGTTTGGGGGCATTGGTTTCGAAACAGACCCAGATCTGGAAAGTATGGGAGCAGCAGACCCATATGAAAACGTGACTGATGGTGAATCCGCAAGTATGCTAGACCTGGGACTGCCGTGCTGTGACAGCGGACGAGCGTAGGACAGGCGCTTCAGCCAAGAACCAGACGACGAAATGGACTCCCTCGAGCCTTCCACGATGGAGATGCCGGGGTAGCTATCTCCCTGGCTGAGCACGACAAGCGACTGTCTCCTGCTGGACGTACTTGGTGAGGCAACTTGGGATGTCTGCGGCCGCTGGCGGCGAGACAATGGAGGTCTCGTCGTTTGGTGAACTGAAGCACTCGCAGCATAAAGCTCGGAGCCAATTGACCGCGGCGCGGCAGAGCTGGTGGCCGGTCGTCGTCGCGAGGGCAGAGTCAGGGTCCTCGACGGCGAGCGCGGCTTGGCGGGCAATACTCGGTCGATTGGTGTCGATCTGTTGGGGACTCGAGCTCCTCGGCCGGACGCAGTCGAAGCTTGGTGGTCGAGGTTGAGGTCAGTAGGTTGGCCGAACACCAGGCCACTGGCAGCTGCAGCAATTGCAGTGCCAGTCCCAACAAGCTAGTTGGTCAAAACCAGAACGTGTCAGTACTTGGCAAATCAATCCCGAGGTGGGGAGGGGGAAAGAAACTGAGCGCGTCTCCTCCGGGGGGGAGAAGGAGGGAGAGAGAGCAGGGACAGGAGGGACAGGAGGAAGCAATCGAGATTCAAAGACGATATTATGCAATCGACGAGGAGGGCAGAGGAGCTGGACAGGGCATGAGGGTGGGAACAGGCCCGGACGGGAAGAGCGTCTGTTTTGAGTTTTCCGGTCCAGACGCTGCAGAACCAGGCCAGCCCCGGTGCCGGCGATACAGGAGCTTTGCGTGGGCGTGGTGTAATAAAGTAGGCTTGTTTGTGCGTGTGCGTGTAGTCGACTGTGGTGTGGGTTTGTGGCAGGGAGGATTTTGGGGTTCGAGGTGTGGGCGCGCGCGTGGCGACTCGAAAGGGAGCAACAACTTCGGACAAGCTCATGGACTGGATGGACGTACACTGGGAACCGTCTGCATCGTGGGCCGCAGACTTCTGCTTGCGTTATTTCAGCAGCAGGACGGGCATTCTAATTGTCGAGGTCGAAAGAATGGCAACAACTGAGTCCAACAGAACTGGCATCGTCGGGCCACGGCTCGCCCAGCACGGAGTATACGCTCGACCGTTTTGGGCCCCCGGCAGTTGATGGAAGGGAGGGAGGGATGCGAGCAGGAGCAACTCGAAGACGGACAGGCCTTTGAAACCGAGGCTGGGTGTGTTCGCTCTCGCGTGTTTTGGGGAGGGAGAGGAATGAGGCGTAGCGTCCGTGGTGGCAGCAAGCAAGCAACAGACTCGGCGCGCGGAGCCGGCAAATGCTGGTCGGCGTGGGTGACGGATGGTCCTAACGAAAGTTGTCTCAAGTCCGTCTCGACTCTCGCCTCTCCAGAAAAAGGACCAAGACGCAGAGACGCAGAGAAGCAGAACGGCGCCGGGGGGGGAGCAGAAAGCGAGGGAAGAGGAAGAAGAGAGCCAGTTGACGATGTTTGACAGATGGGCAGGCGGAATGGGGGCAGATAATCAAACAGGCATAGTTTTACGACCACTAAAAGGGAAGAATGAACGGGCCTGGTTGGAGGCCGGCCTAAACATACACAAAAACAAAGCACGAAGTCGAGGGCGCGAAGAGAAAGATGACGATTGTACCGAGTACCTGGGCCTCCCTCTCCCTCTCCCTCTTCTCTCCTCTCCCTCACTCTTTCTCTCTCTCTTTCTCTTTTTTTTTTTTTTTTTTTTTTTTTTTTTTTTTTTAGTTCGGCTTGGTTCACAAGGTACGGAAAGCAAATTGGCATGGCCAATGCTTTTGGCACGGTCCAGTGGAGAGGAACGCTTCCCATGCTGCTGCCCCGTCGGTAGCTGAGGTCTTGGTTTTGGCCTTGGATCGCCGACGCAGGGATGAACAAGGACAGGGGACCAGGCGCGAGGTTGAAGACAACTTTATCAGAGACAAGGGACAAGGCGCGACGAGGCCCAGCAGGCCAGAAGCAGGTTGACTCTGGCCGGACATGTCGACAGGAACCAAGGAACCGACGCGACCTCGCCAACGATGAGGACGCAGACTGGCCTTTTTTGGAAGCAGCATTTGGACCAGCACACTTCTCGATTGCGGGCGCCGGAACCGACATGGACGCGATGACGTCTGGGCCGTGAGCCGGCTTGAAGCACAGGGCAGGCCAATGGCCAGACGCGGCAGCGTCGAGCAGACGTGGCGGGCGCTGTGAGATTAATCTAGTTGCTCGCGCCCAATGGCCACGCACAGCTCGCTGCAGCTTGGCTTGTCAGTGGGCAACCGGGCTTGAGGCTCGAGGCTGGTGCCTGGCAGCCTGCATGTGCGCTATAATTCAGGCGTCGACGGGTCCATGGGCCATGTGTCAGCGGGAGGCTAGAGGGCTAGCAGCTGGCGCTTGAGCCGACTGGGGGACCTCCGCTGCTTGGATTTACAGTGGCTGCCGTCCGCGCTGCGGCTGCCCGGCTGCCCTCGAGTGCCCGGGCCAAGCCACCAACCAGACCAGACACTGCAGCACTTGACGTCGACAGCCCTGGCGCTGACACCCGTCTGGTCAACAACTGCACGTGTGCACGCCGAGGGCCAACTCACGGCGCGTGCGCCACGCAGTGCACCCGCCGCACCCACTAAAACGCAGGCATGACCACTGGGACACCCACTGCAGCGCAGCGCACCGGGCATGTGAACGGTTCTGGTCGACCAAGGTCCTGCAGGGTCGGTGGTCTGGCGTCTGGCGTCTAGCGTCTGGCGCGGCGCACGGGCAGGCAGCTCTCTGCCAAAACACCAAGACGATGCCAATGCCAGTGCCAGTGCCAATGCCAATGCCAATGCCAATGCCAATGAATGCTGGCATGGCATGCACACGCGAAGGTATTAGTCGTCGTTTTTGTTGACTAGACCGTCGGTCCGATGCATAGAAAGTTCCGGCCTGGTCAACTGGCATGTATCGTCGACGGTGCTGTTCAACGGGTAGCAACAGAGCACATGCACAGGCACAGGCACAGGCACGCGCCATCGACGACGGCACGGTCACGGACGCTCTTGACGGGATAGAAAAGTCATGAAAACAAACCCGCAGACGTCACAGGCCGGCGCGTAGTTGCACCGAGTGCTACACGGAGAACGACGCCCAGGCGCCTCGTGAAACGCTGCCAAGAAAGGCGAGGCGCCTGTTTGACCGTCCAAATGCTCGAGGCCGCCTGTACTTATTACTTGCTACTGTAGCTCGGCCTGTTGACTTGAATGCACGTACGGGGTATCGTGTATCGTACAGGTTAACTGGTCCTTCGGACTGGCCTCCTGCCCTCCTTCCTTCCTGCCCCGTGCCCCTGATCACGTCCCCCCATACCCGTAAACACTGACCGCGGCACATCACTCGAGTGCTCGCTCTCCGTGCAGCCATCGCCAAAACAAGGCCGGACAGGAGATGGGACGCCGACCGACGCCAACGCGCAGCCGACGTGGACGCGGTCGTGGTCGTGGTCGCGGTCGTGGACGCGGACGCGGCAGGGCAGGTCATCCGAGGCCCGGGCCAGGCGGCTCTGTCAACATGCCAGGCAGTTGTCATCGGTGGAAGCAGCAGTGGCAGTGGTAAGTACTCCGTACTTACGTAGTGCTGGCCTTGGTGCCAGCTGCCCAGGCACCTCGGCAACTATTGGCCCGGTGGTACGGAGTACATGCTAGCAGTTCTACAGCAGCAGACCGGCGTTTTGGCCAGGCGCAAAGACGTGCTCTAGCCTCTGGTTAGTTCCAGTACGGAGCAGCCCGCATCTGTTGTCTCATTAAAGTATGCATTCCAACGCCCGCAAGATGCGCACCTCGAGTGCTGCTAAAACAACTGCTACGTACCACGCACGTGTAAGCCGTTATTCCTAGCTGCCGTCTTATGGTGCGACTGTTTGGCCATGTCCTTCATCTTCCGTTGGGATTTATTGATTGATTTATTGGGCCATGATTGGGAGTACTATTGTTCCAGCGGCATCTCCCATGGTGACTGCTAGGTACTTACTTGAGTGCCCAGTGTGCCTGCTGACACCCCCAGATCATAGTCCGCACGGCATATAGCGGTAGTAGCAGTGGTGAGTGCTGAAGTACTTGGTACTTACTTAATAGAGTGACGAGGCACCTCAAGTGCCCAGGTACCCATTCAGTAGGTACATATATGTGAGTACGGAGTCATGGTCCGCACTCGGCGCGTGACCGACAACAATTCCGATTTTATTAGGAATCCTTCTTACCTGCGTCCCATAATCCATAACAATAACAATACTCCGTACGGAGTACTCCGTACACAGACCAGACTGCTCCCGTACCGGCATCAGGAGACCACGTCTGGTTGGCCATGGCCAGCCCGGGAGTCGAGTGTCTTGGATCGTCGCCAATCCCAAGACGCCGAACGAACAAGGGCGTGCGCACGTAACTCACGCAGTGCTCCGTACTCTTACTCCGTACTGTCTGTACGTACAGCACTCCGTACTCTGCATGTTACTAATTACGTAGTCATGTCGAGGCTGACGAGATGCGACGAGTGGCGTATGTGTGTTTTGGCCCCAAGTCTCGCAGGTCTGGATGCACCGCATCTTGCTGCTTCGGCCGTCAGAAATGGACGTGGGTTTCGGGGAACGCAACACTTGCATGATACAACATCTTGCAGCGGTCAGATGTCGCAATCTCGGCCTCTCCTGTCTCTGTCATCGTAGCAAGGCTTTGAAAAGCAAAAGCCGGCACAGTGGCCGTGTCACAGGACAAGTCAAAATCCCAGAGTTGTGTGATGAATAATGACGATGATGGATCTATCATGCCCTTTGTCCTGCCACAGCCGAAACGACTCCGCTCCTCGCTCCAGGGTCTCTCCCGCATTACCTCATGCACCATGCACGTCTTGCTTGACTTCAAGGTTATTAGCATTACTAGTATTACGGAGGACCGGCAAGGACAAGGGAACCCAACACAGCAGATCCGTCAAACAGTCCCGACAAACGTTTCGAGCCCAGCCCAGCCCAGCCCAGCCCAGTTCGTTTTGTGCTCATGGTCATGGCTGTTCCGTGCAAAGCGCTGCATCGTCTAATCAGAGCTTCAGGAAATCAGAGCTTCAGGAAAAGGCGAGCCAACCGTCGCTTCCATCCATAGACGATGCCTGCCTCCCAGCTCAGCCGCAGCCAGTACGGGATACTACCACAATTTGCTGCATCACCCTGCATCGCCAATGTCCGCAGCCCGGAACGGGTGCGTCAGAGG